CCCATAACTCACATCTTAACGGCCGTCTAAGGGGGAGATGCACTACGGCCCCCAGACCATGATGTATGTGCACCTAACCGTTACGTCTCAGTGAGAAACAGAGTATGCATCGCCACAAGCCTAGCGTCATAGACGAATCAGCTACAGTGGCTAGCCCTGAGAGCGACGATAAATTTAACGTATTTAAGCTTTTCCTGGTCTCGGGGGCGGTCCCTAACAAGTATATGCATAGAAAACGATTAATAAGGCATACGCTTGGAAATGTCAAGATTTAAACGCCTAAACGTTTTTTAAGTGATTTTAGCGAGAAATTTTAGTGTTTTGGTATTCTTTTAGCATTTTTAAACAATCCTTGTTGGTTTTTAACGTCAAAATAGTCATCATTCTCGAAAGGAAACTCAATATAAATGACTGAACGGCTTTATAGTTTATTAAAATGTTTCGTGTTTAGTATAGCCGCTTGATTCGCCGGTACAATTTGGGCCTAAATTGTGTGTATTTATTTCACAAGTTTTTATTTTTTATCTTCGTTGATTCTGTTGTATTTTCGGGGAATATTGAAGTTCGATCTTTCTTCTTTTTTTTCTTTTGTTGTAGATAACTACTGTGATTTCCATCACTAAAAATAACAAACAAATGTCAGTAGAGTCAGACTACAGCATTCAGGGTGGATTACTGGCTGGTTTTTATCGGAAGCAGAAGATTGGGAAGGTGGTTGTTACCAAGTTGCACTAGGTCCATACATGACGGTTGGTTTTGTCGCCAGTTCTTTGCACTGATGTTTCTCAAAATCGCTTGCGAATTACGCATTAGGGGTGTCACCCAGACCTCCCCTCTCCCCCACACAGACAAGATTCCGCGATCCTCACACCTCTGGTAATTTCGGTGCCCCTGGTGATGCACGCCGTGGGTATTGAGTTTTTGAATAACTTCAAGTGATTTTAAGGACCGAGATTTTTCTCAAAGCCTGGGTTTACTGACGCGAACTACTACATTTACACACGAATATCGCCTGTTAAAAACTAGTGTAGAAAGTATTCTTAAAATAATCACGGAAATGTTATATTTTTGTGAGAAAAAACAGAAGCATCAACGGTCAAAAGTTTAAAAAAGTAATGATTTCATGGTTTAGAAGACATTTTGTCAACTATACAAGATTATGGCAAGATAATGAACAATAAAGAACCCGCAAAAAAGTGTTTAAAGTACCATTGGAAAATGGAAACAGGGGCGTCGGAAGCGGGGGGGCCGGGGGGCTCAGGCCCCCTCACTTTTTTATTTGGGGGGCCTAAGTATCATTGGGCCCCCCACTTTTTGACAAAGGTAAGTTGTTAATTGGTAAATTGTTAGAATTCTGGTAAATCTTCTCCCAAAGTACAGGATATGGCGTTTCAGTGTTCAGACTCTGGTTTTAAAAATTTCCCAGAGGGAAGGCATGCCCCTGTAACAGTGTAACCTCTTAGAAAGTTGCCCACATTTGGCACTTGGCAGGCACTTTGTGGCCCCCCTCACTTCTGGCGGCGTTCCGACGCCCCTGAATGGAAACAATGAAATCGTTAACGTGTGAAATTAGTACAATTAACACCGTGTGATGATTCTTTAATACGGTACGACACATGACACATGAAAGCAGGTGTGGAAAACTGATGTGTTGAACATGCAATCATATATTTATGTTTTTCAACGTTCGTGTTTATTCTATTCAAAATTTTCATCCGCGATCTAACACGAAGTTAAAGACGAAGTTATTCATTATCGAAAGCCAAGGTATAATAATAATAATAAAAATATATTATAGTTCGCAAGTTCCATTCGAAATATACAGATGAGATAAAATATTTCTAAAATATATAAAATCCTATATATCATGAAAAGCTTTTCTAGAAATAGATAAGTTTTTAAACGTTCATTTAAAACATTCAATAGTGTCTGCTTTTGGGTATAAGGAGGAATAAGGCGTTCCACAAATTAGGCCCAAGTGAGCGAGCACTATAAGAGTCGGTAAAAAATTGAAAGTGGGTTGCTGAAGCAAACGTTTCTAGTTTGATCTGATGTTATATGATGATGCATAATGGAGGTCTAATACTTATAAACTCCGAAATCTAATCAGACGACAGCCCATGAAGACTGATGAGGTGCTTTAAAAACGATTAATAAAATCAGTTTTAAAATCTACCCTGCATGAACTTAATTGGAAGCCAATGTAAACCTTTCAGGGTTGGAGTAATATGTTCAAATCGAGGAAGATTACAAATCAATCTCGCTACTGCATTTTGCATCCGTTGAAGCTTGTTAATAAGTTGATACTTGAGACGAAGGCAAACCATATGCATAGTAGTGATAGTACAGTCAGGTAATTGCAATAGTCAAGACGGCTTGTGAAGAAAAAACGAACGGCTTGACGAATGAGTTGATTAAAATGTGTTTTTAGTGATTAATGTTATGAACTATTGAACTTATATTGTTGCAGTGTTTTGTTGTACGTTTTGACACCAGGGATTGGCTTTTAAAGAACCGCGGTTAGCTTTAATTTACCCAGGTTAAGCATCTAGAAATGAAATTTTCCAGTATACTGTTCTTCATGCAAACCTCTTCTAGTTGAAAAGAGAATTTTTTCTAATGTTTTTAATTTCATTTTTGTTATCTGTGACTATGTTTTTCTTTTTGTTAAACTTCAGGAAGATGCAAATCAAACGGTTCATTGGTCTTGTTCTCATCCTGTCTTTTTCCTCTGCGGTGTTTGGAGACGAGGAAGATATACTGACGACCCTTCGCAACAACTTTCGCAACGCATATCCCCCCGGGCAACAGTTTGGTGTTCTTTATCTTCACCAGGGAAGCGTCGACAACGACCCATTTTACGATGTACATAACTTGTGTACTGCCAGAAGTACAGGGAGAAACATCATAAGAGATAACATAAGAGATCAAAGTTTTGATAATATCATGACGCGTCGCACCCCAATATGGCCGAGTCTTTCACTCCTTAGACGTTATTGTAGACGAGTTAGAAGAGGAAGACAAGTTATACAACAACATCCTAATATAGCGACTGCTGGTTATAATAATGATTTACAAACGAATTCAGGTCATTCTGAATATTTGCTTCTTAGAGTGGTGCTGACGAAAATGCATGTTGCTGTCGTACTTCGACAACTCTGGCGATTTCTGTCCTAGGGCGATATTCCTATATACATATAACTCTCCCTGTTATAGATTCTATTCTAATTGTGTGAACGAAATTAAAAGAGCCAGAAAAAAAATAAATAATATGGGATGTCGACGCACACCATTTCATGTTGGATACACAGCTCTGTATCGCGTAAATCAGGCGGGCTGGGACCAAGCCCTGGAAGCGGAAAACATAAATGTAATTCATGTAACATAGTGCATGGACAGGCGCTCCGACATTGAAAAAACTTGTTGCAAAAGTGATTTATTCGTGAACAGTTGATTCCTATAGTCTAATGCAACCAAAGAAAAAATTCCACAGGAAACAGATCAGTTGTTTAAGCAGTTTTTGACATTTGGGTTTCTTGCATGTTAACTCGTTTAGAACTGTAGACTGTAGTATAGCTAACAAAGCTTTAAACAATAATTTAGAAGGGAAAACAAATAATAAAATATAGCCATAGAAGGAAATATAGTTTACATTTCTCTTAAATTGCATGATTATAGTTGCACACGTATTACATCAGCACAAACTACTTTTTCCCTTCTTAACTTGGGCTAGTTTTTGTTTTCTTTTCTTCACGTGTTTTGGTGTTTTTGTTTTTCTTCGTTCCCTGTTTGCTTCTTTCACCGCCTTTTTGTGGTCCTTAAAAAGTGTCAAATATCGTTAAATTCTGTTCATTTATTTATCTGACACACGTTTGAGACACCTCTGTACATTTTATTCCATATATGAATCCGTTTATAAACGTTTTTAAACCGAAGACAATAATTGTTCCAAGAATACCTTTCTTTGGGACTTCCTGTTCTCTTTGTTCAAGTGGGAGTCATCTCTGTCATCTTCGTCCGATGTTGAATATGTATTCTCAATTTCATCGTCTTCACAAAACTCGTGAGATATTTCTGTCTGTGAATCTTGCAGCAAAACAGGGCGCTGAAACAAATATACACCTGATCTTTCATACCTGGAGTTCTATTGATAGAGTGTTCAACGAGCCATAACAGCGAGTTCAACTCTCGACTCTTTTAAAATATTTCTCACCTCTTGGGCACCAGAAAGATCCGCTTTGATTCCAGTCAAAGTTTTGTATAAGATAAACAAATGCGCATCAATTATTGTTAAACAGATCCGTCATTCAACATGAAACTTTACCAAACTTTGTAAAGAATATTTTAGCGAAAGCCTGGTTGCTTTAAAAATCTCCTCTTTTTCTACACGAGTTTTTAACAGGCATCTGAATTCGTAGCAGTTAGCGTCAGCAAACTCTAAATCCTGGCTCTTGAGAAAAATTTTGTCCCTCAAAATCACCTCAAGTTATTCAAGTTGGTATCTATCTATATCGGTTTCGGTTTTTTTCCGAGAACCGCTTCAGCCTACAAAAAATTTATAAATTCACTTTTTTGTCGTCATGTTTCAAAAAAATAACAAAATTTACATATCTTTTGCAAAGCATCATGATATTTTTGAGCGCGAGTTTCTCCATTTAAAGAAATCTCCTCTTAAAATATTCACGGAAGTCACGGTAGGAAATGCTAAACGCAGAAGCATGCAGCTTCGATCAACAGTTTAGAAGTAATGGTTTCGTCTTTTACAAGACATTTTGTCAACAATACAAGATTATGGGAAGATAATGGACACTTAAAAAACCCGCAAAAAAGTGTTTAAAGTGCCATTGAATACAACGAAGTCGTTAAAGTATGAAATTGGTACAATTGAACACCCTGCGATAATTCTTCATGCGTATGACACATGACACATGAAACCAATGTGAAGAACTGATGTATTGAACACGCAATTATATATTTATCTTTTTCATCGTTCGTGTTTATTATCCGCATGTAAAGATCTCACACGAACTTAAAGACGAAGTTATTCATTATCCAAAGGCAAAGCCAAGGTATAAACGGTTATTGATGATTTAACAGTTGCAGTGTTTTAGTGTGCGTTTTAACACCAGGTATATTGGCTTTTGAAAAGCCGCGGTTAGCTTTACCCAGGTTAAGAATTTTGAAAAGAAATTTTCCAGTATACTTTTCCTCATGCAGTAACCTTTTCTGGTTAAAAAGAGATGTTTTTAATGTTTCTAATGTTTTTAATTTCATGTTTGTTACCTGTGACTCTGATGTTTTTCTTTTTGTTAAACTTCAGGAAGATGCAAATCAGACGGTTCATTGGTCTTGTTCTCATCCTGTCATTATCCTCTGCGGTGTTTGGAGATGAGAAAGCTATACTGACGACCCTTCGCAACAACTTTCGCAACGCATATCCCCCCGGGCAAGGACAGTTTGGTGTTCTTTATCTTCACCAAGGAAGCGTCGCCACAGACCCTGTCTACGATGTTCAGAACCTGTGTACAGTCGTGGATAAAGGGGGCCAGAGAAACATCATAAAAGCATCTGCAAATGTTTGGGCTCAAAATAAGGGTCCAAAAAATGTTATTATGAGGTTTAAGCCCCCAATATGGCCGACTCAGATTCCAGTCCTTGCCAGTGATTGCAAAAATCAACATCCTAATGTAGCGACTGCTGGTTTTGATAAATATCTAAATAAGCCCGTGGCGAATGCCGGTCATTCTGAATATCTTCTTCTTAACTTGGCGCTAGGGAAAATGTTGCAGTCGTACAAGCGAAACTCGGCAGGCAACGTCTGTCCTGGAGCGATATTCCTATATACATATAACTCTCCCTGTTACAACAGTCGCTTCCCGTCTAATTGTGTGAAGGAAATTATAAACGCCAGACAAGATATAATTAAAAGAGAATGTCCAGGCACACCATTTCATGTTGGATACACATCTGTGTACTTTAAAAATCAGGCGGGCTGGGACAAAGCGCTGACTACGGCAAAGATAAATGTAATTCATGTAACATAGTGCATGGGCAGGCGCTCCGACATTGAAAAAACTTGTTGCAAAAGTAATTCATTGGTGAACAGTTGTGAGATTCCTAGTCTATATGCAACCAAACTGGAAAAAATTCTACAGAAAATATATTAGTTGTTCAAGCAGTTTTTGACATCCCTGTTTCTTGCATGTTAACTCGTGTGGTGACAAAGGTTTAAACGTGTTACATTACAATAATTTGGAAGAGAAAACATCTTGCAATAAAAAAATATCGCCATAGAAGAAAATATAATTTATATTTCTCTTAAGTTGCACGATTACTTGCACACGTATTACATCAACACAAACTATTTTTTCCCTTTCCTAACTTGGGCTAGTTTTTGTTTTCTTTTCTTCACGTGTTTTGGTGTTTTTGTTTTTCTTCGTTCCCTGTTCGCTTCCTTCACCGTCTTTTTGTGGTCCTTGAAAAGTGTCAAATATTGTTAAATTCTGTTCATTTATTTATCTGACACACGTTTGATACAGCTGTATAGATTCTATTCCATATATGAATACGTTTAACCGTTTTCAAACCGAAGACAATAAAAGATCCAAGAATACCTTTCTTTGGGACTTCTCTTCTTCTTTGCTCAAGTGGGAGTCATCTCTGTCTTCTTCATCCGATGTTGAACATGTATTCTCCTCGCTCTCATCGTCTTCACAACACTCGTGAGATATTTCTGTCTGTGAATCTTGCAGCAAAACAGGCCGCTGAAACAAATATACACCAGATCTTTCATACCTGGAGTTCTATTGATAGTTTTCAACCAAAACACAACGGCGAGTTCAATTCTCGACTCTTTTTTTTTAAAGTCTTTCTCACCTCCTGGGCACCAGAAAGATCCGCTTTCATTCCAGTTAAAGTTCTGTATAATATCTGCAAACAAATGCATATCAATTATTGTTAAACAGACCTAAAAAGACTTGAAAAAACAGACTAACTATATTAAAACAATATGTGCAAGTAAATAGGTGGTAATAGGTATTGAAAGTAATATTTTTCGCTGGTTTTTCACCTCTTCTGTGTCGCCTTCCCTGGCTTTCTCCATGTCATTTTCAAAGTCTAACACAGCCTCCAATGTTCTTGGTATAAACGCATTCTTAAATACCTAGGATTGAGTGAAACCTTTGCTTGCAAATTTTATCAACTTGCCTAGTGTCCTATCGTGATCTCATAGATAGTGAAGGAGCAGTACTCGCTTACTTTACAACAAAATAGACATTTTACAAAATCCTAAATATATTCTATATTTTACCTCTTCTTTCACTTCATCTTCTGCATTCTTTGTCTCTTCTGAGCGAGATAATGCAACCTGCTGAGCCTAAACACAAATATTTCAACAAAATACATGAAGCTTGCACGGCTAAAATATGATCAAGTTAAGACTGACCTTTTCTAAATACTCTTCAATGTTTTCGTCAGTGATATTTGGGTCTGTAACGAAGTCGAATGTCTCTCGAACCGTCATCACACAAACGTCATTTTTTCGAAAGAATTCTAGAGAAATAAAGAGCATCTTTGGTCGCTTTCAAAGTCTTGTTTATACGAACTAAATTAAACCGAGTTTAAGCCGTTTAACTATAGTATTTAAGCATATAATACCTGATATATTTGTACAATCCTTACGTAAAAATTCAAGTGCGTGAGGATGGTCATGTTCTACAGACTGAGACACGTCGATGATGAAGATACTGTCATTATGATATCTATAAAAAAAAAGGAAAAGACTTGTGGACTGAGAGAGAGGTAGGTCGGCAGGAAAAATCCTGCTCATCTTTGGTGAACTTCCATGAACTATCCCTGGTTTCAATTTTGAAAGTGTTTTCTTTCTTACATCATATTGAATTCACTGAGATCTGCATGGACAAGACGCGCTTTCCAGAAGATATTTCTTGTGATTTTAATGCATTGTAAATACAATTCCCTTGCTTTGGATTCTGTTAAATTGACGTCTTTAAGAAGTGGGGAAGGCCTGTTGAGAAGCAAAATAAATATTTAGAGTTGATTGAACGAAATCCAGTACTTCATAACCTATCGTACATGTGGACCTGAAGCGGTTTTGGACCACTTTTAAAAATGCTATGAAATTGGGTTTTGTTATCCTGGGCGATTTTTAAGTCCCTACAGGCATACCATCCGTTGACTCCAAGGAAATCCATCACAAGGACATGACTTCGAAGCAAGATCGGCTCAGGACATGGTATACCAGCATTGTGCAGCCTAAATGATGAAATATTAGAAAAGCCGAAGAACTCCAAAATGAATCAAAAACGGAAGATGAACGAAGTCGTCGAACCTTGTAAGATTCCTCATCTCCTTCTCAGCCCAAGTTCTGACCATTTTCCTCGGGTTATGACGACAATAGCCGTGACGAAACCTTGAAAATTGCGCATCAATTCAGCGAGATATAGTCAGAATATTTGATCATGTTTTCATGAAGACATAATGAATGCTAGCTTCAAAGCGTTTAATTCATCGAAAATCATTTGAAAAGTTTGAAGGAACCGAGAAATGTAGTGTACACTACTTCTGTCGTTATTTTATCTTTTAATATTTAGAGATAGGAATCTTTAATCTATTTCGTCAAATATGGGTATGCGGATCTTCGCCGTGATCTCATGGAATTGAGAGTCCATGCCTTGCACAGCTTGAAATATAGGATAGACGTTCTTACGAATCACTTTTTAATTCGGCCAATCGTCAAATTGTCGTAGATTACAAAGCCAAGTATGTTTTTGCTCATGTTCTGTGATATTCTAAGAGTTATGAAAGAATTTTTCTGAATGCTTGTAGGGCAAAGTGTTTATTGATAAACTAAACTTAAACGCGAGAGTTTGGTTTAGGAATTCAGCTAGAGAATTCAGTTTGCCAGCAATACAAATGAAAACAGACAATCGCGAGTGACGGCACCATTACCAAGGTCTTGTTCAACCCGACATCTCACGTCTTACCTAAATTCACCCGTCACATATTTGTCTCGATCCTTGAAGATCAAAATCGAGGTCTTGTAAACCTGATGGGCAAAAACATTAAAAAAGTGGGTTGTGAAAAGAAATCTCTTCAGGAAAGAATTCAAGAATAACGAAGATTTGGGATACTTTTACTGCCCGTTCAGAGCCCTCTTTTGCAGAAGCGTGGTATACATTCGCCTTGAAAAAAAAACAAAAAATCAAAATTTTAGTATAGACATGATGGAAGAAACGTTCAAAAACCGAAGCCACTTGAGCGCGGGAAATCTTCAAGCTCAGGAAGAGTGATAGTTGTGGTGTAATCGATCATGAATAAGATAAAGCTCGATCTGCGGGTGAAACAACACGATGGAAATATTAGAAATATGGTATATCACAAGCATGTTGTCCAATGGTCTACCTCTTTCCCGGTGCTAATGCAGCCATTGATCTCCGTGATAAAATTACGCGACAACAATTTGAAAATGATCATTCGTGTGCGAGGATCGAGGACCTGAATGGGAAAAGGGCATCGAGAAAGTGGAACTAAACTTGATATTTCTTTCAGTTCAAGCCAGCGAAGACTGACCTGTGAGAGTTTCACCTTAGGTCAGTCAGGTGTTAGTGAATACTACTACAAGTACACGCGTTGAAGAACACAATTTAATAATCCCACCTGCTCCATTGTCGCTCGATCTGACTTATCTTTAACTCTGATTCTAAGTCGATAAATAAAATTACGATTGAGTTGTGTTTGATCAACGCAATGACACTTTTACCCGTAGCGATATTGACAATTTAACAAGTGATGATATTTTCAACAGTATTACCTGTCATTTTCACGTCGTTTCTCAGACTCTATCAAGATGTTTGCTGTTGTATTTGGTAGTTTAGGACCTTCGTATTTCTCTACACAATATTAGAAACTAAGCATTATCATATGAGGCAACTTTTGTTAGACCAACACAGTTTCTGAAACACTGCCGTGTTAGTTGAAAGCTCTGTTTTTACAAAAAACTAGCAGATTTTTTATACCTATTCGAATCTTGTTATTGAACTTTTGCCAAGCTTTTTCATTCGGCTAAATGCAGAGAAATAAGTCATAGAAACTATGGTCTCTAAATCTATTTGGACTTTCTACTAAATCAACATAATCAGTTACATATGGTGAAATTCACCTGGTATGAAAGATTTTGAGTTTTTGGTTGGTTGACATTCTGTATGAACAAAAAAAGAAATAAATAGCACTGGGTTCACCACTAGCTTCAAATTGTGATGCTTTTCAACAAAATTTACCATTGTGTTAACTTGATTTCTGCTGGCATTGTAATTCTTGGTAAGGTCTAAAACATATTGTATTGAAAAGTGTTAATCATGGACAGCAAAGTCAATCTGTGGGATTCAGTGATTAGTTCCTAATCGTTCACATTCAACCTCCACTTTGTTCTAGCCAGTCCCAGTCTTCAAAATCATCTTCATCGCTCTCATCATCATCACCATCATCGACGTCCATACTTTCAAGATGTTTGCTTTCTGAGCTCAATACTGTTGAAGAACATGTCAGTTAACTGAACAAGTATAGATTAGAGTACTTTTAATGAGTTGAAACAAGGTTGAAAAGAGAATACTCTTGATGTTTTATACATCAAAATACCTTGTAAATGACTACTGTGTTTTTCATCACCATCACTAAAAATAACAAACAAATGTAGAGTCAGACTACACCTCTAATTCTAGGACCTCTCTCTAATAAAGACAACTCTCATTACTCTCTCTAATACAGACACCTCTCTAATACCAACATCTCTCTAATTCAGTCACCTTTCTAATACAGACACTTCTTTAATACAGACACCTCTCTAATACAGAAACCTCTCTAATACAGACATCTCTCTAATACAGACATCTCTCTAATACAGACATCTCTCTTATACAATCATCTCTCTAATGCAGACTTCTCTCTAATGCAGACATCTAACACAGACATCTCTTTAGACTTTAATACAGACGTCAAGCCAATACGACCAGTCTTTATATCCCCATATATAAAACAAATGAAGTCATAAAATTGGTCCATACGTCACCTCTAGTAATCTATTTATAATAAGGCCACAAACGATACTATAACATAGCAACTGTGCACTCCTTGTAAACGATGGTTTATTGTATATATCTACCCCCTAACTACATCACTCCAGTGTCATACCTGCTCTCTAGATCGTCAAATTGTCCTTCCACCACTCCATATGTTTCCGCCATGTTGCCTAAACGAGCCCGTGATATATAGCCACGTTGTCAAGCAGTTACATCATCGGCTTATCTTCGGTTGACCGTCGAGTCACTCTCGTATGTTAAATATTCGAAGAATTTTCCCTAATTTGCTACCAAAAATTAATTCTAACATGAATAATTGCATCTTTTTCCTCTAATTCTCTCCTTCAAAACTCTCCATTCTGAAATGCCCTAACTCCTGCACAATTCTCCTGTTTTGTGTTATTTTTCTTGGGCGAACGGAAACAATACTCCGTAGGCTGTCGTCACCCACTCGTCAGGAAGAATCAAATTTTCAATTATACAAAATTTTCTATTCTCCGACAACATGACTGTGACCTGAGCCGGTTACACAGAGGAAAATGTGTTTTAAAGCTTTTCTAAAACGTTAAACGCACAGTAAAGACAGGTACGCTTCTATTCTTTTCATTTCTTTCTTATTTCGTACAACAAAATGAATTTGTAGGCCTTCAGGCGATAGGATTAATAATTACCGGTGTTCAACCCGCGTCAACTACAATGAAATATACAGGTCTATGGCGAAATATATTTACATGCATCTTTTTTTGCGGTTGTACCGTTAAATATTTATTCGAAGTTTTGTAACTTTGCGAGAAGTTTAAAACAAAGCTTTAATTTTTCAGGAAGTACTTATATTTTGCACGAAATAGTCGACAGAGCTGGGGTATGAAAGACTATTAAATAAAGTTTCTAATGCGATCCATTTCTGTCTCATGTCAACTCTGACATTCTGGACGAATTTTGCTTTTCGTTTCTACAAAGTCTGCCCCTATTTGGCAACAAAATAACGGCAAATATAGACTTTCATGATCATTATTAAATACTGTATTTCCATTTATTTCGTAGTAATTTTTAAACACTGTCTTTATTCAAGCGAATCTTTAGAGATTTGTTTTCCAAACAATGATATTTGACTTGCGCTGTGATGTTTGTTTTCCCCCCGACAGTCGACACATAAATTTAATATAAAAGACACATGACGGTGGTCTAGCTTCTTTCAAAATAATTCTTTACATGAGATATATTAATAATTCACTCGTGGCTGTCATATCATCATTATTTTAAGAACACGAGGAGCTTAGCTTGAAAGATAAAATTATAAGTTTATAACACATCACTTATAAAGTTTCAAATTACAACCTTTCAGAACAAATTACTTTGTGTATGTTAAATAATATCCTCATAGTGTTATTTTTATAACGAAAAATATCGTATTTCTTTTATACATGTGATAAGTGACATCTTCCTATATTGGCTCTCTCACAGATAATATTGGCTGTAAATAATATTTCATTTTAATACTTTTTCAGCAAATGCATATTGTATGCTGTAATATGACACCCTATCTCGAGTTAATTTGTAACTTATACCCCCGCAAAAACAATTAGAAGGGATTAAGTGATTAACAACTGATTCCAACAGCAAATAATTGGGTACATTTCTGTTATAGTAGTGTGAGGTTGCATTACTAATTAATTTCACTAAGTGTCTGTCTCAGAAATGCCATTTGTGCAAATATTATTGATTTCGTAGAGGTTTTCTAATGCATTGTGATTTTGCATGATTATTTTAGGTTATTCCAGTTCATAGGTGCTATCTTCTAGTATTTTAGTCTGAAGACAGAATTGTTTACAATAATGATAATTTTATTGCATATATTCAACAGGAAGTATATCAAGGGAGGGGCTTTGCATCATATTAACATTCAAGGGAAACTGAGAATATAAAATGATATATTATTTTTTGTGGCAGTACTGATAGTTTATTGATTGATGTAAATTCATCCGATGTAAGACAAGGTGGCATGTGTGCCTCTACACACATCATTTGGCAGCAAGATTTCAAGAAAGTGAAAATAAAAGTGTTTGCATAGGTGGATAATTATTCTCCAATCACAAGATGGAGGGATTCGTGTATTATAAATGACTCAGAATTTCTATTGAATAACTTTAGACTAAAACAGAATTAAGCAAGTTAATTTCTTTGGCAATTAAATGCCTTTGAAAAGCTTTTTTAGACAAAATAAGATAACAGTGTCAGATGCTATTTGATTTTGAAATGAGCAATATTTTGTGGCAATATTTTGAGATCTTAGTCTATGAGTATACAGAATTTTATCGAGATGTTGTTGGTTAATATATTTACTATTTCTTACAGGGAATTTGAACACGTACGGCTAAGTTTTAAACACTGAAGTCATGTCATCCAAGGACATGCGACTACCACGTCGTATCCAGGCCTCTGACCGCAGCAGCCTGGTTGCCACGGTAATAAGACTTCATGGTTATAAGGTCGTGCAGCAATCAGTGTTGGAGAAATCCATCAATCCTGAATTGAAGACTTTGTTGTCGGTGGGTGATGATATATATCATGTGTGCTCACCTGTTTTTAAAATAGAAGATGAAGCGCACGTCTGGAAATTGAAGTTCGAAGAATACAGCGAGTCGAAGGAATCCTCAGAACCTGAGGCTGATTTAGTCTTTTTGGGCGACATCAGATTTAAAACCAGAAAAGTTGATGTCACCGGGGATCCCAATGGATCCCAGTTGAGACAACTGTGTCAGAAGGGGATATTAGAGGACATCCAGAATGTGATCAAGAACTCAGATTTCAATAATGTATTGTTGAATTTATGTGATGTCCCCTATCCAAGACCTGAGGATCTCTGTGATAAGACCTTGTCAAATGCACTGTTGAAATTACAAAGTGTCGACAAGGTTCTGGTGGTCTACCCTAAGATTGATGCGGAGGACTGTGGACTAGAGTCAGGACTTGAGGGCACCTGGAATCGTTACCTAGCAACGGATTTGGTGTGTCTGCACTGGAGGAAAGAGGAATGCCAGTTTACTAAATTTGAGAAGAAATTTCTGAAGTATGTTGTTAAGAATGGGTTACACGATACTCAAGTGAGAGATGTTGCTTCGTTACCAGAGAGCGAACAAGAATCAACTGTGGACACGACCAAGACGGAAGGTGAAATAACTAATGAAAAAGAGGAAGAAGTGAAGACGGAAGAAAAAGTTGTATCAGAGGAGAGGAAGTTTGTTAAGAAAATCATAAAGAAAGATGAGAAATCTTTAAAGAAAGAAGATAAAACTATCAAAAAAGAGTTGATTAAGAAGGAATTAAAAACGAGCAAGAGTGAGTCAAATCTTAAACGAGAGCCAAAATTGGGAAGGAATACTGAACAGAATGCTGCGAAGAGAAACTCCAAAGTTTTCAAACCAACTGATTCTAGATCGCTGAAAAACGAGACCAGCCCAAGATCGACAATGTCTTTGAAAAGAGATCAAAAATTGATAAGCCCGAAGAACGCCGGCGATGACCGAAAGGCGTCGATGAAATCCGAAACGAAAACGACGAAGAACGGACAGAAAGTTACGAAAAAGGAGCCAGTACCCATTCCTAAAACCGAAGCTACACAACCCTCAGCTGTCGTGAAGGAAAATGATGAAAATAATTTTGAAAAGTACAAGGAAAAAATGCGCGAAACTTATACAAACTTGACGAATGCTTACAAAACCTACAGAAACATTGACAGTCCTTTGCTGAAGGAAATTTTTACACACCCCGTATTTCGTGGTTTCTGTCTCACAATGGTTCTCTTCGCCTTTTACTTTCTTTCAACTGAGATTCTGGTGACTCTTCTTCTGCTGGCTGCGAGCATATGGTTCAAATACGGATCGAAAGAGCCCGAGTTTCAAAAATACACGCGATCCACCGACCCGCGTGTCCTCGCGTTTCGTGGGATGTACGAGCGAGAGATCGAGAAACTGCGCTACGCGAAGGAGCTGGATCGAATGCGTGAAGTCCACGTGCAATTGAAGGAAAGTGTTTTGAATGCATACGCCGTGACACGCGTGGCACAAGGGGATAAGATTGGCATTAAGGAGCACGAGGTGTTAGAGAGGGAACTTGAGTTGACATTCAAGGAGTTTGTTACAGCGAATGATGTGAAATCTCTGCTTCACGAGGCTCATCACACTAGCTTTATATTAGCCTTTACAGCCTTTCTCTACATCGCATCACGTCTGGTTTATCTTGCTCTGGGACGTCTCTGGCGTCCAGTCCGCACCGGAGCTATAATTCTGGCTGGGATTCTACTCTGTTTTGCACTGTGTAACGTTTCAAACTTTCTATTGACGTCCTTCATCTCGCGACGCCTCATCGGTTCTGCCGAAATGCTGTCGGTCGTTTTTGGTCTGTGGTTCGTCACTGATCTCACTGGCTATTTGATAGAGATCAGAGCATGCATTGATCACGTGACTGGTGTAATTTGGCGGGAATGTGACCTGGAAAGATGCATCATGAAAACCCCGAGTTATTTGGTGGTAAAACTTGCGCTAGACTGTGCCGTCCTCCTGTCTCTGTTCCCGCTGGCTTATTTCATCGCAGGCGTCTTGTCCTGTTTCTCCGTATCCAGTTATACGATAGTATCCGTCTCGAGGTTCCTTCCCCCGGTAGGAATCGTTCTCCGGTTATGTACCCGTCTTGCATTCCTCGGTGAGATACTTCGTGTAGCGAACCTCATAATGTTCGCAAGTTTGACATCGAAGTTTTATGGCTTGCATTATAAAAGGGAAGATCCTTTGGACTCATTCCTAAATCAGACGTGTTGGTTATGACATGGGCTGCATCACGGAATACATATGGAAAGGAATCGTGATATATATTAATGATTTGAACTAGTCGTGTTTCAAATGATATCAAAAATGAATATTTAATACAAATTGTTGATAAAGATTGGGAAAGTATTTCATCAAAAGTCTTTATGAATCGTGTAGAAAAGGATTTTAACATCTTTTGTTGAGTTCTCGGGACATGCTAGTTTTTACAGAGACCTCTTGTATGTCTAAAATTCAAAGTTTTCAACATTTGCTTGCAGTTGCTTGCAAAATAGACTAGCAACAATCGATATCTTGCATTGAAACTAATCATTCATTTCATTTCATTTCAACTATATTCAAGAAAAATAGAGAACTTACTAATGTCTATCGTATTATCATAGCTTAAAAGGAATGAGAATTCTAATATCCCGTGTGTTTATCGTTGTTTATCTTTAAACCATAACCTAACACTCCAGGTATTCCATTTTTCATTGAGTAACGACTTACAGCGTTTCTGTAATCTAGGTTACAAGAGTGAACTCGCCCTAGTGCCGGCATAGCAACCCCCGCTCCCCTCCCGTAGATCTAGATAAAGAAATTCGTAACGCCCCCGAACTGACCCTTCCCTCCCTCCCCCTCTAAAATTCCACAATGCAAGACCATCCCAATTAACTTAGAAATCCCCGATTATCCCGGAAACCCCAACGAAAAAATACACCCATGAACTTAGAAATCCCCCATTAACTTGAAAAACCCCAACGAAAGAATACGAAAGATTGAAAACCATTTAGTAAGTGTAATTATTCAGCATTGTAATACACTAAACCCTTACAAAACAGCAGTTGTGAACTTCTTAAAAATGTTATATATAAGCTTTGTTCCCTTCTAGCAGTTTAGAATAAAATTGAGTCGTACAATTTCTGGCGATTTACAATACTTATGCGGTGCTGAGGTATATATGTTCATTGCTTAAATGTTGCTTTAAATTATGTTGAATAGATGATGAAAATAGAAAGGAAACGTTTATCAATATTCTTCATCATTTTTCGTCTTAGTACTTCGACCAGCTCCTGTAAGAAAACAAATTAAAATATGTTTATTCTTTGAGCCGTAACGTTAGTTTCCTGAGAGCTTTTCGGCTGACATATTCCTCACAAGATTATCGCAAAGTTTAATTGCAAGGCGATAAAAAGACGTTGATATTACAGTTCAGGATCAAAGGACAAATTTGCGTTCATCAACTGCTTTTACACAATATAGGAAGAAGGGCGGTTGGATAAGCCAAATACTCTTGATACATCTTGTGAATGACTGAACCTGCGTCTTATGCATCAACTATGATTGTACTTTCATTGAAAATTAAACTTTTTACGTCGAAATATTTCAGCTCAGTTGTTCAAGGAATAGATCATTATTCTGTTTAATATATGTAGCTAATATGTTTTCAACAATTCAACTTATCCACATGCACCGTTTAAGCTAAACGCCTTTCGAGCAACTGGCCCCTGGTTCTTGCTTTCGCTAAACCTACTTGATAGAAAGATGAACGGATCGATTCAAACTTACATAATTCCCATGATGATTGCAATGACAATGATGAGGACGATCCCAACTCCCATCACGCCAAGGAGACCGCCCAAAAGACTTCCAATTTCACTCACATCCTCTTTTGTCGCTAAATCAGCAAAATTAGAGATCTTTCGTGAGTTGAAATATCAGAGGGAAAGACGAGAGAGTTGTAAATAAATTATCACCGCTTCTTGTTAGTGAAAAAAAAACCTTTTAACCTACCTGCTTCACCAGAGACGTAATGCATCACAGCGCCTGGAAATATAAAGATTTTTTCAAAATGTTAATTTTTCATCTCATCAGCGACCGTAAGGAGCAGAGATTTAGTCCAAGTTTTATTGGAGTTTTACTGAAACCTGGAAACTCCTCAACGTACTGATAAGCGAAGTACAAGCCACTGGACAAGTTAACAGTTTTGTTATCAACTATTTTGTCGATAAGATTAGGACTGAAAACATTACCAAAACAAAACCTTGCTTTCACACTACAAACTGATCAGTTTGGCTTTGACCAGGATCCTTTTAAAACTCACAAGAGATGCATAATTTATAACTCACAACTATCCTCGCAGTGAAATATGTTATAAACTTTTTCTCGATTCAACTTACCCAATAGCGCCAAAATAAGGCAGACCTGAACCACCCGGGCATTCATTTTCACTAAAACAGAATATGTACAGAACATGTCAGCATTAAAGAAATGATTCGAAAATCAGAGTTTTCCTCTCAAGGTGAACCTCATTTTGTGCTATTAAACGACGCCCCCGTGAATATTCAATCAGTTGCTTGGAAACTCTTTCAAATATTTTCTCTGTATTGTGTTGAGGACAAAGGAAAGAATTAATCAAGCTGATAAATTGCCTCTATGTAAATCGATATATGTTATATTCAGGTGTGTATGTCGATACTTATAGAGATTTCCGTTCAGTATTGGTCTAGTTTTACTCTGACATAAAGTGTAACTGTCACTCATAGCTGAGCTCTTCCAATACACAGCATCGCTGATGCATCCGGCAACTATTTATCAGACGCATAATCTGAAGATAATAATAGTCAGTCATAAATATTTTGATCGGCATATTTGTGATCATTTCCAATGAGTCTATTTGACGCAACGGAAAGATTTTATTGATGCACAAACTTTTATAATCAGTTTACGTCGTTTTAGGTCAGTTTTAAGCAAACAAACAAACAGTTTTACATAACAATATAAGGAGAACTTTAAACAAAATGCTCATAATTGTGATAACGAAACATTGAATCGTTCCTTCATTACGCCATTACAAAATAAGTTAATTTTCATTATTTAAAACTCGCGTTTTGGTCGCTAGGAATGTAGGTAAAACGACATGCGACAATTGTTGACAAACCAATAGAAATCACAGTCAAAATCTACGCCGTAAAGTCAAGTTCACTATGTTGCCGGTTTGATCACGAAGACTTGTGATACATGATTGATTTGTTGCTCCTAAAAACCTTGATTCCTTTGTAAATCAAACCACAATTTTCTGCCCTTTCAGTAGTGGTGTAACTTATGCTTAAAATTAGGAATTTAAAAAAGTTCCCAACCTTTCCTACCTTGTAAGATATAGACTTTCAAATCTCTGTATTCTCAATTATCACGAAGGCGAAACGTCTCTTTTCTTTTGCCAAAAATGTTTGAATATTTCAGAGACCACCTACCATCATGCAAATGACTTATTACGTCCTCGTTTTGCATCAGCGATCTCGGCAATTTCTGGGATAAATCGTATCATTGAAAACTATGTTTCGTGAAAATATGTTTTCAAAATATACCACTGTCTGATTTCATTCCATAGCGCAGGAAAAGTGGTGAATATATTTTGCATATCAGATTGCAATCGAACTAGAATGGACTCGACCTGTTGTTGGTACAAACAGTTTTTACTTTGGAAATCACTCGGGGTAGAGACAGTACACAATGCCGCTTAATCGTGAGTGTCGTGAACATGTCAAGGTGGGGGATGTGATAGAATATTTCTATGTGTGTGTGTAGTCAACAATGACGGGTTTGAATACAGAAATGAAGACAAACCACACCTGGACTAGTTCTCATCGGTGAAAATGTTCACGGCAGAATGGGAATTACGACAGAATGGGAACCAGGGTTTACTGGCGAGTCTTCACGAAACTTACAACAGAATGAATATTTTTATATTTATTTTTAAATTTGATCTTTTTAATGAAAATTATTCAAAAGTTGTGTCAAAGTTCATCCTGATCGTCTTCGTCATCAGGATTATCATCGTCCCCGTCCACTTCAGCATTTTGTCTCTCCAGTTTCTCTAGTTCTTTAGCGAGATCAGCTTCATCCATATCTGTCACAACCTTGGGCTAAAAGGAACACATGAGATCAGCGCATTAGTACTCCTCTATCCAGCAAGCACCACCACTATCCCGGACTATCAAGACCCCAACCTTTACTTCTGGGTAAAGGTACTTACAGCGTGTTGTAATACGAATGTTCCTTTCTTGCTGACAATAACGTCTTCGATGGCTTTGATCGATGTTTCCAAAGCTTTTAGACCTTCCTCTCTGTCCATGGTGGTCGTTGTTACAACATATGTAGGTGGAGCAATCAGGTTTATCTGCAAAAATTCAGTCAAGTGTTCGTATAAGTGCCAGTATTAGAGAGATATGCGTCTTTAATATGGAGAAATATGCATTAGAAGGGTCTGTATTAGAGAGATGTCTGTATTAGAGAGATGTCTGTATTAGAGAGATGTCTCCATTAGAGAGATGACTGTATTAGAGAGATGTCTGTATTAGAGAGATGTCTGTATTAGAGAGATGTCTGTATTAGAGAGATGTCTGTATTAGAGAGATGTCTGTGTTAGAGAGATGTCTCCATTAGAGAGGTGTCTATATTAGAGAGGTGTCTGTATTAGAGAGATGTCTGTATTAGAGAGATGTCTGTATTAGAGAGATGTCTGTATTAGAGAGATGTCTGTATTAGAGAGATGTCTCCATTAGAGAGGTGTCTATATTAGAGAGGTGTCTGTATTAGAGAGATGTCTGTATTTGAGAGATGTCTGTATTAGAGAGATGTCTGTATTAGAGAGATGTCTGTATTAGAGAGATGTCTGTATTAGAGAGATGTCTGTATTAGAGAGGTGTCTCTACTAGAGAAATCTGTGTCATATGATTAGACCTTTATGGGCATATCTTCATTGTCATTTTCTAAGCCTTTCATCAAGGCTTCCTTCACAGCGTCAATACCCTCGTGAGTAAAACAAGAGACTTGAATATCTGCTCTGCATTTCACTGCTTGAGGCATCAGGCGTTGAGTGATATTAGTTAAAAGAACTTTCTTGGTATCTTCATCAAGATTTAGTTCATCCAGGATACTCTGGTCCCTGCAAGAAACATGAGAACATTAGAACCTTGAAATTCTTCATTCAGAGATGGGAATACAAACTTACGTAACAGCTTTTTTAAATGCTTCAAAGGCTTTGCCAACTCCTTTGAGGTTTGTGTCCAATGCCCATGCTGTTTTTTCATATAAGTCCTCAAGTTGTTCATCTGTTTCGTATTTGAGAATTTCTGCTGTGTGTCGTAGTATGCTATGAACCTTTGCAAGAAAAGTTTAGGGTGAAACACAAGTTTACTGGCCTATTTTTGACGTAGAATATCATTGTGCTATCACTTTGACTTACTGTTTTCGCATTGGAATATTTCGCTTCACATTTCTTCACCTCTTCTGGGGAGACCCTTCGTTTGGAAAGGTCAATATATCCTGTGAAATGGTCAGCAAACTATTACTTCAAACCTACCAGCTACTGATAAACACATCTGCATATGCATTGTTCTAACCCCTTGGGCTAAAGACAGGAGTTTTCTATACTGGGGGTTGATTTTTTTGGAAAATTTTAAATGTGACAAGTCCAAAAAAAAGTCCAAAGATCTTTCGCACAAGGCTGGGTATAGGTCTCAACCTGATGTAGTGACCTGGTCAAGGTGGATTTAAAAATAATAGCCTAAGATTTGCAAGATCTTTCAGGCAAAGTTTATAAGGAATCTACCATAAATCTGAGCATATTAACATTCAGCTTCTAGCCTTCAGATTTATGTGCTCAAATTGAAAATTGCATGGTGTAAATGTTCAACATTTTTGACATATCTTTGGGGTAGAATCTGCATGGGATCTTTGTTTATTTTGATTAATAAAGAATCCTTATTATCATTGAAAGATTGTCAATCCACTTCTATCACCAATGAAAAGCAACCCATAATAACCTTTTTCCTTATCCACACGAATAACAACGACACATTCATTCTTTCCAACTCTGATGAGTTTGTTTATAGATCGGATTCTCCTCCGAGATAACTCGCTAAGCAAAATCATTCCCTCAATATTGTTGTATTCCAGTAAATTTACATAAGCGCCCATTTCGGCAATATTTCTTACATTAACCATAACCACATCGTCCACTTCGGGGTATTTATGTTTATAAAAACGACAAGATAGAGGCATTTTGAAAATATTTTCAGTGAAAAGATTTGAAACAACTTTGAAAATTTTCCATTAAAACATGTGGAGAAGAAGGATGACGCAACATCGCGCGCCTTCTGCGCCGAGGACTGGGCATAGAAAATTTGATTATTCATCAATGTAGACCTTTTAAACAAGATCGGCGCCATTTTGAATCGTGACGCATTGTGGGTCAAGCGCAGGGTTGACTGACATGGTGCAGACCACTGTATGAATTTCAGGTAGGGTGCATTAGAGTAAACACCTTTAAAAACGTCTGAATTCTTGCAAAATAAAACCGCAAAACAAAAAGACTTGTGTTTGGGTCAAAGCGTTACAAATTACATACGGAAAATTTCAAGATGATTCCAGGTATAAAACATAGTCATGAATTGATAGTGTGGTGGTTACTATGCAAACAGTTTTTCAGCTACTTTAGCGCTCACGAACGTGTGTCAGTTGCAATTTCCTTTGTTTTCGAGGATCAAAGCTATTGTGTTGTTGTTAGAGCACTGCCTGCTCTTGGATAAACTCCTTTGGCATTCACAGTCAGAAAGAGATAATGAAGAAGATGGGAGCACTGCCAAATAGGCGCTAAATTCTAAGCATACACAGCCAAGCCCCTCATTAATTAACATTTTTATTACATTTCTGTTCAGTCTTCAGATAACAAGTTTACGTTTGTTTATCACCAGGAAAAATGCAGCAATATATCGCCACAACTTAGCGTATTGTGATATTCCGATCAAACAAAATGTGAATCACTGGCTGTTTCGATGCATTTTTCTTGCTATTAATATTTAATCATAAAGCAAGATAATGACCTCTTCAGTGTAGAATATTATCCCCAGTGGTACGGCCAATATGTCAGATAAGCCAATCAAATTCAAGGCCGGCGTTCTGGGTCGTACCTCTCGCGCACAGCCGTCTCAAGGTCAGGCCTTCAAGATTCATGGACGAACGGACTCTGTATTTTGTAAACCGTTGTTTCTCGCGAGCTTTTGACCAATTTCTGGAGCAGTACGTTCAATCCTGAAGCGGCTGGAAACCTAATTTTGTAAGTATCAATAATATATCTCAGCTTGCACAAAAATTAGCTTAAATTCAGGACGAATGGGACGAGAATATTTCGTACGGTGTTGTGTGATGAGGACAAAGGGCAGTAAGGACGCTGTGGTCTCAATATGTCAGGCCGTCTTATAGCTTTTAACTAAACTAAATATCGATTTAAAGTGTTATTAGTTTAAGATATTGTTTGGAGGGTATTCCAGTTGCTTGTACAGGCTTTCAACGCGGACTTTCGTACGTCGCACAGACGAAAACAAAGTGAAAATATTATAATGTTGACATGTTCAAAATATCGCTGAACCGAAGCGCGATATATGGACATGAATATTATGCCACAGCTGTTTCCAAATCCAGCTTTCGACCAAATGTGTAAATACAATAATACAATGCAAAGTTATTGAACATAGGTTCAATAGTTTTCAAAGATTTTCACGGTTTGCGCTTGAAGAGAATGTATATTTTCTCTGTTTGTCGAAAGTAAAGCTGACGGGCTGATGTCTAGCAGTTGCAGTGGATATCGTCTATGGAATATCATATGAGGCCCTGTTATTCCTGGTATATCTGAGAAGCAATGCTCGGAAATACAGAATATTTCAACGTTCTTTCAGGCATCTATCGTCGATCATATGCCGTCAGAGTAGGCTATAAACGGCTCGTAACTTTATGGCCTATGACAATATTTGTGAATATATTTATAAATGCATTTGAAAACTATTTGAGAGGCGACAGTCAGACTGCGTTTGGGCCCCTTTTTTTCATACGCGGAACAAGTTGAATTCGAAAGCACACAATATATATTACGATTTCGCTTTTTACGTTCAGAAGAAGTCGCTTGTGAAAACAAGACGTATTTGAGCAGAACTAAGCCAGGCGCCCTGTCCAAATGTACCAATTCCCGTGAGTGACAAACGTCTGACCACAAACGACCCGAACTTCGTCTGGTATTTGGTCTGTAGACTATGCGTCCGAGTTTATGTAACAATTTGTAATATCTTCACAAAAAGTGCCAGTTTTTAGGGAACTGCTTTTAAAAATAGCGCAGTGTTCTTTTTCTGATATTTTCACGAGCAAATTTTTGGCATTTCGTGTGGAGTATTAGTAATGCTAATTCTGTCAAAGCATAATATCGTTGATGAAATCATATTTTACAAAGCGTGAATATTTAGCAACAAATTATGCCCGAGATACTGATGCCGTGTGTAAGGCTATCATAGCTTGGAATCTGATAGTTTGTCGATGTTAAACGACGTTTTAGGAATATTTCTTGTAGGTTTATATTCCATGCGACGAAGCTTAATCGTTGATATTGCAATGCAATGCCTTTGCTAAGTCCAATATCACGATATGCTAATCTCTGAGAGGTTTCATTCATACTTAAAGTTCCTAACATCAATTCACGTTGATTGATATTGTACTTTTCATTTTCACATAAACAGTATCTTCCAAGAGATCTGAAAATTGACTTCTTCAACGACTACTGTTCCCAGAATGACAACAGTAGATATAAACGCGTTTGACGCGTGTGTTCTAAATCTTCATTCTTTTCTTCCGAGGTCAATGACGGGGGGATGCATATTTTGATATTATGTAGTTTTACGGGGGGGGATGCTTAGTACTTGTGGAGACAGCTCACAGGGAGATTGACCATCATAATATCATGATGTTTTTTCCAGGAGGGGGCATGCTCACCTTTTTTTTTGGGGGGGGTGATATAATTTAAAGGGGCTGCCATTGTTGAATTTATTGAGCTCTTACCCCCAAGGGCAAGCTGCCCATAGGTTTGTGCCTGACAGGTTAGTGTCCAGTTGTAGTATGTAACTTTTTATTTCAGGAAAAGAAGAGATGTTGTTCGTTAATGCATAACAAACATGGCCGATCAGATCTACTCCATGTGCTGGCCCCCGCCAGGGGGGTCATCACAATATCAAAGTGATTCTGAACAGCATCCTCTGCCTCATCCTAGGACATCCATTGCTCCAGGTATATTCCATTTTGCCTTCACTCTGATGCATTGAGATTTCACAAAAGAGATCTTACAAAACCACAAAATCACATTCAATTGTTCTCACTCAGGCAATGCACTTGAATCAAACAGTCATGAAATTGTTCCCATGTCAACAGACTCACACCCCAGTACATCACAAGAGAGCAATATGAAACGACCAGGTATTGTTGAGCAGGTTGAATATGCATTCACAAGTAGAGAATAGTGGGTTAATTTATCATTCCACCCACTTGCAGGCTACTGTGTGAACGGAAAGCCTATATCTCTGAGTCATCTGGAGCAACATGGTCTGGAAGTGGAGGTACCATCGGGCATGGTACTTGCTGGTGCAAAATCACCAATACTTGGTAAAATAATCCTGGTAACAGCTGTGAACAAGAGATTTCTACCATGTGATACAACCACTCCTACGGTTCTTGGGTTCTCCGGGTGTTGTGTTGGTTGTGGGGACGTTCACTTTCGTTATTTCACCGAGTTTGCGACACACATCAACCTCCTTCTAGCGACACAGCCCAAGAAACAAAAGCATTTGAAGTTCTATATTGTCCAAGATAATTTGGGTCGCCTGTGTCGAGGTCCGCGCATCCTTTGGAGAGGAGTTTGTACGTAACTTTGGTGTTTTAAATCGTGAAAATTAACATTGTTTTTGTCTGAATTCATTCTTCAGTTCCTGCTGTCTGCGGAGTTAATGAGAGTTGATCATTGAGATTTTGCAGAGCGTTTCATTAATTATCTTTCCTCTGGCAAACGAAAACAAGAGTTGCATAAGAGTTGACTGGATATTACCACACGTAACAGTCAAACGAAGGAAAACTCTCATCAACTCTCATGACCTGGTCAAACGAGAACAAGAGTTGCATGAGAGTTGACTGGATATTACCACATGCACGTAACAGTCAAACGAGGGAAAACTCTCGTCAACTCTCATGATCATGACTATATGGCAGGTCGCGCCATCTGTATTTTATTTATCCTACAACATTATGTCTTGTTATAGCAGATACTCCTCGAAAAAGAACATTTCCCTACCCCCCGGGCTTCCAATCAGTCATGGAGAATATCACGTCATCACACAAGATCACTGACGTCAGCTCTACGACATACCCTACCATGATTGGTGGAAGTCACGCCATGAGAGAAGGAAGATCCTCAACCAGTTCACAGTCTTCCTGTGAGAGCAGCTCATCTTTTGATCCATCTTCCACACCCCCCGTCTTCAAACGAAGCCGAGACGATTTGGACGGGAAAAACGGTAAAGAAACCTTGAATTGTGATTATTGTTAATTTTTGGCTTCGTACAACTTAAAACTTACTTCATAACAACTTCATAAAATATGCAACAAAATACAAGAAGCTTGCTACAAGTTTCGTTAGCAAGTTGTAAGGTATGTAGTTGAAATGCGGCCCTAAACTTTACTCTTGTCTTTCAGAAGACATGTTTCCTCCTCACGCCTGGCTTGAGACGGTGTGTGGTGTTAGGCCAGTGTTGATTCTTGGTTATCCTAACACACCACCACATTTCATCAGCTCGTATAAAGAAATTATACTCTCTGATATGCTGTTGGATTGCTTCGAGTTTTTGAAAAGACCAGTATCAACAAGTAAGATACGATGAAGAAGTTAAAGTAGAAATCATATTTAGCGTTCAATTCGAGGCTAAAAGAAAATATCTGGACGCAATTATCCTCGTGCAAGACTCTAACTTTTATGTGTGAAAACAGTTAGTTAACGTTCAACCAAGAGTTATATGTTTTCTTTGGGTAAACAGGATTTTTCTCACTCAAAGAGAGTTACGTTTTATAGATAACTCCTGAACTAACCCTTCAATTGTAGCTTGGGTCCCTGCTCCTTCGTAATTCAAGTTAGCTCTAGTTAATGTCTCGAAAACTTTACCTAAACAAGTTCACACAGTATATACAGATTTTCTTACAATATTTTCATCGTCTAGATCGCAACCAATCAAGACCATTTCAATCACCAGCGCATCCAAGCCATCAAACACGTGGAACCTTCAATCACCCGGCTGACATCAGAACTGCAGGTTCACCATCCAGCGGTTTTACTCTTCCCCAGCTCTCCGCGAATGTCGTCATCATACTGGTTGCGCAATACCTTTCAACTTTGCCAGAGAACGCGACGATTTGTAAAAACGAAATACATCATCTCATTCAGAATAGCAAGGAACTGTTCTGGCAAACACACCAAGAAAACTCCACCATTCAACCTTTCTTTCTTACCATAGGTAAATAAAAGCAAACTTTTTTCTTTTTTAATATTGTATTTTTATTTATTTTTGTACTATTCGTGACATACCTTATCATATTATGACTTATAATTTAAGGCCCGTTTACGGTTCACACCTGCATTTTTGGAAGTGAGTTTCAGTGCGATTTTCTTCTTTTGAACAATGTGAACAAGTGGAGAGTTACGAATATTGTGATGTACAAGTTCCCTTACTTTCAAATTTCTAACTTATCCGCTCGTTCACATCCATCAAAAGGTGGGAATTGCGAGTAAAATTGAAAATAAATTCGTTACTGTAAATGGACATCTACGATACCATACTGTACTAGACTTACTTAGTTGACTATGATTATAATCTTTTCACAGATTCGACAAATCTGGTCCACTTCACAAGCGTCGCGACGTTGCCATCAAAAGGCTCCGTAAAATTGGTCTCATCTGTGCTGTCTCTGAATGACGCCATCAGCAAAGGCCTGGGTTTTTTGTATCAAATATCCAAACACAATCAACACAGGGAGACCAAGCTGCAAGTGCCACATTATTTATTACTTGTCTCAAGTCCTCCCGCTCAAAGCCCGGAGTTTTGTATACTTGTCACTGGTAAGTGCGGAAGAAAAATTAAAAAAAGAGATGTCTGAATTAGAGAGATGTCTGAATTAGAGAGATGTCTGTATTAGAGAGATGTCTGTATTAGAGAGATGTCTGTATTAGAGAGATGTCTGTAATAGAGAGATGTCTGTATTAGAGAGGTGTCTGTATTAGAGAGATGTCTGTAATAGAGAGATGTCTGTATTAGAGAGATGTCTGTATTAGAGAGATGTCTGTATTAGAGAGATGTCTGTATTAGAGAGATGTCAGTACTACAAAGATGTCTGTATTAGAGAGATGTCTGTATTAGAGAGATGTCTGTACTACAAAGATGTCTGTATTAGAGAGATGTCAGTACTACAAAGATGTCTGTATTAGAGAGATGTCTGTATTAGAGAGATGTCTGTATTAGAGAGATGTCAGTACTACAAAGATGTCTGCATTAGAGAGATGTCTGTATTAGAGAGATGTCTGTATTAGAGAGATTTAACCATTTGCTCCTATCTCCAGGTGTAAATCAATCAAAATTTATCCAAGAAAGACTGATCAATGAACAGTCTAGTTTACTTACATCAGTTCAGCTAGAGGAGTGCGTGAGTTCCCTGGACCGAGCGTATCAAATGGTGAACGCCGCAATTGACAATCTCATGAAACAAGTTGAGCAATCCGTCGCCAAAACAAAGCTCGTATTTCTACCTTTTAATGGCAGCTCGATCCTAAAAGCCACTGAGAAAGAAGCCGCGTGTATGGTTCCAAAAATGAGTCTGGGGTATAGTTACCAGGACTCAGAATATGCCCTCCACGCGCCACAAGTGGCGTCAGCGCATCATTTGCTCTCCTGTGTCTTAACGTCAAAAGACGGGGCACCGTCGTACGATTTACGTCACTTCTCATCGGTCGAGTTCACGATTGTTATTCCTCCATCACAGACTTACTTTCATCAAATCTTACATCAAGTAGAAAGGTCCAATGTTCTCGTCGAATTAGGCCTCAGTCCTCCAACGCAATCAAAAAACGCGGGATTTTCACCGGAACACGTCATTCAGTAAGTTACAGTTGTTTTAGATGAGTGGTTCTGTGTTTTAGTTTCAGGCATTCGTATTGGCAAGCGAAGAGTTCACGATCAAAACTTCATGAATGGCTCAATATTATTAATATACTCCTCTGTTCTTCAGGAACGATGGCTCAGAAGAGACGAAGCAACGAATGAAGCATTTTCTCACGAGTGCAAAATCCTGTCAGGATGTTTTGTTTGTGCTGGTGTGCGACGAAGCTCACAGATATTTCACACCTGAAGTTGCTACTAGTTTGCCATCATTTCAGGAGCTTTCTCGTCTACCAAACACTCTTATCATACTCGTCACACCGGTTCCATACATGTTTGAAACCTGTCAGTCAAGAATTAGACCCGACAATGAGGTGTTTTGGAGCGATCCTGGACACTTTGTAGGTAAGTTACTTTGGTAAAGCAGTCCAGTTAGTTTAGCCTGCAGTAACCCTGGATCGATGAGAGATGATCTTTGCAGCTTAGGACAGATAGAACTGTCCAGTAGTATAAGTAAATAACCTCCTAACTATTGGGTTAATAAAAGATGATTACATTCATTTCTATCGAATATTCAACCTAGGTCCGGTGTCAATGTCAGATCAGAAGTTATTAAAGAATGAGGATAATCTGGTTCATTTTGGGATGCCTGAGTACATCGAGACCTTGTGTTGGACGCATCAGATACCATTGATTCGTGAGGATGATGAGTTTGAGTGTATGGTTTTGCGTGCGAATGTCCTGTCAACTGTTCCGTCTAATATCGTGCGTTGTTATGTATTGATTCATCATTATACTACGGCGATCATGTGGTCAGCGGGCATGCGATCCATTGAGCCTCACTGTACGTTCAAGACGCTGCAGGTCGTCAGAGATATCATTGAATGTCCCTTGTTTAGTACTTCTGGTCGGGGACCTATGTTGATAATACGGATTCCGAATCACGTGCTTTCCTCGTGGGCTTACAGGAAGTTAAAGGATACAAGAGACAGGTAGGGATCCGTTTTAATATCGCGGGATGAACGACCGTTTTGTGACAAGATTTCTATGGTTTTGTTTCGTAGGGTTGGTTTTCAATATCGTTTCGCGATAATCTTTGATGATGGCGAGTCTGATTTGGAAATAGAAGAACATTTTCTTAAAAGATTGCGCGTCTGGAGAAATAGCAGAGGTGAGAACGGCTTGTTCGTGATTGTTAGACCTTTCTTCCTAGAGGTCCAGTAAGGATCGTATCTTAGAGATCATAATTCATCAAGAGAAACCTAAACTAACTTGGACGTCATTCGTGCAGACGAACTTTGTCAGTTGCTTGCATTTGTTCATTCAATAGGCGGGAGCAATACGACCAATTCCGATTGGCATCCGACGTGTTTCGAAGATTTACTTGACCTTCCGTCCATTGTTGTGGTCAGCGGTAAAGAGAGGAATGGGGACACGTACCCAAGGTATGATCTTGTCAACTACGAAGACTCTACCAGCGTACAAACTAAACAACCACAGCAATGCTTTGATCTAAATATGTTTGTAATTTTTCATCTTTACGTAGATCATTGAAGTACTGTGACTTTCGGTTGTTGGACGAGCATTGTTCGTATCGATCCAGTCTGGAACTTGAGTTTAACGCCGTCTCGCGGTATATCAATAGTGGCCTCGGTACTAGTTCCCACTCCGCTGTGAAAAGTGGGCATTCTGCTGACCATGGCGAGCAAGTGCGCGATGTTTCCGACACGGAGGGTGATAGCCGAAACCAGTTTTGTTCCAGTTATCCATTACCAGTTTTACTGGTTTCTCGAGCAGCTTACAGGTACAAACAGATTAATACATACACCTTACTTAGTTGGTTGTACTTGTCAGTGGTTGTGTAGTGTTTTACTGAAACTTTATGGTTCAACATCGACCTTCTTTTTAGCACCCTTAAAAAGGATTTCTTTGGCTGTCCTAAAAACCTAAGTCTTGGACCAGACCCGGCCACTGCGTGGAACAACAATCAAAGACCAGCTTTGGTCAGTGGTCTTCCTTCAGAGCAATCCAAATATTATCGTCGCTGGACAAAACCCAGAGGTAACACAAGATGATGACACACTGGAACCATTGTTGACAGTTGATCGGATCAGAATTGATGATGAGTGTTGATGAGAGTGGGTAGGAGGTGCTGAGGGTGGATGGGAGTTGATCAAGGTTAATGAGTTGATGATAGGGGATAGGAGTTGATGTGGGTTGTTGGAGTTAAACAGGTTTGATGAAATTCAACGACAGTTGAAGAGGGTTGATGGCAGTTGATAAGATTTGATGACAGTTGACGGGAGTTGATAAGGGTTGATAAGAGTGGACGAATGTTGAAGATGTAAACATAATACTGAAGGTTGTATTGAATCTTTGTCTCATCCCTGTTGTAGAAAATTTTTCTCGCATGGGAAAGGACAAAACTTTTCTGGATACAAGTCCTATGAAATTTTATCCGGCGTGCTTTTTATTCAGCGGTCCTCCTCAGGTAAGCAGCATTCGTACTTCATTTAGACAATAGCCCCGTGGCATATGTGTTTAATAATAAGTATTTATCTGCATAGGTAGGAAAGATGTCTGCGGTACTTCATTTTATTCAATTATTACACAACACGCTTCAGAAGCTGCAGCGGGTAGATGTTTACAATGAAGTCCCAGAGTGCCTGGCAGCGTCAGAAGAAATCCCTGGGTCAGAAATGGACCAACCAAGTTACAAAATATTGTCGAAAATCCCCTTCAACTCGACCCTTGTTGGTGCCAGGTTTTCGTCTGTCAGTGCTATTCATCGTAACGCCAAAAAAACAAAGCCAATTGAAGGAAAATTGTCAAATGGTGACGTCAGCGGTGGAAAACGTGGCGCCAGCAATAACCTCACAAATAATGACGTCAGTGGACATGACGTCATGGCTAAGGATTTACCAACGTCATCAGTAATGATGTCATCATTTGCCGCGTACGATTCGTATCACCACTGTGACGATTGCAAGAATTACCGCGAAGGTCTGGGCTCTAGTTTGTTTACGAAACACGTGTTCACACTAGGGACTGGTGAACAGCTCACGTTCGTAGTTCCGAGCACGCGCCGAGAGTGGTTTGTTTTTAACGACAAGAACGAACTGCAGACCTTGAAACTTCCGATTGTGACACGAAAGTCAAGCTCTGAGCGATGGGATATTGTCAGTCGTCACTCAGAGCATGCGCTAAAATCTCCCATCTTTATGGCATCACTCGGGCGGGCAGAGCAAGGTACGGCCTCATTTTCATGTAATATGATGAATTCCTAGAACTGGTTGAAAAATTGTTTACTTATAAAAACTGAACTTCCGTATCAGTTTTAAACCATTTCCCAGCAAAGAACAACTTCTTGTTTTTTCAACAGGTTTGCTGAACCTTTACCACGCTATGGAGGGTCGTGATGGTGTTCACGTTACTTTTGTGAAACACAGTGAAATGCCGTTATACCAAAAGGCATGGTCGAATCACGTGATCGTTGCCTTGCCACCGAGTTGTAACTACGAAGGCCTGGGAATGATCAAAGATATAATCAAGGTCAGTTACTTCTTCATGCGCTGTTTTCTTGTACAAAGTATGTGACAGTATTTCTCTCTAGGAATTTGCAACTCAAAACCTGATAAATGAACGTCAACGGCAACAAATTGGAAACACCTCGGCTAGTATATTGTGGCCGCTTGTTCACATCATGGATGATTCTTGCGTCATGTGGCAAAATTTGAGCGTTGATGACTTGAGCAAGTAAGTTCTAATTGAATAAAGACGTTTTCGAATTGGAGAGTGTCTGTATTAGAGAGATGTCTAGATCTGTATTAGAGAGATGTCTAGATCTTTATTAGAGAGAGGTCTGTATTAGAGAGATGTCTAGATCTGTATTAGAGAGATGTCTAGATCCGTATTAGAGAGATGCCTGTATTAGAGAGATGTCTAGATCTGTATTAGAGAGAGGTCTGTATTTGAGAGGTGCCTGTATTGGGTAGGTCTTATATTTGTATTGGAGAGATGTCTGTAGGATTCGTGTGCCCATCGAGGGTATTTTCATTTGAAATACTTTCAAAATTTAAACCGTTCTAGTTTCGAGGAGGATGATGTTGGCAAGCCAAGAGACTGGTCACTGTTCCGAGCAATGCAAGTTGTAGAATTTTCTCCAAATATCACGTCATTTTCCATCATCGGGTTCAACCAATGGGGAACTGGAATTGAGACGAAATATAAGCTAAACTCGTACTCAGTCTGCCACGTTTACTCGTCGCTCTTTCTAAATATTAACACCACGCATCATGTGACTTATAATAGACGGTTGTTTTCATGGGAGCAAGTGGACTTCAATTTGAAACTAAGCGCCCACGGTGGTATTATTCTGCGGTATAACCACATGAACGTCCTGACGAAATGTATCCCGGCCGGGGGTGGTCGCCGTTACGATGTTTCACCTCATATTGACGACATTGTTTCCGTTCCTGATCGGGACCCAGGCCACTTGATTCCAATCCCTGCTCATTACCTTCTAGAGGAATATTTAAGACTCAAATCGACTCAGAAGGTTTTCCCGACAGCCAATCAGAACGTGCCAAACCCTGTTTTACTACTTGACTGTTTCATTGACTTGGGCCCAGGGCTTACCGTGGATTATCGTACTTCGTCCTGCTCCGACCGTGAGGAGCCTGGTTCCAATCGATATGGTGGACTTTTGCTGTATCTTTGTAACGGATGTCACGTGACCAAAGAACGTCTGCGCAGCTTTCAATTTTGTCCTGGGGCGAAGATATGCGTGATCAGCTCAGATCGTAGTTCGTTGAGGGATAACGTGGTGAAACTAGACCTTGAGGAACATTGGAGGTTTAGATTAAGAGATGAATTCAAAACAGCGGGGAGTTTGGGGGATGGAGCTTTATATTTCTTAACTGGCACTTATGATGGTTGAAATATTTAGCCACTTGATTCAAAATGGGAAAAAATTAGTCACCCTCGGATATAAACCCAAATGACGGCTAGTTATGACTAGAAGATTAGAAATGCACTGAGAACGAATTGAGGACAAATTTCGAGGAAAAAAATCGAAATTTCCGACGAAATATTTAACTGGTATTCATACCTTAACCCAACTGAAATGAGATCAAGTTTTGTGCTTATGTCATTCGTACGTTTTGTTTGTATATCCCTGATGCAATTGTTGTCCAGAAAATTCCAGCAATGCTTTAAGCACGCCTTTGTTTTCATTAGAAAAATATTTAAAAGATTTGTAAATCTTAAATGATATTGTGCGCCGAATTAGAACTGTGTTTCACAACTCATATTCTTGGAACATGAACAATTTTCATTGAAGCATTATAAGTATTTACTGAGACACACAAGAGACATTTCATATTTTCATAGCTCTAATAAAACTAGGGAAAGCACAGCAGAAATCTGACCATTTTTAAACGGAGTTTGTTGCTCTAAGTTGAGAGAAATACAATATCATATTGAACACAATATCAAGAAATATTCTTATCCTCTTCAACAGGAAAACACCAGTATTTGAACAGGTTATAACTTGCAACATTATCCGCCTTAGTGCATATTGTGCGATTCATAATTTCGTTAAAACCACATTTTTTTAAATAAAATTAACCGAAATTGTCTGCAAACATTTTTTTTGTGAATGCGTTTCGTTGGACGAGTTTGTTGAGAGACTGCAATATTAAATTAAACTAACATGTGAATTGAACAGGTGTCCAAGTAGGAGTTTGTTGCCATAGAGCTGGAACGAGGCTGTAAAATTGTCTAGTGTTGATCAGATGGCTAAATTTTAAGCAGAAATTTGTATTTAATGTGTGATCTATTCAAAGATTGCCGAAAATTACGTTAGGAAACGTGAAAGAAAAGCGAAAAACAGTTGGAAATTTGGTCGTTTAAAGTTGAATGGGGTCAGACGTTCAATAATGCATTATTTATCACGAGTGGCGAGGAAATAATTCCTATTTCAAAACTTTAATCTTTGTGTGTTAGCTTTTCTCCTTCGATAAAAAAGCCGCAAAGAAAATAATCAACACCGACTGTCCATATCTGTTAAAATCTTTCCTGGGTTGGGCGCTTCATCGTCACCGTGTAGGAATAGTTCGCGGTAAAACCACAAAATGTTCTGTTCGGAATATCAAGTGTGATTGTATGGAGTATTCGTTAAAATATCGACAAAAATATGTTTAATTGAAGTGCTATTATGATGTGACATGGGTGATGAATCAAGTAACGCATTGGAAACAAGTAAAAAAATTAATGCGGAATTTGATAACAGAATCACATATGAAATAGACGAGGATTCTTCGCCAGTTTGCGAGCAGTTTGAGCACTTGAATGAAACGAATTCGCAAGAGTATTTTTGCTCTATGGCTTCTCAAATGCCTCACGATGAATCAACCGTTTATCAAAGCAATTTATTTAGTTACGAGGACTCGGAGTATTATCATAACTATCATTTTGGCCTCATACGAGGCTACCACAGAGAAATGAATGAAGAAAAACCAAAAGAGAATTGGTTTTTATGTTGTCACCCACTTGACAGGGAAACTGTCAGCAGAATCAAGCGAAGAAATCGCGTGTTATCATGTCAAGTAATGGGAGTCCTCTTTGGAGCGCTTTTTGTGTTCATTGGAATCTCATCTCTCGTTGTGTCATTTGTTGTTTCATCAGATGAAACGAAAGAATATTTTTGGCAATCTTTGGATGTTCCTACAATGTATATCCATATTATAGCTATCATGGGCTTAACTGTACTGACAATAGGCAGTGCTTTGATTTCATTTTGTTTGCTAGTTCCTGTTTGTATCGGGCGGGTACATGCACAAAATACTCCGGGATTTTGGTGTACGACAGGGGATCTTTACGTCAAGAATGTCGAGCAAATGACTCCAAATCAATTTCTATATTTTGATGCGGCGCTTTGTGGGAATTTCGTTGGCAAAGCCAAAGTGAAAAAAATTCAACCCGAACTTACAAATTTACAGAAATGAGAAGTTACGATTCCACGCTTCGTCTATAGACGAGGCCGAATACCTTGGCTGTAACTAGAAGTAAGATTTTAAAATCTTGCAATTTAAAATACCTCTATGAAGCCTTGCAATATCTGTTTGAACGAAATGTTTCTATTATTTAGCAGGTTTCTAGATTGTAAAATGAACTACCAGAATATGCTTCTCTGTCAATAAAATTTAAACGCTTCAGACTATCTTTCTTAATGAAATTTCTTGTGAATTACACTATATCAATATTATGTAAAATATCTAATTTAAAAATTATATTCTAGGCTTAAAATTCGTGCTGTTCTTTCAGCCGATGTCTTTTCGCGCCATTTTTTCTGTCTAATTTTGTTTTTTTCACCAAATTTGGCACAGTAGAATTTCGATTATTTGCGAACTAACCAATCAAAGCTGGTGGAACTTTATGTTGGTTGGAAACACGGGCAGAGTTGCGGGTTATATACTATAATTTTGCAATTTTCAGCCGACTGGTAGCGTGGCCGAGCGGTCTAAGGCGCTGGTTTAAGGCACCAGTCTCGTAAGAGGCGTGGGTTCGAATCCCACCGCTGCCATATTTTTACCTTTTTCTTTTCCACCAAATATTCTTGAATAAATAGCTCAGCTATCTTTTTGAACCTTTTTATACACTTTTGTGATTACAACTTAATGTTTTAAAATTTCTAGCGATTAGTAACTAACAAACTAACACGATTTGTCAAATTCCGCGTGGCTTTAGACTGGGACTAAATTGCCTGCGTGTAGGCTAATGATTGCTGATGATCTATCAATTCCTTCCTCAAAGGAATGTATTCATAGTGGGTTACATAAATGGAATTTTGTGGAGCCAATTTTGGCTTTGATGAATGTTAATGATGAGTGTCGGTGGTTAACGAGCCATAATGCTGAAGCACGCCGCGCGTATTCAAAATAACATTAGCGTGGATCAGATCGGCCTGAGCGAAATTGCACTGGTGTGTGAACGGAATTCTCGGTTTCTCTGAAATATAAACTTCGAGAATTGAGATTTGTTACCTTGGCAGAATAGTTACATATTGGTTAACATCACTGAGCTAGTCAACATGATTTAATTTCATCTTTCCGAGACTTCGAGGAGCGTAGCAGATCTCATGACCAGCTCTAGAAACCAGAGCCAAATATATTTCTCATATATTATAATTATTATAATTATGTCCACTCTGGAGAATACACGTTTCATCGATATTTGTGCATAAATAATAATTTAATTTATTTATAAGTCTTTGTTAAAAATATGATGTTTAATTATCTTCTTCTTCCTCTTCATCGATGGATGTTTTAAATTTCTGTTTCTTAATAAGATTGGTCCGGTCCTTTTTATTCCCGCCTTTTTTCTTGGGCTGTACTTTGTGAACTAGTGCATATACGGGAACTTTCTCGAGCTGTTTTGCTGCTACTTCACTTTCGCTTTTCTCCGGGTATAGAAAACTCTCGGGGTCTTTTACCCTGGGTTTCCTAGTGCCAGACTTCCTTCGTGGATAGCAAATCAATATTTGTACTGAGGCTAACATAACAGCCCCTAACATCATCAACACGCTTCCAATCAAAACTACAGCATCTAACATTGAATTGTATTGGACCGCATCCCCGACCGGCTCTTCTTCTCCATCATTATGAACCCGGTAGTTGATTTCTCGCCTCTTCACCAGACCCCCAACCAAAGCGAGTACAAGCCCGGCCAAAATCATTAAACCGGAAAGAGAGCGTACAAAACATAAGCGGCCATCTGCCTTGTGTGGTATAAGATGACTATCTTCGACCGCCGAGTCTTCTTCGCTTGTCGGGTCGTCTTTAAATAAGTGCTGATGCAGATAACGTACGCCAAATTTCTGCCTCGAAGATATACGCTTTAATCTTTTATGTCTTTTAAATTGCGGCATTTTCTTTGGGGTTTTTCTATGACTGACTCACGTCAACTTCTCTGGCTTTGTGATCCCAACCAATCGAGATTCCTTCTGCTATTTCACGAAAAGCCACTTTTTCTCTTTCCCGGGTGGATTCATCATTACTTCAGTTCCAAAAATGATGTCCGTCTGTGAATATAGCTTTATTTGGAACAGAGCTAAGATGTTTGGGTGCTTATCGAGCGGAGTTTTTGGCAGAATGTCGACTGTTTTGTCGATTGTGCGCTAGCAAGCCCACGCGGACATCAGACTTAAACTAAGCGTCCCGCTCGCCAAAACAATGTGGCGCTCGTTTCTGTTTGAATTACTAATAAGTTCTATTTCATTTGACGTATATCAGTTTCTTCTAATCACTTTATCATGTCATGACCCATCCGGCTTGAGGCGCCAAACATTACTGAACAAAGATAAAACTAAAACGATGAACGAAACGCGTTGTGATTGGCTGCACGCCTTATTTCCTGCGCTCTGATTGGTCGCAGCAAGTTGACAAAAGTGACAGATGTTCATGACTGTTTGTTTCCTGCGCAGCAGACGTGGAAAAGATTATTTATGGCCTATTGAAATGCTTTCTATATTTGATGATATAAATATAGTGTATGCTTTATTGTGATGAGAATTTCGAAATATACGACGTTCACGGTTTGTCCTTTTAGTTTCTCTGGAAAGTTTGGCAGAAATTTAAATATGTTTTCCATATAGATTGGTTGGGGATAACTCAAATATTCTTGCCACATCAGCTTGAAATTAAAAGGACAAAAATATAAACATGATTTACACAAGCGACCAGACCAGACAATGTGTCCACTTTTTTTGACTTCCAAATATGACAGTAAAAATATAGCTTTTATCTTATTTTATGAAATATAGATCGTTTTTAACGATCGTTTGTGCAATTTAAATGTGTTTTTTTATCTTACTATGATGCTTCTATCTAAAACAGTTTAGTATAGCACTGACCTAATAGTTTAGTATTGTTTCCGTTGAACAAACTCAAAAGTCGAAACTGAAGTAGTTGATTTTCATAAGATTCATGTCGTCTTGAATGTCAGCCATTCTCATGAATTATGAGAATGAATATATTACAAACACACAATTTCAGGTGAAAATTATAGTGGCATGGATTAATCAAGAAACCAGACTATTTTTTCTGAAATCGTATTGACTGATAAGTTACAGTACGACTGAACATTTGCCTATAGGAAGTTAAAAGAGTCTTTGAGTATTGGAAAGGTTTTTATTTTAAATTAGTTTGTCGCCCCAGGTGTCGTGGTCCGTACTACTTTCTTGAAAGCTGAAATGAAGATTTCTAAAACGAATAGAATTTTTCGGAAATTATCCATGGAATGAGACCTGACTTCAATCATGATTGCTGAGAAACCAGAGAGGCACGTATTTGGCCGCGGTATTGTTGTGAATATGGAAACCAAAGATCATTTCTTAACACTGAAATTGATCTAAATTTGATCAGATAACAATGATTGCGTTATTGCAATCAAACTGTGGTTAAAATTGCCTTCCAAGTTTCGCTCACCGAGATTTTGTCAAAACTTTATTTTCGGTTATCAAAATAAACATTGCGGACGTAGATATCATATCAAAAATCTTGCCATCGCTGAAACACACTCAGTTCAGTTATACAAGAAAGATAACCACGGCCACTGGAGCGTTGGCATATTTATATAATTTGGATTTGGTTCGTTTCGATAACCCCAAAGGGATTTGGGGCAAACCTCTTTTTTTGATAGTTGAGGATTTTAATTAGTATTACATCTAGTATAATAATAAGGCGCCAGGATGATGGACAGCTCATCAAGACTGAGGTTTGCGATTCCCCTCGCAGAAGAGAAACCTGGGTGGAATGAATTGATCTTGGATCGTATTTTAAAATTTTTCCCATGTTACCAACGTTGAATCGTTGCTTTCTGTTTCAACTCGTATTTCAGTCTTTCTTCCAATTTATTTTATCGAGATATGAGAAAATAATGTGAGAGTAATGTGAGAAAATAATGTGCAGTAATAGAGAGTCGACTACTCGACTTGAATTGTCTCGAATTGTATGAATGTATTGCTTCTGAGAATACTTGCTCGTTCCCTCGAAGGAATTGTCCTCAGGCAACCGTTTCCAGAGTCTCTTGTGGAGTAAATGTTTAATAAGGAGATGGCTGATCCTATCTGCCATTCAAAAGGGTTCATAGAGGTTAGTGTTAATATTCTAGCTTTATTATTGCTTTATCCTTTATGTTTGAATTTTGTCAGAATATAAAGTTAAAAAACGTAAAACTCGATGTATTCTAGGACTTCTAGGGTAAAGATAGGTGATGAGTCCAGTTTTTTTCACAGCTCAGCGTCAGTATAGTATTTCATGTGGTTGTCATGGTAACTGAGGCAATATGGCGGCTGATAGTGTATTACTTCAAAGCAATCGAGGCAGATTTGTCGGTGGAAATTCACTTGGCCATCTACATAGAGGTAAATTTCGTATTTCAAATTATAGTTTAATACCATTTCCATCAAATACCGCTAAATTTTTAAAGTATCACCCTTGTAAAAAAGTCAGATTTCTGTCGTGAAATTTGGGCGTCTGATCATTGATTTCGATGGTCTAACTTTTGTATTTCAAAAGGACATGGCACTGTGGCGGCTTCGTCTTCGATTCCAAGTAAATATCAAACATTTGTTGTGGATAACTCGGAAAAGAAAGGCTTTTTGTCCAGAGCTAAGAGATTTCAAGATCTAGGATACGTTGTAAGAGACATTTTTCTTTAGAAGAAATCGCATAAAACAATGAATTAATATTTATTACAATTGTGTACTGTGAATCTTATCTGTTGTTTTTGCCGTGATGCAGAATGAAAACCCAGGACCAGGAACTTACAAAGATCCTGTGTGTGCGAAAGATGAACCATCGCCGTCGTATTCCAAACATGGCACAGGGACGTTCGCTTCTAAGGTATCATATATAATATTGACTTGAAATACCACAGTATTTCGTTCTATGAATCCCACTTCTTATCAAATCAATAATTTATTCTTAGAAAGGAAGATTTAACAGGGATAAAAGGGAGTTTGCTCAGCCAGGTCCGGGTGAGTATTTCTAGGAAATGATGCTCTTAGATTATGAGAATCTTGTTTTTGTTCATGAACGATCGACATTGGAAAGACCATGACTTGGACACAACTCAATCCACTTTGTTTTGATAAATGAGCAATGAAATATTAATCATGTTTTATGAACTGCAGGGGAATACGAACCAAGAAAGCTTCCAAGCAAAACAGATTTTAACAAAGCAAGTGTCACAAGGTAGAAAAAACACATTATTTATATAACTACACATCTTTACAAATCACTGGAATGCCTTCAAATTGAACAAATGCAATGTTTTGTTTCTTAGCAACTTTCATTTGCCAATCGCAATACCACCAAGTGAGAGAAAACAGCGCCAAGCACCAGCTCCAAACTCATACAAGGTACATCCATTTCATCCTATTGAGATCTCATCTTTCTCACAAATTCACCATCTGTACATTCATTCTCTTTTTCAAGATATCCAAAGCAACTGGCAGAGTAGTTCATGATAATAATGTGTCCGCGTACGCCGCTTTCAAGTCAAAGTAAGTATTTGAATAATATATGGTCAGATTGGTTTCTTAAACCACAGCTGCAAAGGCCAATTTTGTCCACAATTTTGTCTTCCTAGCGTATGTTATTGAGTGAATTATATACAGAGTTACATAAGCTAGGCAAAGTGCAGTAATCAACTGCATTAAATTTTCTCAATAACATACACCAGGAGAAGAAAATTGCCATAAAGATGTCTAGTTGATTCCTAATTAGATCTGTTTTTCTTAAAGTTCCAAAAGAGAAAGTTTTATCAACAAGAAAAATGCTTCTAATGTTCCATCACCATGTAAGTTACAACGATCCTACATGAAGTACCGTGTTTTATCTTCAAGAAAACCATCTTATAAACATTTATTGCATTGCCAGGTCACTATAATGTTAAAGAAGACTTGATCCATAAAACATCATCTGGCGTCACAGCATCATTCAAATCCACGACTAACCGTAAAATGACGCGTACACCTGACCTCAGCCCAGGCCCCGCCTCTTACAATCCTTATCACGCGAAACACGCGAAACGAAAAGGTTATAAATTCCAGTAAGTCATCTCTCGTCTGATTTCGATTTAAATGCGAGAGCGTCGACTGAGAAACTGTCGTGTTCAGCGCAATCTTTCTTTCAGCCCTTTCCATAATGTTTACTTCGATAAGGGAATTAATGACGGTCGTATGGAGAGTTTGGAGAAAAACAGGTGTCCAGATATTCCTGTGGTTGTGTTGAGAATCACGAAATTGTCTGCTTCTGAGTGTTTTCAGTTGCAACACGAAAACACTTTTGAGTGTTTTCAGAAGAAATGCGAAAACACTTATACCACGCAGACGGGTTTTCAAGATCTCCAAACCACCAAACGACCCCCATATAAATCAATCGCAATTTTAATGGCTTTTTGGGGGGAATGAAGGCTATATTTACTCATAATAGCACATTTATTACTTTATCAATTAAGAACTAAGAGACATTAAATATCTTAAAATTTGAGTTTTTTGAGCAATTTCAAAATCATCGCATGTTTAGGGCAACTTTGTTTTGAATTTACATTGATTTCGTCCTTAACTTATTTCCTTTCTTACTCTAAGACGTCAGCACTATCTCAGTATCTCGGCACCAGCGCTCGCTCTGCCTGACGTAGAACCGACGCCAGGGCCTGGACACTATAACCTTGTCAATTACGAAGGCGAAGGAAAGCGATTCATGTCCAGTTCCATGTTTGTATCAACAACAAGCCGATGGAATCCCACGTGGGAGGCTGAGATGGAAATACCCGGACCCAGTGAGTACTAAATTCCAGGATGGATCTACCAGGGATAGTGAGTACCCCCCTACCCTCCCCCTAGTGGGTGCAGGACTAGGACGGGGTGCAAGTTTGAGTATTAGTTTAATTTTAGGGGGGATTAAGTTTAGAATCCTGTCGGAGGTTCTGTCAATCTAAACAGCATCATCTCATTCTGACAAGGAAAAAACGCATTCTAATATCTTTTACAGCCTGAAACGCCCCCCTCCATGAAGATATTAAGTCATGAAAGTAGGAAAAACAGAGCCGTGGCTAAGAACTTGTATTATGCATTGAACGGTCTGGCCACTTTCCAGTCTGCCCTAAACGAAAACTCACGTTTCTTATTTGTTATCAGAGTGTTTATCAATCATGAATGTTTCTTATAGCGTCCTATCGTCCACGACAGGTCGGGAAACAGTCGTTTATTTACAATCCTTCAAGAAGGTGGATTTCATGAAGGTCAGCTGTAGAAGAAGTCTTGGTCGCACAATAGATTTGTAAATAAATAATGAAACATTGTAAATATAGAGTGTGGTATTTTTTTACACGAGAGATGAAAAAAAGAAGGAATAAATGATGGAAGGAGGACCTTGGAAAAAAGGGCATTTGAGTGATGGGTAATGGAGAAGAAAGTGAGACGAAAAGGTGGAAAGAAATTGAAGATATTAAGAAGCTATTTACTGGTTGAATGACAGAGGAAACGACAGTTTAAGCTAGCAATGAAAACTGATAGAAAAGAGCAACTTTTTTCTGAGGAATAAATATACCATCATCTCAATATGAGAATGTAGGAATGGAGTGAAGAACCAGAGTGGATGGGAGTTAAATGAATGGAAAAAAAGGAAGCTTATCTTGAGCAATCAAGAAACCGTTACAGAAACAAGGAATTAGTCGAGAAAACGTGGGTAAAATGGCGAAACGCCGGGCATTATCCCTGAGTCCTGATATTTTAAGCGACTACCGGGGAAAGTGCCTGGCCTCGGCACGGAATAGGGAAATCAAACCTCGGCGAAAAGCCTCGTTTCGTGTCCAGTCCCGTATATAATAACCGTGCTAGCCATGCGCCATCTTGTCTCCATCTCTGTGTTTATTGAAAAGGTGGAGAAGTTTCTTTGAAAATACAAGTCTTTTACACCAATAATCTTTAAGAAATAACCCGCGAGACGAACGATGGAACGTGTCTAAACCATAGTTCTCACGAAACTAAAGCGAAAGGGTAAGATTTATTGAAAATACGTTTGTTGTGACTTCACTGACGTTGGCAACATGCATTTTTTCAGGATGTTTCATGAAGTGTGTCATGTGAGCTCAATAGATATTGTGGTTCGCTGAATGCTAAGTTCGTTTCCTGGTCTTATAATTCTCCTCAGATATTGCTCATCGAATATGTGAAATTATATAATGTGCTTAAAACATAGCGTTCTGCACAATTAGCATTAGATATTTGGTTAATAATAGCAGTGAAGCAATATCATGAACTGATCTAATCTCCCCCCCACCAGAATGATCTGTACAACAAAATGTACCACAAAATATTCCAAGACATGTTTTAATGTTGCTAGGTTATAAAGACATAAAATGGCTAACCCAGGCGTTGAACCGGCATATGGTGGTTGTGAAGGGCCTGAAGCTCAATATGTGAAACTTATCTCAAGCGATGGACATGAGTTTGTAGTAAAGCGTCACTATGCATTGACCTCTGGAACAATTAAAGCTATGCTGAGTGGACCAGGTGATAATTCCTAGTTGAAGAGTTTAGGGTCTAAATTTGCACAGAAAGCCTCTTAAATATCTTTGCTTTCATCTCATGTTTTATTTTGATTAGAATAAAACATTTTCATTTTCACTTTACTCATGAAAAGAAAGTAACTTGTGTATTTTCCACAACAGGTCAATTCTCAGAAAATGAGACGAACGAGGTTCATTTCCGGGAAATCCCATCTCATATCTTGGCAAAAGTTTGCATGTACTTCCTATATAAAGTGAGGTATACCAACAGCAGCACTGAGATTCCAGAGTTCCCGATCGCACCAGAGATTGCATTGGAATTGTTAATGGCTGCTAATTTTTTAGATTGCTGAGAAATATTAATTATTAATAACGAGCTACAACGAGCTCTAAGGGCAAAAGACAAAGAGTATGGCAAAGTAATATGATAACAGATGTTCTGGATGTAGGATTATTTTATAAACAAATGTGATAGTTTTGTGTGTTTTTGTAGTTAGATCACCCTAGTATAAAAGTTGTATGTTAGTTGAACTATTATAATGCTGTAAATTATTAACCTCCCACTCAATTTGATAAACCATTTGCAGGACAATACAAATAGTAATCAGGAGATGCATGTGTATATCCTTTACCCTATTTGCTCCCAATAGTCCCAATATCACCTTTGTTAAAATAATTACTTCCCCCCCTTACCAATATTGCTAAACAATATCTATCAGGGTGGTTGGTTAATAATATACAGCATTTGTGTTTCATATTTTTCTATGTGCCTAATAATGTAATTCATGTACAGGATTTATCAAAATGTAAGAGGAAAGTTCAGTATATCTTGTGTTCTCATTCCGGGGTATTTTTGTGAAAGAGTACTATTAACTTGTTCTATTGAGAAAACAGTATTTATTATATTGTTTTCCACAAATCTTTCATTTGTATCTAACAATGTTTTCCACCTTTGGAATGAAGTTCACTCACATTTATTCACCAAGTTTTTACTTCATATTTACAAAATCTCAATCAATATCTGTCATATCTCGTATATATATATCTTGAATTTATCTCATATAAAATATATACATTATATATATAAACATTTGGAACACAAAACGTAACTAACACTATGGACACACCCAAAGGATCACTTTTAGCATCCAAGTTTAAGCTCTTGCTCCTTGTTTCGCCAATTTATCAGCATGTTCATTACCCTCATGGCCCCTATGTCCACGGACATGGGTCTAAAATTCAAGAACATTCAACTATAATGCTTCTCTCTCTTTGTAATCAGAACTAAAATCCCTAAGAACCTCTTGATAAAGGACTATAGTTTACCCATTTTATATTGATTCTCTGACATAAGTTGTGAAGTTTAATGATATCATCTCTGTTTTTTACGTCCGTTCCATTTGCAGTTTTGAAACCATTTTGTTTCCATTTGTCCATCCACTTTGTTACAGCTGTTAAAAAATGTTTAAGTCATCGCATTGAGGATTGATAAAAGACGTATGCTGTCACAGTGTGGTATATTACAACATGGTATATTTCAATGTCATCATGTCAACAAGTACCTTATCAACATCTTGCTTGTATTTTACTTACCATTTATAGTGTATTTACTATCTGTTCTAACTTCCAACTTGTTTATGTTGCTTGCCTTGGCTGTTTGAATAGCCTTTATTGCTGCCTAAAATCACAAAACATGTCGTTTTCATTGACTTTTTTCCATTTTAACATGGGGAACCCAGTGTGTTCACTAAAATGTACTAGTTTGGTGGTTACCTATGAATGTATCATGTATTATTTTATGAAGCATGTGAACCTTACATTCAATTCTGCTCTTTGGTTGGTTTGCAATCCTTGCAATCTCTCGCTGACATTTCTATGAAACATGTTCATTTATACATGATAAAAAGAGGTGAATTCTATTCTTCATATTTTATATCTTATAAGCTTAACAGATCCTCAATTCACCTCGGGTCATTTTCGCCCCAATAAACTCCTATACCAGCCCTGGCTAAAGCTTTACCATTTTCAAAGCAACAGCCATCAGAATAAACCACGACTCTATCACTATCAGTATCATATAATCATAGGCGTACGGGGGGGTGGGGCTGGGGGGGCTGCAGCCCCCCCAATTTTGGGGGGAATTAATCTATTCGGGCAAAAAGAGTCTTGTCATTCGGGCAAAGACGTTACGACGGTCTGGTGATTACACGGGGAATCTATTCACCCAATAACGCTAAACTGAAACTGTTGTGTATATTAGCATAGATCGCATAACTGGTTCAAGCATGTGCGTCAAATTAACCTTTATTAAAGGTTAAGTGCTATAAATTAACCGGATTTGGTTTTGATCACAATCGGATAAGTAATTTTATACCACACGGTTTAGACTAGTGTAACGGATATCGGATAATGGATTAAATGTAAATATAGGCTAATACTAATAGAATAAGGAAAAGTAAGCTGCCGCGGATGCACCATTGCAAGTGCGTCCGAGATTAATATATAAATATAGCAGTTGATAATAAATATAGCATTCTAGATAATAAAGGAAGCGTACACGCCCTATGGAACGAGAGCATAAATACCAAATGCGAAATATTGAATAATAGAGTTGGATCTAAACCACATGTGTGTGCATGTGAAGTAAACTTACACTAGTCTTTCCTCAGGCCTTTATCTTTTTTGACCGCTTCGTCGCTATATAAATAATCGCCTGGAATATTACAAAACTCAATAACCAAGCTCTAATAAAGCGTATGGCATCTCGTAAAAGGCGGTACCGACACCGTGTTCGGTGCGAGGAATGCAATAAGGAAATCGATAGTGATTATCAAGAGGTGCATTCTCGATTGGTTCATAATGGTAAAAAAGTAAAATGCCATCCAGTAATGGAATCATCAGACTCATCCCAGTCGAAAATCAGTAATTTCTTTCTAAAAAGTAACATGACAACCAAGGACGATGACCTGCAGTATGACATAACCCAACCTGGAACTGAATCGAGTGGTAGTAAAGACTTTGCAGCCACAGTGTCTTTTGATGAAGATCTGCCGGACAAAAATGTGAAGGAACTCGTGAGCAAAGAACCAATAACGGCGTTCATTGATGATGTTGAATTAAATGCATTGTCACAGCTCAGAGAAAATAGTGAACAGAATACAGTGACAGATAGCGAAAATGTTACACCAGAATCAATGACGATGTCTAGTATTCTAGCAGCTACACCAATGGATGATCTTAGTTCACCAGCACATATTCTAGACGAACAGCCTGAAAAGGTTTCCATTCCCAGTGAAAATACAGAACAGATTTCGTCCCTTCACGCCCCAAAACAGCCTATATTAGCGGAGTATCCTGCAAGAAAATTCGGCAATGAAACATTTGTGCGAAGATTTCAATCTGAATGGTACAAGAAGTATCCGTGGATAAGTTATGAAGTGGATAAGGATGCATGCGTGTGTTTTGCCTGCGTGGAATTTGGGAAAGATACTTCATTTGTGTTTAAGAATTGGAAGAAGTCAGCAAAGCTAGCAAAACACGGCAAGAGCGAGAACCATGTCAGGTCCATGGCAAGATGGCTTCAGTTCAAAGCAATGCAGAGAAACAAAACTTCCGTCCTACAGCAGCTGAGTACTGCACACAAGGACCAGGTTGCCAGTAACAGACAATACTTAAAAGTAATCATACAATCCTTGATGTATACTGCGCAACAGAATGTTGCGATTAGAGGTCATGAAGAGACCCGGAATGATATATGGGAGGTATCTGACATAAATCGAGGGAACTTTCTCGAGTTACTTTGCATAAGATGCAACGATTTGCCTTGGCTGAGGTCTAAACTGCAAAGCCAGCTCCAGTTACATGCTCAGTGGACATCGCCTGTTGTTCAAAATGAACTACTAGAAATAGTAGCAAACGTCATGCTTGAGAGGATAGCAGCTGAAGCGAGAAGTAGCGACTATTACGGAATAGTTGTAGACGAAACAGCAGATATCAGTCGAACAGAGCAAGTATCCATTTTCCTTAGATATGTTTTCAATGGCGAAACTAAAGAGACATTTATTGGTTTCTATTCAACTAAATCCACGGAAGGGGAAGTATTATATGAGCTAGTGAAGACAGCCATTAGCAAGCTGGAGTTGAAGTTAGAAGACATAGTTGCAGAATGCTTTGATGGCGCTGCAAATATGAGTGGCGCTCGTAAAGGGCTTGCCGCACGTATGAAGGAGTGTTCACCTCTTAGTATCTACGTTCATTGCCATGGACATCGGCTTAACTTGGCGCTACAAGATACTATGACCACAATTGAGCCACTTCAGAAAGCTTTAGGCGTGATCCAGAGTCTCCATAATTTTTTGGAAGGAAGTCCCAAACGCCACGCTATCTTCAAGGATATCGAAGTCGAAGATGAGGGCGAAGATTTTAAACTGACAATTAAATCGCAGAGCGCTACTAGATGGTCTTGTCGCTGGGCAGCTGTAAAGGCAGTGGTAAACCAAATGCCTAAGATCATCGAGGCTCTTCTCTCACTCTCAAAAGATCGTGATCCGAAGACGTACAATGACAGCAATTCCCTACTTAACTCGATTTGTGACTTTCGATTCGTTTTTGGTTTGATGGTATTAAAGGTTGTTTTGTCCAACACCGATGGTTTGAGCAGATACCTACAAGGAAAGCAGATGGATGTCGTAACGGCAAAGAAGAGTGTTGATGGCGTGATCAAAACACTAAGTGAATGTCGTACCCAGGAAAATTTTGATCTCTTGTGGTCGCGCGCTGAAATCATGGCAGACAAAATCAAGGAACAAATTGAGGGTACTGATTTCAATTTCAAAGATGCAAAGGTACCAAGACTCAAACAGCCATCACGCCGGCTGCAGACACTTGTCGGCGAAATGCCTGAAGTGAATGCAGAAGTGGAGTACCGAACAGTGGAAGACCACTATCGTATCACATGTTACTACCTAAGCATTGACAGGATTGTCGCGGAGATGAAATATAGATTTGAAGGTAATGATCAAGAGGTGCTATTGGCACTTGCAGACATAGTCTTCAGCAGCTCTCCGACCATGAAGAATATTGAGTTGGTATCAGACTTCTATAGTATCGACAGTGAGCTTCTTGGCAGTGAGAAAAACGTCTATGAGATATTGATGCTGATAACCCTGATCCTGAAAGAAAAAACGCCGCTGAAATTGTGAGGAAAATGTTTGAAAATGGTGTTCATGAAGTTCTTCCTGTTGCTTACAAAGTATTTTCGATTCTGGCCACGATCCCTGCAACATCCTGCTCTGCTGAGAGATCTTTTAGCGCTCTTCGCCGCTTGAAAACCTATCTTCGAAGTACAATGGGGCAAAAACGCTTAAACAGCATTGCCCTTATCAATATTGAGAGAGCTTATGCAAATAGTACTTTAAAGAACGATATGGAAAAGATAATTGACATTTTTGGACAGCGACGTAATCGTAAATCATATTTCTTCTAGTCTAGATTATAGTTTTACAAAACTAAATTCCTTGCATGTCTAGTGCAAAACATGACGGAATTTCATATATCAAATAAAATGTTATTATGTTAGTCACTTTTTCTTTCGTTGTAAATCGTAATGAATATATTTAGTTTAGAATTTAAATGGCTAGGGATGATATTTCTTTTTATATTACGTCTGTCAATCTTCAAAGGAAATCCTTTCATTTGTAGTCTTCTCAGATTATATAATTTTATGATGACGTCACAAAATCTATGACGTCATGTCATTCGGGCAAATTGAGCGCAGCCCCCCTAAAAAAAATATGCCCGTACGCCTATGATCATATTCTGTCAAAGACAATCATATGATATTGTTAAATGACTTAAATTTAAAAGAACTTCTACACTATGCATTGTGAAAGACAATATCAGAACTCGTCATCACATCATCAGACCTTGTCTTGATCTTTTTTCAAAACTCCAATTTTCCTCCTCCGGCTCCTCGTGTTTTCGTTTCTGGCTACGCTCCTTTTTCGGTTTGGCATGCTATTAAACACATTTTTACAGGATCTAAGAAAAGCCTGAACTAACCTCGATCATGCTATCAGTTTAAAACTGTTCTGAGAATAACGAAAGAAACATACAAATTTGCGTGTTATTTTGTTATCTCTTGGGTCTTTTATTGCCATGAATTCTTCGGCTTCATCTATAGTAAGAAATTTCTTGAATTTTGCACTAACTCCATCAACCTGCTTCTTGCATTCCTCCCTATTTTGAAGAAACAAATGGTTCAAAACAGTGATTGTGTTGAATATTGGTATATTAAAGAAATATTTAATACTTCGAGAAATTCTGCTTTAGATTTTTGGTCATACCATGTCAAATAAATTCCCGGTTTTCGGCCAACGCGTACAGCATAATACGGCATTATTGTGAACTGCAGTTTACTGAAACGTTGCCTGATCGCTCTCAAAGTAAAATAACTCATGAAGTTCAAATCTGCATCTTTATTATGATTCCAAAACACGTGTTACTTTAGTTCCACAGGCTTGTACAGGCGCGGGGGGGGGGACAGTGCAGACCAGACCCTCTAGGAGATTTGGTGGATGGTAGAAGCTAGAGTGTCAGGAGTGAGTTACAGTAAAACTGGCACTTTTTTGCCTATCATTATTTAGACAGGAATAAGAGCATCACAAATTCACAAAAGGTACAATTGTTATTTATAACTTATATTCTACATACAAAACATTGCTATAGTATAACTCTGACTACTCAATCATCTGTGGTCTAGCGGGATGGTAAATATATAATAATGAATTGGACTACCCCTATTATACATTTCTCCGTTGATTTTGTTCAAAGTATTAGATACTAATGAATAAAATCAAGCAACAGCAGTACAATTCATCTGGGCTCTTTATTAAAAAGGAATTTGTGACTTTGTGTAAGCATTTCTTTATGGCATAATTTTGGTATCCTTGGTGAGATATAGCCTGGTATTTAAATCTTCTAATCTTATAAAAACAAGCCCTAATAAGATAAATTTATTAACCACTTATTTGAATAGTTTATTACGTTTATTCTTAAGGACTAAGTTGGCATATGCAAATGTTTGTTCATTTTTTAAATATCAGGAATGGAATGATCCATGCTTCCCTTCACAAGACTTGTTGACATGCTGCAAAAAATAATAAAAAAAATGTTAAGATAATGATTTTGGTCATCGTTAAAATGGTACTATCAGGTAATGGAGAATATGTTTATTTGTGATCATGTTTCCATACTTTTTCATTATATGCTTGAATACAAATGTTGGCACAATGGTGAATGTGACTGATCTGTCAGCTCTTGCAATGATTTCTTTGATTTCTTTATCCTAAAAATTTGAGATAGAAACTCTTCAATTTCCATTGTATACTAGCAGCTGGAATATTGTATCTTTCCTGATGTATAATTTCAAAAAAGCATTCGTAGTTTACCTTCAATCCAACAACATTTTGACCATTCACTTCAACCAGATTATGCTCAGTCAACAAACCATTTCTAAATGAGGCAATTATTTTTCAAATTATTTTGTAATTACTAGCAAGACCTTATCCTAACTTCTGCTGGTCAGTCGATCATGTCAACTAGTTTATCAAGCTTCATGAATGCAGGAAATACCTTGCAGCTGACGATTCCTTGGCAATAGCTGTAACTTTTCCATCTTTGAAAACAAACCCAACATTTCCATTGCTGTCCTTCTGTAAAGTGATTGTTCTTTCAAAAGGCCTGAAATTTTAAACAGAATAAACCAACTTAGCCACAGGATATTTTACCTATGCTCTATTTGTCATGCTAAGATGCATCTCTTCTTTCATACCTGTCTCTCACGGCAAACACAATCTTCTGTGGTGATGCTTTTTTGAGGATTTTCATCACTTTGTCCATTTCATAACCAGCAACGGTGTCACCATCAATCTGCAGGATCTGATCACCAAACCTCAGACCACCCAGGGCCGCTGGTGAATTGCTGTGAACGTACGACACAAACACTCCTTTGTTGACGTGTCTCACACGCAAACCAACCTTCCCTTTGGCGTCCTTGCATAACGTGACTTCACGGACACCTTGCTTGATTTCAGAGCGTTTAACATCAATGTTATTCGCGCCAGTTACTGGAGCAATGGCACCACTTGCCACAGTCGCGAGCTGACGACCACCACTCGGAACTACTTGCTGAAAAATTAGAGTATAACTTCAGATGTCAAAATTTCCACAAATTTTAGCTTGCAGAAAGCAACAACATGAGATAGTCACTTACATATCCTGGGACGTTGTCTCGGACCATTTGTTCTGTGATGTGAAGTCCCATATAGTCGTCCAGGGATGGATATAGTCCACTATGCCCTGTGCTGGAACCAGGGGCACTTGCCTGTAAAAGAAAGGTCAGGTTTCACTTTGATCATATTCATAGATGGTTAACTCACTATCACCATTTTGTAATCAGAAAAAAAATCAGACTTACTGTTGCTGGTGGCAAGGCATGGCCTGCGTTTGCTGCCTGAACTTGGGCCTAAAATTCGATAAATCGCACCATATTAAATTTTAATTAAATGGAATTGATGTTTCATATATTAATAATATTATGTAACAGAGATCGTTCTACGTTCTGCCATAAAATCTACAGACTTTCTACGTAAATAAATTGTATCCATTTAAGATCTAATTGCTGTGTTAATTTTCAATACTAGACTCGTATATTTCAATTCTTCCAGGATAAAAAACACAATTCAAAACAACGAATCTTTCCTTTGAAAAATTAGAATGCGCAACATTTGCAAAGCGTTTAAAAGTCTATACCTTCGCCAATTGATCAACTTTCATATCTTCCAAGGACGGATACAGAGACATCTTGTTTATTATTTTCTTTCTTGTAACAAATTTTCAACCTTTTGTCCAAAGAACACAGCAGATTTCAAATAACTGCAGTACAGTTTTAGTGTTTTGAAATATCAAGGAAGCTTTCCTATTTTTAGCTTCAAAATGATGTCATATCGGAAATGGACGTCGGCCGTCGCAGGTCGGCGTTGCCCAAAAATGGGCGGCATCGTCATTATTTGTTTCGCGAGTCCTTGCCGACGGAGCACAGTGACTCAGTAAGCTCAAGTGGAGAGTTCTTTACTGTGAAATTAACCTGAAATATTTCTTCCAATTCACAGTTCTTTGAGGTGAGTTTTGCTAAATAGTGTTTCACATTCTTGGGCTATTGGGGTATGTTAAATGATAACCTTTTTTCAGTCCCGTATTACCTCGAAATACCAAAAATCTGCTGTGAATATTGTTGCACGAATTTGGTCACTATCTCCGGTGGGAAGTTGTACCCACAATGCGCTAACTCATGTGACTGGCATGTGACGCAAATGATAATTGCGCAAAGCAAAGATTAATGCATTTTTTCATAGATTTTTTGTAACTATTTTTGAAAATGGCATATATAGCTGGTATAGAACTTGGAGGAACATCATGTGTTGTAGCAATGTCTGATATTAAAAATCCAGAAATTATTTTAGAGCGTAAGGATTTTGATACAGGTGACATTCCAACTGCAACTCTGAATACTTTGGTCCAATATTTGCAGGAACTTTTGAAAAAATATGGGATTGGAAGTTTTAAGGCGATTGCAATTGCTTCCTTTGGTCCAATTGACCTTCGAAAAGAATCGGCAAAGTACGGATACATAACAACCACGCCGAAACCTGGTTGGAAAAATGTCAATGTTGTCGGTGTGTTTACTCGGGCATTTCCAGAGGTACCAGTCATGTTTGAGACTGATGTCAATGCCCCAGCAATGGCTGAAGCAATGGTATCTGGTGGTCCAAGGAATTTGAATGTGGTATATGTTACAGTTGGGACGGGAGTTGGTGTTGGTGTATACGTAAACGACATGCCCATTCATGGATTGTTACACCCAGAAGCAGGTCACATGATTGTGGGTGTAATGCCAGGTGATACCTACTCTGGTAGTTGTCCATTTCATAGAAACTGTGTTGAAGGAATGGTCAACTCCCATGCATTAGCTGCGAGAGCAGGTGTAGATCCCTCTCAACTTGCCACACTGCCTGATTCCCACCTGGTGTGGAATATAGCTGGATATTACTTGGGTGTCTTGTGTGTTAATCTCACCTTGACACTATCACCTAATGTAATAATTCTTGGAGGTGGGGTGATGCAAGGAAAGGTCATTTTTCAAAACTGTAGAAGAGTATTCAAGGAACTGAATGCAGACTACGTTTTGGTTGAGAAATTTCAAACTGATGAGGGATTGAATGAGTATATTTGTGGTAGCCAATTTGGCAACAATGCTGGTATAATTGGTACATTATTCTTGGCGAAAACTGCTTTGCAAAATGCTTGATTGACTTAAGTTAATCAACTATAAATACTTTTTAACTTTAACTTTTTAACTTTAACTTAACTCTAATTGTGTTTCTGTGGACTTCTAATTGCAAAATCTTTTGAAGTTGGAACTTTCTCTTAGTTAGTTCTTCTTTATACACAAGGAATAGTTTAAATCATTGAAATGTTATCTGTGAAATAATGAGTAAATTAAAACAGCATTTACCACTGTGTAGGTTTTACCAATCACTTGTTTACTTTTTATAGAGAATTAGAAGGGATAACGTTTTCTGCAAATGTATGGTCAGAGAAAACTTGGCAACCCCAAAAAACAGCCTTTGATTGATACCAACAATAACAACTTTATGATTGCTATCACATTTATTGACTTTGATTTTAATCAAACAAGTCAAGATTACAATTTCATTCCATTATTTCTGAAGTTCCAATTGTTTTCTTTAAACAATCGGCCAGATAGCTTTTCTTTGAGAGTTTTCCTTTTCACAGTAGCAGCTAAACCCTGCCGTAGCCCAGCCACACCCATTCCATGCCCAACCACTTTCTTTCTGAAGGGCAGGCTCTTGGCGGATGTTTCCACTTGCGGTCTTCTTATCATGATGTCTTATGCAGGAATCACCATAGCACGAGCAATATACTCCAACTGTGTAATGACAATCGTCGTCATGGTGACAGCCTGATGGTGCAATGGTGCACTCATAAACAGGATTTGAGGCTATTGAGTGTTTGGCAAAGTTGAAAGTCTGGAGAGATGGTCCTCTTTTAGCTGAAACACAATGAATGCAACAACTCTAGGGTTAGATAATACGTACCACAAGCGTTGTCGCGTGCAAAGCTTTCTTAACTCTGTCACATTCTCAATTTTTCTACTGCCTTTCGCAGTCTATCAAGAAGCTGGTGTCTTCTACCCCACCTCACCCCATGACTTGGCACACCACCCCCCTCCCCCCATCCTACAAAGCCATGCCCGCTCGATCCATCCCTGATCCAATTTCACCTCGTTCCTAAGGGTTGAATAAAGGAGCAATTATAGAATACCTGGCCAACCCACCTCTTAACAGTGAATGTCATATCGTCTTCTAGATACATGTACCTTGTTTTATGTTACTTAATCCATGAATTGGACTTCCAGAGAACAAGAATAAACGTTATTTTTAAAGAACGGTGCAGTTCTATACTCTAAAATTGACCCTCTAACAGATTTTTAACATAATCGACTATTGGCCTGGTATTCTATAATTGTAACGGTATTTAATTTATATAACCTGCTGGTTTGTAGTCACAGCCAAAGTTGAGGAAACCATCGAAGTAATATTGAAGATTAATAGCTTTGACTTTTCCGCCTTGCTGCTCACCCAGGACCTGCCAAATTGGGGTGAGGGTGTATTGTATTGGGGTAGGGGTAGAGTGCCCCTCATCTAGGAACTTCAGGATATTTTCGTTAGAACGATCGTAGAGGAGTTTTTGACGTGTCGGTGCGGTTCCTCCGCGAACTGTGATCGATGACGTCATACGCTCGTTGGATATCTGAAAAAGATTTTGCATTGTCAGGGGGGGGGCAAGTCTTCCTTCATTGTCTTTCTCAAGTCTTCCACTTATTGTCCTTGGGAATGCGAGAGAACCTTCGACAATGCCTTTGTTCATTACGTCATATCTTGGTGTAAAATTGGACCGGAGTGAGGGGCAAAATTTTGTAAGCAAAAGCGTAAAAAATTGTAATTTCTCGTTGGATTCTCATCTAAATAACAATCTTTAATATTGTTTCATCATCGGTTTAGTCCACCGGCCAAAAATTGGTTGTTTTAACCACGTATTCAGTTGTTTAACCAATAAAAAATGGTTTAATTAAATTAATCTAAGGTAATCAATTTAAATTTGCTCCTGTTTTCACAGTGAATAGGATGAATACGAGATAACACAACAAATTATCCACTGGAGACTGGAAACAATGGATTCAGTACCTTGTTGACTTCTTCTTGACTTACACCAGAACAAGCGGAGACTGACGCTGATGCAGCCTTGAGGTCCCTACCCAACGAAGCACAAGCTTTGACTGTGAACTCGCGGGCGGTATATGATGACGATTTTTCAGCGAACGCGTATTGGTCAATACTTGCACCGAATGTGACAGCGGTAATCACGTGAGAGCCATGCGTATTCAGAAATCTAGAAATGCATAAAGTTACCAACATGTTTTTGTATCAAACTTGTAGCTAGGGTTTTTTCGTCAATATAGTTTGATATTGTGTAAAATTGTAAAATTCCTTGGGAAATGGCTTGTGAACCCCAAATAAGTGTACGGTTCGCTCTACAATATAACTTTACCGTTGATAGTCTCGCCATGATGATTTATGCCAAGGCGTTGAGATCCTTTCTGGCAAACTCTCAAAATCGCTTAGGAGTCTTGAATGCATCTCTGTGTTGTAAAGGCAGTTTGGTTTCATCTGCTGTTCAAAAGCTTTCGTTGCGAGATTGAGCGAGGTACCGCTGACTTCACGCTTGCTGCCGCTCACGCTCTTCGTTGTCGCGTCCACAGAAGCACCGAGAGAGAAACCTCCCTCGTACTTTGCCTCAAGACCTGTTTCTGTTGCGATGCTTTTGTAAAACTCTCCAGTGTTCTTGTAAAATGACTGATCCTTGATCGTGGTGGCTAAGTTCACTTTGCGCAAACATTCTTCGGTTTTAATTTCTTTGAAGAACGATATTCCATTCGGAATGTCCCCCAACAAGTCTTCTCTCGGAACGTAGATAGACTTTCCAAGCAAAGTATGAAATTCTGCTGAGCACACTGTTAGAAAAATAGTTTAAGTTCTTATTCAAGGTGCCTTTGACTATAGTGGTCAGAATGTATAAAACATTTCATGTAGGAAAGAAGGCCGGTAGTTTTTGAAAACGAAGTATTTGTGGTAAACACATGGTTGTCGGAAGCAAAGCCTTACCTGTGGTTGTTAAAACCAACACGGAAACAAACAGTGTTCCGAAGTTAATTTCTCGAAGAAAAGCCATTAATCAAGCTAAATATATTAAGACAATACAGTATTTGAAAAAAACATATAAGATTCCGACACTTTGTAAGAGAAGAACATCGCGACAAGTCATTTTTACCTTGTTTGAAGTAGTCACCGCAGTTCCCAACTTTCTGTAGTTCCTAAAAACTGATCAAACTTGTAGTTTTTGTTGCATTTTTATACTCTGGTCTTTACAGTTAATCTTTATTTAGCTTGAGCAGTTGGTTAAAGGGTTAATAAATTCGAAATTCCTCTGTTTATTCAACTGCAGTTCATTTCGTTTTGTAATAAACTGTGTGAATAATTTCACCAAAAAGGAGCCAATTTTCAGTCTCCTTTTATTCATTCAATCATTCTTCCATGTGGCAGTGATTGTATCAAGCACCCTTTCCTGTAATTTCTACGGTTAGTAGGAAAATTTCCAAGATTTATTCAAACTTTCATGTAGGTTCTCATGTATCAGGTTCGGTTATAATTAAAAAGTGACCATAGCATTCTAAGGCCTTTATTTTCCTTTATAATTTGAAGTATTTGTACAGAATACGCTCTGTTTAGATTAAATGTTACACTTAATGAAAAAGCTACGAATGTATTTGCAGATTTTTAATTACTATAGATTATAGATTATAGAATTTACGAGTGAAATACTTGAGTATATCAAATTTTATGTCAGTTATTATTGCCGCGCATTAGTTTGAGGGATTTTTCTTTGAATGTCACTCGCATCTATGGACAGAGAGTCAGTAGTGATTTGAAAGTTCCTAGGTGAGCTGGCCGTATTAATCAGTGGTTATACAGTTACCTTATCACGTTTCAATCGTGGGTGAAAAGCTCAGTTCGGCTTGTCGCTGACTGCCTCTGACCAAACACAGCCTATTCTGTATAAATATTTCAAATTATAAAGAAAAATAGACCAAAGAATAAATGCAATGTTCACCATTCTTGATTAATCTATTTCAATCCCAGGCAACTTTCATGATACATTTAATCCAGGAACATAACGAACTGTGTGATTTTAGTCTTGGGGAAAATGATTTCGCCTAACCGAGTATAATTTTACAAAGCGTGAAATGTTTTTAAGGTATTAAAAAAGTTTACGAAAAAGTTTACGTTTACGACTTTGAGCTGACTACAACATCACCAAGAACTTCTTGTTTTTTTTCCGCTTTTCTACTTCAACCAGGATCATGTGCTGAGGCACCTTTGCTACAGTACAGTAGCAGAAATAACGACAAAAGACATTGTCGGATAGCATTATTTATTATTGAAATATATTGAGCGAATAGAGTACAAGTTGAACTACTGTTTGAGAAGATATTCATTGACTCAGAAGATGATACGTCTTCGTGTGTTTTGATTTTCACACGAGCACTTCACGCCCCAGAATTTCCTGTCACAGCCGTTTTTCTTCAACTCCTTATTGTAATTTGGTGCTGCCGTCACTCGTATCGCGGCCCCCTTCTCTGTCGCGCGGTAGACGATACACGAATCTCCATAGCAACGACACTTATCACATCCACGACAATGACAATCATCATCGCTATGACAACCAGATGGTGCGAGACTGCACTGGTAGACTGGGTCGGATGACGTGGAATGCGCGGCGTGGTGGAACTTCTGCAGCTCTGGACCACGCTTGCCAACGATGAGCGGGCAGCCAAAATTAAGGTACCCGTCGTAATAATACTGAAGATTAACAGCCTGCACGCCTGCGTTACGATTTTTGACCAAAATATGATTTTGGCCTCGAAGAATTTGCCATATTGGAGTCAATGTGTACTCAATAGGGGTAGGGTGGGTTTGGCCTTCGGCTAGGAACTGTAGAAGGAGCTCGTTAGATCTTTCGTAGACCAAACTGTTTCTCGTTCCAACTGTTCCGCCTCGAACTGTAATCGACGTTGTCATTTTGCTGTTGTAAAGCTTGCTTATCTCTTCCTTGGTAACACCAGAGCATGCCTCGACAGACAAAGACGAAACGGCGACACTACCAGCGAGCGATGCGCATGCTTTGACGGTGAAATCGCGGGCGCTGTACGAAGATGATTCCTCAGCGAACGCATATTGATCAACACTTGAGCCGTAGGTAACAGCCGTGATCACGTGCGAGCCATGTGTTTGCATGAAGTGATGATAGTCACGCCAGGAAACCTTGTACCAGGGCTGGGATATCTCAACATCTATATCATTGCAAAAGTAATTTTTAATTCACAAGATACAATTTAAATTAAACTACCTTTCGACCTTTCTTTGTCTGAGAAAACGGAACATAACCCAAAAGCTTTGCAATATATATACTAAGTGAACATCGGTGAAAACATCACAAGGTAATGTTCGTATGAAAAGCTACAGAAATTACGTTTATTTTCTCTTTTCTAGAAAGAAGATGGCTTTAAGAAAAGTTAGTGGAAAGCAGTGGAAAGAAGAACAAAACGTGATGGTTGTAAAGACATACCTAATCGTGCAAAGTCAGAGATCACACGATCCTGTAGCGCAGTTTCGTAGAGGCAATTTGGTTGAAATTGCAGTTCATACGATTTGGTTGCAAGGTTCAGTGATGTGCCACTAACTTCTCGTTTACTGCCGCTGACTGTCTTTGTTGTTGCATCCAAGGTGAAGCCGAGGGTGAAGTGACTCTCATAATTCGCCTTTAGGTTCGTCTGGGTTGCAATGCTTTTGTAAAACTCTTCTGTGTTTTTGTAAAACGATTGATCTTTCACAGTCGTCGCCAGGTTGACTCGACGCAGGCAGCTTTCGGGAACGTCCTTGAAGAATGAAATTCCGTTTGGAATTGATCCAAGAAGGTCTTCATCTGGGATGTAGATCGCTTTCCCAAGAACTGATTGGGTGCCGAGTTCGGGTTTTCCTGTTGCACCAACTGAAAGACATTTTCTGCTGGGTGAATTAGTATACTAGATCATATAGAGCACTAAACTAGCATAGAAAGCAATCTCAATACAAGAGTCAAAACTATACCATGCACATTTACTATAGTGCATATTGACTATCATGCATCTATAGTCTTCGCCACAACAGAAGAAAACGTACCTTCAATACAGCCAGTGAAATAAAATATAGCAAGACAAAAAAAAGCTCCGGTTTTGAAAACCATGCTGATGAAACTCACAGTGAACACTACCAGTCTTTTCCAGTACTTTAAACTGATTTCATTAAATTGGGTGGTTTCTGTAGCACGATGGCCATTTTTATACTAAATTTTATCGGCGGTTTATCGCCGCATTGTTGACTTAGCTTGGCAGTTGAGTAAAGCAGTTGAATATTGGTTAAGAGAACGATAAATGCTACTTTATACAAGTAACGCTGTTCCTACAAACCAATTTGAAGATTAATTGAAACTTTAACTAGACTTAATTGGCTGTTGAACACGCTAATTGCCAAGAAAAATACCAATGTTCTTTTTTTAATCAATTTCAAAGCGTTAAATGATTTTTTAAACGCGTAATAAGAACAAGAATTTACCGCTATTATCACGGCTAGGATTACCATATTTCATTTCTCATGCACGGCTTTTACATTGTGAAAACCTGCGTTCGCCAAATAGGATAAAAACGAGGTCAAACGATTCGCTCTGATTTGCGCTTCATAAACAATGTAATTACTTGTCAAGGTATATTTGCTTTCTAGTTTCTATGACCGAAATGGCAGCGTGCCAGCGTCGGGGCCCGCTTCATCTCAAGATGGTCTCCAACTAACCCATCACTCAAACTAGACACAATCATTTTTACTTCACAAAATACTTGAACATTTTTCATTTTTTATTGTGTTAATCTTAAACGCAACTTTCCTGACTAACAGGGGACAGGGGCCGGTTGTATCAAGCCCGTTTAGCTTAAACGGTGGATAAGTCAAAATTAAATAACACTCTTACAACTCTCTTGAATAAGTCAACTTGAATATTATGCACTGAATATGTAGTTGTAAACAGTATCGTTGTATTGAGGTTAAAAACATTTAGTTTGCTTGTTGAATAAAACGATAGACTTTACTTTCTATTTTGAACTTATCCAACGTTTAAGGTAAACGGGCTTGATACAACCAACCCCAGAAACGCAACAGTTTTTTCTCTGTGCTACTCCATGCAGCTGCGTATAAAATTCTGTGTTTTATGATCTTTATTTCCCTCCTAATTCTTATTTGTTATTCTATGTTCTATCTACGACTGATTCAAAAACCTGAAATTACATGACCTTAGCGTCTTTTTATATCTGTTAGATGATTTGTTTTATATGACCAGTTACAACACGGTCCAACTCCAATCTATGTTTTCTAAAAACGAGGTAATCATTCCAAAAATGTTTTTAAAGTGAAGAATTCAGGCACGTTTTCTCAAGTGTCCTTTATTATGAGTCTCTTATTGTTTTCACGCCGTTTCTATCCAGTCCAATGACAATAAAAGATATGCCACACTAATATTAGTGGACTAGTTTTGACCTCTGTCGTAAATTATTAGTGTTTCTCACAAATGATAAGGCGTGTAAACCGTATGCAGATGGTCCTAGTCACTGCTCTGAAATGCTTTTTACACTTGACCATTGTCTGCCAAAGTGTTCGACTAAAAAAACTAATTTATTTCACTGGATAGTTCTTGAAGTGGTTGGATTTCTTGTGGGTTCTGTGAGCTCTGAATCACTGCTAGGATCACGGCTTATTTCACGGGGAACCTCATCAAATTGTTGTGTTTCAAAGTCGTTGATAACAGTTCGTGTGTAAACATCATCCAAATCAACAATCTCTTCGTTATCACATTCTTGCTCGCCTGAAGTTGAAGCATTTAATTTCTGTTCTGTGCCTCCATTTGCTTTTCTTCCACGCTTGAAACCAAGAATCTGAAAGAATAGGTGAGTTACAATTGGACTTAGTTTGTATTCTTCATGCAAAACCCCAGGTTAGGAAAGATAACATGTTTGATAAAATATTCTCAATGCAGAGTGTCTTACCTTTACATAGTTTGCTGGGACAATTCCTTTGCTTTTTCCATTGACAGTCGCTAACAACCAGCCTCTAATTCTTGGTTGTCGTTGTTTTGGAGCAATCTTAATATATTTCCCTGCTTTTATTGAGAGCTCATCCTCAGCCTCAGCGATAAAATCGTACAAAACTTCACCAAGAACATGGTCACCTTCACCTGTTTATAAATCGATAAAGTTAAACCTGAACTAACTTCACTGATCCTGGATATCTCTATCAGTTCTAAACTGTTCTCTCTACCACAGGTTTTAAGTCAGAGGATGGTCTTCACCTGCTGCTTCCTGTCCTAGCTCATCTGCAAAGTAATAACAGTGAGTCCAAGCAATGTGGTACCCCTAGAATGACTATGGTGGTACAGACCTTTCATCCAATTGTGAATATCTTCATCACCCAGTGAGGATAAAAATCTCCAAATCAACCAAGGTGTTCCTAACACAACAGCAAAAAACAACAGCAACGGCCATGATTTCCAGACGCGACTCTGTCCTCCCTGTGTTGCCGCTGTCTCCCTTGTCATAGATCTCATCTCGTTCCAAACCTCCTCGACACTTGCAGAGCTGCTCAAGCCAATCAGAACTGTTATTTTACGGAATATGCTTCGCAACCATTTGATTAGAAAATTAGATCCAACAATATGAACAAGATTTTCACGTAAACGGCTAAAGTGATCAGCCACACCAAGAACTGCCCTGAATGAACTGTGGACAGCAAAGAAAGTTGATTCAAGCATCATCGCTATCGAGCCAAATGCTTGAACGATTGAGTGTACAGAATCAAACGCAATCCGTGAATTCTGTTCGGCTTGCTCAACAAATGAACTAGAGGGAGCGTTGTTGTATCCCTGGCTATATCGATTGGCTCCATATCCACCATACATATTATTGTACCCATTATACCCTCCATATCCTCCATAGCCATTGGTGTATCCCCCAGAATAAGGCCCCATATATCCACCAAAGTTACTATAGTTTCCATAGGTACCATGCCCTGTCACAGAAAACAGGTCAGCTCATCCCAAGAAAGATAAAAGGACAATTCCTTAGAAGTTTAGATATACTAAAATATTTTATACTAGAGTCTTTTAAAGTGAAGTGCCAAGCGCAGTGATGCAATTATAGTTTAAGAAGACGGTGTATTAACAGGGGTATCATAGTGTTATCTTTACAACGGGGGTGACGTACCAAATATGATAAAAGTTCGCTATAAATAACCTCGGTATTAAATTAAAACAATATTTAAACAATATGCATTGATGTACATATGACGCAATACAACAACGTTTATTATTAAAATCATTAAAGAGCGCCCAATATACCGTATTTTGAACTACATGCTACTTTGATGAGTTCCAACCTACCATAACTAGGGTATAAACTTTGTGTTGGTCTGGTTGCTGGTCTTGGTGGTACTGTAGGAGCTGCCTTTTTATCATCCTCGGCCATAATCGTAGGTTTAACTTGTCTAACACCTCTCGATGGTCTGTAGCTCGCTCCAGTCGATGTTGACGGTAAATTTCTGAAGTTATTTGAAGGTATTTCCCAAGGTTTTGGAGGGGACCACATTTCACACACTAACAAAATAATTTGTGATTGTTGTTCTTGTATAAAGAACGCGCAGACAAAAACACTGGGTACGAATCACGATTTGGCTGATTAAGATTAAGTATAGGATTAAGTAAACTTTGGTTTAGGATTAACTATAGGCCGAAACCGAATATACCGTTTTTCGGTATAATCATAGTTGTACATTCGACCATGGTCGAGTATACCGCTTTTCGGCACATTCGACCATGGTCGAGTCCAAAACACTAAAATTTCTAAAAGAATACCAAAACACTAAAATTTCTCGCTAAAATCACTTAAAAAACGTTTAGGCGTTTAAATCTTGACATTTCCAAGCGTATGCCTTATTAATCGTTTTCTATGCATATACTTGTTAGAGACCGCCCCCCGAGACCAGGAAAAGCTTAAATACGTTAAATTTATCTTCGCTCTCAGGGCTAGCCACTGTAGCTGATTCGTCTATGACGCTAGGCTTGTGGCGATGCATACTCTGTTTCTCACTGAGACGTAACGGTTAGGTGCACATACATCATGGTCTGGGGGCCGTAGTGCATCTCCCCCTTAGACGGCCGTTAAGATGTGAGTTATGGGGGGGAGTTCTTCCTATAGCAACTGTCCTTGCACCTTTCGTAGTTGTAATCTATGCTGGTATATCGCAGCTGGTTGTAATATCACCGGTTAGATTGTGGCATAGAGCTGGATGATCTCTTTTGGGTGTTTTTACGTTCTTTACCAATTTTTTTTTTTGGCATGCTTTACAAATTTTTCTTTTACATACAAAAAAATACTGGTATTAAACATATATGGAACGGATATGGTTCGAAAAAAAAAATTATATCGACTAAAAACCACCTTAATTAACCCTGAATACTCTCCCCAGTCTCTGCATAGCTGAATCTCTGAAAGAAACTAGCAGAGATCATTCATAAACATCAAACATTTATTATCAGCATTTTCATCAACATTACAGCAGTAAAACAGCAAAAAAGACATTCAGCCATATCGTATATTCAACCATACGAAAGCCATATTCCGATTATTTGCCTGGATTTTAAAATAAATCCCAAACTTAATCCATGTCGGCTTTGACGCCCGCATTACTTAGTGCTAGCAGTATCCGCCAAAAAAGAACAAATTGCCACGTTTTCTAATTTTGTTTACTTGTTTTGTTGTTTACTATTTGAAAATGAGCGCTGTGACTCTACACACGACGAATTTTCCTCTGTATACAGTGGATGTATTAGATAAAGATCATTTTGTTGTTGCTGGCGGTGGAGGGTCTGCAAAAACTGGTGTCCCTAATGCCTTGGTAAGGTGATAACGAATATTTCTTTATAGAACAACAATCATGTTTTCACTAAATTGTTAATTGAGACTCTCGATCGTATTATAACCAGCTCTTATTACCCTTGGAAGCTCTCCTCGGTAATCTCGTTCAATTTATGGAATGCATGTTATTGCAAAAGGGAAAGTCTTGTGGTATTTAAAAACTGGGTTTAGGGCACTGCATTGACACACCTACCCCAGTCTTTGAAAACATTTATAAGGAATAAAGGAAGTCATGGCCCAAACCACCCAAACCCAGCAGTATAGCCAAGGAGGGGAATGGGGATCCAAACCTCCACTTCTGGTTATAGTTTAGACCAGTTTTCTAACTTCTCTTTTATAAAATTTTGCTAATTTTAGTAATTTATTTTGCTAGTAATTTTAGCTGAGTTGCTAGTGTTAAACTTCATCCCAGATGCCAAAGCTCTATGGAAAGAATCTTGATCATAATAGACAATGAAATATTGTCAATATTCTGTGCAAATTACCATTTATCATCAATCCTTTTATCCTTCAGCAAATATTTAAACTCAAGTACAGTGATAAAGAAATGACAGCTGAGAAAGTTCATGAGCATGATTCAGAGAGAAAGGCCATCATGAATTGTTCCATTCATCCCAAGGAAAAATCTCTGGCCGTCGGCAAGGAGAATGAATGTCATTTATTATCCATAGACATCACAAAGAAAACACAATCAAAAACTGATAAAAAGAAAAATGACGCTAAGGAAGGGTATAAGGTGTCAACACTTTGTTCTGAAGTGACAGTGAAAAGTGTTGATGAAATTGATGATGGTGATTTTCAGAAAGTTGTACGGTTTACTGGTGATGGGGAACATATTGTTACTGGAGGTTCAAATGGATATGTTTGTGTACTGAAGGTGATTTGTGATCTTTCAAGCTCTTAAAGAGCATCCTGTTCATTTGAATGGCAAGTATATTATAATACGCAGGCTGAACTAATTTAATTTTATATTAAATTGCAGTATCCAACATTAAAATGTCTTCATAATTTCAAAGCTCATGACACAGATGTTGATGATCTTGCCGTCCATCCAAACAGCAAAAGGGTAAGTCATTTTACATTTTTATTTCAACCATACGCAGCCCAGAAATGTTTTCATTCTCGACTTGTGGCGCTCACGCATGTACGCGAGTCTACTTGGTCTATTATGGTGACATAATAATGATAGACAGAACCACAGTCACAGACCGAACTGTGACTGAGTATATACACTCGCGTACACGAAAACATTTCTGTGCTGCCTATGTTTCAACTAAATTAAAATCAACATCTGTTGATGTTTGCTTTACTTATTCTAAACAAATGCTGTTAAATCAAACCTGCAAAGTTGTTGGGTCTAGTTTTAAAGAATCTTTTAATATGACAGTTTGTGACTGTGTCAAGAGACACAAAAGCTTATGTTTGGAGACTGGAAGAGGGCAAGCGAGAGTTTGAGTTATTCTACACTGGACCAAATGGCGATGACAGCGAGGACGCTTTCAGAATAAGAGCATGCAGGTTAGTTGACCTCCCCTTGTAAATGACCAGAAATAAGATTTGATGTAAATTCAAATTTCATTTCAGACCTTTTGGTCAGATCAGATGAGAACAAGGTCTCCAGATGTAATGATTTGGAAAGATATACTCATAATATAAAGGTTTATCAAATGGATTATTAACAAATTGGCCAAATGCCAAATTATTTACACAATTTTTAGATTTTTGACGAGTGAAAAAGGTGAAATATTCTTGTACACAATCCAAGTTCCTGCCAAATTTGATCGTCACAAACCATCGCCATCTCTTATTGTCAAATGGGATTGTTCAAAATGGATTCCTAAATTGAGCCGCTCTGCTGGCCTTGAACCTCTCACACAGATGGCTGTCAGGTACATGCAGATAAAATATGTCTAAATATTTATCCATCCATTTTGTTTTTATCCTTTCTTGAAAATATACACTTTTAATTCCTATTGAAATACTAGGATTAATCTAACATCTTTCTAAAGCCATGAATTCTCTTTTGTCTTAGTGATGACGGTCATTATGTTGGTGTCGGCACTGCATCCGGCTCAATTGCTGTTTACATTTCTTGGAACTTAGCGGTAATTCCTGAAACAATCATGATATTCCTCACACCTCAGAGAATATATCATCAAAGCTAAGCTCGGCTGAATGGTTCTCTCAAGACTTACTGCAGCTCAAAAACTTGCATGAAATATGCCAAAAGAAATCCCTAAGTTTGATCAAAATTTACTGTAGAAATATTGCATTGTGCTGTAATAGCCAGAGGCTGATTTTGATGACTTAAACCAGCCCAGCTGGTAATGCTCAACTGCTTACTTAATTTCATATTTATATTACTCGAGTGCACACTTAAAACTAATGCAATTATTTGCATCATTTCAGCCTCTTGTTTCTATTCCTGAAGTTCATAATATCTTTGTGACTGGACTGGCGTTTCTGCCTCCATCTCAGTCGCTGGAAGACTCAAATAAAGAATTTGGTTTGCTCACAATATCTGCAGACAATACGTGTAGGCTTGTGACATTACCCAACAGAAGTAAGTACATGAAGCAATACTTTTGAGAACTCAAGTCCTTTGCTATTCCACGTGAAATCAGTGACTGTGCAGAGAATGACCAATGACTGTGCAGAGAATGACCAGCAGGGAATGACCATTTCGGTATCATGCTGTTTTGAATTAGATTTGTAGCTTAACTGATGTCATTTCCGACGCAAAGTCGTTTCTAGATTCTTTGTGTCTATAAATCACATTCATTTTGACTTTCTTGATGTGTTTTTTTTGCAGGAGAATTCAGCATTTGGTGGATCTTGATTGGCTCAATATTATTGTTATATTTAACCTTTCTGGCGCTCGGCTATCTGGGCTTTGATCTGTAAAGATTCCTTGGATTAGAACTGAACATTGTCATTGTAAATGGATAGGCTTGAGAGCTGTCATTTACTTCATCGCCTCCTTATCGTCGTAGTGCGTGTGAAAAGACCATCTATTGCGACAGTTCAAGTCTGCTTGTGATTACCTCGAGGAGAAAGCAATGAATTTCATATTGTTTTGCGAACTTTGATGGTAAAACGGAGCCATAATTTGCGCGCTAGGATAAAGTATAAAGTATGTATTCTACTGAACACTATTTGTACAGTAGCTTTTTACCTAAAAAGAGGAATTAGGTGCTTAGAGATATCTTTAAGAAATCTGAAAGTAACCAAAGGGGAGAATATGAAACAGATTATATCTAATTTAATCAAACATCGTTGTTCCTGTTTCCAAATGCGTTCATAAGGATGATGAGGTAGACACTATTCTCTAAACGTCGTGCTTAAAAATACTAGTTTGACGTGATATATAAGTCGTTTGACGTATAAGAAATTCATCTCGTTCGCTAACGAGATTTCCTGGGATATTTTTGCGTAAACTTAAAGATTTTATTGTGGATGGAATACTGGATTTTCTTTTTCCATCATGTCGTACTTTTGAATGTTTGCATTGGAAAAACCCACAGCAGTGTTCCACAAATGATCGACTTGCACTCTTTCTGAACGCATTCAATCAGTCCTATTTCTGATACAGGAGCAACCACATGCTCAATTCTAATCTTATTGTGTCAAAATAAATCCTCTATATTGGTTAAGAAGGATATTCAATGGAAATCTCACATACCCTTGCATTACGGGTGTTGACGGAGCTCCTGTTTGCGCTGGGTAATGACGCATCTTTAAAGTCGTATTATTCCCAGGACAAATTCTATAGTTTCTTCTTCAATATCGGTTTTGAAATCTCTCCTCAAGTCCGCAGCATCGTAATTACGTTGTATATTCGACCACTCACGTGCACATTGTTACATTCCTGTTGCGTTTGTTACTTAGGGTTGTGAATGGTTGGCAAAACGTTACAAACGGTTTTATGGTATCCTAACTTTATTCTCCTAACTTTTATTAACAATTTTATTAATAAAGATTACGAAGCGCCACTCGGTTTATATGTCAGAGAATTTGGCGAACTTTCTAAATTCCTGAATCCTTAAAGTAATGGTAAACGTTTTGTATTTGAAAGAATAATAGCACGGAATTATTCCGTTTCTTTTTTATCTGTTATTTCTACGGCCCGCGAGGAAATCGTTCCAGTTGACTGCAAATTTTAATATCTTGAGTTTTGATGTTTCCCCCACGTAAAATTTGCATCTCAAAAACGACTTTACAAAAGCCGTGCTTTGCTGGTTAATAATTAATAGCTCATTAAAAACATTCTTTCTCGCAATAAAACAGCCCCGAGGAATTCGCTTCACGAGGAAATGATTTCACCCGAACAAAAGGATTTGATCACGCTTTCAAACGAGGAGCAAAAAGCGCCCCTATGTTTGAAAACAACGATTTTTTCCGCTCACTTGAAAAAATTAAAATGCAAGCGCATGCATGATTAGCCACGGATCTATTGTTGTGTCTCGCAGCCTCATTTTCATGCTATTATATTTATGCGTGTAAACAAAGGGCTTTGAAAGCGGTTTACCTTTTATGATAAATACAATTGAAGCTAAAAAGAATGCGTAATTACAAGCAAAACTCGCCAGAATTTGGTGGAAAGATCTTCAGCTTGCATACGCGATCGATGTGAAAAATCGCGTTGAAAAACGGTGCATAATTATTATAATCCAAAGCCTGAAATTAGGGGCATACTTGACAGTTCAGCCTGAGAAAATCCTATCAAAACTATGAAAGAAAGGTAAGTTCAAATTACATGCCGTTTGCGACCCTTCCGACAACAGAAACGAGCCAAAAATCCGCGTTGGCTTCGTTTTCGCTTCAAAGTACCAGAAATAGAACGACAACGTTAAGAATCAATGCTTAAGAGGTATATTTAATGACAATGGTACGACTTTGTTAATTTCAGACGGAAAAACCTACATTCGATCATCTCGAAAATATCGGGAAACGTGGATTCAAACAGTGAACCCGATACACAGGTATTGTCCTTAATCTTTTATTTAAATATGAACGCATTTTGCGAAGTCGATCGTTTGCGATCGTTCTCTACACGTTTTGCGGCAATCTGTTCGATAATTGTAACAAGTACAGAATTGTGACTTTCGTGGAATTTACTGGAATATCTGGTCAACCCTCATTTGAGTTGTGTTCGCATGCTTGTTTGTAAAAATTCCGTATGGTCCTCTACGAAACACAAATCTTTGAGTAGTTTGCTAAAACATGGAGGGAAGATTGACCCGTTTAAGCGGGAGAAGTTCAGTTTAGCAACAGATCAAACAACAGAAATGTACAGACCCTTGACAGTCCCAAGGTGATGTTATTCTCGAGTCTCGACTCAAACGGATCACATTGCACAAAGATTCATATTGCAAATTTAGCATGTGCAAAACTAGAATCGGTCAATGTATATCTTGTTGGCTGGCCTATTTGAAAATGGGTCGGTCAGACATTATGTATAAAGGAATTTCTTGATTTCACAACTAACAATTGCTAGAAATATGCATCAATTTGCTATTTTTTTCTGTCTGCTGTGAAACGATTAAACTCATCAGTTGAAGAGTTCTGCCAGTAATAGGGTAACAAAGCTTTCTGCTATTGTCTGTTGCATTCTGTGGCTTGGCAATGCTCCTAATGAATCTTGCCAACTTTAGTTGTTTAATCTGATAACCATAAGCAAATTTGATTGTGGGGAAAGAACTGTTACTTAGTGGTCTTAGGGAGAATGGGAGTGTTATGGTGACTGTTGAAGGAAAGATGTAGACTTAACTGCAACTCGTCAACTGGCGATGGGCCAAGCAGGACCTTAGAATCATATGGCTTTAATTATTTCTTAGCTTGCATGTAATGTGAGCATACTGAGTGATTATCAAGACCTGATTTGGAGCATTTCAAAGTCCACCCCCATAAAAACAGGCAAATTATTTATAGCATGCTTAGAGTTTAATCTTAATAAGGAGTATAAGCATTATCAAACAAAAAACTGTTTCTCTGCTAGCAGTTTCTGAAGTGAAAAAACCATGAGAACGGTCTTCATCATTACTAAAAACAGTCAACTGGAGAGATTTTGATATCTTTCATATTTTTGAGAATAATTATGTCAATATTTTTAAGCTGGTCCGAACTGATGAAAGCAGAATAAAAAAACACTTAAAAATGGGGAAAACCTTTATTTGTGAAGTGGGAAATTCCTGGTGATAACACCTCTATAATAAATGCCTATTGTATATCCATCCAATAAATGCTAAAAATGGTTGTAAAAAATCAGCACTCAAGTATCGCCAACCCTGAGGGTGATTACTAAACAATGATTTATGATATGCTGTCAAGTTGAGGTGTCAAGTTTTTAATAAAATTTTCGAATAATTAATAGCAAGGGAAACATGATAGAGGAGAACTGTTCAGTTATGAACCTATTCCAGTATACTAGAAGGTTACAGCTGTTATACATTTTGAAAGATTAAAGAAAGCTCACTGCGATTCACTGCCGATGAGACAGGAAGGATTACACAATTCAAGGTTTACTTTAACTTGGAAATTATTAGTTTCCGTGCAGATACACTTGACAACACAGCGACCACAATGGAGCATAAACATGCAACCATATTTGTGATCTTGAAAGCAAACAGTATTAGAAACTGATAATGAGTTGTTTTTTTGCAAAAATTTAAGTGGTAGTTCCTACTGGTTTTAAAGAATGAGATAATAATGTGTTGATAGGTGAGGTAAACCTATTTACACCTATTAACAATAGCTTGGGGAGTTATTTTTTAGGCAAGTACTGCGAAGCGGGGAGATTGCCTGAAAAACAAATATGTGTAATTTCACACACCAACCAGAAGATGCAGGCTAATTTTTGTCAAAGAGGGTCTCTTTATAGTTGTGTCATTCCGAAATGCTCATAAACATGAAGATGCATTGCTTCCACACAAATAAATCCATTCAACCTTTCTAATTCCAGTTAATCAGATGTTGACCTGATTATGACAGTCACTTGAACATGTCAAGCCTAGAATGTTTACCAGAGCATCAAGCTGCACTTGCCTAAGAAGTCTTTCCTGCACAAGCATTTAACTCTGCTCAACTCCAATATCCCACATTCCAAGAACTCTACCCCAGTAATTACTCCACCTCTCTATCTTCACACTAATAAACACCCCTCCCTACTCCAGTGAGACTGTTCCCTACTACATTATAAGCACATGTCCCCACCTCCTAATAAGCACCCCTCCCTATTGCGACAAGCACCATCCCCTATTACCATAAGTACACCTCCCCCTATTACCATAAGTACACCTCCCCACCTCAATAGCAACCCTTCCCTACTCCAGTTAGCACCCCTCCCATTTCATATAGTAACCCTCCCCTACTCCAATAAGCACCCCCCCTACCTCAATACCCCTATTCTTGCAAAAAATGCGCTTATTAATACCAGCCTATTCTTGTCAAATACAAACACGAAAAGTCAGTTCCAGAACGTAGGGCACCCACGCTATTTTCTCTATATGCGCCCCCTTGCCCTTAGGGCGACGCAACAGTTTGAAATCAATCACCAACCAATCAGTTTTAAGATATACCAACTAGCCAATCAAATTTAACAAGAAATAACTGTAGGAATAACAGAAGTGCATGTTGCATGTGACACAAGTGCAAACTTTTTTCGACAGAAACACAAGCTCAATATGATTATACAATATAAAGGCAGCTTAAGCCTCAAATAAAATTTCTACATGCAGTGGCGTAGCCAGCCTGAAGATTTGTCCCGCTATGCTGATATTTTGGTGTTCATTGACTGTGAAAACAATAAATTTCTAAAGACACAAATCATTATAATAACATGAAATTTACATAACGGGACAAAATCGTCAGGCTGGCTACGCCACGGTCTACATGTGACAATTTCCACTCGTAAATGAACCCGCTTTGAAACACTATAAGAACGCAAAAAGTTTTGAAATAACATTCAAGCGGTTAGACTGATTTATGTTTTTAGTGTATCGGCATAAATGAAAGTTCTGATGACTTGGCTTTTTTCAACTTATTTGATCTGCCAATATATTCTTTCAATATTCCCTGAAAAATGCTTTATTGATCGTAAAATTGCATAGATTAATAAGTTGCAAAGCCATAGGCATAAATTTAATGCAAGTCATATTTTGAAAAGTTTTGTTTGTTGATTGCTAGGCTACCGATATGGTACCTGTGTGAGCACACACTTTTGATTGGTACAATATACGCGCCTGTGACTTTGTTCCGGGTCATAAATTTGGGTAGTAATTGCACCCGTGTCGTGCAATTTCGCTGTGAAATGAATTTTGTGATCACACTTTTATTTTCACAATGCATTTCACACTAAATTTCGCTGTACTTATCAATCATTGCCTGCCCACGCTTTACCAAAATACAGAAAATAAGCACCTCCTGGGGGCTGAATGGGCCAAAACTATTTAGCACTGACCATACAGAGGCAGTAAAAGCCGCTCCACTAATATCACTTGACCATAGCAGCGAATAGTTTATTTAAAGTAAAAATGCACTAAAACATTGAAATTTGAACAAGCTTTCGTTACTCTCATGAGACTTACACACATGTAATTTATTATTTGCAAATATACTTTAAAAGATCCTGTTGCATGCTTAGAACGGGTTGCGTGTGTCTCTGACAACGTTCAAGCAACATAGTTATATTGTATTACATGTCATATTATAGTATATCTCCCCGAAGGCATTGTGAATATCGCTGATTTAAAAACCGAACGAGGTCAACGTTTTTACTCAGTAATATTAATCCACCTGAGAGGATTGTTTTAGCTGATTTTTTAAAAGAAATACCTACGTCGACAATATTACGACGATTTAAATAAATTTTTGTTTAGCGTCGTCGATAATTTGGTCATCTCTAAGAAACTGCAAAAATGAGTGGGATTGAGCGTGGTTCTGTACAAAAATTACTTAGCAAGCTACGCTATAGACTTCTAAAAGATTTCTTGGTATAACATTTCACAAATTAATTCGAAAGAAGACGTGCAACCAAGCTTATATTTGTGTAGGAGCATTTTACGATAACGCTTGTTCTTCATTTGCAGGAACCTTCAATTACAAGTGTTCCCGAGTGTCCAAACACTCAAAGGTATGGGCTATTGAATCTTTTTTACAAACTCGTGCACCAAAACATTGCATTATTTTAAACCAATGTGGGTCTGGAGATTAGGACAGTCACACTCGTACCTTGAGAGATTAAGACACTCGCACTCGTACCTTGAGAGATTAAGACACTCAAACTCGTACCTTGAGAGATTAAGACACTCACACTCGTACCTTGAGAGATTAAGACACTCGCACTCGTACCTTTACTGTCACATTTCTATATTTATCTCGAGAGGTTCGTGGATGAAAGGATATGTCTATTCCATTGTCGTTCGTGACTGTATTTGCCCTACTCGACAGCATAAAGAGACGTATATCTCTGAGCAGCCATCGTTATGCTCTAATCATTTCGTTTTTAGCAACGACAAAGCAGTTTCAGAAATGAAAATTGCTGATGACCAACAACCACAACGACCCCTAACAAGAATGTTTGCTAAAGAAGGGGGAGACCAATTACGACAAGACGCAGCCATAAGAAGAATTAATTCGCAGCTTCTGGACCCAGTTGCTTCACCTCCATTCATCTGTGACCTATGTTCCGTGGCTTTCCTCACGAAACGTGAACTTCAGTTGCACGTCATGTGTCACGGTATCCATATTGCTGGCAATGTTGGTGAGGAGAAGGTAAAGGCTGTGGTGCAAAGACCAGTGGAAGCACCCCCCTCACCCACGATATCTTCTGGACCACCCACCAGTGAAGCTATAATATTACCCGCAGAAGGTTTGTGCTTGATATCTGTTGTGTATGTTCGAGAGACCACGTTAACAAAGACAAATAAAGTTAGTTTAGTTTAGGTTTCCTCCTGTAGTAACACTGGATCAATAAAAGATGACCCTTACTGGACCTCTAGGAAGAACAGTTTAGAACTGATAGAACTATCCAGTATAAATAAAGTTAGTTTAGTTTAGGTTTCTCCTGTAGTAACACTGGATCAATAAGAGATGATCCTTACTGGATCTCTAGGAAGAACAGTTTAGAACTGATAGAGCTATCCAGTATAAATAAAGTTAGTTTAGTTTAGGTTTCCTCCTGTAGTAACACTGGATAAACAAGAGATGATCCTTACTGGACCTCTAGGTCTCGATGAGTTAGTAAGTATGATGTATGTAAAGTTTTATTTTTACTCCATAGACTCGAAAACAAGCGTGAGCAAGAATGACGAGCCTGACCCAGAACCTGTCGTTGTCAACAGCGAAGTGAAAATTGTTGACGTCCTTTCTCTGGCCACTGCAACCAGAGGATTTAAAGAACCCGGCAGCATCTGGTGCTCGCTGTGCAAGTGCACGGTCGACAAGGGACACACTTGCAAAGTTTATCAAACAAGGTAAGATCTCACTCAGTTCATGCTACAAAACGTATAATCCTCAACGAATATCCACCGGTGACTTTATTGTCAGAAGATCAATAACTCTTTCACTAGGTGTAAATAACAATCTTGATAAAATGACACATTGCAAATTGTAAGCCTTCGAAATATTTCTAAATTTTTTCGCGATATTTTCACATAGTTATCATGCCGAGAAGACCAATGAAGAAGGATTCACTTGCGAACTTTGTGGTCGTTTTTACAACCAAAAACGGAAGCTTCGCACGCATCTTCGCAACAGACACAAAGGTTTTCGCCTTCAGGAAGATGAGGGATACATGTGTTGGCAATGCTGGCAGGCCTTTCCTGAAATTAAGATCTTAGAAGAACACATTGTACAAGTCCATGGTCATGGTAAGTTCACCCTGGCAAACCAGCCACGTAATTGCTCATTAATCGCCTGTTTACATATTCACATTTGTCAGGAAGCAAAGCAGTTTATCTCATTTATTTCATTTAAACCGTACATTTCATATAAACCGTTTAAAACTCTAGGGAGTAGCAATTTATGCGAATTCTTTAACTATCTTCATTGAATACGAGGTTTATTTATGTCGTGTTTCGCGTATTTTAGAAAGTCGAAGGCAGAACTCGACATGGAGGCCGTTCACTCAACCATCCACCTTGCCACTGGACGAGAATGCAGACGAGAGTGTTAGTCCAGATCCTAATGCCAGCCCAGTGGAAAACGCCTCAAATGCCGATCAACTAAACCTCGCTCTTAAGCGAGCAAGTGAAAATACTCACTCAAATCCTCCAGCGAAAAAACCACATATGGAGGTGACCAACGGCGTCATCAGCGTTGCAGAGGTTTGTGTTTTAATATTTTTGTGTTAAACGTCGTTCAGAAGACAACGGAGAGTTGAAATGCGAGTGTTTTCGGAGCAAAAGTTCTTCTCTCGTCAATTCTTGTTTTCAGTTCATTTTCAGCCGATTATAAAGTATTTGTTTCGTAAAATCAATGCTGAATTATCGCTGTTGTTTTAGGTAAATGGAAAGGTTGTAGTTACTGATGCACCATTGACGACCGAGAACTCCACATCTGGTCAGACTTGCATCTTCATACCGAATAAATCGCAAGACGCAAGCAATGAAACGTCGACAAATGCTGATACGCCAGGTACGGTTAACAATGTAAACTTTGGTAGCCCAAATGGTACAAATGGTTGCGATACCAGAAACCAAACTATGGGTAATTCACCTACCAACACAACTGTACCATTCGTTGAGAATCCGAAGAAGAGAACGGCAAATAGTCTAAAACAACAATGCCCACACTGTCCTGAGAAGTTCCCGAAAAAATACATGCTACAACTACACATCCAAGAAGCTCACGGTGAAAACATGCATTGTTTTTACTGTTCAACGTCTTGCGCTACGAAGGAAGTTCTCGCTTCGCATATTAAAACTGTTCACACTGAAGAAATGCGAAATGCGAAATGTCCCATTTGCCAGTGCAAGTGTCTCGGAGAACTGCACCAACACATCGTCCAGTATCATCACAAGGATTTGCTGACTCGGAAGTCCAAAGAGCGCGTGCTGTCCACGTGTCCGATATGCCACGCAGCCACAACGGATGCCTATCATTTACGCTGGCATATCCTGAGAGAGCATCGTGGGCTCCAACTTCCCAAAGAACTCCAAGATGGTTTGGGCGAGGATACCGGGAGTGAAAGCGGGAGCTCGGTGAGTAATGAGGGACCAGAAGCGGTAGCCGATGGTACCAAAGGATATAAAACTCATTTCGATGGTAACAGTGAACATAAAGGTACAAAAGAGGGCAATGACAATCGAGAAAAATTGAAAGATGAACTCGAGATCGTGTTTGTATCGGACAGAAATATCAAATCTGATTGGTCAGCTCCCACAGCCAATAGCGTTCCTACCACCAGCACGGCAACCTTTGATAGGTTGAGTCCAAAAGCCAATAGCGTAGCTCCAATCAGTACAACAGCCTCTGATAGGACGAGCCCGAAAGTCAATGGCGTGGCCCCAATCAGCGCAGCCAATAACAGCCACTGTATCAAGAAGGACGCTGACAGCTCGAATGGCGTGAGTCCAAAAGTTGATCCAAGTAAAAGCGTGCAAGATAACGTCCACAGTACAACAGGTCAAGACGAGAAGACCAGAGCAAGTCCAGTGATGTACGATCATCATAGTTTGAGTCAAGATACGTGTGTGTTCTGCTTTAAGAAGTTCACCAAGGAAACTCTGACCTCCCACCTGCGTGGCGACCACGGCTGGGTCGACAAGTTCACCTGTCCAATTTGCTCATTCAAAGATGATAAATATGTAACAATCGTCGAACATTTCTGTCAGTCTCACTTCCATCCGACCGAGGAAACACCGATGACGCAATGCGACGCGAAGTGCTTGAAATGCGATATCACCTTTCAAGATATTTGCCACCTGAAGAAACACTCATCAGCTCTTCATTCATTCCAACTGTCATCTGAGTCATCCTACAACACGTTTAAATGCAGACATTGCAATATCATATTCGAGAAGCAGTTTGACGCGCAGAAACATTTCGATGTTTATCATTTGTTCCGCATTCGCTATAAATGTGAATCGTGCCGGATGGGTTTTACCGCCAAACACGATTTCCAAGAGCACGTCACGTGCAATCACCCGGAACTCGTGAAGAGCTTCTGTCCAGTGTGTGGGCTTGGCTTTGAGGTCAGTTCCGATCTCGAGGAACACGTGTTTGAAATGCACCGACGGAAAGCGCATTTCTTCTGCGGACAATGCGGCAACGAGTTTAGCGATCGTTTCCACGTTCACATGCATATTCGTTCGAATTGCTGCGTCACGTGGGCTGACAGTAATTTCGAATGTTTGGACTGTCTGACCGCTTTCTCCACGATCTCTGAACTGCGAATTCATTGCAAACAAAAGAGCTGTAAAAATGACGTGAAGAAATGATGAGGTTTGATTAGATTTTTAAGACGAGTAAGAGCGCACGATACGAAGGCTGATGATATTGTTGACAACGCATTCAGTGCCATGAAAAGCAGCGATTTCATTGATAAGTATATTGTATGTTTCTTCCTAGTCTTTTATGTTTGGCGCCCGAATATTAGACACGATCCTGGGGAGGTTTAAGGTGAGGGGTAGACTTAGGTTGAGGGATGGGGTTAGTAGGTGGGGTTAGTAGGTGGGGTTAGAAGTATAGTTGGTATAGTGTTAGGTGCATATGGGGGTATAAGTTGTGCGTATTTGCGCGCGAAACATAAAAGCTTAAAAGCTCAACTTCACGTGCGATTCAACTCAATTCTCCCCGGAGGAAATTGGTTTAAGCAGAGGGTAAACGGATTTTACAGTGCATTATCAGTAAATTGCCCAGCCATTAATCGCGATATTTATTTTGTTAATATTTATTTATATCGTTTTCAAGTGTGATTGTTATGACATATGTATGTCGAGTCGTTCTCAGTGACTGATGACCTAAAATCACAGAAAGAATGTGTAGGAATTTCTGAGGAAAGATTTCCGTATGTGAATAAGGTTGTTGATGATAGAAAAAAAGGTCATATTCAAAATTGCGCTTTTCCTTTATTTAAGAATTGACTTTCGTCAGATGCATAAAATCACGTGAAGTTGAAGCTTTCTTCGTTAAAATTTTTATTAGCTTGTAGTTTTAGTGAAAGTTTATGATGTTCAGAATCCATTATTAGGTTATATTGTTTGGAAATCTTATTTTGCGATATTTTATTTTCATATTGTAGGAGGTTCTGGATTTCTAAGTCGGCATTTTGATTGGGTAATAATGACGAAGTTTAAGAAATGAAAAGATTAGTCATTAGTATTGTTACATATAGTTCTATTTCAAAATAGCACAAGACACTGGCGTGTTTCGTGGAAGAGCAAAAACGAATCACATTTTATCTGCTTGTGCTTAGACTTGAAGTTCGTCATCATTACCCTACGATTCGTTTCCAAATTCTGGTGGTAACTGTCATTAGCAAGTCCAAGTATCATTAGAAGAGATAGTGTAAATGTTTTATATAGCATCAGGACACTATTTCACATAGGCCACACTGACACGGTCGTTGCTCGTGACGTTACGATCACACTCGGAAACGAGGACTTTATTATTCCACTACGATGGCTCCAGTCAGCCTAATCTTCTGTGTTTTGCCGTATTTTTGTCACTACCGACCAAACCCGTCTTGGGAGAATTTATTTTATTTATTAAACCGCCTTCTCTTGTGTCACGGCTGACTTTGCTGTGTCTGCAGGAATTGTTATTTACAATTCGTCGTCTTCTATAGCCAGTACAGTCGATAATCGACACAGAGGATGGCGAAAGTGGTTAATATGCTATAAGCATCTGTACGTCTGTTAGTAGAATTGTGTCCAATCTGTAAATTAGTATATGTGAGTAATGTGACTAGAACCTTAAGTTATTTTAAAGAAGTCTTGGGCGTAGTGTAAAACTGCTCTGAACGCAAATGTTGGAGAGGTAAAATGCATTGATAGTCCGACATCGTCTGACAATCAAAGGCAGTTTTTTCCTCCATGTCATGAATGGTTTATGGTGTTTCATTTCTTCTCCAACACTGCTTACAGATATTACAAGTTTTGACTGACTATCATTCACAAACGTTGTGTACTGCCTGACCAATTTTGACAGTGATAAACCTACTTAAAGTTTATCAATTTTCAAATGCCATGATAAAAAAGCTCAAAATATATGACTTCCCGTAAGTTACGCTTGTGTAGAAATGTTGCTTTGATTTCGTTCAAGAATGATTGACGTTCAATAATTCATATTTTAAACAAGACAATTCTATACAGCGGTATTTACCTGGGGCCGGTTGTATCAAGCCCGTTTAGCTTAAACGGTGGATAAGTCAAAATTAAATAACACTCTTACAACTCTCTTGAATGAGTAACTTGAATATTATACACTGAATATGTAGTTGTAAACAGTATCTTTGTATTATGGTTAAAAACATTTAGTTTGCTTCTTGAATAAAACGATAGACTTGCTTTCTATTTTGAACTTATCCACCGTTTAAGCTAAACGGGCTTGATACAACTGACCCCTGGTGGTAATATATTTCAAAGACAAAGGACTATTTATTTAGAGGTCGAAAGGACGTTTTGTGATTGTGGAGATCCTGGTGTGACAAAACCTAGCTTTTACGCTTAGGTTGTATCTAGATTCTAGATATTTATAACTGTAGACTGTAGAGCTATTGTTGTTTGAATAAAGAGATATGAAGTGAGTTCTCCTTAGATTTTTCTACCCGCTTCTTCACCACGTTCCAGATGTCTTTTTCAGGTAGTTCAAACGCGATTACGACACCTTATTGTGGAATGTACCTGCACTAGATCACCATGTTTAAGATGTGTTTTTCTGGTAATTCCAACTCATTCGGACGTGCAGGTATTGTGGAATAACACTGCATACATTTTCAGCAAAAAAACCACGAGAAATTGCCATTCCTTCTTTTAAAATAATTTATTGTTAAATATCAAATAACTTTTACAACATTGTCTAACAAAGCAGGATTAAATAAATAGTTTTTATATTTAACTTAGCCAGAGATTGACTCAGTTTTTTTTACCAACAACTCAATGTCTTCAGTTCACAAATAGAATACTACCAAAACACTGGACCAGAACCACGTTTAAAATATCTTCTGGTCATTCCTACTCAAACCAACACACATTACATTTGCACCAAAAATACTAACAAGAAATCGACAGAATTTCTTTTAAATTAATTCCATGATAAATATCAAATAACTTTTACAACAATGTTTAAAAAAGTATAGTTTTTAAATAGATAATTATATATATTTAAATAAGCCAGATATTAAATTCGTTTTTGACATAAAAAAGTCGACATTCTACTTCATCCTGTGAGTTAGTCTTAACGGAGTGGGTCCACTGGAGTCCACAGATGAACCTGAGCTTTCTCTGTTTAAGGAGGTGGTGGTGGCTACTCTAGGTTCGCTGTGGATTTTTCTTTTATTTTGATCCAAGGAAGAACACGACTCGTCCTCTGAAGAGTGTTTTCCTCTTGTGACATACGACTGCTTCAAACGCGCGCTCAACCCAGGCGAATCTAATTTGTAAAAGTCCAGAAACGTTCTGGCGACATTCCGTCCTAACCGGTGATAGGAATCCTCCGTGTAGGGCGTATTTACCTGTCCATATCCCGTGATATAGCTAGCAAAGGATACCTCCAGTGTGTAGCAGTGCGCTCGGGGATTCAAAGCGTTTCCTAGGAAACGCCTGCCAGTGCCTGCTTTGATTGCGTCACGATTAAACGAGGTGCTGGCCATCGAGAAATCAGCCGCGTTGCCATAAAGAAGCCTGGGGAACACCATTTGCCGCTCAAATCTCTCTTCGTTGTCGTAAAGATTCCCGTACATGAAGCAGTTGTTTAGCGTCGAATGAGCGTGAATATCGATAAAGAAATCCAAGTCAACATTCGTGTTTTCATCCAAGGCCATGATGACGTCTTTGGCCGCGGAAATACTGGGGTGAGCCCAGACTGTCGGCTCGTTCCAGTGACGGTTTAGGTCGAAGCCCATCAACGACGAACGATAGTTGCCTAACACCACCCCGTCTGGGTTTAACATTGGCACGATTTTAAAGATGATGTAATCTCGGAGGACTTTGGCCATCGGGTGTTGGCTTACTAAGAAATCGATGATACCTTGACACACGAAAGACGCTGGTGTTTCACCTACATCAATCAAGAACAGAATTTATATCAAATCAGAGCCGCGCGCTAAAGGGAAGAAGAGTTCATACATAATTTCATGGATATAGTGCCTGGGTTTAGCCGCAAAGTTCTTAAGTAAATCATGCACTTTTAACAACTATAAACTTGCTCAAATTTTAACAAGAGTATTCGCTGGTTTGACTGCTACGTGTGGTAATATCCAGTCAACTCTCATGCAACTCTTGTTCTCGCGGTTTGACCAGGTCATGAGAGTTGACGAGACATGTCTCCTGATGAGAAACGAAGCCGTTCTGAATTATAGTCTACCTGGATGCACTCTTGCTGAAAAAAAGACAACTTTCTTCCTTCGGTTGGCATCGTTGTCCTTCGACGTTATCGTCAAAAGATCGACCTTCCTCTGCTGAACTGAAAGACACAGTTGCTCCCTCTGAACATAATCCAAGCCGCGTTTCTGCAATTGATTCAAATATTTCTGCAGTCGGGTGTACGTGTAGGGGTAGGAGTAAGCGAACTGATAAATATCCTCGTCCTTATCAAAACAGAACGCGAAGGACATAACGTAGTTCTTGCGATGATCAGGACATCGATAATAAAACACGTTTTTCGACGGAATTCTTTGCCATTTCGGTCTACTGGATGATTTCACAACAGGAGTCATGCCTTCGCGATATAAACTTTTCGTTTTACTGAAGTTGACGACGTTGAAGATGACTCGCTGGTAAGCGGAGACATTCTTGACGGTGAAGTTAAACCAGACTCGGAACCTGTTTGAACGAAGCAAAGAAAACGTTCCTTAGCTTGGATGGCGGCGTTTACAGCATGTAAATCATCGCCATTGTTCAACATGCGATGCAAATATCTTCTGATAACTAAGTTCTGTGCAGAATTTGCGTTATCATGCAACGGGATTTCGGACTTGGAAATCAGTTTGGGAAATATAAAAATGCTCGAAACCTTGGCAAATTGAAGGAGCATTTGTCACTTCTAAGCCACAAACTCATTTAGCTTTCAAACTGCTCGTAGGAATATATTAATTTGTCTTTGAAGCAATACGCGTATATTGTTTTCTTGCATATCTTAAAACCGTTCTTATCTTTTGCAATTTCTTATCAAATCGTAGATAACTTGACTGGAATTAAAATAACTGGTCCTTTAAGAAGTTAGAACTAAGTAATTTGTACTGCAAGTCATTTATTATCAAGTGCATTTTGGTAATATCGTTCTTTGCTGTTTCAAATTATAGAAAAACGATTTCAAAGGAAAGATGACCTCGGCAATGGCGGTCTACAGTAAGTTATATATTTCGTAGAATCTGGCAGAAAAAAACGATAAACGTAATGTATTAAATGCGATATGCAGAAGGTCATAGCTGTAAGCTATAAGTCATAAGCATTGAGGAAGATGCTCGCTAGCTTTACTGTGCTTCTTTTGTATGCTAATAAGAACAGATTAGGCTTTAAACGCGTTTGCATTTAGTAAACTCAGGCAAGAAGTTAGTACGTACAGTACATTAGCGGAATTGTGAAACGTATATTTCAGTTGAGATCTTCCACAGAAGACGTGAATGCTATGGATTTGTCCTCACTTAGCGGTATGAATCAAAAGAAGATAAAAAGAGAAATAACCTTGCATTACAAGTGTCCGGGCGAACGAACAGATCGTACTCGAAATCATTTATCAAATCGACACGACCAAGGTTGCCGCTTTCAAAGTTTGCATCAAAAATTAAGATTCCTTTTCGACTCTCGCCATTGTAGCCAACTGGTTCGGCGACATAGTCCGAGACATTTCCAAGCGGTTCTTCTGAGCTCTTCGACATCGCGTCTTGTTCTTGTTCAATATCATTATTTTCAACGCTAATCTCGTAATCTGACATGTTTGCTCGGGCCGCCATCTTGGATGATGTCAGTTGTCATGACAACGCCTGACAATTTAGGAAGAAGATGAAGATGCTTGCCTAGTCGCGGGCGTTCCTCAGAAACTAGTTTTTACTCTCAAAATCCAAATTTGCGTTGTGTTATAAAGAAAAATTAACAGTTACTTAACTAAACTAACCCGTTGAATCGTTTTAAACAAGTTTCTTGTGGGGCATCCTTCCTATTTTTATGTTGTTACCGTTTAGGAATGAAAGTTGAAGTATATTAAAATTACATGACGTTTCCCAATATAAGTGACCAACACGTGAATTGCAACAAAGCAACGTGCAAATATTAGGATTTAAAAAGTGAGAAATCATGGCTAAAACATCAAAACGTAAAGCTAAAATGAATCAAAAGAACAAGGAGAAGAGTAAAGGAAGCAGTACAAACCCAGGTTTGTGTTATATGTAGTTTTGAGTTGTACGAAAGTATGTATGTTGCAATTATATTAATATACAACTCTATTAAACACGTGTGACACGTCTGATAATTGTTTAAATTTTGGTCAATTTCAAGTGTATCGTGGAATATTATATCCAGCCCTAGCCTATCGAGGTCTCCATTGTTCCTGGCGGCTGGCACTGGATCAGACCAGTATATTTTGTATTCCACCGTTGAATTAGGTTTCCTCTTGTTGGGCTCTTGAGAGAAAGATGAGTCATAATAGACCTTCTCATAATGACGTCAAATGCAGGATGCAAATCCGACGCAAAGTTTCGTTGGCTTAACAAAACTAACGAGCCCATCAAACTCTGTGTAAAATCAGATCTTTCATCTTTAAACAACTGTAGATACCCACTCCAAGAAAGATGGAGGTCAGAATGCAAGAACGAAGAACACTGTGGCCAGACTTAACATGTATCGAGATGAGGGGAAACCCACTAGGAACAGACACGGGAAGATTATAAAGGCAGCAGCTTTCCAATCAAGGGCAACCCCCGGAGAAGTTGCACGCGTTGAACCAAACAGAAAATGGTTTGGTAAAGTCATTTGAACAATCTATTTTCAGAGTTAAATGTTTAAATGGGCATAGTAATCAAATTTCACTGAGATTTAGTTTCTTTATTCCTGATCAGGTAACACCAGGGTTATTACTCAAAGTGCCTTGCAAACATTTCAAAGTGAAATGGGAAAAGTAATAAAAGATCCTTATAAAGTAAGAATGTCTTATACAAAGCCATTGCATTTCAGTTTCCAATAGCAATTCTAATTGCTTCAACTTTTATCTTAAATCTTACATGAAACAATTTATTTCAGGTTATCATGAAGCAGAGTAAACTACCTCTATCTTTACTGCATGACAGATCCAAGGTATGCTAAATTTCCACCAATTTTTATCCATTTTTATATCATAGCATTTCTCACTTGTGGAATGTTGACATTCTGTAATGATTTCAGACATCAAGGGTTCATTTATTGGACACAGAAAGTTTTGGCACAACATTTGGTCCAAAGGCCCAAAGAAAGCGACCGACAATAGCTGCAGGTGATATGGAAGTGAGTGAAAAATTACTTCATTTAGCAGATTTCCTTTCTCACTAGGGCAGAGAATCTAGACCAAGCTATGAATTTATGGAGGGTTATAATTATATTTCGATTTTTCTTTGACTTAGTAATATAAAACATAGGTGATTATAATTTCTCTTTCACAATATTTAAGTGTCTCAAAGATTTCTGTCTTGTTTTTCAGTCTCTTGTTTCACATGTGCAGGAGTCCACAGGTATTGTACATTTGAACATATTTTAGTACAAGTATCAAAAAAAATGATGAGAAACTGTACATAATAGTCTTATATATGTACTTCTTTACTCAGATAAATATGATTGTGATAAAGATCAAGATTTGACCAGAAATGAACCGGATTCAAAGTAAGGATTTGTTTGTACTTGTGTTTTATTTTAATCAAACATATGCTGAATATAGATTTCATTATTACTGTTAGATCCCTTGCAATGGAGTCGGTCTTTAGTAAAGGGCAATCAAAGAGGATTTGGAATGAGTTATATAAAGTTATAGATTCTTCTGATGTTGTACTTCAGGTAAACTGGTTTGATTAAATCATCACATAATACAATATCTATTTAGCCATATATAACTAAAGAATTTCACTGTAGTGTCTGACAGTTTCTGTATTGATGTACAAATGAATTATCAAGGAAATATTACATAACAACCTGTTATGAATCTCACATATACAATTCTCCTGCAGATTCTTGATGCTAGAGACCCACAAGGAACAAGGTGTTTACAAGTTGAGAAATATTTAGCCAAAGAAAAACCACACAAACATCTTCTCTTCGTCTTGAACAAATGCGATCTGGTTCCAACCTGGGTGACTGTAAGTCTGGATTAAAATTTTATATGTCTGATCATGCTGCTAGATTTTTAAGGGGACATTTTATTTCAAGAAGAAACACTGGCTGATGGCATCACTTTTGAAGTTTTGTAATCCTTCTGTTGTAACATTAAACAATTGACTTGATTATTTAGCAACAATGGGTGACCATCCTATCCTCGGAGTATCCGACACTTGCTTTCCACGCTAGTTTAACCAACCCATTTGGAAAAGGAGCGTTAATCAACACACTACGCCAGTTTTCTAAGGTATCAAGTTGACCTGGTTGACAACTTTCATTGTTTTGTATCATGTAATTGATAATACAAGCAGTATTTATTGTCTCTCAGCTCCACAGTGACAAAAAGAACATCAGGTAAGTTAGTTTAGTTGTATCAAACTCTATGTTGATGGGCTCATGTACTTCAATGAAGATAAGTAATTCCTGGATTGAAGATTCCTGGATTGAAGTTTATGATTCCCTTGTGTCTGTAGAGAGATCCTGTTGTTTTAAAAATTGTCTGTAGAGGATTCTTCTACCAAAGGTTTGATCAAAGGGATGGTAATTTAACTAATTTTTGATTTAGTATTGGTTGTATTGGTTATCCAAATGTTGGCAAAAGTTCAATCATTAATACGTTACGATCAAAGAAAGTTTGTAATGTCGCGCCAATTGCAGGAGAAACTAAGGTGTGTGATGGTTAACTGTGATCACTAAGGGTGTGGCTTGATGGTTAACTGTGATCACTAAGGGTGTGGCTTGATGGTTAACTGTGATCACTAAGGGTGTGCTTTATGGTTAACTGTGATCACTAAGGGTGTGCTTGATGGTTAACTGTGATCACTAAGGGTTTGATGGTTAACTGTGATCACTAAGGGTGTTATGCCTCTTACAGGTTTGGCAATATGTGACATTAATGCGGAGAATATTCCTCATCGACTGTCCAGGTGTGGTCTATCCCTCGGGGGACTCTCCAACTGACATTGTTCTAAAGGGCGTGGTTCGTGTGGAAAATGTTGAGAATCCGTCAGATTATATTGACGCTGTTCTGTCCCGTGTGAAGAAGGAGTACCTGGCAAAGACGTACAAACTCTCAGACTGGTCAAACGCGACGGAGTTTCTTGAGAAACTCGCGGCTAAGAGTGGAAAATTATTAAAGGTATTCCCGCTGACCCAGTGATCTCGATCATTTCACTGGAATATTCATTTGTAGTTGTTCGTTATGTAGGGAGGTGAAGCAGATGTCAACACCGTTGCTAAGATGGTTTTGAATGATTTCCAGAGAGGAAAGTTGCCTTATTTTGTGTCTCCGCCGTCACAGCCGGTAAGTTGACAAGAATTACAACTTCTTGCTGGTTTCATAATGTGTAGTTTATTCTGCCAGTTGTACGCTAACGATTTGTCATATTCACCACCAGGCCTCCTCGGAAACAGACAAGGCTGGGACAGCCATAAAAATTCCAAGTTTGGAAGAAACATTTGTGAAAGGTTCCAGTAAAAGTTCTTCAACTATTTCTGAAGACGGCGCTTATTGTGACACTGAGAATCAGAGTGATGTCACTAGTGGTGACGTCATCAGTCATAGCCATGACGTCACGCAAAATGACGATGAAGTAAAGGCTCGTAAAGATGACAATACAAATACTGGAACAAACGAACTAAATCTCAACGTGGATATCTCACAAAATGTCACGAACGAACGTGATGACGTCTCCAAAGGTGACGTCAGTAAAGAGGTTGATGACGTCACAGACGTAGTGAAAGAAAGGGTGAATAAGGGTGACGAGGAGAAGGAAAGGAATAATTCCATAGATAAAGAACGAGAAGATAAAATGACTTTAAAGGTGAAACAGGATTTACGAAGGATAAAAGCTACTGTGGAATTTGTCGACGAAGATGTTCGAGATGAGCCGGGATATGAGGGAGATTGGGACCTAAACAGTGGTGAGAGTGAAGAGGAGGACTCGGAACTAGATGTCGATGATGACAATAATGATGATATTTGTGATTATAATGATAACATTGACAATGATATTGATCATTGTGAGGATATAAGTGATGATGTTGAAGAAAATATTGGCGATGGTAATTGTGATCATAATGTTAATATGCATTCTATTGATAATGATCATATTGATGATAATGATGATGATGTAGCTGAGAAATATATTGACAAAACGCAGAAAGTGGCAAGAACTTCATCTAAAAAGAAGAAAAGTTCAAAAGGTTTGTAGACGTGCTTCTTTGTTGTCTTGTCTAAAATACTTTAAATCAAAAATGATTTTGCTGAAGAGAAGGCTCACGTTGTGATAAACGTTAGCTTCATAAAAATGTTTGATTGTTTTCTCTGAATCTAATCCTACAGTCAAAAGGAAAGACGGCGTTGATACTGGAAAAGAAGTTATTGAAACAACGTCGAAGAAATTCGTTGTGAAGGAAACACCGGAGATCTTCATGATGGAAGCAGTTGACCAGAAGAAAGGTAGGAAATTTTACTTTATTCTTTTTTATTTACGTGAAAATATTTGAGTTGGGAGGAAATTATTCTCCATACCCCATCCTAAAATATCCATCCTCGGCTGTGTGCACGTGATCTGTGCGTGAACATCAAATTACCGCGGATAATATTTCGGGAAAGTCTTTAAATCCATTAAATGGTCTTAACAATCGATTTATATATTCTTATTTTGTAACAAACGTAAATGACAGAAAAATATACCGAATTACATCTTTTTCTATAATATAAACGCTACTATATATTTAGTTTTATATTTTATACATGCTGAGAATTTCGCGTTTATAAATTAAGCTTTTTCACCATGGACGCCATATTCTTGCATCAGAATTTGTGTTAGTTCTTGTTTTTTCCCTGTTATTGTTCGTTTCTGCGGTATTTATATTTGTTGAAATTGATTGGAATATGACGTTTTGACGTGGTGTCTCCACTTTGTCCTCATGAACTTTCGTATAGTTTTCTTTTTGATTTGGTTTCGTAATCAAAACTCTCGCTGGTTGCTGGCATAAATTATCATAAATTGTGTTCTCTGTACGAGCCTGAAAAGCGGTTGGACTGGGAACTTCATAACTTCGGGCCGTTGTCGTACCCTGGTCGTGCTCCGGTTCGTAGCTTGTCGTAGAGACGTCGGGATGTGTTTGTATAGCTTTGATGTACCTAACAGCCATATCCAAAATATCCGCCTTTTCCATTTTGTTGTAAAGGGCAACCTTGAATGGATAGATTTAAGAATAGGTTATAAAGATTGTAATCGAAGGACAGAGAAGACGCAAGTTATTTGCGAGTCTAATTGCTTCATTTCCTGTTATTTTCGTTCAAATCGTCATTGTGTTTTGTTAAATAGCTTTTTTTACTTCTTTTTTTTCCTCCACGCTCCGTGGTCAGACACAAACATTCTTGAAGAATATGAATTCTCTGGAAGGATCCGATTATGATCGGCGTAATCTTTCTCCCAAATCCGTATTAGTTCATTGAAACAGTTTTTCTTGCTTTCAAAACTGAAGTTGAACTTAAAGTTACTTGTTTCAACGCGACGTGTTAGGCCGCGGAAACAAATAAAATTGCATAACAAATGGCGTCATCTTAACAAGGAACACTCTCAGTAAAGTTGTACTCAACCGTTTTCCGATACCGGATATTAAGCAGAAGGTGTTGCATTCACCCATTTCCGATTGTTGTAAAAAACGGTGGGAAAATTTGTCTTGGAAGGTTTGGTCCAACAAACGGAGCCTAACGTTCTGTACAGTTTGACGATAATCCTGAGATTTATACTCTAGGTGCAATTGAATGGAATAAAATCGTGACAAGGTTTCCCAGTCGCTTAAGAAGTTTCGAGTGATTCAAAAATGCTCAACATGATATTGAGCTGATTAAAAAGATCTGAAGTAGGCCTACGGAGTGTATATCCGTTAGTCGTCTACCTCGGCGGGAATTTTTGAATATTTGAATTTCGTTGCAAGGAGAGCCGTTACTTGTTTGAAATGGTTTGTTTGAGTCAAGGTGTAATTCTAACTGGTTTTGCAGGAATGTGATTGTTGCTGTTTGGTATTGTCCTAATGATTGTGGTCGGTTATTTTATGCGTGGGTTAAGAATTGCCCGGATTCTGCCTGCTCAGTCAACCCTTCGCTATGTTGGCTACGATACGATTTATATTGCAAGAATTACTTCAAAACTCATACTCACTTCTCTGTTTAGAGCTGACAAAACCAAACGTTTCAACTCCTCTAAATAGTTGTTGATCTTGCGTCTTCGGTATCTTTCCATTAATGGTTTCTTATTTGCCTGTGTGTAAATAATAATGTAAATGAAGCCTTGAACGCTCTAGAATTAAACCACAACCCACAAATACTTGTTCCATTGAGATATCCTGGTTAAATATCCACCGCCGGCTTTCTTAATTATTAACCTCGATGGAAACGCATCTAGTTCCATATTATCATGTTGATCACTGCACAAATTATGCCGAATCAGTTGTGAATATTTAATAAGCTTGTGAAAAGGAACCGACTCAGTTATTATTATGAACGCCACTGAGAATTGACCTCTAAAAAGCACATTTATTGCAAACATATATAGCGTATGTTGGAACTTAGCTGATATCCTCAATCTTATCTCCTAAGATACATGCAGTTTTAAATTTAAAATTTTGATTATGCAACGGCAATGTGAACCGCGCTATGCTTCATGTATTGAACTACTTTGATAACATCCTGAGGGTTCGCAAGATCAAAGATATCTTGAGTAAATAAGAGGGGAAATATGTCATTAAATACAGCAAGAGTCATGCATCTGGGGTTGTAGAAACTTCATTCAACGGGGTTTGTCCATACTGACCTTTAAAACACCATTATTATGTCCGCGGCAATTTGCATTCATTCGTTCATCCAAGGTTCTTTTCAGCTGCTCTAAACCCATCTCAACGTGGTTTAAGAGTGTTGATAAATGCGGTTTTCAGTGTCGTTTCTGCGTACAGACCTCCTTCTTTAGCGCGCTCCAAGTGCGTAATGCCCACCTCTCTCTAGCACTCAGAATTGTCTACCCGTGTGTCCACGTGTGGTGACTGACATACCGCAAGTGAGCACGGGCCGTTTACCACGCGAGGGGAACCATACTCAGCATGAGCGCTGATTGGTCAACTTCCTGTATACCTTGCACCTGATTGGCTGCTCTTTGTACGTTCATAATTGATAACGGTTTGTTGGTTGTTTAAGGTGATCGTGTACACACTGCAATTTTTGAATGATTTGAAATTCATAACAGTATTCAGTAGGTGTCGCAATAGTTTCGTGATGTGAACAAAACCTCAATGCATGGCACCAACCAGGCTGGTGCGTTCTAGTTGCTAGAGTAAGAGAGCGTAAAATACATAAGAGATGCGGTTTTTCTAAAATGAAGTTTAACATTACGAGTAGTTCGTCGATGTATTGATACGGTGTAGTGTTTCTTTAGAGCAGTTTTTGAATTAGTACCAAGAGTATCTATAGTTTCTCTCACAAACAATATATATCATCTTAAAACGGTAAAAATGACGATCGTTTCTTAAATATACAAGTTACTCGGGATTCTTCAGGGTGCATTTAGCCCCTAACGATTTCTCACTATTCTTTTCATTTCCAAGTATTGCGTTATCCAGTTCGATGAAATACATGCATGACATGTTTCTATTTAATTGATACATTAATCCACGTTAATTACTCGAGGAAGTTCAGTCTCTGAACCATATCATGTATTTTAAAAGCAATTGCATGGATTGTATTCTTCTTGACCTTGTGAGCCTTCACAATTTATTGTTGACTGCTGATAACGCAGTAGCTGCTGACTGCTGAGCTAGTTTTTTTCTTTACCAAACTCCAGCTTAAATCTCTCTTATATTTACATTAGTCAAGAGCTTTTGTGCAGAATTAACGTTATAATACTCTATGTATCTTACATTTTTGACTATATACGTGTTTTGGTGCAAATGCAAATGGTGGTGGTATCTTTAGTTAATCATTACACAAAGTTTCGGGGCTTTTAACAAAGTTGGTACCAAAAGATGGTATCAAATTTATCATACATTTGAATGGTTTTTGATATACATCAAGATTACTCTTAGTCACGAGATTTCTCATGCAGGGTGGAGTTTGGAATATCATTATAATGGGAGGATCTGAATACTAATCGTGTATTGCAATTTGAGCAGATAAATGTTTACTTGCAATATTGCATGAACACTTTTAAATGCATGTCTGTTAAGAGCGGAGACCTCTCATCCGTCATTCCAGCATTGCCATATGATAATAGCAGCTATATGGTGTATATACTAAACGTTATATAGTAACAACTTGGTTTATTTACTATAAATGTCGGACGGTCAGAGATTTGAAGAATTAGACTTTCCTCGTTTTAATGACCGAGTTATATTGATCACTTTTTGCTCCAATGTTATTTCTTCAAACATACTTTGCTTCATCAAATCGCAAGCAAGTTCATAAGCCAGGTGTAGGTCAAATGAATTATATCTTTATGTAGCTCGCGTGTCAATTTATATCTATGTAATCAAACGCTTTGATAAATTAAGATTCGTAGACACTATGATTTCATTTGGTGCAGTAATTTATATCATCATAATGTACATTTCCAGTGGTATAGTTAATCCAACAATGAAATTGTGTGGTATCCAGTTCAATCAACTAACCTGATGCTACTTCAAGCTTTCGCAAACCATGCATTCATGGTCTTTCGTTGCTTATAGATAGAATATATTCATACACAATTTTTCAATGCATTTTTGAGGATATAAACTTGTTTATCAGAATATAAAGACGATATATTTGCATACATATAGTTGCCACTGCATGGTGTGGGCATTCATGATGTATGTTTCATCTAAATCTTTGTTAACTGGTTTTGTTGTTTCACAATGGCGAAGCTCTCTCTTGCCGTGTTTGTAATTTCAACTATTTTGACGTTCGGAAAATGTGTGGGAAAACACGAACGTGGCGTTTACACGTGGCTCGTTTGGTTAACGTTTTGTTAAATACAAGTCTGCATGGCTACCTGAAATGAAACATAACACAAGCCTGCGATATTGAAACTCTGAACTAGTTCAGGAAATATATTTACAGAAAAAACTTACTATACACAGCTATATACGTATAGGAATTCTTGCTTTGATTAGATTTTTTTACTGTGGAGAATGTTTTTAGCTATACATATTTTTTTCATTTCTAATTCTTCAAGTATAATTCTTTATATAGCCGTATATCTGTTTAGTTGACCGTCAAATATCTGCTGTTTATATGTTGATGTCTATTCCTGTTAGCCAAACAGCGCTGTCACACTTATTTGTGAACCGGAAAATTACCAACAACGGCGCTGCAATTTATCCCAATCTTAATGTACCACCTGCAAGACCCTTGAGATCACCAACGCGAAAACTTCTTTCTCTTTTTATTATTCCATGTAAACACTTCAAAAATATAGAGAAAATGTTTGTTGGAGGGAAAGAATTCTAGTCAAGTATACATGTCATTTTTTAAAGGGATCACGAATGTTCAAGATCACAATGTTTTACTAATGTTTTACTACTAGTTACGATGACTGCTGTAGTGCTGTTGAAGTAGTGATTATATCATAGTTCTGCATGGACCCATGCAGTGTTACTACAGGAAGAAACCTAAACTAGGCTAACTTTATTTATACTGAATAGTTCTATCAGTTCCAAACTGCTCTTCTTGGAGGTCCAGCAAGGATCATCTCTTATTGATTCAGTGTTACTGCAGGAGGAAACCTAAACTAAACTAACTTTATTTATACTGGATAGCTCTATCATTTCTAAACTGTTCTTCCTAGAGATCCAGTAAGGATCATCTCTTATTGATCCAGTGTTACTACAGAAGGAAACCTAAACTAAACAAACTTTATTTATACTGGATAGCTCTATCAGTTCTGAACTGTTCTTCCTAGAGATCCAGTAAGGGTAATCTTTTATTGATCCAGTGTTACTTAATGAATATTTACACTGGATGATAGCTCTATGCCATGCAGTTCCAAACTTTTCATCACATGCATATATTTTGTGCCTCCTATTCTTTTTATGTATCAGATCTTTATCGTTGACAAATAATAGAAGATATATTTTAAAACAAATATCATAAGAACTTCTCGAAGACAACTGTATGGACAAGGTCCTTGGACAAGGTCATATATTGTTCCAGTTCATATTTATTTTTGAAGGATAAATATTGTTTTCGTTTCCATTGGGTATGCAAACGAGGGATAAGTTGAGCAGGTGCTACATTGTGTGGGTGACCTTCCGAACGGAAGAGAGTTAATATTATTTGCAATAATATTTGACATAGACAAATTACATCTGAATATGTTTGCCGCATATAAGCTATCATTAAGATATCAATAACAACGGCATCGCCTGAAGGGCTAGTTGAGTTAAACTTTGAAGGCATGGCTCACTTTCATGTATGTTTTTTGAAGTAACCTATTCACGTTTTTCTTTTTGGATGCAAATGAGGCGTCTCGTGCGTGAAAAACAATCATTAAAAACAATTATTGTTGGTGCTCTGCTCTGTGCGAAATTTTCCATGAATTGAAATGTGCTTTCGAAAGTGCAGAGCTATCGTCTGATCGGCAATGCTCCAAATATCTATACCTTAAGATGTAATTAGTATTTTATCCTCTTTATAACTTGACTGTCTCGGCAGCCATAATGCTGCCGTGAATTAGAGTGGACCCACTTATGTTGGAGCCGTTTGGGTCGGAACGTATTGCGCATTAGACCCTACCTGTTATAATAATAGGTTGCCAATTACAGGTTAATTAACGTTTTGACCAATATATAAGCAAGTTTGTCAACACCGTCATAACACTTTAATATTGAACAAATAGAATATCAGTTAGAGTGATGTTTGAAACTAAATAAATCCCACTTAGCGGTAGTTTGCTGGAGAGTAAGGCTTTTAGGCTGACGTGGATATTGCTTGATGATATCCAGGGATTAGAGCCTTCTTGTTTTGCTAATTATTAAAGACAGGTCACTTTGAGGTAGTTCACATCCAAAAATGTTAATGAATTATGATCTAACCATATCGCAAGTGTTTTATGTAAAACTTCGGAGCGCTTGATTGCATGAAGTATAGGCACGTGCCGACATATTTTGCGCGCGTGTTTTTGGCTCCCTGTGTCGAGACGCATCGAGCAATATTTGATACACGTACTCAATTTTGATTTCTCGTAAAATATGTAACTTTATTCAATTTAAAATATAAAAAACTTCTAATTTACAATTATGATTAATCTATAAGAACAAGAGTTGCGCGCGAAATTAAAGAAATATTACAATCTTTGTCCTAAATGTTACGTGGCTTAGTGCCATGGTCGCCAAACAGACTCAGTTCTTGACGTTCTGTCATTATAAGACAATCTTCTGTTTGGTTTTAGCTCAGCCGTTTGGGATAACAGCGTTAGTCCTTCTATAGGGGACAGCGGTAGTCTCGCTGTGGGGGATGGGATGGGCGAAGGAGGTGGCGTGGTGGTAAACTGTGGATAAGTTGGAGCAACCGGTGTGAAATTGTGGATAGGATGAGGTAGATTTAACGGCATCATTGGTCGAGATCTCGCAATGTGAGATATCATTTGTGACTTTTGATTTGCGTTGATCGTTGGATCCGTGATGAGGACACGCGTCATGTGATCCTGGCATTCTCGAAAACCTGCTTGATAACTGGCTAAACCAGTTGAGCTTTCCTGCTTTTGTTTGGCGCATTTGGCGGACTTGAGGTAGTTCACGGTGAGATCCAACACGTCAGCTTTCTCCATTTTCTCGTAAAGTGTGATCTAAAAATTGAAGTAAAAATCATCAGAAATATTGCTTCAAATTCAAACAATATCCAGGCCTTAAGCCCGTGAGATCAGGCAATGAGAAATAACACTTCAGTTTTGTCAGGACAAAAGTTTCTGTTCACATGGGTTCTGAGATTTTTTTATTTGAGATTTCGCCAGGTCGTACAATTGTCAATGATTTAATTGCCAAAACTCCTTCAAAAATGCAGGTGGCTATTAGTTAAGAAACAATAGCAACCCTGTGCCAAATTCGGGTGCGGTGTCGATACATTAACATGTGCTAGCGTTCTTCATACACTCAAAATAAACGGAAATGGTCCTTGTTGGATAATTCTTGCATGAGTAAATATAATAATATCATACAAGAACACGAAACATCTCTGCCATTCATGAAAAAAACAAGCATACGCCTTGAATAGCCTTCAAAAAGCTCAACATGCAACGAGAAACTCGTTTAACATGAAGTTTACCGCATCAGAATAAAATTCTTTTCTTAAAACGTGCAAAGTTTTTTAATCTTTTTTCAGCAAATTCTAGCGCAAATAGTACTCTAACTGCATGAACAACCAGATTTGAGGTTTTTGGAATATTACAGTTCATTTAGTATATAATATTCCCTAGTATATCATATATCAAAAACTTTATTGCGATTTCCGCCATAACGTTTTATTATTTGTGAAAATGGGAAGCATTATCTTGGCATACAATAACAATTTCGTTATTAATCACCCTTTAAGGTAATTTGCAATACTTCAAAGAACTTCCTAACATAGATTAACCGTAAGATGATGACCTAAAGACTCAGTTCTCTGCCGCGAAATTTAATGATCCTTCATTAATGAGCGTATTGCTTGCAGTTCTTCTGTTCTATAAACTATATAATTTGTCATCCCTGCTCTATTAATAGCGGAGTTTTAGCCTTTTTCACTAACAAATCTCGTGAATTAGGCATTTCAACCAGTCAGGATATATAGGAAGACTTTGAACATATCTCGCTGGAAGGAACTGTATAAATGAAACCTCTATAATGCGACTATATAGTTAAACATTTTAATAATGTGTGCATGAAGCCACAGTCACACACATGCGGTATTCTTAATTACTATATAGAAGCGGTTTTTTCCGCCGTATTCATTGAGATACCACTCCTGTGTTTATTTGAATGCAGAGAATTCACTTTCGCTCAAAAAACGCTGGATCAACCTTTCCATTGTTGGCTTGACGTTGTTCAAAGTAAACTTTCCTAAGTTTTGCATGCTGCGTGTGAAAATGGTTTTGTATCCTGCTAAATAGCTCATTCCTTCAATTTTTTTACTTTTTGTGAGTTTTAAGAAGTTTGCACAGTTGAAAAGTGAACGAGCTCGTTTGAATCGTAGTTAGATAAGAATCATTTAGTTAATAATAAACTATTTCGATTTATCTGCGATAGGTAACTTTCAAATAGACGAGAAATTATTTCCCACCCTCCTCTGAGTTCAGTTGAGGCGTTTTCCGGCAGGTTTAAGTATGAACTAATATCACACGCCAGGCGAGGACCTCGTCTGCTTGTCTACCACGTGCCACCGTATATATTGCAAGAGGGTATATAGCAAGGTGCCGTTGAGACGGCCACGAATGCATATTATATACCTTTTCTTAAGTTAAGCACAAGTTAAATTGTTTATATTGATCATTTCTTTATCATAGCCGTTATTTGTTACCAGCCAAAGTATATAACATCCAATTTGTCAAAATTGTCAAGTATTTGTGACGGATTTGATGCCACAAATGATGAGGAATTTTATTTATATATTTATGCAATATTTTATATAGCAATTGAAAAACGTAATGATTGAATATGTAACAATTTTACTTAATCTTTTTAAATCTGAATATTAATTAATTGACTTATTTGAAAAGATTTGCAAAGATTTGCCATGCAACGGATATCTAGGGATTTAGCTTTATGAAGTCTATATATTTGTGTATATATTTATGCATGTAATGCACTAGAATGAAAATTCTATTTAAAATTAAAATATACAAATTTGCGATAGTTTCAGAACTTACATCTCTGTGTAAGGCTTCCAATACCAGCTGCTTTAGCTCGTGAAGACTATCATTGATCCTTTTACGTCGCTGTTTTTCAATCAACGGTTTCTTAATCTATAAAAGAGAAGGATTTAAATAAATATATATGTATTCTCTTTTCAAAACAATTACGTCTTGGTCAAATTCCAGTGTGGCCTACACGATTGTAATTAATGTTAATTTGCGACTCCTAGTTCCACGTCAGCGAGGACCAATTTATACTCTGTTCTTATAAATCAGAGAAAATTGGTCACATCAAAATATTAACCTGGATATTGTTCTGGATGTTGTTCAAAATTATATAATAGAAACTTCAAGCGTGCATACATGCATATATACATTCAACTTCGGGCTAGATTTGCATGCAAAATAGCTTTACAATTAAATAACTATATGTTAATGAAAACTTGTTAAATATCAAGCATACATGTTTAAAATATATTTATGGCAATGAGCACATGCATTCATGAAGACAACAAAATCGATCATGTGAATTAATTCTTTGTTTTCATGTCAGGAATTTCTTGATATCATATCCTATAGTAATTGTTCGTCAGATAGCTAGCTATTCCTTGCAGCTTGCATTTTTTATATCAGAATTTATACCACCAGACAGGACGAACCAAACTCTCAAATGCCTCAACTCTCTAATATTATAATATATATTTTGCTATAAACTTTCTGATTCTTTAACGATTTTCAGTCGTAGTTAACCTTGCACCGTCATTTTGCTCATAAAACGTCTGAATATACATGTTAAAAGCAGAATACAATAAATAGCCTTCTTATTGTAAATCTACAGTAGAAATACTGGGTAAAGTTGGCAGGGTAAAAATTAGAAAATGTTTTTCTAATTGAATGACGTTCTTTATATATGGTTAGATTTCTTCCTAAAATAGCTATTTGGTTGTCGCGAGTTGTACAAACGAGTTGTAAGCAAGTTTTACCTTTCTTGAATCTTTGCTTGTGTTTTTTCCATCGTTCTTGAGGTTTTCCAAACCCATCTTGTCAGTGTTTTGATACAGTGTGTTTGTTTGTGTGTGTGTTGCGTGTGCCACGAGTGAATATGTGTGTTTGAGTGTGTGGAAGAGGAACCGCAAAATAAGCTCTCTTTAATGTTTCATTTATTTATAGCAAGATGCCATGGGAAAATCCTTCATTGCATTGTCTATAACAAATATTGACTGAGCGATTGTTTATAGTTTCCCACCCACATGACTCTCTTTTGAATATCATACATTACTACCGTGGGATCACTTCACTGCTATTGGTCGAGACGAGCACTTTGCTCGCGACCAGCGTAAGCATGATCAGTGGCGTGAGACGAGCGTGAGACTGCTTTGCGCTGATTGGTCCATTCGAGAAGGTCGCGTTTTACCAATTAGCTGTGCTCTGTTCCCTGGCATGCGAGCAGACTGCTCAGGTGCTTATGGATTTCTAAGGCTCTTTGGCTAACGACTATAAGTACGTCAACAATAGAACGTTGCAGGCGTTAATAACCTTCATCCTCACCTTTGTTAGAAAATATTGTTTCCAATTTTCGCTGATTTACATCCAGTAACTACTTGCTTAATTAACTGCAGTCCATCGCCGCTTTAGGATATAAAAACTTGACGAAAAATCAGCGATGAATCGAAAATCAGTTCATTCTATATGAGCCTATGCACTTGTGAAATCGCAAGTTCTTTCTCAGTATTTCAGTCTATTTCGAATTCGATAGAATTAGCTTACCTTTTAGGGCCGAACCTATATGAATATCATATTTATATACTAGGGAGATTAGGCCGCGGTACATCATCTGAAGGAGTTTAGGATAGTTTAATATATGATTTAATAAGTTTTATATACATTTAAATACAGTCGTCAAACGCTTCGTTCATAAAGAGTAAGCCTGAATGCATGGGACAATGAGAGCGACGAAGTGAAACTAAGTTTGACTAACTTTTGCTAAAAATGGTTTTGTGATTTCACTGCAGTTTCCTCGCTGTAATATTTAGCCCTTCGTTCTGCTTTGCTTTTTATATATTTCCCAATCGTACTTCTCGATATTGGCTTTGATTTTGTGATTTAACACGCCAGCAATTGTGTTTACGGCTGGATCACCTGCGATATTTTTAGGATTTTTAACTTTCCAGAAAGTTACTTATACGGTTTCATGAATTTCATTTGAAATTAACATTTAGCCGGCAGTTCCTTATAGTTGAGAATGATAGACGATTAGCTTTAAAAAGTGTAAAGTATAAAAGTGTTCTAGATTCTGAAACAAGGTATATTCCTGAACAGCAGCAAGCTTGAGAATCCATTAAAAATATAATAAAGTTTTATTGCAATTGAATTATATACAGGCATAAAAAAGATTGTCCGTAGTGGCAGAGAAAGATGAAAGTAAATGATTTCGAGCTATTCTTATTTTGAACTGATAGATTTGCTGCTACATCATACATTTCATTAACCGATTTACCAGAGCAGTCAAGAGATAACAATGTTATACACAGGAATAACTATTTCGCTAAATATATTTTATCATTCTGCTTCGAGGAGGGCATATAGCGTAAAGCTTTTAGATCTTTCTCGAGCGAAATGCTGACAAAATATTCCTATGATTATTATTAGTTCATATGAGTGCACACAATGCACAATATACAAATTGAAAATTAATTCCCTCGTAATCTCCAAGTTTAAAGAGTCTAATTATTAGCAGCATTTGTAAAGAAGGTGCATTTAGAGACACATAATTGCTGAATTTTTCAAATTGGCGCAGTCTACTGTCTGCATGCAATCCGCGAACGAGTTAAATTATCACATATTTTAAACGTGGTGGCCCAGTGTAGGTAGTATTCTGCATTAACCTGCTGTGGTTTGTGTCTGAACTACCTCGAGAATATATCCCAAACGTTGGGTCCAGTATCGGTGGTATTCCACAATAAACTTTGATGGTTCTTGTCGAAACTGCCTAAAAAGTACGGATATATCTCCGTGGTAGTCTATACTGTGGGTAAAATTCTAGCTGGAATAGTATGACCAACCGTATCTTGCGTAAATCTCAGCGAAAATCATCCGTAGCGGTGTATGTGCATCATAATTATATCTTCAAAATCATAAATTATGATAATCTTAACTTGACAGCTTTTGTTATACTAATTCAGTAATTTGTAAATATTTGTGTGGGTCTCGGGTGTGTGTCTGTAAGATTAAGGAAGTTTTTTTGTATTCACAGTTACCGCATTTGATTTAGTGTTAACTATCAAATCTTCAGATATCCTTAAGATTTATCATTTATACATCTCTTTAGGCGAAAAATACTTCAAAAAAACTCAAAATACACAAACATGTAAACAAACTTTGAAAATCTATCTGTCGTAAAGTTTGTTTATTGTCAACTATGTGACATGGTTGACAAGAACTTCGATATCAATGTTTTGAGCTAAAAATATTTGTAGAGAACGTTAAGAAACCCGGGCTTCTGCCTTTGATTAAAACGTCGATCTGAGCTCTTTGAGAAATATCCAAAATTATGTTTATTTCATCGTTGATTCTTCCTCTTCACTTGAGATATCGTGTTTGACTTTACACATCCACCTTTAGTGAAATCATCAGGTGGTAATGTGGAAACCTTCATAAACTTTATACAATGTTTGTTTTCAGGTTCGAAAAAGCAAAAACTCAGCAGACAGCGAAAAAGGAAATCCTTAGACGAAGAATGTGACGATGCTGTGCCTAAAGTATGTAATTTGCTCTTCAAGCACGTTTCAAATTTGTGTCATTTTCACATCATCACACTCCGTGTGTCATTTTTTGCATTTGGAATCCTACAATATGGACTTTTAATCGATTCATCATATGCTTAAAATATACAGGACAACGTCTCCAACCTTTGTGGAAGACATTGTATACTTTAGATAGTTGAAGAACCCGCTTAGGTTTGCTTGATAGAGAGAGCTGACTCGTCACAACCATTCATCTAATTCCCTGCAGTAGGATTTGTAGCGTTGCTTCGAAATATTCTCCCAACAAGTTCGTTGGCATTTACTTTGTCTTCCAGGGGTTAGTTTATATGAATATGAAGTGTTTATTATGGATTGTTTTCTCTCATTTAGAAAAAGCAAAAGTCGACGCGGAAAATGAAGACAGGCGTGCATTACTATTCTGAAGTTAATGTCAAGAATAAGAATAGGAACAAGAAAAGTAGTTCTACAAGCCAGCGGTCAAACAAAGGAAAAAAGAAACGGTCGTAAAACAGAAAGGTCAGACACACGAAGTTGCATGCAGGTAATTTTGAAGAAGTAATCCAAATATTTCATAATCCAATCTTTAAAACCAGTAAACTACACCATTACTTGTTAATGCAACTAAATGCAACCAAATCTCAAGGATAAATCTCAGAAAACGACATTTATTTTGGTTTTTCCAAGAATTGCTACAAAATTCACAGACAGTTCTATAACAGTATTTTATATTTCTCTGTCCTTGGGACTCTATTGATAACTAATCTACCATCATACGACAGCGATGCAAACACCCATGGGTCAGCGGATGACCATTCTACGGCATATACGCTGTCTTCGTGCTCTTCGTACGTTGCTATGACACCGTCTGCGGGCGGGGAGGACCTGAAAACAGGTGGAATACCTATTAGTCTTCACTTTATAAGGAAAATTGGAAGAACTGGTTTCTTTATAAAACTTTGAATAAATCATGTATTGATAACCAAATAAAATACATTTGGTTTATAAGACTTATTAGTTTCGTTTTTTAAATATTCCCACTCGTTCATGTCTTTATTTTCCTGATCATCATCGTCATCATCAAGATGTGGAAACGGTTCGGATGATAGCGATACGATCTTGTTCAAAATAACTCGGCTATCACTGCTGGATGACAATACAAGTTGATCATGAAAATGATTGTATCGAACTCTCCAGACCCTGAAAAGAAATATCACATCTTTAGAAATCTCCGCGCTAAAACACAACTGATGAGAACAAAATTACAATGAATATTACTCAGAACTGATGAGGCAAAATACGATGAAAATGATCTAGTCAGATATAAACAGCAAACTTGAAACGCAGGGACAAAATACATGTGTGATAACAAGCTTAACTTTATACATAATACTTGCTTTATTGAAATGTCAACAAACAGTTTATTGCTATATTGCTAAACCTAAATTAGAAGATTGTTTCCCCCCAAAACCGCTGCGAAAAGCCAACCCTTTTGTTGTCAGATTACAGAGTTATTATGCTGCATTCTTGACACATTTAATAACAATCGGTAAAACCAGTAGTTTCATTCATAAATATACACGACTTCCAATGGGCTTAAACTGTCGATGGTTAAGTGTTTTTATGGTTCAGTTTTTTAACTCAAAAACGGCGAAAGGTGCACAGATATAAAAAGTTACCCCATATGATTGTGTATCTACTATAATTATAAGCGGTGTTTGAACTGGTCTTAAAATTAACATGTGCATATACGTCAATGAACCATTCCAAATATCGACCAATATCGTAATAATTGTGTCTGAAATCACCATAACATGCCGTATGTTGACATGACTCCCGCATAGAAACTTTGTTACTTCTGCCGAAAGACCAAACATCGGAGACAAAAAGAGACAATGAGAAATGTTGTATTGTTTTGAAGAGAAATTAATTGTAATTAATGGTCATACCAATCACGGTGAGATCTCTGCTGTCTTTCAAGTATCCGGATTTTATGTCTGGCGTGTTCGGTACAATATCCCAGACCCCTGCCTGCTCCACGTGCATGTGATTCGTGCGAAAGCTAATATCTTCATTTTAATTCTTACAAAAATATCGTGTAAAAACCGCTTCTGGGAAGTTCATCCGCCATAAAAACTGCAGAAATAGTTGAATGAAATGGAACTGGAGAAATAAACGATATGATTGCTGGGTCGAGTAGAACCATCGAACCCAACTCATCTTTTAGTTTCTGTTCGTCTAGAAAATCACGAGCTTACGTAGAAATCTTAGCCAAATATCTTCTGAGTGTATCGCCGTCGAGTTGACAAGAAAATTGATTTTTTTATCCAGGAGTGTTGGAAAATAAGATCAAAGAGGATACGTCAATATAGACACTTCAAAGTCCTCAACTGAAAAGAGGGACACGTGTGCGACTGAGTCATTGCATGACTGATCACCCAAGACCAGCTAGAAATAGTGCCGACATCCTATCATATCGTGAATAATACCACGTTCTTGTATCAGCAAATCATGCACCCAGATACACCCTAATTCAATATTTTACACCATCTAATACCAGTTATCTTAGCGATGACGATCATCTTTTGAAGTCATCTCACCTGGATACTACTTACCAGTGCGAGTGATCTGATAGGATCATTAGGGACTCGTTGGGATTTCGCGTGTCCCAGAACTTTACTTTACAATCATCCCCACATGTCACGAGGTAGTACTGCTTGTTTGGATTAAAGTTGACATCACGTACACACTGACCATGCGCGTTGTCTAGAGTATATACCTGTCTAAAATAGATAAACCTTTCTGTGCAAATTGTCTTTGAGTTTCCTCATCCAAGAGTTTGTCCATAGTCTGCTTGCATTAGTTCTAGATTTTCTCTTCTACCTGGGACTCACCTCATGGATCGAAGATCCCAGCCTCGTACTGTGCTCTCATTGGCTGTTGCTACTTGTGATCCACCATGATGTGGGTTCCAGGCCCCCATTGTGAAACGTGGTTGACCTTTACCTTCCAATACTGTGGTATCTATTTCCTGGTAAGAGATTGCTTGATTAGTGAGGTGATTGCTTGATTAGTGAGGTGATTGCTTGATTAGTGAGGTGACTGCTTGATATTTGGTCAGTTATTAAAGCATATCAATCACTACCTCAACTGCTTGTGCATCTGCATCCAGCTGCCATATCTTGAGATGTTGATCAGATAGTGTAATAAGTTGTGAACCATCTCCTGAGGGGTTCCACAGGACACTAGATAATAACATAAATACTTCTTCAACTATTTTAGTTGAGGTTTATTTCATCCATCAAAAGAAACTTCTGATAGAATATCTACCTCTTCATGCTCTCTCCACCACTGTCTAAATCACAGAGCTTGAACAGTGATCTAGGATGACCAGGTGCCGCAGACTGTGATGGTGGTTGTGTTTCATCCACTAAAGGTAGTCTCCATAACGAAGCTTTCATCTCAGCCTTGTTATCAACAACTGCACAATTATTGAAAGCGTTAAACTCCTAACCATTGCCACAGATCAATTACATCCCATACCATACCTTGATTGTAACATGTTGAGATGATATCTTTATCTGATGGACTGGAACCAATATTCCTAAATATTGTTTTGCTGTCAGAATTGACAAAGATATCTGCAGTAATAACTATCATACAACTGCTTTGACCCCGCTACTCAGCACCCTATTTGAGTAATAAAATTGTCGCAAGATTGGGCACATATGGGTGGATCACAGGCTAATGGTTAAAATAATATACATTGAAGAATTGCAAACCATATTTCTCCTACTGGATGGTGAAATACGACATGTTTATTGATCAGGCATGTTTCATCATCAAAATCAATTAAATGGACCTACAAGATTAAGACAACAAGGTTTCATGTGGATCTATGTGTCGTGATCGCTGGCTAGCAAGTTATTGCTGTGGAATAACGAAGGGAGACGTGCTAGAGGGGGGTGATTAGAGACTGCAGGGTTTGATAAACCATGAAATATATTCACTCGCCTGATTATCATGTCTGAGTGACTGTGTTCCTACCAAAAAGCGGATCAAATCTGTCTCTCCACACTGAGACGTTAGCGCTCTTGTCTGGTAAACAAGATTAACGAATTCATTGATTTTCTAACGCACAATTATCACCATCACACCATGCAGTAAAAACTAAAAACTGTGGTGGACTGAATCGCGAGGTTTTATCGTTAAAAATAAAATGTTCAAAGCATTTCAAGATACTAACATTAAACTCCAGACCATAAATAACAGATGCATCTTCGTCTAGCTCCATAGAAAAGCTTGAAGATAATTTCTTGATCAAAACATTTCCCTTTAAATTTGTTATTTTCTCATTTCTTTATTTACATGTGGGGTATATGGGGATATAGGAAGAATAGTGTTGAGTTTTAGGGGTATATGAGGGTGTCTGGGTGTTCAGAGGATAACAGGGGATACAATGGAGTATATCAAAGCATCATGGGATATATTCTTTCTTTCTAATTTTCTCTGAGGAAACGTGTTTTTGGTAAGGTCAAACATAGCCTTAAATCATTGATTTTTTCAACGAATTTCACTCATTTCTTCCCCAATATCCCTACACCGAGTATTTTAAACCATGTTCATGTGAAATTTGTTAGGTTTGTGAGAGATCTAGACGTTAAAAATGCAAAACGAAGCCGGTGAAATCGTTGACACTTACATACCTAGAAAATGGTGAGACTCGTGGACAATGATTCATTTTTTTTAAATGAATCTGATATTTAGCATTTATATCATATTTTAAAGAATACTGCCAGGCACAACTCCAGAAGTTAACAAATAAGTCTGGCTTGTTAGACCCACATATTCATAGAATAATCACCCTTCTTCTAAGTTGGTTCTTTTAAGTTATTAAATCTTGAGTGAGGTCAGCCTAAAAAGTTTTGTCAATAATAAACCACAAGGGAAAGCCATTGATTTAGAATTGTAAATATTTGCAACCATGAAAAACTATCTTTGATTACTGAGTCATATTTTCAAGTCGACCATAACCAGATGGAAAGTCACCTTTAAAGCACAGTTTGTCACCATCAGAGTTCTACCAGGCTTGGTGGTGATCAGACATAACGCATTCCTTAGATAGACATCTTAGACTTCTATGTATATGCATTGTAATTTCATGACTGCTTTTTATAACCAATCATAATAATATGTTCTAGCTCTGTCACCAACAGAATTATTTCTGCCAAGGATCATGCATCAGTGCAAATTAATGTTGGAGAGGTAATTCAAACTATTGGTTCATACCACAACTGTAGTTAAATTTTTCATAGAACTTGGTAAATAATCTTGGGTTGTATTTTTCAAAACTAGCTCGATGAAAATGGACGATACACCAATAATTTCAAGACCTATGCCTTCAGTGGTTTCTTGAGAAATACAGTAAGATTTTTTCATTTTATCACAGTTTAATTTTCCTTCTACTTTTCCAATTTATCAATCCACTTTTCATATTCACTAGGGTGACTCAGATGAAGCTCTTGTACGTCTGTGTATGAAGGACAATATTGTCTCCCAGTAAGTTGTTTGAATACTAGAATAATTGAAATTCCATTTGAGCAAACCGTTGTTTAATTCTACAGCAAGCAAGTATGTTTCATGAATTCAATATTTCTTTATTTCAGAAACACCACAGAATAAAGCAAGGATGTATATGAAATAAAAGTTAAATAAATGCTTTGTGTTTGACATATTTTGTGATTTTTGCTTCAGTTAAGTTTAATCTGTTTTTTTGACCAATCTCACTCTTGTGATTCGTTTTATTTTCATGCATGGATAGTGCCTATATTGTATATTCGTAATACCCCAGTCCGAAGTGACTATGTCCATCAACCCTGCGCCCAAAGTTGGAAAATATTTGTTATATTCCCACCATTTTATAATTTTTATTCTGCAAAGCTCCAAGTACATTCAACGAACTAGTATAGGAAAAATACACGTCTTAATCGCAAAGACATAACGAATGTGCTTTAATACGTTTTCAGAATCAAATTAATTCTTTGAAACAGTACAAAGTAACAAATCTTGTATATTCGAACATTCCGAAATGTAACAAAAACGTTCTAAACTCGTTGTTCCAAAAATGTATCAAGCGTGGGAAAAAGTCAATTAGAACTTTTTGCGTGCGAAAAGAACGTTTTTCGTGGGAAAAGAATGTTTTACGTTGAAAATGAACTTCGTGGGAAAAAACGTCAGCGAAATGGTTACGCGTAGAAGAAAAGATAAGTTAATCAGAATACGGGTCTTTGAGGAAGATTAAGAAAATGGCAGTGAATTAGAATCCAGCCTTTCGCAAATTTTGTTCAAAATACGCGCGTCGATATTATATTGGATCAACGTTTTCTTGTTTTTTGGTCACCTGCGTAAAAAAATTAAACACCCGTTTATACAATGCCCTTGTTGTTTGATAATACTTGGCGTAAATAACCATAAATTCTTGCAGGCAATTTTTCGCGTATTCAGTCTGGACACAATACGTAATTCACCAGCATCACTTCGTCTTGTTTCGCTTCGAAGGACCAGTCTCTGCTGAAATGATCGTTTGACGGTCGTCGGAATAGTTCCTAAAAGTAAAACAACTTGTGGACGACAAGGTTATGTGAAATTAAAAAGGTAACGTACATAATTTGAATATTTATATGTTTGATTTGTATTTTTTAGCCTGGCTAGGATCAAACTTTGTTTCTCTAATGTAGAGTGAGAACAATGTAGATCGATATTGAAGTATTCAAACTGATCTCTTGTCTTTAAACGCGTTCTGCCTATGAACTCTCATGTTTGACCCTCGCTGGCGACGTATCGGACAATCTGTCTTGACGAATATTAATCTTGCTACGGAAACTATGGAAGCACTGCAATATATGTCACTATGATAACAATTATAACCTTACTGTAATGCTTAGTTCAGTTCCTGCCTGGTTCAATAATATTTTATACGCAGCGTCAATACACGTGAATCATTTCTTCAAATGTTTAGTGACGATGATGATCCCAGTAGCTTGTACCATGCTATGGTATTGCATTTTGACCATGTCTGTGACCAATATCTGGAGTTTCCCAGATAGTGCTATTGGTCAAAAAGTATTCTTTTGTCCAGAACAGGCGATGGTTATGAACTTGTGCCTGAGAACACTAAAGCTTCGAGCATACCAGTTTCAACAGTGAATTCTGAACCTCGAAACATTCTGCAACTGAACTCAGTTAAAACGGTTAGTGCATGCAGCATGAAATGAAACTTTGAAACTCTCTGGTCAGTCCTAAATTCCCAATATACGAATCTCGTTCTATAGTCGAATGTTCAAGCACCGTCTCATCCAACAACAACAACAGGTTCTGCAAAAGATTATAGTCCAACGATTGAGAAAAAAATCAGTTCGTCGATAGTAAATATTCGTGCTAAGACCAAGGATAAAGAGGTAGAACATATGAGCTGTCTTTGCCGGACTTCTAGACTACATACATTATACAATTTTATAACAAGTTAATTTTTTTTATCCTAGAGTGTGGTAACCCTCGCCTTGCAAGGGCACGATGGCTTAGCTGGAAAGCCTGGACCCAAGGTTAGTTTTCGAGAGTTGAGATCAAAAGCTGAGATAACAAAATTTATTCAATGTTCTTATCTGTTAAAATTCTCTATCGTTTAGGGTAAACCTGGCCCTCCCGGTCCATCAGGAAGAATGGGTCCACCGGTAGGTTCACCTTACCTAAGGCACGTCCACAATGATTCCACATTGCCATTCTCTTTTCGATGGATGCAAATGAGTGGATAAGTTATGAATGTTGAAATGAAAGCACACATACATCAGAGCATTTATGACTATTCGCTTGATTGCATCCATCAAAAGACGGAAATCACAGAGAAAACTCCACAAATGTACATGTACTATACCTCGAGTTGAAAGAGCGTAGTATTTCTCTTTATTATGCATGCATGTTTGACGTTTTTTGCCAAATGTATATATACTGTTTTATCACTCTTTCTTATTCTTAAGGGTTTAAAAGGAAAGCCTGGGACTTGTAAAATATCCGAGGTAAACTTAGGATAGAATTTGTGGTAATATCTTCATCCCTTATCATCCATGATCTAAATCTTGCTGAAAAACTTGTAGTTTGAATGTGACGTGGATATGATACGGTCTCTTACAACGAGAATATCAGAATTAGAAAAGATTTGCGACAAAAAGAAGGTAATATTGACCTGAACATCCCGCTTTTTTACATTCAATGCACAATCCTTTCTTTGATTTTGTATGTCGCCATTTTATTATCCGCATAAAATTAAAATACATGAATTTCATAACATAATATGATACTTTATATTAATTTTATCATTCACAACATGGCATCGACTTTCATGATAAATACAGGTGTTATAGGTTTCTATATTTTACATATAGAAACATGTAATTTTCACTGTTTTTGTTTTTCTAGAACACAACAGTTTGAATGAAAAGTGAGCATTCCTGGTCATAGTTAGATAATGTTAGTTAGGGTATGTTAAAATCGTTTAAAGACTACGGATTACAAACTTCTGAGCTCATGTTAAGAAAAAAAACATATCGATTATGATTTAACGAAGGGCCAGGTTATTAATCAAGGATCCAGGTTATCAATTTCTCCTGCGACACGCCACCTTGCAACCTAAAAAAAATTCAAAAAACTCAAATTATGCATGAGACTTCTATATATATATATATATAGAGACTATGTACTGTAAATATGTAAACTTACATCTTTAAGACGCAGAAACTCTGTTCTCATCACAAAGAAGAATGCAATATGTGACAGCAAGACTAGTCCAATAAGGATATCATAGCATTTGAATGCGTCTGAAAAGAACGAGGAATGTTTAATTTCTACATTGTATTGATAACTAATTCAGTTTTATCCTATCTTAAAAATTGATACAAACTCAAGGAAGACAGATATAGACTACACGATAAATTTTAGACTTAATCACGTCTAGGTCTAGATTAGGGCTCCTTCATGCAACTAGAACTGGTTTACTATTAGATAAACAACCTTAATTTTGCTTCAAAACTGCTCGCTATGGCAGTCTATATCTATCTGATTATCTGCATATCAAACGATTTTGAAGAAAGCTCCTTAGAAGACAGTTTGAGATAAGATTTCACCTTCAGCAGGATTTTCGTCCTCCAAAATACAATTTAACCAAATGTATGAAGGTATGTCAGTCACAGCGTTGGCCATCACGGCTGCAAGTAAAATGCACTAGAAGGAAAAATTGCCGGACAATTTTCATCAGTTTCAGCACGGGCCATCTGCGTGTGTTTAGATACGATAGATATGTGAAAATATAACGAATATATCTCCTAATACCTTTACAAACACTGAAGGTCCTTCGTGCGTGATTTTATAATGAATTATCAGTATAATAATAAAAATTGCAGCTTGAATTATCCACAATAAGATATGAGCAACCCAATAAAAAATTCTGAAAAAAAGAATGATTAATTCCGTAAATATTTGCAAGGTAAGATGATTGCTGTGTGTCATATCTAAAATGATTCATTTCAACATGTGTTTACTCCGTTTCTTTTGTCCAAGCAGCGATAAAAAAACCAGCAGACAGTAAAAACAGAAGAACAAAAAACACATCAGTCTTGGATGGGTTCTGAAAATTGGAAACAAGCAATAATGTACCACGAGTCTATGGTGAAGGACTAGACTTTTGATACAATGAAAAGATTTGGTTTCCGGTTTATTCACCTGGATAGCTGACGTTCCGTTCTGTTGAAATAAAATCGGCGATGTTTCATCAGTGCTAGTCGTAGAGGCCCCATTGGTGTTTGTCATGTTGTTATATGCTGAAAGTTTAAACAATGTTTAAGAGTCAACGCAAATCATTGATGACGCAGACTGACTGTATTGATGTATTTGGTTCTGAAGTTCTTCATGTTGTCCAAATCCTTTATTCTTTTATGAGATATTTCACGCCTACCTTCCTCTCTCTGTTTCCACTGATATTTAACAGCAAATAATAATGACATTATCTACAAATACGGGCAGAATTGTTGTCATTCCAAGCTAGAATTTTGAATATCAAGATTTGGCTGTGATGAAAAAACCAGTTGAGAAATTGAACATCACTGAAGTGACTTGATAAAGCCATCTAGTGGTTATTGTGGTACATCTTATTAAAATACTCAGTGGTTCCAATAATTTCCAGTATTGACCTACACTTAACAGGTTTGCCAGCCAAGCTGAAAAAGATTGTTAAGAGGCAATAAATATTCACTGCATGTGCTCTGTTGAGAACCTTTGTTGGCATCGAGGCTAGCTGACACCAAAGTACTGGCAACTGTATGAATAACTCACCAGTAATCACTGGAAATTCCTTTCGCTTTTTTTCATGAAGAAAAAAGAAGTATAGGCCATTCATAACTGAACTTAATAATACAAAAAAAAATTAAAATGAATGAAAGAGTATTTTAAGGAAGGAGATAATTCACATGTTTTGATAGTCTACCTTAGTGCAGTAAAGATGAAGAACCATATCCACTGCGTATTTGATGTTGCTATTGTACAAACTGAGTAATTTAGGACTGTAATCCTTAACATTCACAAAACAAAATTAGAACACACATTCATTTTGTGCTTGCTGAACATCAAATAGGACTAACCTTGTGTATTTGAAGTGTGTTAATAAAACAAACAAAAGACACAAAAATCCATCAGCCCAGAATATTGAAACAGCTGCCACAGTCTTGTCTACATGCAATGTGATAAACAACCAATTTAAAATGTATTAATCATTGAACTGTACTCTCCATATGAATACCTCAAACATCTCTCTAATACAGACAAGTACCCTTCTAATACAGATATCTCTCTAATACAGAGACCTTTCTGATGCAGACATCTCTCTAATACAGACATGTCACTCCAATACAGACACTCTTCTAATGCAGATATCTTTCTAACACAGACATATCACTCCAATACAGACACCCTTCTAATGCAGACATCTCTCTAATACAGACATGTCACTCCAATACAGACACTCTTCTAATGCAGACATCTCTCTAATACAGACATATCACTCCAATACAGACACCCTTCTAACGCAGATATCTTTCTAATACAGACATGTCACTCCAATACAGACACTCTTCTAATGCAGACATCTCTCTAATACAGACATATCACTCCAATACAGACACTCTTCTAATGCAGACATCTCTCTAATACAGACATATCACTCCAATACAGACACCCTTCTAACGCAGATATCTTTCTAATACAGAGACCTTTCTGAAACCAACATCTCTCCGACCAGTACAGTATCTGATCCACTCTGATTCAAGCATAGATCTTCAGTTCCTTTCCATTGGTTTCAAAATGCCTACTTAATTCTTACGGAGGAAAATTATCCTTATCACAAGAGTGAACAAGAAAAGTTTCTTTGTGGTAAAGCTATCAATTCTGTTAAAAAACTGAGGATAATTTTCCCAATTGAAATTAATCATGGAAGGTAATTTCATGATCTTACCAGAAAAAGATGATAAATTGTTTTGTTTGATATTTTTCCAATTGCACATTTTAATATCCAAACCAAAGTGTTTTCTTCAGAATCAGCTGATAATGTCTACAAAATGAGAAGGTAATTCAAATTCTGATATCTGCAAGCCAGAATATGTTGCAAATTCCAAATTGAAACATCATTTCTGAGAAAAAATAAATACATTCTCAATTATCAGAATCATCGAAACTTTGTGAATTTCTTGATAAATATCTTGAAATTCCTTAGTACTATAAAAATGTTTCCAATATAAATAACCAATATTTTTCAAAATGCCTAGTTTTAAGGATAATTTCTCCAAGGCACTGGCCTGCTACACCTGGAGCGCCCTAAATTTCTTCGACCTTCACGTGTCGAACTCGTGCTAAAGATTGTTGTTGTTTTTATTTTTTTATTTTATGAGCGATTTTACGATGAAAATCGAGATGAATCCCGCTGCGAAAGAAGCAGGGAAGACTGCTAAGGATTCTAAAGATGACAGCAAGCCTATAAAAGGGGATGAAAAGGCTCCAAAATCGCCTGATATTTCGTTTGAAGTTGGTGATTTCTGCCTTGTGAAGAGACCCGCGGATAACAATTGGCGTAAGAGAAAAACTCTCTTCCTTATGTTGATAATTTATTTATGCCTGTTACTAGATAGAAATTTTGCTGTGCCTTTTATGTGGGAATATTTCGTTGTAAGATGCATTTATTTCACTTGTTCATTTTCATCAGGGGGGGGAGCTCCCTGGATTGTTTTTGACTAAATCAAGAAAGATCTAGCTTGAAAATGAACGTGTTAGTTTTTACCAGAAATCAACATTTAAACAGAGCTTAGTTGATGCACTTAGTTGACAACAGCATACACAGAGCCACTTCAAGGTTTCTTGTCTCATTTCGGTTCTCAGCAGGGGGGGGGTGGCTTCCTCTACCAAACACAGATATAATATGAACTATTGATATGGGAATGTTTACTCAAAAATGTATTCCATATTTGCCCTGTTGTGCGGGATGGAAAAGATGACTGTTTGCATTGTACTTGCCTATCCTCTGGCAATAATAGTTGAGTATTGTGAATTATTGATTATTTACATAAACTATTCATTGTAGATCCAGCTGAAATCATCCAAAAACGAAATAACGTTGAAGAAAACACAATTGAATATTATGTTCATTATAATGGATGTAAGGAATGATTACTTCACTAAATTACTTTGTTTGTATGGTTAGATGATAAAACCTTGAAAAGGGTGGCACATCATGTTTACCAGAATGATTTTCTTCACTAGTCAACCGTCGTCTGGATGAGTGGGTGTCAGATGTCCGAGTTGATATATTCAAATCAAAAATCACGGAAGAAAAGTCCGAAGAGAAGTCAGACAATGAAGGACCAGAAAGAAAACTGACCAGAAACCAGAAACGAAAACATGATGAAATAAATCATGTCCAGAAAGTGAGACTATTGTTCAGTTGTTTTGAAATGAAGTTCACTGTAGGTGAGAGAACTAAAACATCCCATATTTCTAGACCTATGCTGAAATGGATCCAACAACTGCTGCATTAGAGAAAGAACATGAAGCAGTAAGTGTTATGAATCTGTTGATATGCCAGGCTTTGATGTATATCATTTGTCAATGAAACTTTCATCTTCAAGGATTGGACCAGACATTTCATCTTCTATTCATAAGTAGTTAGTCATCAGGGGTTCATCCAAAAGACATGAATGTTTACCATTTTGATTATTTCAGATAACCAAAGTGAAATATGTTGATAAAATTCAAATTGGAAAATATGAAATTGATGCATGGTACTTCTCGCCATTTCCGGATGACTATGGTAAACAAACCAAGCTCTGGATCTGTGAATATTGTTTGAAATACATGAAATACGAACACACCTTTTGTGATCATATGGTAAGCTCTGTCAACAATATCACCATTGGTAGTTAGTAATCAATTCTTCAAAGAATTATCCTGCAAGCTATCAAAGAATTAGCTTTTGCTTTGAAAACTTGGTTTTAAATTGTTTCATAAATGTATCATGAAGCAATTATCCACTATCCATTCTTTCAGACAAAGTGTACTATGCGCCAACCTCCGGGAAGAGAAATTTATCGCAAAGGAACAATTTCTGTTTATGAAGTTGATGGTAAAGACCACAAGGTAGGAATGAAATGTGTTACCTTTTTTGTCGTATTAAAATTGTCCAGTGAATTGAGTTGTAAGCTTGAGAATTATTCTTTCAGATCTACTGTCAGAACCTCTGTTTAACAGCCAAGTTATTCTTGGATCATAAAACACTTTATTTTGATGTTGAGCCGTTTGTGTTTAACATCTTAACGGAAGTTGATCGTGACGGAGCGCATTTGGTCGGATACTTCTCAAAGGTATTTTTTTTATGCTTTTCGTTCATTGCATTATTTAAGATCATGATTCTTTAAGAACCTGTTTTCGTCATTTGTGATCATTGTATTTTGCTGGGTTTTTTCTTGGAAATGTGACTGGAAAAAGGGAATTGTTTTCTAGGAAAAAGAATCCCCAGACGGAAACAACCTGGCTTGTATCTTAACGTTGCCTCCGTACCAACGAAAGGGTTATGGGAAATTTCTCATCGCATTCAGTAAGAACGTCGTTATTTTGCTTGCAAATATTTCAACCTCAATGTTGTCCAACACCACCCTGTCTTGATTCATTTAGGCTACGAGCTCTCCAAACTAGAAGCAGCAGTTGGTTCACCTGAGAAACCTTTGTCAGATCTTGGAAAATTGAGCTATCGTAGCTACTGGTCCTGGGTTTTGCTCGACATTCTCAGAAATTTACGAGGAACATTATCTATCAAAGATTTAAGGTGAGCTATATTAAACGGGGGAACTTAACGTAACCTTTTGTAACAGAAATTTTATATAATTGTTGTAAAGTCCATTTCGTTTTTGCTTTAATGAAACTCGTGAGTTTGTCTGTTAAAAGAACTGGAATATTTTTTATATGTTTCCCAGCACAATGACAAGCATCACACAGGAAGACATTATCAGCACACTGCAATCCCTCAACATGATCAAATATTGGAAAGGACAACACGTGATTTGTGTCACACCGAAGCTAGTGGAGGAGCATGTCAAGAGTGCACAATACCGCAGACCAGTGCTTACTGTAGACACTTCATGCCTAAGATGGGCACCAACCAAGAGAATAAAGAAAGTCAAACATTAGTGGATATTATATTATTAATGTTGGCTTCACAATCGCTTGAAGTACCGGGTGCTCAGCTCTTTTCTTCTTGTAAATAAATAGCCTGGCATTTCATGGTTGAGAACAACATATAAATAATTTATCCCATGGTACGTGATATAGATACGTGATACGGATGCGGATACGTGATACGGATACGTGTTCTTAAAAATTTTTATTGTCTTGTAAAATCTTGGTCCTTATTCGTCCGGAAATGACAGTTGAAGTAGCTCTGCATGAGCTCACAATAACTACAATATTTTAATTTCGCTGTCCTTAAAGTCGTCCAGCCATAATCCAGTGACCATGGTTTTGAAATATCAGACACAATGCATTTACTACAATGGCATGCAACTATACAAAAATATAAAAAACCCAATGTCCTTTGAAGTTTGAATGACATCGCTATGTAACAATGATTACTTCCTAATCTCTTAGAGCTGAAAGAGTGTTACATTTGTAAGAGAATTCTAAGATTTTAAGCTTTTCAAGAGAGGAAATGCCGCCTGCATGCAACAGAATTGTATTTATTGATTTTTACGTGTGAAAAAATCGATTTAGGAAGAAGTTCTGGTATGATTGATCTCTTAGGTTGTTTGTATTGAACAACAATATTACAGTAAGAAGTTCGTTTTTTTTCACACTTATAGTCATCCGTAAGTGGATAATGTTTCTGGTATAATCACTTTCAATTAAAAAAATATATTGAGTTGAGTTTTTGAACAAGGACATTACGACACCATTTAGTCTATAACAGATGATTTTGTTTAGCGAAGTTTCATGACATCTTCAGGTCTCGAGAAGAGTTGGGGTTTTTCAAATATGAATTGGCTTTTGTTTCTATTGCTTCCCGTTTTCGTCACTCGTACAGCAGGTGTGTTAAAATATTAGGTTGCGTGAATTCTGATTCTCTATAAACCACAACAACTGATTTGATATATTAAATTTAGGTGAAATGCAAGACGCGTCAGATCATCAACATTTAATAAGAGCACGAGCAATAAGTATGCTTCTCTGTCTCCTGGTATATGTACCTCATTCTTTCGGTAACGTTATCTGTTCAAGTGCATGGGGAAGTTTACCATTGGCAATTGCAGTACTGCTAGTCTGACTGAGTGTTGACTGTTGCTACTAATACTAGCCCGACTAGTCTAGTACTTACTGCTTTGCAATGTTTTATTCAGTGTTTCACTTTCAACCTTCCTCAATGTCAGTTGATCATTGCAGTACTGCTAGTCTGACTGAGTGTTGACTGTTGCTACTAATACTAGCCCGACTAGTCTAGTACTTACTGCTTTGCAATGTTTTATTCAGTGTTTCACTTTCAACCTTCCTCAATGTCAGTTGATCATTGCAGTACTGCTAGTCTGACTGAGTGTTGACTGTTGCTACTAATACTAGCCCGACTAGTCTAGTACTTACTGCTTTGCAATGTTTTATTCAGTGTTTCACTTTCAACCTTCCTCAATGTCAGTTGATCATTGCAGTACCGCCAGTCTGACTGAGTGTTGACTGTTGTTACTAATACTAGCATGACTAGTCTAGTGCTTACTGCTTTGCAATGTTTTATTCAGTGTTTCACTTTCAACCTTCCTCGATGTCAATTGATCATTGCAGTATTTCTAGTCTGACTGAGAGTTCTAAATACCAGCCTGACTAGCCTTAGTAGACACTGCCCTGCAACTTTTTACTCTTACTGACCCATATCGTTAGACATCGCCTATAATCTCCTAATGTTATACTATTCTGACATTCCTTCACTTTAGAAGCAGATTGTAAAGGTTGTGTCAATTTATGTTTCTGGAGGCTCCACTGTGAAACTTGTTGGAAAGCGTCTTGTGATCAGGGGGGTTGTATTTGTAAACCTGTCAGTGGAGGGGTTAGTATTTGTCTGTGATAAGAAGAAAGACTTCTTCATTTCGGATCAGAATTTTCAACGAACTGATTTAAGTATCTTGTGGCACAATCGTCGGTTAAACAAGCGTCTTTTGAACTGAATTTTTTAGTGCCGTTTAACCAGTGGCTGTCAGAATGTCGTTCAACCTCAACGCGGAAGAACTGGGACAGAGCCAAAGAGATCTAATCCCTGATCGGATATAAACGAAATCTCACGAACGCTCTTGTAGAATGTAATTGTTGTAGTTTCATTAGCGCTAACCGACTAAATATTTGTTTCACTTTATTATATCTTGTCTCATACAAATGTGATCCTTTTTCACAGCTGTGTGGCGTGTTCAGTTACGGTGAGTGGTGACGGACGAGAAATGACGGACGAGAATTGCCCGGCTGAGGGCCTGACATTCTACCTCATTAACTCGCTTCCTGCCCTCCTCTCTCTTTCTCTTTCACATCCCCTTCTTCCCTTCTGCTTCCCCCTTCCACCCCCTCAGTTCCCCTCCTGTTTCTCTCTGCCATCCTCGACTTTCCCTGCTTTCTCGCAACCTCGTACCTTTCGTACTCCCCAGGAAAGACCTGCGCAGAGCTTGCATGGCTTTCCCGAACTTCCTCTCACCTTGACCATATTCATTCTGATACATATGGGGAAAAAATCACAAAAACAAATATTGCGTGTTATCAAAGAGTCCCTACTTGAGACAGGCACTCAAGGTCATCATTGCCACCTAGCAACGACATGTGCCGACAGTGCCGTCATGCCAATGAGGGTACCAAGATACCAACTACCAATAAACCACAGTGAAGGCAACCACTACCAGGATATGACGTCACGTCACAGTGGAATGACAGCGTAACATAGGCAAGACGCGCTATAAACTCAGTGTGGGTTTCTTTATGTACTAAAGGATTAAAACCAACATACAGTCATCACTAGGAGTCTTGCCTCGTTGCCTCTTCAACAAATAACTTGAAGTTACATAACTTCCATCAAAACACTTCAGTCGATTATCGTTCAAAGAGAATCTAAAGTCATGGCTCGTACACGGCTCTCGAACATGTTGCAAATTTTGAAACAACATTTGATTTTGTTTTTAATCCTTGTTGGTGTATTATGCGGATTTTTACTCGGAGCTTTACTTCACGAAACTGTGCAATCGTCAAAAGACCCTCCACCGAAGGAGTTAGCTATGTATTTGTCGTTTCCTGGCGAGATTTTGATACGAATTTTGAAGCTGTTAGTCTTGCCACTGATCATTTCTAGTGTTCTTTTGGCCGTGGCCGAACTGGACGCCAAGCAAAGCGGAAAATTGGGCAGAAGGACTTTATTATATTATCTAATTACAACAATATTAGCTGCAATAGTCGGTATAGTTCTGGTTGTAAGTATCAAGCCAGGAGAGGCAAATGTAAAAGCTACAAAACCGAACGAGGGCAATATTGAGCCGGCTGATTCTATTTTGGATCTAATAAGGTACGGTTTGGCTTGTTGTTTGTACTGGATTAATTCTGAGAAATATTTTTGTGAGGCGATTATAATATGCCTTAAGCTTTCCTGTTTATAAACGTGAAATCATTAGTTTATAAGTACTATTCACTGGATATTAAAGTGTCAATATCAATGACAATCTCATGTACAATTCATTCAAAACAATTATTTTGGTCAGTGTATTCTAAGAGTTGCACATCATGAAACTGCGTGAAGTTGCACATCATGAACTTGTTGAACATCTATATTGATCACTACTTAAATAAACATTTCTTTTATTTATGTCAGTGTCAAATTACAGGTGATTAAGTTGAGCTCTTAATGACTGACAATTTACTATAATAAGCATTATATCTGCAAAGTTTGATTACATTTTGCAGTTTTAATGCTATTTCTGTTGTGGTATTTGCCTAAACATACCAAAAGTCCTTGGAATATACTGAAAGATACTATACAAACATGCTTTGAATTTAGACTACCTGTGGAGGTTCAGTCATCAAGTTTTATGAAAGGGTGATACCTTTATGACCTTTATCCCTTTGCGTATGTTTCTCCCCCCTACCCCACTATATTTCTCCCCCTACGGCCTACCCCACTATTACACTCTGTGATAAACACCCTCCACTCCCCTTTCATCTCTGCCATACTCTGTTAAGATCAAGATTTTGAATTTAATATAACATTCAAAATAGTTCAAAATAGTATTTTGTTAATGAGCTCTTCTACAAAATGAAATGACATTAGAAATGTCACAATTATTCAGGGTAGAATTTCTAAATGAGCTCTTTCATCTAACTTAAACACATTAGTTCAAGTGCAGACACAAGAATTTGGTATCTGGTATCCCCAATCTTTATTTGGTATCTCTTAACACCATTTGGTTCCCCAAGTCGTCAGCTTAAATGCACTTTAAATAGACAAATTAATTTTTAAAACAAGATCATTAAAGACAAGCTGAAATAGAATCCATGTTGTTCTTGTCATTTTCATCCTCTGGCTAAATTCTCTCTATTGTCAAGAGGTCACTGACAGCATGGATAATAAAATCATGGATAATAAAGTCTTTTAACTATTCATGCTGACAGCAGCTGCTTGACTCATACGTGACCAGTTATATTTCATGAATTAATTTTCATTTATCGAATTATGTCATTTTCAAATTATGTCAGCATTTGATGATAAATGGTCTTATAAACGGCCCTAAAATTACACACATTTTTTTGCGTAATTTTTAATTGCTAAGGAAATAAAACCGTCCCATTTTAGGTAAAACAAAGTAGGGTACTTGAGAATTTATATTTATGTTGTTTTTTAACAGAAATTTGTTCCCAGACAATTTGGTGGACGCGGCGTTCTCCTCAGTAAGCGTTTTCAACGTTTATTTCAAACTGACACGTCAATTGTCTAATTTGCAGTTTAAAAAAAATGAAGCTTTTTCTTCTTTTATAGGTTAAAACTAAATACAAAGCAACAGCAGTGAACTATACTTTCGGAGGAACTGCCGTTCATTCGAACTCGTCAGCTGAGGACATGTTCAAAATGATTAGTTCTAAGAAACTGAATCCCTGGGGATTTTTCTCAGATAGAAATGCTACAGAGATTCGAATGAGCGTTAAATACGAATATGACAAAGTTGAGAAAGTTCCTGGAACGAATATGTTGGGTCTCATCATGTTTGCAATTGTTTTTGGGTACATTTTAGGACAGATGGGGGAAGCTGGTCAACCCATGGTTGTCTTTTTTAAGATACTAATGGATGTGACTATGAATATGGTCACGCTGGCTATCTGGTAATATGTCATAATTTACTATTTTCAAGTATTTTCAAACCATAATAACGTAGTTTGGATTATTTTCAGGCTTTCTCCTGTTGGTATTTGTTTCCTAGTGGCTGGTGCTATAGTCAACGCAGAAAATATTGGTGATGTGTTTGAATCATTGGCGCTTTACATCGGCACTTGTATCACTGGCTTGATCATACATTCCTTCGTTGTCTATCCGTTGTTGTATTTCGTCTTCACAAGGAAGAATCCGTTCAAGTTTTTCTCAGGGATGATTGAAGCTGCGATTACAGCTTTTGGTACATCGTCAAGGTTAGTTCCTGGTGTGACACCGCTGAAGTTTGCTTCAGTTGAATATCATCTTCGTGACTGAAAACTTCGTTAAATTTTAGTGCTGCTACCTTACCTGTGACAATAACATGTATGGAAAAAAATAACAAAATAAGTCCGAAGATCACGAGATTTGTTTTACCCGTTGGAGCGACGCTGAACATGGACGGCGGTGCACTTTATGAGGCTATCACTGCAATATATGTTGCCCAATTGAATAACTATGAACTCACCTTTGGAAGAATTTTATTGATTTGGTAAGAAGTAATCCCAGTGTTACTAGTTATCAGTGAAATCCAGTGCATATTTTCGTTATTTTGCCTGCAATTACAAGCCGTTAGAAACGATAAGTTAGTACTGAATAAGATTGTTATATGCGATACATTGTCTAACATTTTGTCGCACGGTAAATCATTTATGATTTTTGGCACTTCACTCGATGCAGGTAAATTCTAAAGGGTCTTAATTTCGAGTGGAATTATACACACTTCAAAGAATTTTAAAGGGTCTTAATTTCGAGTGGAATTATACACACTTGAAATTCAAGCCGGGAACAGTTGATAGAAAACGAGTTAACTATAGATCCTCTGGCAGGAATCGAACCTACGCTTTTGCGACGCCGGTGAAGTGGTAGTGGTCTCAATAACAAGAGCATTGCACCGGCATCGCAAAAGCGTAGGTTCGATTCCTACCGGAGGACCTATAGTTGACTCATTTTTCCATCAACTGTTCCAGGCTTGAATTTCAAGTGTGTATAATTCCACTCGAAATTAAGACCCGTTAAAACCTCTAGAATTTTGTTACATGGATTTAAATTCTAGTTTCTCAATCAACAGCTATTTTTGTTTTTTAGCATTGTAGCGACTCTTGTTTCAATGGGGGCCGCCGGTGTCCCTGCTGGTGGACTAGTTTATGTTATTGTTGTGTTGGAAGCGTGTGGTTTGCCTACAGATGATATTGGACCAATTCTAGCTGTTGAGTGGTTTCTGTGAGTACTCAAAAAGATAATTGATTAAATATTGTATAATTGATTTAATTCCATTTTGCCAACCTTTCTAAGCGCTGATTGGCTAAAATATAAGCCCGTACGTGATCATCTGAAAATTGAGTAATTCTTCCGTAGGGATCGCGTAAGAACTGCTGTCAACGTGATGGGAGATTGTTACTGTGCTGGTGTTATGGGGCATTGGTTTCAGCATGAGTTCGAACAAGGAAGCGTTGAGGAAAATGAAATTGTTTTCAACCATCAGAAGAGTGAACAAACTTCTTTTTAGGTACGCTCTTGGAATCCTCTTCCCAAGGTTTCTTGAGAGACCCTGGGAACGAAGGTGGCAGCGTACATATTTGTACAACACCTAGAATATTGAATAACTAGTTTTGTTTTGATTTTGTTTAAAAATTGTTACGTTGCACTTTGATATTCAGGCCTACGACTCTACGAGGAAGTGAACAACATGCATGACCTGATTTTCGCACGATTATCCTTCGTAAGATGTAAAAAATTTAAACACTGAATTAATATTCCTTAAATAATTGAGATTTCGGAGTAAGCGAAGTCCGTGCAGTCATGACGAGTGAGTTCACACAAATGTTCATTTTTATAAGTTATCAACGACTATTTTACATAATAAATTCTTAATTACAAAATATATTTATAAAAGTGCTCAAAATTGAACTGTCTGTACAGGAAGAACCGGTCTTCTTCCATCGGAAGACCACTCTTGTCCTCTTGTTGGAAGTTGCTGTTGAGAGCCAAATATACTTGGCAGTCTGGAATGAGAAAGAAAACGTTGTTGTTTATGAAAAAAAAATCTTCCAAATATTTTAGTTTCCAGTGCTGAGAAGAGGATAGCGATTGAACTGTCGCTAGGACTTGTGTTCTGGACAATTTCATGAAGTGATAAATTTGAGTGAAAATACTTCTTCTAACCTGGTATTCTGTGGCACTCTTGATGCAGAGATGCTGCTCGTAAACGTGGTCCCAGACGAAATTCTTCTTGGATAAGATCCGGAGAATCCTGTGGGCAGCTGAGGAAGGATGGGCGGAACAGCTTGGAAATATATCGTGCTCATATCTGGTTCTGACTGTGAAGCGCGTTGGAGATCTTTTTCGCGTTTTTCTTTCTCCAAGATTTGGCGTTTTCTCGCCTCGCGATTTGCTTTCCAATTGAGAAGAAATTTCTTGGCTGTTGAACTGATCTCTTTACCATCAAGCATCACTAAAGTTGTATGAATGAAATTATATCAGAGTGTCTCTGATAGCAAAGAATGCAGCAGCTGAAAGATCTTTGTAATCATACCTAATGTCTTTGACATGACAAAGACACGATCTCTGTATTTCTTCTTTTCACAAACTGGATTTCCTGTCAGATCAAGTTTTATTATTGCTGGCCAGACACTCAATGCCTTTACTAAACCCTGCAATGAAATGAATTGGGTTATTCCTTGGAGATATCTTAAGTGGCAAAGGAAGGTCTTTAAAGCACTAGAGGATATTCAGATACTGCAAGTTTTAAGCAATGAAATATCTTACCTTGGTGTCAGCAATGTTGTTGTTTTGGGCATTTAACTGGATCATACTTGACAGACAGTGTAAGTCTTCCAGACTTTCAATGTAGTTGCCAGAAACATTCAGGACATTAAGACATGTCTATACATACGGAATAAGAAGAGATGAGGGAGAGCTGGTCAGAGATATAATGAAATGAAGAGATCAGAAGATGTGAGGTGGTAGACATTGCAGAGAAGATGAGGAAAGCAAGGTTGAGATGATATGGACACGTAATAAGAAGAGATGAAGGAGAGTTGGTCAGAGATATTATAAAATGAAGAGATCAGAAGATGTGAGGTGGTAGACATTGCAGAGAAGATGAGGGAAGCAAGGTTGAGATGATATGGACACATAATAAGAAGAGATGAAGGAGAGTTGGTCAGAGATATTATGAAATGAAGAGATCAGAAGAAGATGTGAGATGGTTAACATTGCAGAGAAGATGAGGGAAGCAAGGTTGAGATGATATGGACACGTAATAAGAAGAGATGAAGGAGAGCTGGTCAGAGATATTATGAAATGAAGAGATCAGAAGAAGATGTGAGATGGTTGACATTGCAGAGAAGATGAGGGAAGCAAGGTTGAGATGATATGGACACGTAATAAGAAGAGATGAAGGAGAGCTGGTCAGAGATATTATGAAATGAAGAGATCAGAAAAAGATGTGAGGTGGTAGACATTGCAGAGAAGATGAGGGAAGCAAGGTTGAGATGATATGGACACATAATAAGAAGAGATGAAGGAGAGCTGGTCAGAGATATTATGAAATGAAGAGATGAAACTAAACAACACAAATTAAACTTACTGCAACAGCCTTCAATGATCGTGGGTCAAACAGCAATTTTTCTCCGACTGGTAAATTTTGATTTTCTATATGAAGTTCATTAAGACTTTCAAGTTTCTCCAATCCTTCAACCACTGTGATGAAGTTTTGACCTAAATACCTGGAAATATATTGAAGATATTTTTAAAGCATTTGAATGCAAATATGGAGAACTGGGGCCGGTTGTATCAAGCCCGTTTAGCTTAAACGGTGGATAAGTTCAAAATAGAAAGCAAGCCTGCCGTTTTATTCAACAAGCAAACAAAATGTTTTTGACCTTAATACAAAGATACTGTTCACAACTACAAATTCAGTGCATAATATTCAAGTTGACTCATTCAAGAGAGTTGTAAGAGTGTTATTTAATTTTGACTTATCCACCATTTAAGCTAAACGGGCTTGATACAACCGGCCCCTGGTGGGATAGTTATTTAGATCAATTAAATTAACTTACAGTTTTGACAGTCTTCTGAGATTATCAAGTCCCTCTATTTTAGTTATTCTATTTTTCTGCAGGTACAGATGTGTTAGGTTTATGGCAAAACCCAGGTTTTCAATTTTACTGATGCAGTTGTCGTAAAGGTAGAGAACTGATAGATTCCGACACAATGACAAATTATTCTGCAACATAAAAATATGAGATTATATACTCGTATTTGGTCATATAATGGTAATGTATATATTATATACCATTGAAATGCGATACTCAAGACTTGATCTAAACAATAGCTACCGTTTAAAAAGCATAATAATAAAACAATGCTCGTTCGGGATGTGAATAAATTTTTACTCACAATTTCATCGATGCTTTTCTCAGCAAGATACACGTGCGTTAGACGTTTCAAATATTGCTGTGAAGTTTCGTTTTTACTCTTTTTTGTTTGGCTGGGACACTTCGCCACAAGTTCAGGTGTTATCTTAACCATTTCCCCATCAAATATCAACTATACTCCGTTCATATTATAGTCAAAAAGCACAAGGAAAGTGAACTTTGTTTACACTTTTTGATCAGAATTCTAATACCATTGTTTGCTTACATTTGTTGCTATGGAAACTGACGTCATTACCGGGGATTTGAACCTCGAGAGAAAGCTACAGAATTAGCCAATGAAAAGGCTGGAAAGTGCCCATGTGACTAACGTTTTCCGGGGTTGTTCTACAATTCACACCCCCTTTTTTACGCAATATTAACCCCCCGGATTTGACACAGCGACAATTCTGACATAAACAAAGTAAAATGTCTCAAATATCTGGAACAAGTGCAAAAGCAAAAAAATATGGAAATTTTAACATCCTTCCAAAAACCGATTCCATTCCACAGTCTACGAGTATTAAGGTAGAAGATTTAGACAGAGAACGCCAAATTTTAGAACAATATGGCTCTAAAAAGGCATCGTTTTCTTCAAAGCAACAATTGGTTGTAATTGGAGTTTCACTTGATCACTTGTCGAGAAGTACACAATTATTTATTTGCTGTGCTGGGGTATTTGTATTCTATCTAATTTACGGCTATGTACAAGTGAGTACTGGATACTTTTTATCTTATTTGTTGTGTTAAACTTCTTCAAAACTGAAAGTTACACATGAAAATCATCGTATTTGATATTTCTAACAGGAACTGATCTTCAACATTGAGGGTTTCCAACCCTTTGGTTGGTATTTAACCTTAGTTCAGTTTGCATGTTACGGAATTTTTGGAATCATTGAGAGTTACTGGAGGATGGAATTTCATAGAAAGTAAGTCGATAGAAAATTACATTAGACTAGTTCAAGTATTCCATTCTTGTTTGCAGTTACACTGTTTTTGCCTACGTTGCAAAAATATAATTTACCAATTTTCAACAAAGAGAATCCTACCACAGTTAGCATCAAATGTGGTATAACAACTGCCTAACATAGACAAAACACTTCTCAACGTTTATACCACAGTTAACCCACTACTTTATGGGTGGGTGTGGTCGTGAGTAGAATTATTTCATCCTGTGAACAGGATATGACAGTGATATAGTTCGTCCTATGAAAATACTGAAATATGTGAGAACTTTTTTTGTTCTCAGGATTCCCTTAAAGACTTACGCTCTGCTTGCATTTCTGACTGTATCAACGATGGGTCTTTCAAATACTTCTCTTGGATATCTTAATTATCCTACTCAAGTGAGTTTTGGTTTAATGTACCACGTTGAAAATGTTCAAAGATTGATCATTGAATGGTGTTTTGATATTATATCATGACTTCCTGTATTATGCAGGTTATATTCAAGTGTTGTAAACTTATCCCTGTCATGGTTGGGGGAGTTTTAATACAAGGTAAATTAACTCATGTTGTCATCTCATTTAGCTTGGTATTTTTCAGAATGCAGGTATTTTTATCACGGATCCTTTTTAGGAAAGAGATACAGTCTTATTGATGTTGGAGCGTGCTTGCTGATGAGTGTTGGATTGATTTTATTCACGTTAGCTGACAGTGAAATCTCCCCAAGATTTGATGAAACAGGTAAGCATTGTAGGCTGAAATATTATAGCTTTAAGAGGATGAGAAAGCATGCAGGTTGCAGGATTTTTATCTCCTAAAGAATCACTACATGGTAATAATGTTTGCTTATGTATTATTTAATAAGGTGTTATATTAATTACCCTGGCATTGTGTGCTGATGCAGTGATTGGAAATGTTCAAGAAAAGGCAATGAAAACACACTCCAGTACTAACACAGAAGTTGTAAGTATCCCTTTCTACAGATCTCTGTTGTAGAAACATGCAGACTATTGTGCTATCTATACAGATACAACATTCTGGGAAAGTGTTTTTGTGTGTATATTGACCAAGCTCTTTAAATTTTTCAACTTATAGATATTGTTTTCTTACGGTATTGGTTTCTTTTATATTTTGGTTGGATTAACGATCTCTGGAGGGTTAAGAGAACCTTTTGAATTTTGTGCCAAAGTAAGGATATATGATTCATTTATACGGAAATTTGTTGGTTGTTTAAAAAATCTGAATTGTGATTGAGCTATGATCATACTAGTTCAACTCTAGCAAGGATTATATGCTCAAAATAGGAGGAAAGCTGATATGAATTTGGCTTGTCAATATTAGGCTTATGTTACCAAATGCATATTCATTGCACAGTATTTCAAATAACTCATTAGAGAGTTTTTAAAAGGATTACCAGTGGGTAATTTATACATATATATATTTGTTTCCTAGCGTCCTGGGGAAACCTATGGTCTGGCAGTGATATTTTCTTTGACCGGATATCTGGGAATTGCATTTGTTTTATCCTTAGTAAAATGCTTTGGTGCTCTACTTGCAGTAACAGGTGCAGTAACCTTTATGTCAATATTTCTTGGAAATAGCTAGCTTGTACACAATACCAATAATCTGCTTTCTATTTTTTTATTTTAGTTACTACATGTAGGAAAGCCATAACTATTGTACTGTCTTTCATGTTTTTCACAAAGCCATTCACATTTCGGTAAGTTCCCAATTTAGGATTTCAATTGTGTTGCATCCATTTCATTAATTCTGAATTATCTGGAATTTAGTCTGTTATTGGTAAAACAGTACTGCATTGACTTCAGTTATTTTGCTCCCCATATACATTGAAAGTCAACAAACTATACGACATATACATCAGATATGAATTGGATGCAACAAAATTGGATTGTGTGAACAGACTTAAGCAAGCTTCCTTTGTCAATTTAATATCTAAACAATGTGTCTCTACTTTGCAAGATATGTTTGGTCAGGTGCCATTGTACTTCTTGGTATTTCAATGAACATCTACAGTAAAAACAGGGAGAAAATGGATGCTATGTTTTGGCAATATTTGATGAGACTCTCTAAGAGAAAACCAACTCTTTCACAGGAAATATGATATCATTTTCAATGATGCAAACAAGAATTTAAATGTGAACCTAAATTTTTAACTATTTATATATTCTTATTCAAATATTTATTTTTTACAACAAATGAACAACTCTCCAAAGAGAGTGGTAAATGTGCACCCGGTGACGTCATGTGACGTCATTCACATCCAATTTTTCAACCTCACTATTCACTAACCCACCCATATGGTTCTATATGGCCGTAATCTAACTTATTTCTTTATAAAACAGAATCAGTCCAAAGTGTATATAGTCTTTTTAAGAATTGGTTTAATTCATCTGGCCTATCCTTTGCAAAGTCAATTATCTTTCAGACCGAAAATGGTTATCAATCGTAAACTGATATTACAAAGAATATTCACAGAATTTTTCAAATTGTCCAGAACCACCTCATTTGGTTTTGCAAAACGCATATCCGAAATTCTTGTTTAGCCATCGGCATTGTTTGTGTTTATAACTCCTCCCCTTCCGAGACGAGAGCTTTCTTCCTGCGTCAGTAAAAAAGTCATATACACAACGCGATTGTCCACTAATATTGTATATTTATTTTGGGTACGAATATAATATTCGTCGAGTAAATACAATTATACAGTATTGTGGTTTGTCAGTGGGGAGAGCACTTGCGATTAACGGCTGTTTTAAAAATCCATTTGTTTGAGTAATTTAACAAAATTTGCTGTGAATGGCGGCGGAAGGAACAAAAATGTGCTCTACAACAGCAGCCCCGTGTCTTTCTGGGGACAGAGAAAACCTTACTATGGAAGAGAGAGAAGATAGTTTAAATAAAGCGTTACAATGGGTCAGAGACGAACTAGTGAGTGATATTAATGAAATATTAAACAATAATTTAGTTATTGTTGACACATAGATAAATTTGGAATCAATAAGCACAATAAATTTATGAGAAATACAGTTACACGTTTAGCTATGAACTCGTTAGCTATAAATTCGTTTCCTAGTTTAGCCGTGTTCAGGTGTTGAAGTTGGACAATTTCTGAGAGAACGAAGTAATATTATACATGAACACGGCGCAAGGAGAGGAAAGTTGTGTCTGGGAACGTAATTCTAAGTTTCTAACCACCTGTTAAAACACTGTCAAAATTGAGTTATTGGACTGCATTTGAGGAAGTTGCTGAAATTTGTAGGGGGTCTGACGGAAGATTGTAAGTCAGGCTATTCAGCAGAAGATTGTTTTGGCCAATAAATCAACTCGTGAACATGATTGATATTATATGTGACTGGTTCACCTGGCAGATTATTTTGTCTATGTGAAAGGTCTGGCCTTATACTGACTATAATTTCGTTTTAGAGCACTTTGAAGTCACAAGACCAGTCCCTCATGCGTCAATTTTCAAGTCTTCGTTCAAAAATCAACATGTTGAAAGATGAGATCCCAACTTCCATAGACAGAAGCAGCACAATCAGTTTCTCATCTCCAAAACCTTCGGATGACGAAGATGTCTTCTTTGCACACAGTGATCCTCGAAGGAGAATTAACTCAGATATGAGTTTCAGAACTAAATCATATTCCTCTGGCAGTGATGAAGAAAAATTTTAATTCTAGACATCAGTATTCTGGAGAAATAACTGTCGTATAACTCATTGAAGATATATCATGTATAATATTAAAATTGTGTATATTTTTAATGTGACTTTTATAAATATTATTGGCAGTCAAAGTATAACTGAATATAGTTTTTTACCAAACTAGTTAAACCAAATCATAAATAAAAAGGCATATTACTAGCTTATTTTGATAACAATTTTATTAACAAACACTTTTTTATCAAATATATAATCAAGTTGGTATTTCTAAAGCCTAGTAAAAGTGTTTCTTTTTATTTCAAAATCACACTCTATTGTGGCCATTTTCCTTCTTTAATTAATCTGTTCTTCTCTTCTCTTATTCTTTCCAATCGTGCTGACTACAAAATGAAGATGGTCAGGAAATTATTTTGTTGAATGATTGGTACATCATGACCTAATCTTCAGAAGTTTACAGCAATAGTCCTTTCATATCAATTGTGATGTCAAATATTTCAGGGCAACGACTATGCTAGGCATGTGGCTGGCATTTGTGACATCTACATGAATATTCCAGGGGGGTGTTGTATGGGTTCCCCCCCTAGATTGAGAGAAAATCTGTACTTGCACAAGTAATATCGTAAAAATGGGCTATAAACTTCAAACCAACCAGTTTTCTATGATGAAGACATTCATTATAATCCTCTTTTTGCTGAACACATTTTGTATGTTGTTTATATCTTCCTTGTTCTCCGAAGCAATCAATAAGTTCTTGCCAAAACTGGAAACACCGCCCGTAATCGCCATCATTGCTTACGTTTTGAGACATCTTCTACACAGAAAAACACCATTATTTCATGATATAAAACTTCCGAATATAATGATTTTTACTAGCATTAACTAAAAACGAAATTTTAACTTACATTTTAGGGAAATTTTTCAATAATTTTGTTTTAAAAAATATTTCAATTTTTTTCCGTGAGAATGTAACGCTGAACATTGTTCATGGGCTCAATTTTCGTTCCCAGTGTCCTGGATACTCGGCTAATTTTGGCGGAATCTTTCCCGCCACTAGAGCACTTTATTAAATTCATTGATTAAATTCGATTTCTTATGAAATTCTACAAAATTAACGGATAATTACTCGTAATTTCAACTTCTGCAGTAATAATTCGAGGTTCGGTCAAAAGTAAATACAATTTTGGTAGATAATTTCTTGAGAATCTTCATGTATTTCATTATTTAAAATTCAAAATATGCGTAATGTGCACGTGATGTAAACGTGTTACGTTTTCCCTCCAAGAGGCAAGGTCAAACTGAATTCAAATCGAAGGTCAATTTGAACAAATTCTTGTCTGTGATTAACCAATCAGGTGCGTATAACACGCTAGTATCAAATTTGATTGGTTGAAATCTTAAGAATGTTTTAAAAGCGCGAAAGGTTGAAAATGCTGATTGAAAAGAAAAATTTTACCGCTAGCAATCATTCGTTGCTGTACCTTCCAAGCCGGTAGATCTTTTGTAATTTGTAAATAAATTTTATTTTTTTAATATTTCTTGCAATATGCTGTCAGGTATGGAGATCTTGGACAACAGAAATGTCGAGGAAATGAACAAGAATATAAAGAATTTAAACCTCAAAGAGTCGAAAGATAAGGTAAATACTATAAAATATATCTCCCGCGAAATTGCGATGAATTTCACTTCGAATTTTAGTATTTTATCTAGTGTGCTCGGCAGATTTGCAGTCTAGTTGCTAGGAATGTCTTTAAAGGAATGTCTAGAGTTATTTAACTGAGAGAATATTGAGAAAATATTGAAATAAGGGCGAAAATATTCAGTCTCGTTTATTTCAGAGTAGATCATCGTTTCCCATATCCAGCGTCGTTAAACGCCCTTGTAGGCCTAACTTCTGCTATTTCGATTACTTTCTTTATGAAATATCATCAACTATCGTAAGATAAGGTTGAATATCAAACTAGAATACAAAGCGCTGCGATTTCTCGCAATAAAATACCGGAGGAAATGAGCAAGCAATGGCTTCGTATCTTGGAATTTTGGCGCCAAATTCGAGTCTCAGGAAATGACTCTCAATTGCTTTCACACACTCGAGTCCCTCGTATTTAAGATATCCAGGCATTTTTTATTTTACCAAGCTGTTAAAATCCAATTTCCTATGAAGCTCTAATGTGAATCCAAACAATTCCTGTGGTACATCTTGTAAATGATTTGGCCACACACTTACGTACAGGAAAATCATTTTTTTTGGAATCTTCCCACTACAGAGCTAACCAGCTCATTCTTGTCATGTAGAAAAATGCCCCTCACAAGGTGAATATCCAAGATGAACCATTGTTAAGAGATAACCCAAGGAGATTTGTCATTCTACCAATTCAGTTTCAAGATATTTGGCAAATGTACAAGAAAGCTGAAGGTATTTGAAAGTTTTATTCCTGTAATAATACTATTTCAAGCAAACTTTATAAAAGCTATGTTGTGTTTAATATGGGAGGATTTGTAAAAAATTTTGGCCTAACAGCTTTGCAATATTTCTTCCTTTGTAGCATCTTTTTGGACTGCTGAAGAAGTTGACTTATCAAAAGATCTGATTCATTGGGAAGGACTGAAGGTAACCCCTTGTCATGTCCTAAACTGAAGATTTGATTCAAATAAATCCTTCAATCATGAGAATATCTCAAACATCACCATTAGGCATTTCTAAACACTATACATCTAAATCTCTTTCCAGAAATTCAAAAGCTTATCTTAAATCAAATGTACTGTTATATTTTTAGGACGAAGAGAGGCATTTCATTTCCCATATTTTGGCTTTCTTTGCTGCAAGTGATGGCATTGTGAATGAAAATCTGGTCGAGTGTTTCTCACAAGAAGTCCAAGTTCCTGAAGCAAGATGTTTTTATGGCTTTCAAATTGCTATGGAGAATATCCACTCAGAGATGTACAGCCTGTTGATTGATACTTACATCAAGGAACCAAAGGAACGTGAAAGATTATTCAATGCCATTGAGCACCTTCCCTGTGTCAAGAAGAAGGCAGACTGGGCTTTATCCTGGATTAATCCAGATAGGGTAAGCTGTAGGCCTTGGATTTTGCTGTTATAACATTCAATGAAGTAAAATTGAAGTCTTGATTTGTAAAAAGCCCTTTGCAACAATTTAAACCTTTATTTCCAGGCATCTTTTGGTGAGCGCATTGTTGCATTTGCTGCAGTCGAAGGAATCTTTTTCTCTGGATCATTTGCCTCAATATTTTGGTTGAAGAAACGAGGCTTGATGCCAGGATTAACATTCTCTAACGAGCTTATTAGCAGAGACGAGGTACGGATGTTCATTGATTTTTTGTGACTGACAATTGTGATATGTGCCTGCTTGTTGTCTTCCCAAGGTGTATGTGTCCTGATTATGATTTATCTCTTTACTTCACTCAGGGATTGCATTGTGATTTTGCTTGTTTGATGTACAAACATTTAAAGAACAAACCATCGGAACAAAGAGTGAAGAAAATCATTATGGATGCTGTCAAAATAGAACAAGAGTTTCTCACAGATGCTTTGCCTGTCAGGTTAATTGGAATGAATGATGAGCTGATGAAAACATACATCGAATTTGTTGCAGACAGGTTGCTGTTTGCCCTCGGCTATTCAAAGGTAATTTGTACCTTCACGTGCCAATAAACAAGATAAATTTTTTGTTCAGTGAATCTTTTGGTTAGGTCATATGGTTGTGGTTGAAGTTATTTTTTATTTTTCAAACAAAAAGCTAACTTAGCCTGTCATCTTATCAGGTCTACAAGTCTGAGAACCCATTTGATTTCATGGAACTCATCTCCCTTTCTGGAAAAACGAACTTTTTTGAGAAACGCGTTGGTGAATACCAGAAGAGTGGTGTCATGGCAAGCACACAGCAGACCTCCTCGCATAAACTGGAGTTTGATTTGAACTTCTAAAAAGGATGCCTGGTTGCAAACCGTTTGTTGTTTAGAGTTTATTTTGTGGCTTGGAATAAAAAACATAGTTTGTACATATATACTTTTTGTAACATAGTTTTGGAAGACAGACATTTTGTAAATTATTTTTTCAATCCATAAACCTTACACGTTTTTAGGGATACTTTTTGAAATATATTCTAGGTAGTTATAATTCTTCTTTTCTATTAAAAAAATTAAAATAGGTTAATATTGATATTTTTTAATCCATTTGTTCATTTTTATATTTTCCTTCATAATAGAAGAGACCGTGAAATTTGAGTGCGTTTGTCCGTCTTTGATTCTAATCCCCCCCCGGAAAGACCTTTGTGAAAAACTCCCCCTAATCCGCTAGAGCTTGTAGAATTACCCCACCTCTTTCCGGAGGTACTCCGTCCACAACAGAAGCGACCCGCCGCCGCCGTACAGTAAAAAACCCTGTTTGTGGAATATAATTATAATATTTTGCGAATTGCGATGACATGAAAAGGCGCGCTTTATTCGACGTCCAATAAGCGCTCAGAATATTGTGCTGTTTTCAATTGTTTTCTGATTTCGAAAGTCGCCGATTGCATTGTTTTGAATTCGCAAGTTGCCACAAAGCTTAATCCATCTAAGCTCATCTAATACCTGTATAAACTGATCTTCTTAAAGCAACAATGTTTACATAAATTTGACGGAATTAAAAGTGATATTTGGAGCGCTCAGTGGGCAATGTAAATGTGCGTTCGTAGCTGTCATTCTTTGCTGAGCTTTCACTTCGAAATTTACGTACAACTACACGATCTTCCAACGAAAATAACGTCGACGTCTTAACGCGCAAAACCAGTGAGAAGCAAGTTGAAGCACATCAATGTAAGTCTAAATATTTTGCGATATTTTTTCATAATTGTGTTAGTACTTTAGCAATGTGTATTTAGAAATTAAAGTTTGTCAAACGTCATGCCAGTCTTGTATATGAAGCTAGTTCGAGTTGCGATTTGAAATTGAATGTCAGTATAAAATATTCGCGAAAAAATGCCTCTAAATGAACAGTTTTTAATTGTGAAGACCATGACTAAATGTCAAGAAAATGTTTTTGTAAATTTACCTACAGACATTTAGCGGTTATTACAGGCAATTGCGCTACCGCGATAGATACAAAAGTTTATTTAATTTGCGCGCACAAGGGATTGACAATATGCATTTAAAAATATGAACGCTTTTTGTAAAAGTCTATTCTAATGTAACGAATTCGCCTTAGTTACGATGAAATGCAGTTCTTTTTTGTGAATTTTATAATGCGGTGTGAATGTCAAAGTTAATGACAGAAACAAACATATAAACATGTTTTGACCGACATGGATTGTAAAAGTTTTGTTAAACGAACATGAAACTACCTGACTTCCTTGCGAAAATGATCACGCGCGTCCTTATCGCTTTCGTTGCTCCATTCATATAGTTCAACGTGAATATTTCAAAGACGCGCCGCATGATTAGAAAAATTTGCGCAACAGCTGGGAAATAAAAACACTTCGCGTGTGCTGAATTGTCAATAAAAATGGCTTTGATATAGCTTTGATAACTCCACGATATTCGCTTTGAGGGGCCAGACTTATGAGCGATAGTTCGAGTTAGTAAAAGAAAAATCCGGCCAAATGCGCGTATATTACAAAAGTTTGTAGGTGTTTGTTAGATTCCCAAAGTGGTGTTCATTTGTTTATAACCGACGAATTTGTTCCGGTACTGTGTTGAAGAATGAAGTAAAAAAGCGTTGTTTATTTTGCACTGTGAACTTTAATTTTTAGCGCAGTCTGAATTGCTGTGCCCCGATAAGTTCCTACGGATCTTAGCAAACACGTTTCACAACACGCGGTTGTCAATTGTCACTTCATAGTGAAAAACATTTGGCGGAAGATTTGCGCGCGATTATTAACACACTCGTGCTAATGAAGAAAAAAATAAATAAAATCTACTGGAGTAAGTCATGCCCGACTCAAATTTGGCAGAATCGAGGCTATATTTTTCTGTTTCACAAGGAAAAGCTAATTTTTTTAGTTTCATTGTTCTGAATGCGTCCAATGACTACTTTGTACCGGTGAAAATAATGGTACCCGCCTTATTTTTAAGGCTGTAACCTGCATATCGGACGTGCGTACTGTAAAAAAATGTGTGCAAATTTTATGTAGATTAATGCAAAAACACGCCATTTCGCTCATAACATTCACGCCGCTTTATATAATCTCAACACAAGCAAGAATGTTTTGCTGTTTAACTGTGGAAATATAAAGATTTTCTTCGCCTAAACATTAACGAAAGGTAAGCTCCGTTTGTCTGAAGCGTCCGTCTCGAAAAGGTGTCATTTTTTCGCCCTTCTTTTCACAATAAAGTACAAATATCTTCACTGGTTGTGCGGGAATAAACGTGGCTGCTTCAAGCAATTTTATGTCTTTAAATTTCGTCTCGACTGATAAAAACCAGCGATTGGTTTCGGGTAGTTTAACTGCTTCTATAGACGTTGTAACGAGCAATTTCTGCTCGCAAATTTGGGCAGTTTTCGATGCGTCGAAAGGTGTTTCATCGCTCGCCACTTGGCGAGGTGTTGAAATTTGAAACCGTAAAATGCGGATATAGAAATATCGCTGAAAGATTGGCGCGCACTCGACCATGTGACTTTAATCTCGTTTTATTCCGTGCACCTTTTGTTTTAAACTGTTTGGACTTCGTTTTAAGGAAATAAGTAGATATAAAGCACTTCTTTTTGCCCGACTGCTACGAAGGGCTCAAAGGCATGCATATATGCTCGTGTCTAATTTCCCGTTCGACTTTGCATACAATTTGAATATTATAGCGAACAAATCTTGCATTTCCAACGCCGATAAAAGTGCTGTCCTTATAACAGCAATGCCCTAAAACTAGACACGAAACTGAATGAAAGAAGACGCGAAACAAATTTCTTTTCTTTACAAATAACTTTGCGTGCCATGGCTAAAATATGAACTTCCAGCCAACGCAATGTCAAGGCGTTTTGTCTCCGGCCGTTTTGAATATTCAAAATGCGTTTTAAAAGCACGTTTGCCGATTCAAAAATGGAGAAAAGTTAGGCAAACATTGGTTTTGAAATAACAAAGGTTTTTCTGTACTAAAAACGGTCCAGACGAATCTTGACTGTGCTAAAACGAATCGTTTAATTTCACCGGCGATTAAACGCGTTTCAAATTTTTGTTCATAATATATTCCGTCGTTCGTTCAACATGCAAATTTCACTTTAAACAATCTCTTTCGATTTCTTTGAAGATTGCACTCTCTATAGTAAACATTAAACGTGGAATGTAAGTGTAAAAAACTGAAAAGGACTTTAGCTTTGTGTTTTTCGTCAGTCCAAATCTTTTAAACAAGGACGACTTGGTGTTTTAGACGCACGTTCCGCTTCGGAAATTCGCGACACGTTTCTTTGTTTTGGGAAAAATAATGCGTTGTCGATAATACAGAGTCCCATTACTTCATAGTTTGTATATTTGTTTCTAGAAATAGCTTCAGTTTAATACACCGAAGTTATGTTTTTCTGCAAAAAGGCGAAAGCGAACGAATTATCCTGAAAAAATGAAATAACTTGGTAACCGAGGTTGCACTGTCGAAATTCCATGCTGTGTTTTACATATGGCTATGAATCATGCGACAGTTTCATATTTTCCTCTTGAGATATTTCTGTGTTTGTATAAAGACGAGTTCACTTGCATAGTTCAATTACATTTGCATGTTACAAGCAATTCTATTCGATTTAACGCCAATCATTTTAATTCCAAAACTGTCAATATAACTATTCGCTGAGTTCTGGTTCATCTATGATTATAATATCGTTGATCCAGAGTTTGATAAAGAAAACTGTCCAATTGGTTAATTATAACCAATATTTCTCAAACTGCTCTAGACAGCTGTCGGTTTTATAAGGAACAGATATGATAAAGTGTCGTTTCAGCTGGAATTTTTTTTGTTAGGGCATGGAATAAATTTGCAAAGCCATAGTGCATTTCACGAAATCAATACAAAAGCATGTCAGAAAGTGTTTCTAGGCTGCTCTCAGGTTTTTCCCAATAACCACTCAGAAAATAAGGCCTGATTTTAGCTTTGAATTCAGCAAAAAGTGATACATGTCTATATCCGGTCACCTAATGCGCATTGTAACCCAGTAATATACTTAAAAAACCTTAATTTTCACAATTACAATGTAATAAATATTTTCCTTTATAGATTTCTAAGTGCACTTCACTTGATGTCTCATCCTTGCATATTACACAACAAACCAGGTGCTTTGACCATGTGAGTTTTGGCTTAGTTTATTCTGCAATCTGCACCACATACTTTAATAGTTCAAGAACCAAGCTGATGGGTTTTACTTCTTAAACTGCATTTTTTTAAGTTTTGATAAATGAATTTTCACTAGGGAGAAGTCTGTTCAGTGTGATAGCATGGAAAATGCAATTACTTTTAGTGAAACTGAAAAAGGTAATAAATTAATTCTTGTGTTAACTATAAGTCAGGGACTCTGATGACACAAAAGACAGATCAAATTAGTTCATATGTTAACAATACTGTTCCCTTTCATTGCTTTTAATTAATCATTATTTCTCTTGAAATTTAGATAATTCTGAGAATCAAGAGAATGTAATTATTGATGCAGCGACCAAGAGCCACACCCCATTTTCTGCAATGTCACAAGATGCAAGTATTTCCACAAAGGAACCACAACCACTTGTGAAAGCTTTAACAGAGGAGAAACATGCATTTCTGAGAAACTTTCTTGGAAAAAGCCTCAAAGATGAAATGAACTCAGAGATATTAGACTTTCACAAAGATAATCGACCAAAGTTTTGTCTAAACCCTGGTCTGCCAAAACCAGCCAGCCTTGTCACTGTTGTGAGATTTCAGAAAGGTGAGTTTGTTGAAGTAAACAACTTGTCTTCATACAACAGTTCAATGTGTTTACGAGACATGAAAAACGCCATCTCTGCGGCTTTGGATTCTTGCATAACCCAAGCGAACCCTGAAATAGCACCCAGGCCTGCTCAGACAAACCCACTGAATGATGTCACTGCGAAAAATGCAAATGAAAATAGTTCACAAGAAAAAAGTATCACCACAAAACAAACCCAACCAAAAACACTGGGTGTTGATGAGGGTGATATAGGGACAGCTGGGAACACTACTGGTACATCCGAGGGTAGTAAACCTGACTCTCCTAAGGGAAATAGTGGAGGCAAAGGGGCAACTGTGGGATACAAAGGCACACAGTCCAGACCCAAGAGTACATCTGAAGCTCCACCAGCAGAAAAACTGAAAAAGACACCAGAAAAAGTAAAAACAGACGAGGTTCCGAAAGGGAAACTTCAGACTAACAAAGGAAAAGTTGAAGCCCCACCCAAACCAAAGGCATCCAAGCCGGCGCAGGTCCGGGTTAAGAAACCGAAGATCCCTGATGAGGAATCAATTAAGTTTGCGAACAGACAGCGAGAAATTCAGAGGATGAAGAAGGAACTAAAAGAAAGATTAAAAAAGGAAGGAAAGGAAGGTAAGAAAGAATACCTGCTTTGCCTTTAGGATGCATTTTCAATAATAAATAACACAACACCTCTTTCTTCTCCATTTCCTGTGTTCCATTCAACACATGATGCATGCTTATCTTTCACATTCCTCTGACAATGATTTCATAAAATAATGCCTGCTGCCAGGTGTTACCTGCACTCAGGCAGTTTTGGTAGTAACGTTGTTGGGTGTTCATAATCTCGTATCCAGACCCATGGAGTATTCCTAAACGTTCGTTCAAAATTCCTGCATTTGTTTGAGAGTGAATATAAGATCCTCAATATCATACAATAATATCTAGTTAATCTATATTTTTAAGGTGTCGATCCGGCCGCACGTATTAATGCCTGGGGACGAACGGTTGGCGTCACGTGCACAATGTGTGGTAATCACGTGCAGAAATCGTACGGGTGTTTCCGACGTGATACGGCACCGGAGAAACTCGTTCATCTTTTCACACCCGGAATGAACCGCATCAAGATATGCAGACGATGTCTACCGTATAAGAAACAAGTTGGCAAAACCGAGCAGATTCTTAAACCCGGGTTATTGTCCCTTCCTAAGGATCTCCAGGGGGGATTGAACCCAGGAAATAAGACCCCTGTGACTATTGCCCCAATAACAGACAAAGCAGTTTCGGCTGCCACTCTAAACGCCATCCATCGTAAAGTCACTGGTCAGGAAAATACTGGTCGTGAAAACAACGCTCGTGCAAACGTTAATCTTGGTCACGCGAACGTTGGTCCTGGTCACGTGAACGTTGGAGCAGTTCACGTGAACAATCCTAACCTGAAAAGTATTCCTGGTATCGTGAGCAATGTTCCTGGTAACGTGAACACAATCCCGGGTATCGTGAATAATGTTCCTGGTATCGTAATCAATAGCACTGATCACATGAATACTGTTCCTGGTATCGTGATCAATAGCACCGATCACGTGAACAATGTTCCTGGTTTGGTGATCAACAGTTCTGCTCACGTGAACCCAGGCTCTTTTCCAGCTGGAGCTGGTCACGTGATTGATAGCTCGGGTCTGCCGTCTGAAATTGATTTATCAGGAGATAGTAGCCAGGGCTCCGCCATTGAATATATCAAGAAACTTGCGCTGAACCTCAGGACCAATTACAATGAACCAGACGCAGCTTCGACGAACAAGAACGAACTCGTCACACCAGAGGAACAAATCATCAAGACACCAATACTTGAGCATCTTTCCAACTTTACCCCAGTTACACCATCGATGAATTTGACAAACCAGGCGACCAGTAACCCTGCAACTGTTGTTGCAACTGCAGTTAGTTTACCACCATCGCAGTGGAAACCTGTTGTTAACCAGGTTGCACCAGTTAATAAACCGGTCACACCTGAAACAACAGCAAGTTTTGTCCAGACAAGTGATGGCAATCTGTTGCAAGCTCCGCCTTGGACTGCCTTACCCATAGTCCTGAACGCCCAACCGAACATGGTTCTGACGTCATCCAACCAAGCACCACGTGATCCGAAAAGTACTTCTCTACAAACGTTTGTCACAGCGGCCAATCAAAAAGATCTAAAGTTGGTTCCCACAATCATGGTGCCATCCCAGAATACATTGCCGCGCGGACAAGGTCCAGTCTTGCTACAAATTCAGCGAGTGAAATTAGTTCGTGAAAAGACTGGGGAGAAAGTGGAAATAAAAGACAACATTTCAGAGGAGCAAGGTGGGTCGTCTAATTTCAATTGTTTACGATAATACAAATTATGGGATTTACTTAATTCCTTCCTTTAACGGGCTTCTACCCCTTGGGTTGACCACAAGATATTGACCAACCCAGTGATAGCCTGATGAAAACTATTGGTTATTCACCACCCGAGTGCTATCACTGAGTTAGTTAACATCTCATAGTCAACCTCGGCCTAGCACTGGGATGGTGAATATGCCGGAATATTGACCACCTACTGCCGTGATAGTACTTGTATGATAACAGGAAGAATTCTTTCCAGGTAAACGAAGTGAAATGGTTGAACAGTCACCAGCTGACCTTCCTGTGACAGACTTTGCAGGGTATGCTGGTAACATTCATAACCTAACTGGCAACCACCAACAACTTCCTGGAGAAATATCGTCTACTGAAGTGGAAAACTCGATGGGTGATTTCCTAACGCATGGTAAAGACGTTTTCCCCGCTCAAGTCGATCCACTGAATGCAAACTTTCAAACACTTACTGATGAAATTTCGTCAACTCAATTGGAAACATCAACTGGTAACATTAAGAAAATTACCGAGGAATTGGCGTCTTTGATTGGAGGGGGAAGTGTGTATACACAGGATAACAATGAGAAGATGATGGATGCAATGGGACATCTGAGTCAAGCTTCGGAACGGGACAATATTAAAGTAACAGAGTTAGCCGAAGGGTCTGACAAACATGAAAATCTTAATGTTGTGGACACGGAAATTTTACGGAGTGAATTTCTTCATCCAAATGAAGCAATTGGAGAGAAAACACTTTCGTCTGAAGGTCTGGGGATGAGTTATTCTCAAAACGAGCCTGTGGACCTACTTTGCGCTTCGGCAAATGTTTCAAGCCAAGACACAGCCAGCTACGCTATGAGTGGACCTCAGGTGGTAGGCAGGAAAGATGGTGGTCAAGAAGGGTTAATCGGAGCTTCAGATCTGTCTCAAAGTGGTGAAGCGAGCGTATTCCAAAGTCAAATTTCTGAAGAGTTTCCACCACAAACTAATGTTGGAAAACTGTCTGAAATAAACCAGTTAGAAAATATCCAGATGATGAACGAAGATCTGTTAAACGAGGTCGATCATTTACAGGATGAAAAGTTACCCGATGTTATGAATGTAAAGGACGATGCGTCTAAAGATCCCCTCTCAGAAAAGCACGTCAAGAATATCCCAGACGAAGCGAATGACGAAGATACGTCGCTTGGAATGACAGAAGATGCAAAGGTGAAGGAAAAGGAAGATTGTGAAAACGTAAAAGAATCCTCACCTGAGGAAAACCAGAGAGGAGTAAACGAAAAAGATGATTTGCATGTCAGCACGAAATCTGAGAAACAGGAAAAGATGAAAGACACAAGAAATAAAGATCCACAAGACATGAAGTCCGCGACTGATGAGAGTATTTCATTAGATCTTAGAAGAAGTCAGAGACGAACAGCAAGTCCACGAAAACTCAGCCCAAGCAAGAGTCCTGCCAAGAAGTTTGAACCAAGAGTTCATGGAACACGACAGAGCACTTTGAGGCAGAAGGAAGTAGGATCGCAGGGATCACAGACGGGAAAAGCGGTACAACAAGGAACCACTGGACATCAGGGATCGCTAAAGGGGAAAACTGGACAACAAGGATTGCAGAAGGAGAAGACTGGACAATTGGTTACCCAAAGGAGTAAGACTGAACGACAAGGATCACAGAAGGATGAAAAGGAACAAGAAACGACACAGGGGGTTAAGAGAAAACGGCAAGGCCGTGGAGCAAAGACGGTGAAAGCAATGAAAACGTAAGGCGCTATGAAAGAGAGAGGGAGACAGATAGACAAGAGAAATATCTTTCCTCGAAAGAAGGAATACAGCCTAGTATAGGCCACAAAATATTTGAGATATAATTTTTTGCAGTTTTCTGAGGTTCAGGTAACATAAAAACATCTCGTGGCCGTGCAATAATAATAACACAATGTCGAAATTCGCTCATTTTAACGGCCCTTTCGACATTTTGAATATTTTGAAAAAACAAATAACGAAAATAAACGACGGACAGCTGATTAAATGAACAACAGGCAAGTGTGGCTACGAGTGTTTTTTATGCCTTTACACTGAAAGTGTTGATTGTAAATATACGAGTTGCGTTGAAACAGTTTGGTTAATTGATAGTTCATTTCATTCTTTTTATGTGTGGGGTTTGTTATTGAGGCTAGTATTATGACTATTATCAAATTTATATCATCATTACAGTGTAAATAAAAGAGTTTTTTCGACATTTTTCGTGCTATATTACCAGGCTCCTTGAAAGGTTTTATATATCTCAGGTATATAACTGTTTTAAACAAGATAAAGCCTTTTGTTGTCTTCTAAAACCAGATTAATGCAAAGTAGACTAAACCTAAGGCGTGAGGTATTAAATTTTGAACGAATCTAGGGAGACAGGTTCAATACTGGGCTCGTATGCCTAAAGCGAAAGAGTTGATTGATGATAGCAATCCAAGCCGGTTTTAACCACCAAGCCAGGTTTGTGTCGTTGATTTTGGCGTAGCGCTGCATCTGTGCTCTACATTCTGACAGTGGTAAAATCCAAAATTATCCTCTCCACCAGAACCGCATTGTTTAGCAACATCTACTTTTAAATCACAATTTTTTTGTTGAGATCTTAGCGCATCAGAATGCAGTGAATAACCTGTCCTTTGATAGAGCACGAGCGTGCAGTCAAAACAATCAAATCCCCGGACATTCGCGTATTCAAGCCTTTTACACACGCCAAACTCGTCGTAAGTTAGAATATCAACGTCTTTCTTGGCACCTAACAAAAAATCCGTCTTATTTACCGTTTTGTTTTTGTCAAATTCACAAGTGATTCGCCATTTTGTCGAATCGTTTTGAATTGACTGCATTCTTGGCATGGAGATACGATAGGAGTGCCAATTTTCAGGGCTTTCTGCGTTTCTGCTCAAATCATTGAAAAATGGCTTTTGAAAATAAGCCTTTTCCTCGATGCTGTATGACTGCACCAAAGTCCAGGATAAATTGGAATCTTTTTCAAAATCGCAAAAAACTTTGTAGGACACGTTCGCAGAATCTAAAATGTTGTATATTCCCGGAATGCGAGATCCGTTAGCGTAGCCTCGACATGACGTTATCCTGGCCTCGCAATTTTTCCCGCCATAACCTGACGCACATGCGCAGGTAAAACGATCTTGTATATCGTCGGTAGGGGAGCAAGTGCCGTTGTTAAGACACGGTGTTGATGTCAAACAGCAGTTTATTGATTGCGTGCATCCACTCACAGCGTCACAGTGTCGTTCATTCTGTCGAGAAAAAAACAATTAGCGACTTACAAATTTCGTCCGGAGACCAGAGCACTGTCTGTCACTGGAGCCGGTTGTATCAAGCCGTTTTCCTTAAACGGTGGATAAGTTCAAAATAGAAAGCAAGTCTGCCGTTTTATTCAACAAGCAAACAAAATGTTTTTTATCTTAATACAAAGATATTGTTTACAACTACATATTCAGGGCATAATATTCAAGTTGACTTATTCAAGAGAGTTGTAACCTGTAAAAGCAGTTATAAAAATTCGGTCGGTTGTTAAAAAAAACTTTTTATCACTGACACTGTTAGTCTGTTACCTGTTTAATAATGTCAAAGTGCCCATGACCTTCTTCCTGTGTCAGTTGTGTTGGGTCTTTAGGATAAGTTCCAAGATAGCAAGTCGTATCATTCTCGCGCAAGTCAAATGTTGAACATTGACAATTAGCAAGACAATGCTGTAAACATTCTGATATTGAATTCACTTTCATTTTTTCTATTTTTCCTGTCGTCTGCATCACATTGGCGTGCCTTACTAAAGTGTATCCTCGCTGAGAGCTGACGCGTTCGTTGGACCACACGCTGAATAGCAACAGAAATCTATAAACCACAAGTTAAAAGCATTGAATTCACGGAATACATTTGCTTCTTAAGTGAAGACTAAAAAAAATATAAAAACAAGTCGATGAAAAATGCTAATAAACATAAAGCGTTGTGTCTAAAATCTATGCAATTAATATATTATAAACTCGATGATTTGTAGTAATTCAAAAGTGATGCTTCTTCAATAGAGTTGGCTACTCTCTTTTTATGCACATATACGTAATACATAAGTAAAAAATTTCATTTTTACTTTCTAGTTTCTTCATTTACGTGAAGATTTAGGTCAGTTTTAATTTACGTTCCATTAGAACCATCTTTTATTAATCCCGCGTCATTAAGCGTGTTGGCCACCTTGTATAACTAATGGCTACATTAACTGTAAATTGAAGTCGCACAGTTTTAATAGCTTCGTGCAATTGAAACTGTGCTTAAACTACGATCTTAGACAGTTAGACCCAGCTTTAAACTTGCTTTATGTAGTGCAAGTTAAAAGCAAGCGAGGTCCTTGGTCAGCCAAGGTACCAGACCTATCAAAACAGGTGACAGATGTTCGTATATAAATTGTTCAATATAGTCTTGGTTGTTGTTTAAAGAAGGTTAAAGCAACGATACATCATACATGATCATTGACGGCTCAGTGACTTATCAAAAAAAAACCAAAAGGCAAAAGCCTTTCGGGAGAAGACCGCTTATTGGATAGTTTCTATAATTTCTATAAACTGTTCTTCCAATAGGTCCAGTAAGGATCATCTTAATTTTCTTCATCCCGGAGGAAACTAAACTAAACTAAACTAACTTTTTTTATACTGGGCTAGATAGTTCGATCAGTTCTAAACTGTTCTTTCTTGAGGTCCAGTAAGGATCATCTCTTATTGGTCCGGTGTTACTACGGGAGGAAACCTAAACTAAACTAACCTTATTTATACTGGGCGGGATAGTTCAATCAGTTCTAAACTGTTCTTCCTTGAGTTAAGGTCCAGTAAGGATCATCTCTTATTGATCCAGTGTTACTACAGGAGGTAACCTAAACTAAACAGTAAACTAGATTTAGTTTACTGGATTATATTTATTCAAATGACTTTCAGTTAGAACGACTGACTGAACATATTTTAGTAAAACTAAGGAAAAAGCTTATCAATATGATCATATATAATAATAATTGATATAATAACAGTCGAGCAATATATTGGCTAATTGTTATATTGAATGGCGTCTGTGCAATATAAAGGCCAATGACACTAAAAACCAATAACAGAAGTTATGAATTTTATAAAATTATTATATTTTGCCAACTAGGAGACATTCGCTCATTTTATTTCACCAGGCAAACTGCTGGAATATGGAATAAAAATGGTGGGCAAGGTGCTCAGAATTATGTAATATTCTGTATCAATGTGTCCTGTTCTCAATTCGCACTACACCAAGCCCTTGTTTTCTGACGCTTAGGTTTCTACGTACCTCAATATTGCAGACATTTCTTGCAGGTTCGGCCTAACAATTTCACTCAGTTTTGTTTCAATCCTTTGTTGAACTTGAACCACAGCTAAATAATGACTTGTTCGTGCACTGAGATAAAAAAACGTTATGGAAATTAGGCGTTAAACCTTTATAGTTTCATAAATTGTCATGAAAAGTGATGATTAATATTTAATGTTAATAAATTGTGTTTTTGTCGGTTCTTATTGTCATATTGAGAATTTTAATGCTTATAATTAAACTGGATGATTGTTTATACAGGTTATTTAAAATTCTGACTAAAAGGACTGTGCCACAATATTCGCGCATTTTACCAGTTTTTGAAGTTGTTTTGTTTTTAGCCGTGGAGAACCGATATTTTTTTCTGCCATGAAATCACTCTTCAGTTGTCCCGGCATAATTAAAACTAAATGCAGGACAGCTGGTGGGTTAACAGGCAAGAAATCGACTGTCAAAAATAGTGGCTCTCGTAGTAGTAGAGTCGAGAAATGTAGTAGAATCGAGACTTATTGCTGGAAAAAAATTGAAATAGTCAATTCCTAATCACAGTATATATAATCTTGACAATTTTAGCTTTGTTTATATAAAAGAACAAACATATGTATATATAAAAGCATAAATATAATTATTATTTATGTGTAATAAAGAATAGATTAAAATAAAAAAACTGCAATAATGTGCCAGTGGGGAACTGATAAATAGTAAATCAGCACCCTGTGGAATAGTTGATTGTTTCAGCTATCAAATGATCATAGAGCCAAAAAAACGATTGTCAAAAACTCTAGGAACATTGTTTCAAAGATTCTTCTAATTTGCAATGTTCTCTGGAATTATTTGAAAACAACAGAGATCAGAGATGTTGTTTTTTTGTACAAATCGTAAAAATGATATTCACGAAAGAGTCTCTGATATTGAACATCACCTGCAGAAATGCCTTCCTGTAGTTGAAGACTTGAAGTTATTACTGATTAGAAAGATTAATTGTTAAGATAAAAAAAAGGTAGGATGGGAAAGGCTATATAGATCGTTAAAAATATCCGGGGTAAATAGACCCCTGACTACGAGGTTGAGATATGAAATGATGCATGTTTTTGATTGGGTAACGCCCTCAGTTGACCACTCAAGGACGTCGTATATTATTTGCAAATATACGTCACAGAGTCAAAACAGGTCTATCAAGACTCTTTCTTACATGAAGTCTCGTTTGTAAGAACAATGGAGACATTCACATTCAGAACAAAACGATGCAAGTATTTTAAGAAAATTTAACATCAAATTTATTTATAATTTCAAGCAAAATGCTGGGTGATAATACAGGAGTGTCATTTCTACTGCTTCTTGTATCAAAACTTGCTCTAATATTATTATCTTTGGCTTATATATACTATTTTCAAACTGTCTGGATAATTCGTATGTGGACAAGGTATAAAATATATCTATTTTTTGCACAAAAATAATAAACTTGGGTATTCTTATACATGTCATTTAGTTTATAGTTTTGCCTATGTCTATGTTCCTTAGACCAGTGTCATGTTGTCAGAGGGCAAGGCCCTAACCCAGCAATGCTTTTATATAAGATTCCAGGACACAGAGGAAGAGAACACTAGCGCAGTTTTTATCAAAATATTTATGTCAGATTGCCTCTCAAAATGCAAGAAATGGCTTTTCAGAGACAGCTTATTGCAAAATTCTCCTAAGTATGGCCTTTACTCTCTCATCTGTTTATGATGTTTCTGAAGTGCTAGGAAACTATATATAGCCTTATAGGGGAAGTACCACCTGAGTGCCACCCCCTTGCAAACACAGGCCAGGATGCCTACTGTGTGGATTTAATGGTTTGATGTATGTGGTCTCCTAGGTACCGAGTATGGCGTGCCTGTCTGAAAAAACACCGTCTGAAAATCACAGATGATCTTGAAATCTCATATTTAGAGAGAAAAGCTGCTGCAGATGCTAATGTTTTGTTGTTTGTTCATGGTTTTACTGGAGATAAGGAGATATACTCAGACTTGATTCGTTTTTTGCCAACAAAATTTCACATAATCGCAATTGACTTGCCTGGCCATGGAGAATCAAAGCCAAATGATGCACAGTCTGATTATAAACCTTCCACAATGGTTGATTATTTACATAAGGTAAAGACTGAACCAAGTTTCCCCTGTCACGAAATGGTACCAAGTCAACGATCAAGCATATGATTCATTCTGTAGAAGTTAACATTTTGAGAGAATAGTAGTTTAGTTGCAAAGTTCTAACTCACGTTCCTCTCAGTTTGTTAAGGCCTATGGTTTTGGTGAAAGAAAGTTAAACTTGATTGGTTCGTCTATGGGTGGCTCCATTGTTGGTATGTATGCTGCAAAGTATGGTGATGAGTCACTAGCATCAGCAGTATTGCTTTGCCCATCTGGCATCCATTCTCCTGAAGTCACCGAATTCCTGTTGAAAAGCCGTGATGACTTACAGAAGAATGTATTATTACCAAAAACTCCAGAGGATTTTGATGAAATGATAAAGTTGGTTATGCATCATAAAATAAACATACCATCTCATATTGCAATGGCTTTTGTCTCAATTAAGAAATTGAAAGCAGATATTTACAAAAAAGGTGGGATATTTCTGTCAGTTCACAAATTATCTTTCTTACAACATCCTAATTCCTTTCTTGGGATCAGTTTTAAGTGATATGAGAACAAATGGCGAATATTTGATGTTGGATAAAGTTCTTGAAGAAATTCAGAATCCAGTTTTGTGTGTTTGGGGTGAACATGACAAAGTTAGTGAAAGCTACGCTTTTTTATTTTGCTCTTTTCTTAATTTCTCCGCTTATATTTGACGTATTTTATAATTATTTAGATCTTACATGTTTCTGGAAGTGATGTTATCAAACAGCGTGTCAAAAATGCCGAGGTTCATGTTTTAGACAAATGTGGACACGCCATTACACTTGACAGACCAAGGAAGCTTGTTAAGATTATAACACAGTTTTTAAATAAAATTGCATAAAAACATAATGATTTTCAGAAACCTTTATTGGACTTATTATATTCAACTTATTTTTTGATATAGAACAACCGCGAAATATTTACTGTACTTTGTACTTAGGTGCACATGATCTGATGTATAATTCCTCAGTCATTACTAGACACAGCGAGCCGATTTTTCTGTTAAAATCAAGCTAGGATTTTAATATACCCTAAAAAAGGAAACAGAATCGGCAACAAAGAAAAAACAATAAAAAAATGCGAAAATCCGGAGACACGAAAGCTGTCCAACATGGCGGGTCGATAATTCTTGCAAAATTTGTCGGATACTTTAACCTTTTTAAAGCGAACGGCTTTACGGACTCTTTCGAAAGTTTTGCAATTTAAATGACTTATATTTGTGTAATTTCTCTGTAAGTTACACGACTTAACTCCCAAGGGAACGTAAGAAATTGCGTAAACCGCAATATCTTCTAGAGTTAGTACAGTTTGTGTCATCAGTTTCCGCCGATCGGACTCTCAATTGCCGATTTTTAAAGACAGGAAACAGATTTTCATCTTGAAATAAAGAAGAAAGATCGAACTTCAATATTCCCTAAAAATAGAATATAATCAATGTCGGAAGATGAAACAGTGAAAAATGTTTGATGTTGGAAACCATCTAGGATTATTTCAAAACACTAAAAAATATCAAAACATACTATTTTCCCTCTGAAGGCACTTGAAAAACGTTTAGGCGTTTAAATCTTGTAATTTCCAAGCGTTTGCCTTTTTTCACATTTTCTATGCATATACTTGTTAAGGACCGCCCCCCGAGACCAGGAAAAGCTTAAATACGTTAAATTTATCGTCGCTCTCAGGGCTAGCCACTGTAGCTGATTCGTCTATGACGCTAGGCTTGTGGCGATGCATACTCTGTTTCTCACTGAGACGTAACGGTTAGGTGCACATACATCATGGTCTGGGGGCCGTAGTGCATCTCCCCCTTAGACGGCCGTTAAGATGTGAGTTATGGGGGGGAGTTCTTCCTATAGCAACTGTCCTTGCACCTTTCGTAGTTGTAACTATGCTGAATATTGCAGCCGGTTGTATAACCAGGTTAGATTGTGGCATAGGCTGGATGATCTCTTTTGGGTGTTTTTACGTTCTTTCCCAATATTTTTTTTTTGGCATGCTTTCCAAATTTTTCTTTTACCAACAAAAATATACTGGTATTAAACATATATGGAACGGATATGGTTCGAAAAAAATATATATATCGACTAAAAACCACCTTAATTAACCCTGGATACTCTCCCCAGTCTCTGCATGCTAAATCTCTGAAATAAACAAAAGCAGAGATCATTCATAAACATCAAACATTTATTATCAGCATTTTCATCAACATTACAGCCGGAAAATGGCAAATACGACCATGGTCATATTCGCCGGAAAATAGTATATACGACCATGGTCATACTCGTCGGAAAATGGCAAATACGACCATGGTCATATTCGCCGGAAAATGGCAAAACGACATTCGCCGGAAAATGACGAATACGACCATGGTCGTATCATGGTCGTATTGGCCGGAAAATGACGAATACGACATTGATTGGCTTGAAAATGGCAGATACGATCATGGTCATATTCGCCGGAAAATGGCAAATACGATCATGGTCATATTCGCCGGAAAATGGCAAATACGATCAGGGTCGTATTAGCCGGAAAATGACGAATACGACCATGGTCGTATTGGCCGGAAAATGACGAATACGACCATGGTCGTATCATGGTCGTATTGGCCGGAAAATGACAAATACGACCATGGTCGTATTGGCCGGAAAATGACGAATACGACCATGGTCGTATTCGCTGGAAAATGGCAAATACGAGCATGGTCATATTCGCCGGAAAATGGCAAATACGACCATGGTCATATTCGCGGGAAAATGGCAAATACGACCATGGTGGAGCTCGCCGGAAAACGACCAATTCGACCATGGTCGAGTTCGCCCGAAAAACGACCAATTCAAGCATGGTCGAGTACGCCAGAAAACGACTAATTCGACCATGGTCGAGTTCGCCCGAAAACGACCAATTCAAGCATGGTCGAGTACGCCAGAAAACGACTAATTCGACCATGGTCGAGTTCGCCGGAAAACGACTAATTCGACCATGGTCGAGTTCGCCCGAAAAACGACCAATTCAAGCATGGTCGAGTACGCCAGAAAACGACTAATTCGACCATGGTCGAGTTCGACCGAAAAACGACCAATTCAAGCATGGTCGAGTACGCCAGAAAACGACTAATTCGACCATGGTCGAGTTCGCCCGAAAACGACTAATTCGACCATGGTCGAGTTCGCCGGAAAACGACTAATTCGACCATGGTCGAGTTCGCCGGAAAACGACTAATTCGACCATGGTCGAGTTCGCCGGAAAACGACTAATTCGACCATGGTCGAGTTCGCCGGAAAACGACTAATTCGACCATGGTCGAGTTCGCCGGAAAACGACTAATTCGACCATGGTCGAGTTCGCCGGAAAACGACTAATTCGACCATGGTCAGGTTCGCCGGAAAACGACTAATTCGACCATGGTCGAGTTCGCCGGAAAACGACTAATTCGACCATGGTCGAGTTTGCCGGAAAACGACTAATTCGACCATGGTCGAGTTTGCCGGAAAACGACTAATTGGACCATGGTCTAGTCGGCCGGAAAACGACTAATTCGACCATGGTCAAGTCGGCCGGAAAAAGGGGGAATTCGACCATGGTCCGCTGTTTTCCGGCGGACTCGACTATTGTCGACGTGACTAAAGCCAAAATTAACAAAACATTTTAGTAAACTAAGTCGTTCAATCATTTATATTGAGTTTCCTTTCGAGAAAATGACTATATTGAGGTTAAAAACGAGCAAGGATTGTTTCAAAACACTAAAGGTTCTAGAAGAATATCAAAACACTAAAATTTCTCGGTAAAATCACTTAAAAAACGTTTAGGCGTTTAAATCTTGACATTTCCAAGCGTGTGCCTTATTATAAGTCGTTTTCTAGGCATATACTTGTTAGGGACCGCCCCCCGAGACCAGGAAAAGCTTAAATACGTTAAATTTATCTTCGCTCTCAAGGCTCGCCACTGTAGCTGATTCGTCTATGACGCGCTAAGCGTGTGGCAAAGCCCACTCTGTTTCTCACTGAGACGTAACGGTTAGGTGCACATACATCATGGTCTGGGGGCCGTAGTGCATCTCCCCCTTTGACGGCCGTTAAGATGTGAGTTATGGGGGGGAGTTCTTCCTATAGCAACTGTCCTTGCACCTTTCGTAGTTGTAATCTATGCTGGTATATCGCAGCTGGTTGTAATATCACCGGTTAGATTGTGGCATAGAGCTGGATGATCTCTTTTGGGTTTTTTCACGTTCTTTCCAAATTTTTTTTTTCGGCGTTCTTCTTTCCAAATTTTGGTTTTACATACAAAAAAACGCTGTTATTGAACATACACGGAATGCTATGGTTGAAAAAAAAATTTACCCGCTCGCAACCACCTTAATTAATCCATCTTAGTATTCGCCCCCATTCCCCGTGCGGTCAGATTCAAAATGGTGGCCGTGCGGCGTTGGTGAAATCATTGGTGGATGAAATTCAAGACGTGCAAATTCGAGCGATGCGAGTGATGAAATATTAAAGTGTCTGAAAGTATCTTTCTAATATGTCTTTGGGTGTAATTACAGACATTTTAGTGCGAGATATCCGTTTTCCGACCTCGAAAGAATCTCATGGAAGTGATGCTGTGGTGAGTCAAACTCAAGGACATCTGACGTGAATGTTATATTTTGGATGACACTGTTTATAGTTAATATGTCATGCTTCATATCGACCTATAGCACAAAGATCCAGATTACTCCGCTGCATATGTCATTATCAAGACGGACCGTTTGGATCAACTAGCAGGATATGGCTTGGCTTTTACACTAGGGCAAGGCACAGAAATTGGTCAGCATATTATTATTATTATTCACGGAATATAACTCAGCCATGTTTAAGTTAGGGATGGTAAATAATATTCATTGTTTTTTTTCATAGTTGCACTTGCAGTAAAGGCATACAAGCCTTATGTCACTGGAACATCTTTGGATGAGATATTTGATAATTTTTCATTGTTTTGGAAGACACTTGTGAATGAAGGCCAACTACGTTGGGTAATAGACCTTTCTAATAATGAAGTCAAATTGAAGAAAGTCTGATATTATGCAAAGTATGATTGGCTCCGCAGATTTAGCAAGCACATCCGACTTTGTGTAATTTTAGACTCTTTGTTTTTGTCATGTCAGAGGACTATAAAGAGGCAAGGGCTGTTAAAGATTGTCAACTGGAGTCTGAGGGAGGGGCAAATATTCATATATTAACATTCAACATTAATATATATTATTTGTTTTTATGGTCTGCTAACATGAATATATGAATATTTGCACACCCTTCTCACTTCATGATCTTCCATGGACCCTGAAAGAGATGTTTGTTTGTAGATTGGACCAGAAAAAGGTGCAATACACACTGCACTTGCTGGCATTATAAATGGACTCTGGGATTTGTGGGCCAGGATTGAAGGAAAGGTGATGAAGTTAATAAACTAAAACTAAATTATGTCTTGTTTTGAACTATAAAAATAATCATTTACCCTATAATTATTTTTTTCGTTTAGCCTTTGTGGAAGTTTCTTGTTGACATGGTATGAATATTCTTGAAATTTTACATGGTAAATTTATAACTTAGATCATTAATTTGCAGGAACACCACATATTTATTTATTACAAGCAGTGCTTGCCGTTCTTCAACCTAGGCCTTCTTGAGTTGCAATGATGAAGCTCTAAATATAGTAAATATACTAAATAGGTGGTATTCCAACAAGTTGACATATGGTTTTGGTTATGATCTTGTATTGTTGACTTGTGATCTATTAGATTTAATTTAATTTTTTTATTTGTCACAATATAGGATCCTGTGAAATTGGTATCAACAATTGATTTTCATCACATGTAAGAAGTCAGAAATTTGTAATGATTGTCATGTCTCTCTAAAAAACTTACAGCTCATTTCAATCATATCTAGTGATGATGCATTAACAAAACAAGAAGCTTTGGGTAGTAGATATTTTATTTGACATATTACAACATTCCATTCCTAGCATATTTCTTCCATTATTATACTTTGAAGAAGTTACATTGAAATTAAAAACCACTCTCTCATTTAGAAATCTTAAGAAAGAATTCATCTTCAAAGAATGAAAGAGGTTGGTTGAAAATCTATCCTGGACTTCATCAAATTTACCAGTTATTTCTGAATTAAAAGTATCCAATATGGTAGTTAAATCAGCATTGATATTTTGAGGATTATAAAGTTTATTCCAACAAGGTTAGGCCAGCCTTATTTCAAGTTGGGACTGAATATACGCAACCTATCTTTACCAGAGCAGTATATCTTGAGACATGGCTACCCAGCTTACATCACCTCTGTTGGTTGGCTGGGATATGATAAGGAAAAAATAAAAAATCTTTGTGAAAAGGCTTTAGCAGATGGATGGACAAGGTAGTGCCAATGATCTAATGCAAGCAAAGTCTTAAACACAGCCTGAGAAGTCTGCGTTAAAAAACAGTTCCTGAACTCCATGCAAACTATTTTACCAAACTATTTTTCCTCTGATGAAAATATTTGTTTTTCAGATTTAAAATGAAGGTTGGTGCTGATATTGAGGATGATATTAAAAGAGCTTCAACCATACGTGATGTTATTGGTTGGGAAAATGAATTGGTAGGTGCACCTTTCCTCAAGATATGAAAGCCAAGGGGCTGGGTGAGGTACCAATATTACCAGGGGAAGTACTTAGGCTAAGTGGTGAGAGGGGTGGGTGGAAGATCCTCTCTCGTCATTGAGTCGGCAAACTTTATCTTTTGTCGACGAAACTTGGGACCAGTCTACTAAAAAAAAATTGACAAGGCAATGATGGATTGATGGTATCTTAATGTTCACCATTAGGGTTTAACGGTTTCTGTACAAAAAACGATAAAAATAGGTTAAAATAGAAATGTTTATTGTTTAGATGATGGACGCGAACCAGGTTTGGAATGTGGAAGAAGCAATTTCAAGGATGAAAAAACTCGCTCGTTTCAAGCCAAAATTTATCGAGGAGCCCACCCACCCTGACGACATTCTTGGTCACGCGAGTATAGCCGAGGCTTTAAACCCCGAGGGTATTGGTGTAGCTACCGGAGAAACATGCCCCAATCGAGTTATGTTTAAGCAGTTTTTACAAGCCAAGGGGCTGCAATATTGTCAAATTGATAGTTGTCGTATGGCTGGTTTGAATGAGATATTAGTCGTTCTGCTGTTGGCAGCAAAATATCAAGGTATCTGGCGATAAAAATTTGATAGCTGAGAGGTGGCGTTGTTGGTTCTACTTTCTCTCAGATGATCTATATATGCGCTATACTCTAGTCTGGATTGTGTTAAAGTTGAGTTCACATCTAAGTTGTCAGTCAAACTCGAGGTGAAGTTAAATTCAGGGCTCATCTTTGACACGCTCGTGCCCAGGGAAAGTGCTGTGCGTCAGGTTGAATATTCATGTGATTATTTAGTTCCTGTCTGGCCTCATGCTGGTGGCCTGGGGTTATGTGAGATGGTGCAGCATATATCGATTTTTGATTACATATCAGTTTCACCAACACTGGAAGACAAGTACGTTCTCATTTTTCAGTGTAGAAAAGCTTGATAGTGCTTTATTCATGCAGTTCATTGTGTTTATACGAAGTATTCCACCCTTTGCTTATTGCTGTGTTGTAGAGCAACGGAATATGCCGGTCATTTGCATGAACATTTCGTGAATCCTGCCGTAGTTGAAAATGGGGCATACCTCGCGCCTAAGGTAAAAAACTGTAATATAAATATTTAGTTCAATATATCCAGTGTTACATTCATGAAACACCTTTTTTCGTTTGCAGTCCCCAGGCTACAGCACGGAGATGTTGACGTCATCTTTAGATGAATATGAATATCCTAATGGAAGTTATTGGCAGAAAAATACAGGATTGGTGAGATCATGTGATGACTTCGTGCCTTTCAAGAGGAGAAAACACGAGAATGATATGTAAGCTTTAACGTGATTTTATCGCTAGGAAATGATTGTTTTAAAATGAATAGTAACAAATAAATTTTATAGTAGGGACATTTTTTATTAAGTAGATAAAAATTATAAAATACATTTGAAGGGTGAGTCTTCGCTAATATTTCACACAACATTTTAGTAACTTTTGTTCAAGAGATAGTTTGAAAATGCTGCGTTCAAAAACTTTAGAAAATAGAGTTAAAGGCAGGCATTAGGGATCAAGAGTCTATACCAACACGAATAAAAACGTTTAAGATATTTTTTGAAGAACAAGAGTAGTTTTATTTCATTGATTTCGAGTTCGACGTTTCTCATGCATGTACATATTATTTACGTGTTGTTATATATAGCTGTTTGATAATGTACTAGTTTACATTTATGAATGCGTTAATCTAAGATAAAACGGTTCATTTTGTAGACTGCGATGATTGCAAAATTTTCCATGAAATGCTATCAATAATCCCCAAAATATCCTTCAAATTCACGCTCGATGTCGACCTTGTTTCTAGCGTCATCTCCTTTCATTCTGTGATATTGACGTTTAGAATCTCTATCCCCAGCGATCCCTTCACGTCTTGCTCCATTAGCTTTCATTTCGTCTGCTTGTTTATTCTTGCCGCACCAAATTCCCGGTCGACACCGTTTATCACGGGCGTCACAAAGAACAGCCAGACAGACAATCATTAAGACAATACTTCCAATTGATTTCATCTAAAATCACAAGAAACAGTGACTTAGCTAAAACCATGTCAAAAATGGCTCAAACGTGGAAATAACATGAGGCGGTTTATTTATAAATATGCTGGTGTAACACTTCCAGGATGAATAAGTTAAGTTGAAGTTTATCGTATAAAGCTGTGAGATTATTTAAATCAGTCATAAAGAGATGATTTCCGACCTCTACGAAACACAGTTTAGAACTGCATGATAAAGCTTTCATGAGTTTTTCCTAAACTCTAAACTGCGTATTTCGAAAAAAAAGATTGTCCTTAGACTCAGTGACGGCTCTGCAACATTCTTTCTTTAAAACTGTCGATTTTACACATATATTTATTTTAAAAACTATAAATTTTTCACCTACCTTGGACGTGGTAACATAAACTTTTTCACCTTCAACTGAAACACGCGCAGACACAGTAAGATAACACAACCCGTGAGTTTAGCTTTTCACGCTTCTTAAATAGTCTAACAATTGTGAAAAAATTAAATATTTATTACCGGTAAAGTAGGTTGAAAAGGCAATATCAATGACTTACATCTAGTACACACGACGCAAGCCACAAAATGGCAGGTGTGTATAAACTGCCTTGATAAAGAATTGTTTATTGCTTGCTCTAAAAGGAACAAATATCGTAACTTAACAGAAAAACTACCGCATTTTATTGCCTTTGATAATTGACGTCTGCCGACGAACATACATACACGTCTTTTTGTGTACAAAAGCTTAGACTTTGCATGAACACTCGTAATGGCAGGTGCAGATATCAAATAGGGTAAAACTGCAAATATAAGTTAGCCTTTTATTTATTATTTATTCGTGAAATATTAAAATACGCGAGAGGGAAAAAAGCTTGTGCAATATGGAATGGAAGATATGAAACCAGCTAATATAGATTTATATTACTGTCCTCAAATTCAAGATCTATTAACGATCGTTATCGCATTGTCGTGTTGCTTTTGAGATAATTTTAATTAAGGTATCACAATTAACAATTTGTTTTCTTTATATTCATAAATAAGCTTGGGTGTAAATCAAGTATAGCTCTCCTATGAAGGCAGAAACAATGATCTTGTTTGGACGCTAAACTACACTTATGCATGCAATTTGTAGGCTAACACCGATAAGTAAGGACGCTAACCTCTTACAAAAGAAAGCGCTAAGACTATTGAATATTGTGCGCTCCAATAGATGCATGTAATAATTATAAGCGTTATATAGGATAAGTAAGATTACTGTCTGCCTGGATTTTTTTAAGTTTCTTTGTTGAAAAAAATTAATCCCAGGGGCAGGTTGTATAAAAGACTATAGTTAACTTTTAGTTTTAGCTGTAGTTACGGACAGAATTGGCGATCAGAGTTGTGTATTTTTGAGTTAACCAGGATTTAACTATGCAAAATATGTTTAAAGAGTTTTATAAAACCAGTCCCAAGGCTGCAGATATATGTGATGGCAAATTTCCAGAATTTGAAAGTTAACTTGCAGTCGTGGGGGAGAAATGCAACTGTTTTCTTAATTGTTTCAAAAAATGTACCTTTGAATGGAGGTTTCATGCGTCTCGTGTCGGCTGTAGTGGGTCAGCTCTTAAATGACATATGCATTAAAAATTTACATCCACTTGAAGATTCTGTCAACGACTGAAAACCTTTTACAGTTTCTGCCATTACGCTTCGCACAGACGGTTACAAAATACGAAATACCTGGTTAAACCGCTGTTATTTTTCAATATCTCCACTCGAAGGAAAGGAATATCATTGTTTATTGTTTAAAAAAGGAGCCTGAACGTTTGTTTTACAAATTTTTGCTTCGCGTTAAGTTGAAGTCCATTTCAGTATTTGCAGAAACATCAAATTCGTGATTTTTTTTATTTACCATAGCCACATGGAATGAGATTAATTTTTGCCGTGCAATTCCACGCATCTATGCAAGATTTAAAACATCCACGCAAAAGAAATATTTTAATACGTGGTCGTGGGATCTGACAATTAGCAACCGACTTCACACGTATTGGAACAAAAACAAACGCTTCTCTAGTTGACAGCTTGTGCGAAATATAAGAAACACTCGTTTTCCGAGTATAAATATCAGATATTGCCATCATGGTTGTTAAACTTCTGATCTTTGTCCTCCGGGTATTTTACACAGTGCTAAAAATCGTCTGATGAAATTGTTCATCATTTAAATATACACAGAAAGTTTATTAATATATCACCATTCTTCTCTTGACGAAGACCCTTTGAGTCTTGCCGTTTAGTTGAACTCTGGTTTTAATATTTGTAGTTTGCGATCAGACTCGTTGAACAGAATCATTAAAATGACAGTTTCAAAGTGATATGATGAATTGTGATCAAGTTATACGTGATCTCTCACTAAAAAAAATACTTTTAAAGATCAATTCTTGACAGCTTTAAAGCTATATTTAAGATAAAGCAATATTGAGTATTTGAGAGGTCAAAAGTCAAGGGTATCTTTAGCAGTTAGAAGGCAAACAAAGTGCTTGATGTACTGACCGTGTTTAATTGTTATGAATAGTTAAGTTACAAGAGGAACAATAGGTTATGATTCTATAGCTTGTGATAATAATTATTGGTCAAACTAATTCACATTTTACATGCAGTGGGGTCAGTAAAAATTAAGTAAGATACCAATCAACTACGATACAGAAACTCAACCTAAACAACGACTCTCGCTGCCCACAAAACATGCGGAAAAAGACAAAATGTTTCTCAAACTTCCTTCTGAATTTCACGACATGTCGAAGGGGGAAAAATAGACAGAATATTTAGATCGTTTATCTAAGCTGTTTCAAGACTGATAATCAAAATATAGCTACAATATCCAGCCGCAAAAATCATCACATGAGGTAACTCGTCCACATCACATAAATCATTGATGTTTTTTGTTTCTATAAATTGTTATCGAGGTTTATTCCATGACAGGCAGACACAAAAGAAATAAAACGGTCTCGAAACATGTGTCATAGGCATAGCGGTCTCGAAATCATTATTTTGACGTTTGCTCTAAGAGAGTCTGAGTTTTGGAAGAAAGAAATATATACGAAGCGAGTTAACCGCTGCTGACTCACTTTTTAACTGCATTTATAAACGTGTTTCGACTGAATTTGTTGTCAGACGAGTTCTAATTGAGATCGTTATAACCCGCAAAAATTTTAATGGAGTGGGCGACTCTGTGAAACACGGCCAATAAGACATTTTATTTAATGAATATTAATCCATGACTCGACAAGTCTTTGTATCAATACCAGAAAGCGTACTTTTTCTTTAGCACACGGATTATTTCTTTAAACTCGGTATTAAGTTACTAACTACAGCCTTTTTAAGTCCATAATGCATCTGTGTGTCAAATGTACGCATGCGTACCTATTTGTTCCGGAACCTTTCAACCAACGTCTATATGACGTAATCTAGTTTTACCAGCGGGCTCATAAACATGGTGTTTGGAATGATCAGTGAGAATGATTTGTGAAATGGTCTGATCTTTGCTCGGATTTTCTAGTAAAAATCTCTGTCTTGCAAGAGTGGATACATCCTAATGTCAGGTGATGATGGGTTCACGTTCGTAAAATATAAACATCCCAGAAAAAATAAACACAAGTCACTTGGATTCTTTGAAGAATTTTCTTGTTCCAAATCACAAACCTCTGTCAAACAACTGGATGTTCTCATCAACTGTATTTGTCAATGCAAAGTTGAATTAAAAAGCAGTACATTTTACAAAGAATTGCTTGGGTCATTATCACAAATACTTTCTCCTGATAAAGCAGCAAATTCTGGAGAGGTGTCACTGAATTTTCAGGATTGTGTGTCATATGGAATTGGAAGGATATCTGAATGTCCCATAGCCAGATATCAGTTTGCTTTATTGGTCCTGCTGTGGCAGCATTTCAGGCCTGCTGGAAAATGCTATATTTATGATCCAGTTTTTGGAAATCTTGATCAACAAATTATCAAACATTTTGAACTGGAATTAATTCCAAGAAATGAAGAAGCGAAGCGATGTGTTGCTCAGAAAACTTTGTTTTTTGTACCTCACTGTGGAAAACCCATTTACAATAATATACTGTGGGCAAATTGGGGAGTTGGCTTAGAAAATGTCATTATTTTTGGAAATAGTTTTGCAAGCTATCAAGAGCGTTTACCATTGCGTCAATTGAAGTCAGAAGCAAGCTACATTGCCGAGATTCTTTCAATGACACATGAAGTGAAGTTGCAGATTTTTACGAATCATGATGATATTTTTAATGACACGTCATTGCATTACTGGGTGGCTGATGAGCTTCATAAAAAATCATCATCATTTTGGAGTAACTATGAAGAACCAGTTTATCAAGAAAGTTCAGAAATTATCTTAGATAAATATTAGGTGATGTACATATTAGTTGAGGGTACCTATAGGACCATACAAATTCAGGACCATTAGTTCAGCTCATGTAGAATGCTCAATCTTTTTGAAGAAAATGTTTTTCAACTTATTTCCCCTCATAAAATGGTCATGGTCAAAATGTAAAGAATAAGCTGTTAGAAGATGTTTATATGTTCACCCCTGATTTTTTAGACCATATTCACAACATTCACTATCCAAATTTATAACTTGGCAATCAGGCCACACAGGGGACAGTTATAATAGACACATACGAAAAACCCTCCAATTACAATTTTGCAAAACTAACTGCAAAGCTCTGTATTTTACAATTTTATGTACAAAAGCTTTACCAATTCTAAAGCTCTATAAGTTATATCTATGCTATATGATGTTGTTATAATTTATTCTAAGTGCACAAAGTGTGTTTTAAGTAAACAAAACTGGACCATCTTGGAACTTTGTTCACCTCATGTTTCCTTTTTGCCACTTCGACTTTAGTTAGGCCAGCAGGTCATCAGACAATCAGATAAAATTGAAATCAAATTTGCTAAAAAGCTCAGTTTAAAAGACCATGTAGACCCTTGCATATTTGAGCTCACACATAATACAAATTATGTGCAGACTGTTACAAGCTATTCAACAGTTGTTTGCTGTCCTAAATAAATCTCAATTCATGAAAGCAATAATGTCAATGCAGCTATACTGTGTCATCTAAAAAGTAAGAAAAAGATTCATTGTACATTAATATCATCATATGCACTATTGTACATTCGTATGTACTATGCTTGCACAATACAATTTCTTACCATGGTACCACCATCTTGTTTTCTTTGGATTCTTTGAACAGGTTTTTACATAAAATTCATTGTCAGGTGGGAGTTTCTAAAAAACATGGAAAACTAATAATATACAGGTATTGTTGGAGACCTGTTGTTTTCTCCAATAGTTCTGGTACTATTACTAACCTTTTCTTTACAACTGCTCAGCATACTCAGGACACTCAAACAAACTGATTGCACAGACAATGCTGGTGACCAATCATCTGTTAATATTGATAGACATATATGGCCATTGCTATATATATGTGGATGAATAGGAATCTCGGAACCTACAAAGATCACCTGCAAGCAAAATATTGAATTGAATTTGAATTGTGTTTAAAATATTCTTACAATAAGTGTTTTATAATATTATACGATATTTGTTTCGTTAAGCTTTTACCTGGGGTGAATCAAACGGATATTTAGCCGGAAATTTGAACTGTAGTTTGAATGTCTCGCCTTCATAAAGAGTTCCTACAAGAGGTAACAATTTTGACACAATAATTATTTTTCTGAGGAAAGTATCAAGTATGTACTAACTAAATGTGAACGCAAATCTCACCTGCAGCGCCTTGAAGATTAACAATCCAACTAGGATATGAAAATGATTAATTTTAGTTTTTGTTTTAACAAATATTAAAACGTAATTTCAAGGAACACAATAAATAATATCAGACGATCACAACAAGACATGAATGAAAAAAGACGAGTGATCATATATAACGTCTATAATTGACAACACAAATCATTGATTTCTGATAATATGAACTGATGAACATGTTGAATGAACCAAAAATACTTAGAAATTATCTCTTTATCTTGTCGTACGTTTCAAGGCTAGTTGAAGTGTCATCATTCACACCAATCCCCGGTAAAGCGTTCAGTGTTAATTGTTGAAGTTCTCTGTGAAGTCGTCGGTTTCTTGTTTCATTCGCCATTTTGGCTTCTATTGTCTTCCCGAGTTCCTTTCCTTAACCGCGCGTTTTTGTAATTGTAATTATTGTAGTTGTTTATTTTCATTTTTTGTTTACAAATGTACCAATATTGTTAATTGTTTATTTTTTCGTTTTAGAGTTGTTGTTTATTATTGTGGTATATTTAATATTTATTACCAACAACTGTGCTGCTACTTTTTTAGCATTCTTTCTCGTTTTTTTATGGGGTTTTTCCACAGTATGGTTTTTTTCTGCAAGCTAAACATCACGTGACTGCCGGAAATTCTATGACTTTAGGTTATTTCCGTTACTGACCTATAAACTGTAAATTATTAAATGGACTATTATATATTTCACCATCCAGCTATTACATATAGTTCAGCGACAGCGACCTTCTTCTTCGCAGACCTCATTTCAAAACACGTGTCTTTTCTTTAAATTACAGTCAGCAAAATATTTTCTTTAGTAAATTGTCATTCGTATAGCACAACGACGCCTCGTTTTAGACGTAATTTCATCCTCTCGATCAAGCCTGTTTCATTTGCTATGAGGTTAAAGAGAGAATTAAAAGAAAGCTTGCCTCCGACGAAAAGATTAAAGACTCTAAGTCCATCGGTTGTGTTTGAAAATGAAGGTAACGCATTAGAAGAAGGTGAAAAATTAAGCGATAATTCATCGGAATGTTCGGCAGACTATTGCCCAAGTACGTCTGATTGTTCATCTTCAATAAACGAGGGTGAATCGTCGACGGAGATCCCACAATGTCTCTCTTTGGATTGTGAAATGGTAGGTGTTGGTGTTCATCGTTCAAGTTCATTGGCCAGATGCAGTGTGGTGAATTATGATGGTGACGTTGTCTGTGATGTTTATGTCAAACCAGAATTACCTGTGACAGATTATCGTACAAAATGGAGTGGAATTCATAAAGGGGACTTGAGTGATGGATGTACTTTTCAAGAGGCAAGAAAACAAGTGCGAAAGATTATAAAAGGATGTAGATTGGTTGGTCATTCATTACACTCAGATCTTCACGCATTAAATCTATCTCATCCACGGCATTTAATGAGAGATACATCAAAGTATTGGCCAATGAGAGGACTTGCTGGCTTGCAGAATAATGTAACACCTTCATTGAAATGTTTAGCAAGCATTTTGTTAAGTCGTACAATCCAAGATGGTGAACATTGCTCTGTTGAAGATGCGCATGCTGCAATGTCCTTATATAAACTCTGTGAACAGCAATGGGAAAAAGAAATACGTGGTGAACTAAGCAATCAGTCATATCTGTCTGACCTATACTGGCCATCTTGGACAAGAACAGGATAGTAACAACTCAGGTTTATTCACAAGCCAAGCAATGTTGAAGATAAAGTAAAATAAATTCAATTAATTTTAAAAACATTTAAATTCATCAGCTTAATCACATATAACTATTTGAGAAAAATTGATGTGTTAAGATGTATATTTTTATAAACAGTAATACCAAAAATGTAAAGCATGTGACAATATAAGTGTTGGATATTGTATGAATAACATGTTATTTTTGTTATGTATCGATTCCTTTGAAATAATCATTTTGTTTAGCAGTAAAAAGGCAAAGTTAAAGACATTTGTTGACAAAAAGCATGTGGTATATATTAAATAGTTGGGGCAGAGTTTTGGATGAAAATTTTTAAGGATATGGGACTGATAAGTAATTTATGATGGGTTAAGAACCCTGGGGGAATTCTGACAAATGCTCCCATATGAATTAGCTGTCATATTTACAAGGCTGTTGTAGAACGGTTGGGAATTTAAGCACAAAGAGGTGAGAATATTAGATTTTCTGTACATTTTATAGTCGTTTTTGTACAGAAAAAAAATTAGCTTTTCCGGCGCCCGCGAAATTTAACCGCACCACCACGTGACGTATTTGAACCAATTGGAATGAAGTACGGCCAAGGCGCTCATCTTGCGAAGTAAAGATCAGTTTCACACATGTAGTGGACAAACGAATATTTTTCATTGAAAATCGTCGAAATTTAGCTTTAAAACCGGCAGCCAACGGGTGAAAACCGTTCCAATACCTGCTGCGATTATTGGATCGCATTATGGTTGACCAACCGAGCCACAGATCGTATAAAATACGTGGTCACAATCGGCAAAGAAAAAGTTCGAAACCTTATTCTAGACCTAACGAAGCGAAAAATAAGGTAAAGTATGAACTCTCTAGAAACTTGATACATGTTTGTTCTAGCTGTTCAGGTGAGAATCTTGAATATCTTTCAATTACAACGGGTTATTTGGGAATCGTTTTAGGGTTTACTCGACAAGGTAAAGGATTATTTGAGCCCTGGGTGGCTGTTCGGTTATTTTTCTTCGAATGAAGACGTTGAAGATAACTTTCAAGAAGATATCTTAGATCAGAATGCGACAGTTACTCACGAAGAAGGGAGTACTTCAGGTGTTACACAACAAGCTCGTTTAGATAACATTGAAGAGGAAAGTGATGATCGTACGTTTAGAGATACTACAATGGACAATGTTAGAGACACTTCATTTGATACGAATGAAGAAGAAGAGCAAGTCTTTACTGCTGATGATAATGATCAGGATGATGTGAGGAATCCTGACACAACAACCAGGTTGTCTGGATCACTTAACGATGATGTTGAAGTAAGTATTGTTGCATATTATGTTGTATTTTATGAAAGAATAGATTGTATTGCATGATAGAGAAGCTGAGTCATGACTTAAGAGTCAGCAAAATATTCAAACTGCAAAAGTCAATGGTTAACCCAGGTGTGTTTGGAAGATGGACCCATCCCAGTCCAAACAAACCTTGGGTGAATATTTTTTCATTTAAGAACACCAACCTTTGTTACATTTGTTCCTGCTGACTTAGGAGTCCGTAAAATAATGCAAGCCAAAAAAGTCTTGGTTAACCCACTGATTGCCTTTGATGGTTCAATCCTAGTCCAAACCAACTTTGGTTCAATCTCTTTACACTTAAAGAACCCAACCTTTATTAAAACTGTTTCTGGTCAATCATTGCTTTGTTTATGTACCATGAATATATAGGATCTTACTTTAGGATAAGATTGTCCAATGAACCATCATGAGTCCGATGAACCATCTTTGTTGGCATTGAGTAAGTTACATGAACCAACTTTCTACAGCATAGTTTATCTTATAGGATGAAAATGAAAGAAGATTATTGGAACAAGAACACAGACCACATCAATCTGTTCTGCCATATTCTGACCAGCTGAAACGTAAACCTTTGCCATCATTGCTTCACTCTCGTTCATCCACCTCGCTGCGAGCAACGCCTAGTTTACGTTCCCAAGGAAACCAACTGTTGGGGTCTTTAGCAGCTCGAAGTAATACTTACATGCCTGGTACTAAAATCTCAACTTCAACAGCATCACATGCTTCTAGTTTTTCAAGTGCTCAAAGGCCTACCACATTGTTTTCAAGAAGTTCATTGCTAAGAGACAATAACCTTAATAGAGTTGAACCATCAAAAGTTGCAGCCCCACAGAAATTAGATGCCATGTTGACAAAGTCAACCTCAACATTGCAGACTGTTCCTGCTTCAAATACTGCGCCATTGTTTTCTGTTGAGAAATTTGTCACACCTGTGGTTAGTCTAGTTTATCTTATGCATCTTAATTCAATAAAGCAGTAACAGTGATGTCAGCCAAAGAAACTGGTGTTGTTTTCCTGATTAATGGAAGACAGTTGGTCTTTTTTTTCTGCCTCTAAACATGTTCACACTCTCATATTCATTGTCCGTCTTAACTTAATATGATAAATATCTCTCAATGCTTTCCTATAGCAAAGAACATTTACCAATAAACGAGTTGGATCACCAAACTATCCTGGGCCAGTGATATATGGAGGGGCACTGAATGTGTCCCGAGATGTACCATTCAAAAGAAGGCGAATGAGTTCTCCGGGATCCGAGGTAGTGTTTCATTATGTAAAATTTTGCGTTGAAAAGATCATGTCAAACACTTTACCCTGGTACAAGTCATACAATTATTTACAAAGAGAAATTGTGAACATGATATTCTTACTTTGGTAATATTCACTGCATTGTAAAGATCTATAATTTTTCATTTTGAATTTTTGTTGATGAAACTATTTTTCATTCTTAGAGTTATCATCCTGTTTCAAAACTTCGTATCAGAGGTGTCAAAGAAAAAACGATTCAAAGTATGTCATTTTAGGCTTTTAAAGGAATTCACTAGACAATAAGTCAGTGCTAATTCATCAAATTTGTTCCTACGGTTCTGATAAACTATATTTTCTAGATTCAACTGTTGGTGGAAATGGCACAAGAACAGCACAGCGAATCCTTGATGCTCTGGAGTCTGTCTCTTCTCCACTTAAGGTATATACATCTTTAATAAATAGAAATATTGTTGTTTTAAACCAAGTTCATCACATCTAGTGTTTTCCTTGTAGGATGCCCGTCGTATTCCATCTCCGATTTCTTTGGCCTCTGCTTCCCCTCTGTCTTTCACGGTAATAAAACCATTTTGCAACTGTTTGATTGTACAAAGTCTATTCCTACTAAAAACTCATGGATTCATGTACCTATATTTTACTGTTTATCAGGCATCCAAAACACGAACTACCCCACCAAAGACAAAAGTCGGTCCTCGAGTTTCATATCTACAGGTAAGAAATTGAAACTGAACTATTTCCTGCTGGATTGATTTTTCTGCTTTGCTTTTTGTTGTGCTAATTTTATAGAGTAATGCATCAACTACTTTTTGTTTAGGCAAAGCTACTTGGTGAACCTCCTGTGTCCTCTCTACAAACTCCAAAAATTGCAAAAACATCATTTCTTGAAGATCCTGCATCGAAGGAACCCCTGGGCAGACAACAGCATTCCTCCCCGCCAAAAATGACTTTAAAAAATACTGTTGAAGATCAGTCATTGTAAGTTGACTAGAAAAGAACTAATTTCTTATTTCTTTTTGCTGAAACTTGGTGCAATTGTGGAAAATTTTATGAAAAATAATTCCAAATATTTTCTTTTCCAACAGTTTCAGTGGTCTCAAAGATACAGTTCTTAAGGTTTGTTTTAGAACATTTTGGATGCAACACATTGAATGTTTGATTTTTACCCTAAAATAAAGAATAGTTGGTGGTGGTTGTATCACTTGTGTTTTCTTTTTCTAGAGTTCACTTCCAACAAATTTTGCACCAAAATCTTTGCCAACATCACTTTCGCCCATAGAAAGCACTGGCAGAACTTCTGGCAAGATGAAAACTGCACCACGAAGTGCAGCCATGCATTACAGTTCTAATAAAAATAGCCAAGAATCTGAAGTGAGTTAATCTGCAAGGAATGTACTGCAGTTTGCATGCTAATGTGACTAGAAAAGAAAAGCATGAAGTATAATTTTATATTTTCTTCAGGTTGTTAATCCTCTACCAGAGATCTCCAACGCTGTCCCACTTCCTCTCAATCCTGGAAAGAACATGTCTTTCCCAATGTTCAGTTCAAACAAGATTGCTGGTGATGGTAAATTAGCGAGTAATTCCGAGAACATCGCTAACAAACAAAAGGTATTAACACCAAGTCTAACAGCAGAGCGTATCTACAGCAATTTTTTAAAAAAAATACTTCTCTTTTAAAGGAAACGTCCGCAAGAGACAAGGTATTGACGGAGTCGCCAAAAAATGGTTTCATCTTTTCATCGCCAGAAGCGAAATCTCAACGTTTTTCGGTGAAAGAGAGTTTAGAAATGGCTGACAACGAGGTGACGATATTTTCTATATATTCTCTACTAGCACTATCGCCTTTCATCACCCCTAAGTTATACAATATTTTCTCTCGCTAAATTAAAGATTTTTTTTATAAACAGGTTTCATTTTCGTTCAGTGATCCAGTCCCGGTTAAGAAGGTAATTCACACACAATGATTTTCAATCTAGGAATTTGAATAGATTGTGTGATTTTTTAACTGGATTTTTTTTCTATTTTAGAGTTCAGCTGCATCAAAAGAGACATTCTTCAACCCTCTTTTGCAATCTCAGAAAACTTCAAGCAGTTCTAAACCGATGGCGAATTATTCCTCAAAATCAACTTTAAGCGTTAATCCTCTTTCGAATGACATTGGTACAGGTCAGGCTCCACCCGCTAAGACGCCTGGGAAGCCTGAGCCAGCGCAAACCATCGATTTAACTAAGCGGTTTGCACCAGCGCCTGGTTCATGGGAATGTGGTTCATGTATGTTGAACAATAAGCCGGACGCCATAAAATGCGTGGCCTGTGAAGCGCCAAAACCTGGCAAGAAAGCAGAGAAGCCTGGTGAGGACAAACACGTGGTCGACTGGAAGACAAAGTTTGCCCCTCCTAAAGATTCATGGGAATGCAGCACGTGTTTGGTAAGGAATAAAAATGACTTGAGTAAGTGTGCCGCGTGTGAGACACCGAAGCCTGGGACTAGTTCGATTGTGGATTTGAAAGCCAAGTTTGCTCCTCCAGTTGGCTCATGGGAATGTTCAACGTGTATGTTACAAAATAAGGCTGGCGATTTGAAGTGTGTCTCGTGTGAGACGAGTAAGCCTGGATCGAGTTCTGGCGATGATTTGAAGCTCAAGTTTGCTCCCCCCAGTGGCTCATGGGCATGTCCAGCTTGTATGATTCGAAATCAAGCTGCTGACTTGAAGTGTGTTGCATGCGAGACGAAGAAGCCTGGTACAGAGAACACAGGTCAGTTGTGTGATTGATGTAAAATCACGTTACAAGTCGACCACCCAATCCATGTTTTGTAACTATCAGCACTGATCTAGTGCTCTAATATTTTGTATTTTCACTCCAATTTTTGGAGGCAAAGTTCTTAGTATCGCTCCGTTGTAAAGGATTCATTGCCACATTAATAACGAGACGGGATATTTTGCATAAACCTTGCTTGATCACAATATTCTCGTTTTTAATATATTTAGTTCCAAGTCAATCTGGTGTTACTTTCAATAATACAAGCTCGTCTACGAGTGGTTTTACATTTGGCGGCAGTGGTTCTGCATCTAGCACAAGCTCCGGGTTCACATTTGGCCTTGGAGACAAGAGCTCTGAGTCATCCAATAAATCAACAACTACTTTAGGACAGAGTTCAAACGAATCAAGTAAACAACCGTTTACATTTGGAAGCAATACAGCTACGACAACAAAATCTGGTTTTACGTTTGGTGCAACGACCAGTAGTGAAACTAAATCTGGGTCAGGTTTTACTTTTGGTGGGAGTTCAGGAGAAAAATCAACAACAGCACCAACATTTGCATTTGGAGCAAACTCTCCAGAAAAGAAATCTGTGTTTACAAATGGCCCTGAAAGTGTTGAGAAAAAAACAGATCAAAATGGAAATTTGTCTGAGAAAGATGGCGGAGAAACAACTTCAAAACCATCAAATACAAGTAAGAAATACTTTGAATATTCATCACTAGTTTTAAATTATTGATAGCTGAAAAATAATAATGTTAGGGTGTTTTGGTCAGACCTAAGCTAATGTGAAGTATCGTCATTATTAGTGACAATGAATATAGCGCAGGCGGCAGCTGCTGGATTATTGCAAGTACCTGGTAAAGATCCTACACCAAGTACTAGTCAAGGTAACTGGTAACGTCTACTGCAGTTCTTCAAGTTACAATTTCCCCAGCACGATATTTCTTGTCACTGAACCTATTATGAAAACAATCTTCACTCTTTCAGCTATAACAAGTCAGGCAACAATTCAACAATCCTCCGCTAGCCAACCACCATCTCAAGCATCTAAAACCTTGCCTTCTTTTGCTCCGACCTTCAAATTTGGCGCTTCGACGGCGCCATCGAGAGGGTCTGGGGAACAACCAGAGAAAACGTCAGCTCTGAGTTTCGCTCCACTTTCCTCATCCACTGGTCGGGAGACGCAGCCGCTCGCTTTTCAGTCATCAACAACCACTGCGGCAACTCCAACAGGTAAAGAATGAGTTTCTATCTTCTTGTGTTTAAACACTTTATCATCGTCTTCCCCGGCAAATAACATATATAACAAGATAACAAATATACATAATTTTTCAGGAGGCCTGTTTACTTTCGGAGCTGCGCAGTCAACTGCTCCTGTGGTTACGTCATCCACAGCAAAACCCAGCGCAACTTCATTATTCTCTTTCACTGGTTCTAACCCAACTCCACTGGCTGCCACCACAACAACACCTGCTCCAAACAAAGCCCCTTTTTCATTTACCGCTTCCAAAATCGCTACGACATTGCCCAACGCTGAAACGACAGTTCCATCTTTAACGACGACAAACTCTGCGTCTTTGTTCAAATTTACTGGCCCTTCTGAGCAAGCATTGTCTGTCAAACCAACAGCTACTTCATCTCAGAGTACATCGTTGTTTTCATTCACTGGTTCGACAGCAACAAGCACAGCTCAGCCTCCTTTGTTTAATTTTGGAGCAGTGAATGGTCCTACAACAAGCAATGGACCCAGTATTTCTACTGGACAGTCAACCACTGGTTTGTTTTCATTCACTGGAGCTCAGGTAAAGATTGTTGATTCAACACCAACTCCGTGTTACATCAAAGCACTGTTATATTCATTATATATCATACAGCGGTTCATATCACTTGTTTCACTTGCTAACCAACAAATTACTTCTCTTTTGAACAGCCATCAGCGGCTCCGGTTGTTGAAAATCAAAACTCGATGGGAGGGGAGGAAATGGACGCTGACTCAAATAATAACCATGATCAGGCCACCTTCCCTCAGGTCTCTGGTGGATTTAACTTCACACCACAGCAACCAGGTATGCGAACTGTTGAGATTAACATTAGTTAAACCCTTTGTAGAATGCTAACCATACTAGATCATAACATAATGACTGATCAGTGTTTTCATCTTTTTGCAGGCGGAACTTCTAATCTATTTTCCGCTGGATCAAGTGGAACACCAGGAGGGGTCTCAGGGGGTTTTAATTTCAATGCCAGTAGCGGCATTGCCCCAACATTCCAGTTCGGAACAGGAAACCCAAGTACACCTTCTGGTGGATTTAACTTTGGAGCGGCTGCAGCACCCGCTGGTTCATCGCCTTTTATGTTTGGAGGCGCACCAACTCCTTCCAGCGGCACCGCAAGTGAGTGTTTTTTAAATCTGTGACATTGTAATTGTAATTGAAATAGATCCCCAGTTAGCTACAAAGCTAGTTTACACGAGGTCAAATTGTTAAAACAACCTCACTCATATCCTGTGTTGTTTAGATCCGTCAGCTGGTATTACTCCGTTTAACTTTGGCTCGATTTCCTCAGCGCCAAACAAACCACAACTCAGCGTGCCTCCAAATACTGACCAACCAACAATGTTTAATATCGGAGCACAATCAACCACGCCGGGAAACCGTGTTATCAGGAAAGCTGTAAGACGAAACCGGAAAGTATTGTAAAAATCTTGTCAAACAAAAACTGCTTTCTTTAAAGACTAGTAGACTGTGAATCAATGAGGATTGCGAATCATGCATCTCTGCTGCCGTAGTTCGGGTCTGAACTACCTAAAAATGCCATCTCTGGATGGAATTGATATTTCTATTTGCCTAAAGAAAGCTAGTTTTCTCAGCAAGATTATATAACCATGCAAGCCAGTACTACACGTCGACAGGAGACAATGGACTTCAAGACGTGACCGTTTCAACCAGAAAACAACTGAAGCCTGGTGATTTTTTTAAACTTGAAGACTGAATTGTATCAGCAATGACGAAACTTCAAGGCTTGAGTTGAAAAACTGGAGAATATCGAGAACCTTTCTGTTCCTAAGGAAAATATATCCTTACATTATGATCAGATTTCGGACTTACAAAAACCGTTTTGAGCATTTTTATTTAAAATATCCTGAATTAGATAGTGTTAATTTTCGGCTGTGTTTAATGTACATAAATACACTCGCATTTACACCAAGTCAAACCAATTCAAAGTATAGCTATTTTATTCAATAAGATAAGGATAAGGAAAAAATTACGCAAAATATTTATTTTTATAGTGTATATAACGGGGGAATTTCGTATAAATATTAGGGGTGGGGTGGGGGGAGGGAAATGATAGGATTTCGAAGGATAAATAAAATAGTAAGTTTTGAATTGGGTTGGTTCGGAATATAATATGAAAGTTGATGTAACTGGTAAGCCTCGTATTTAGTTTGGATAATCTGTTAAAAAAAGATGATTCACTTGAAACTAGCTACTGAGAATGTATTGCACAGTTTTGTCAACCTGTAGTTACAGTATTTTCGTCTCTTGGAGAGCTGAGACCTTAAAAAGGCTTTTTTTTTCGACAGATTATCCATGCTCTGACATGAAACCTTGTGTACTACTGATATTGATTGGTGGAAAAAAATTACATACGATTAAAAATGATCCTTTTCAGTATTTAGCATTGACATAATAGGCTTTAATAAAACCTTTGAGTGGAGTCTTCAAATTTTTCATCATGTTCCCTGTAACTATGATACAAAGAACTGTTTTGCATATGTCGCGGGACGCACAGTTTGCGCACCAGTTAAAACCGACGCATGCGCAAATTTATTTTTTGTTGCTTTATCGAAATACTTCATGTAAGCAAGATAGCTCAGCAGCTTTTTAATAATTCAGAAGTTTGGAAATGAATGTTGTATGTTGGTCGTCAATTGACAACAAGAAATATTTTTTTTTACTTATTTTTGTTTTATTCAACTATAAAAGTGATCAAGATTGGATATATGACTTGCAAAAATTAAACCGACACTTGGCGTATCCAGTGTTGCAGAACCAAGCACAAAGCAAAATTCTATATGCATCGCTCGTATTTACCACTGGTATTTACACACAATCTGATCGGAATTTTAAATTTAGTTGTGATATTTGACACGGTATTGTGTTTACAGATAGAATGGGTGGCTTGGGATTCTTTTAATAGTAACTGGTACGTTTTATATCATAATATTCTCATATTTAGATTGGCAAGGTGTTGTATGTAGTTTTACTTTCCATCCAAGATCTACTCCAGTTTGAATATTTAACACTATAAACTCGTTCTGAGATTATAATATTAAGTTTAAGCTTGTTCTTAGAACAATAAACAGTATTATTTGTAAAACGTGTCACATGCATTGGCCATAGGAAATGATTTTCAATTAGCTTTCAAAATCTAACTCTAATTGGTTCTAAATAGTCCTCTGTAATCATGTCACCTACCAGTGCTGAGTGCCCTGCACTGAATATATAGAGTCACTAGAAAAACTGATTGAGATAAGCCTATCTGTACACTAGGTAGATTATGGGCTGTTATAGCATGAATTATTGTATGTGGGTCATATGACCAGGTTTGACTTATAAAATACTCTAATTTATTATATAGCCATAGATCTTGAGTAACATGTCTTCAGAATTTGGTGGATATGGGAGCATCGAAGGTCAATCTGGGGGTAATCAGGATGATACAGGGGCCTTTGGAGGATATCAGTCTGAAGGTAATCACCTTGGGATCTCTATGAGTAAAGTTAGGGTACACCTTATAACCATTTACAGTATGTAGGGTAGAGTTAGGTCACCTTATTTATCATCTCCATCTTGTAGTATTTCTAATAGAGTATTCAGTGAAATATTAATCAAATTAACTTAAGTTTTAAATGGTTTAGATTATGTGATATTCCAATCCTTGAGTGACACTATCAGTAGCAACATCTTTCAAATAAATAGCAATGGTGAGTGAAATGTTGCAACAATAATATTGTAAATACCAAGGTTAATTATATTTTGCAATATCAATCTTGTAGTACAAGCACTGGAGAGAATCTGTAAACAGCTTGGAAATCAGCTCAAAGAATTACCTTATGATAAATTGTAAATACAACATTTTTTATATTCTTTCTTGATGTGAACATTTTTAAGATGTAATGCATTAATTTTCGAATATAACCAGGGAGCAGCGTGGCAGCGTCTTCAAACTTTGCATCAAATGCAGTATAGCAACTGCCTAAAATAGCCAAAACACTTCCCAATGTTTTGAGCTGAGAATCATCATCAGAAGAGTTATTATGAGTGACTGTTGTTATATCACATTTAATACCAAGTTGTTCCGGTGTAATGTTTATATTTTCTTCACATTTACAGACATCATATTCAACAAGGGACAAACAAGTTGGTCTCTGAAACAACTCTATCTCTCAAACGAATGATAAATCTTCAGGGTGGCACTATTTCAGAGAAGGTAAGTTACTGAATTCATGGAGTTTTGAGTTTAATTATCAAGTTGATAATAAGATTGAACAAATTAAACAAATATTTCAAAGGAGATCTACAGCAATTTTTTTAAAATCTTTCCTGCTCTTTTAAAGGAAACGTCCGCAAGAGACAAGGTATTGACGGAGTCGCCAAAAAATGGTTTTATCTTTTCATCGCCAGAAGCGAAATCTCAACGTTTTTCTGTGAAAGAGAGTTTAGAAATGGCTGACAACGAAGTGACGATATTTTCTATAAATTCTCTGCCAGCATTATCGCCTTTCATCAACCCTAAGTTTACAATATTTTCTCTCGCTCAATTAAAGATTTTTTTATAAACAGGTTTCATTTTCGTTCAGTGATCCAGTCCCGGTTAAGAAGGTAATTCGCACGCAATCGCAATAATTTTCAATCTAGGAATTTGAATAGATTGTGTGATTTTTTTAACCCGATTTTTTTCTATTTTAGAGTTCAGCTGCATCAAAAGAGACATTCTTTAACCCTTTTTTGCAATCTCAGAAAACCTCAAGCAGTTCTAAACCGATGGTGAATCATTCCTCAAAATCAACTTTAAGCGTTAATCCTTTTTCAAATGACATTGGTACAGGTCAGGTTCCACCCGCTAAGACGCCTGGGAAGCCTGAGCCAGCGCAAACCATCGATTTAACTAAGCGGTTTGCACCAGCGCCTAGTTCGTGGGAATGTGGTTCATGTATGTTGAACAATAAGCCGGACGCCATAAAATGCGTGGCCTGTAAAGCGCCAAAACCTGGGAAGAAAACAGAGAAGCTTGGTGAGGACAAACACGTGATCGACTGGAAGACAAAGTTTGCCCCTCCTAAAGATTCATGGGAATGCAGCACGTGTTTGATAAGGAATAAAAATGACTTGAGTAACTGTGCTGCGTGTGAGACACCGAAGCCTGGGGCTAGTTCGATTGTGGATTTGAAAACCAAGTTTGCTCCTCCAGTTGGCTCATGGAAATGTTCAACGTGTTTGATACAAAATAAGGCTGGCGATTTGAAGTGTGTCGCGTGTGAGACGAAGAAGCCCGGTAGCCCGAAGTTTGCTCCTCCAGTTGGCTCATGGAAATGTTCAACGTGTTTGATACAAAATAAGGCTGGCGATTTGAAGTGTGTCGCGTGTGAGACGAAGAAGCCTGGTAGCCCGAAGTTTGCTCCTCCAGTTGGCTCATGGAAATGTTCAACGTGTTTGATACAAAATAAGGCTGGCGATTTGAAGTGTGTCGCGTGTGAGACACCGAAGCCTGGGACTAGTTCGATTGCGGATTTGAAAATCAAGTTTGCTCCTCCAGTTGGCTCATGGGAATGTTCAACGTGTATGATACAAAATAAGGCTGGCGATTTGAAGTGTGTCGCGTGTGAGACGAAGAAGCCTGGATCGAGTTCTGGCGATGATTTGAAGCTCAAGTTTGCTCCCCCCAGTGGCTCATGGGCATGTCCAACTTGTATGATTCAAAATAAAGCTGCTGACTTGAAGTGTGCTGCATGCGAGACGAAGAAGCCTGGTAGCCCGAAGTTTGCTCCTCCAGTTGGCTCATGGAAATGTTCAACGTGTATGATACAAAATAAGGCTGGCGATTTGAAATGTGCAACTTCATTATTCTCTTTCACTGGTTCTAATCCAACTCCACTGGCTGCCACCACAACAACACCTGCTCCAAACAAAGCACCTTTTTCATTTACCGCTTCCAAAATCGCCACAACATTGCCCAACATTGCTCAGGTAAAAGATTGTCGATTCAACGCTAACTCCGTGTTACATCAAAGTGTTGTGGAATTTAGTTAACGCGTGGTTGAGCACACCAACCATAAGAATAGTCATTTACATAGTGTGCGCAGATATAGTGTCAGGGTCGTAAATTGTATATGTATTGTAAAAGGAATTGTTATGTAATGTTAATAGAATAGTGTAGTATAATATAACATAGGAAAGGAAGGTTCGTGGTAGCACGTTGTAGCAACCGCGAAACCAGTAATAACGTAAGCGGACGCAAATGTGGGCTGTAGGGGAGGAAAAAACCACAGAAAAACATCCTGTGGTTCGGTAAGAGATGCGTCAGAGAAACGCATCATTGTTTGGTAAAGCATCCTGTTTTAGTATTATAAATATAAGTTGAAATCATTGTTGTAAGTTAGTTGTGTATCAGAGCATGAATTGTTAATTCCTGAATAAATGTAAAATTATATACAGTCCCAGTGTGTGAGATTGTGGACCAGCGAAGCGGAAAATCAGACTTGTTTGGAGATTTTCAACACAAAGCACTGTTTTATTCATTATATATCATACAGTGGTTCATATCACTTGCTAACAACTCAAATTACTTTTCTTTTGAACAGCCATCAGCGGCTCCGGTTGTTGAAAATCAAAACTCGATGGGAGGGGAGGAAATGGACGTTGATTCAAATAATAACTATGATCAGGCCACCTTCCCTCAGGTCTCTGGTGGGTTTAACTTCACACCACAGCAACCAGGTATGCGAACTGTTGAGATTAACATTAGTTACACCTTTGTAGAATGCTAACCATATTAGACCATAACATAATGACTGATCAGTGTTTCCATCTTTTTGCAGGCGGAACTTCTAATCTATTTTCCGCTGGATCCAGTGGAACACCAGGAGGGGTCTCAGGGGGTTTTAATTTCAATGCCAGTAGCGGCATTGCCCCAACATTTCAGTTCGGAACAGGAAACCCGAGTACACCTTTTGGTGTAATTCCAACAATGTTTAATATCGGAATTCAATCAACCACGCCGGGAAACCGTTTTATTAGAAAAGCTGTAAGACGAACCCGGAAGTAATTGTATAAAACTTGTCAAACAAAAACGTGTAGACTATGAATCAATGAGGATTGCGAATCATGCATCTCTGCTGCCGTAGTTCTGGTCTGAACTACCTAAAAATGCCATCTCTGGGTGGAATTGATATTTCTATTTGCCTAAAGAAAGCTAGTTTTCTGAACAAGATTATATAACCATGCAAGCCAGTACTACACGTCGCCAGGAGACAATGGACTTCAAGACGTGGCCGTTTCAACCAGAAAACAACTGAAGCCTGGTGATTTTTTTAAACTTGAAGACTGAATTGTATCAGCTACGACGAAACTTCAAGGCTTGAGTTGAAAAACTGGAGAATATCGAGAACCTTTCTGTTCCTAAGGAAAATATATCCTTACATTATGATCGGATTTCGGACTTACAAAAACTGTTTTGAGCATTTTTATTTAAAATATCCTGAATTAGATAGTGTTAATTTTCGGCTGTGTTTAATGTACATAAATACACTCGCATTTACACCAAGTCAAACCAATTCAAACTATAGCTATTTTATTCAATAAGATAAGGATAAGGAAAAAATTACGCAAAATATTTTTTTTTATAGTGTATATAACGGGGGAATTTCGTATAAATATTAGGGGTGGGGTGGGGGGAGGGAAATGATAGGATTTCGAAGGATAAATAAAATAGTAAGTTTTGAATTGGGTTGGTTCGGAATATAATATGAAAGTTGATGTAACTGGTAAACCTCGTATTTAGTTTGGATAATCTGTTAAAAAAAGATGATTCACTTGAAAACAGTTACTGAGAATGTATTGCACAGTTTTGTCAACCTGTAGTTACAGTATTTTCGTCTCTTGGAGAGCTCAGACCTTAAAAAGGCTTTTTTTTCGACAGATTATCCATGCTTTCACACGAAAGTCGAAACCTTGTGTACTACTGATATTGATTGGTGGAAAAAAATTACATACGATTAAAAATGATCCTTTTCAGTATTTAGCATTGACATAACAGGCTTTAATAAAACCCTTGAGTAGAGTCTTCAAATTTTTAATCATGTTCCCTGTAACTATGATACAAAGAAATGTTTTGCATATGTCGCGGGACAGTTTGCGCACGCATGCGCAAATTTTTTTTGTTGCAGCATACTTCATGTAAGCAAGATAGCTCTGCAGCTTTTAAATCAGAAAGTTTGGAAATTAATGTTGTATGTTGGTCGTAAATAAATTATTGACAACAAATATTTGTTTTTTACTTATTTTTGTTTTATTTAACTATAAAAGTGATCAAGATTGGATATATGACTTGCAAAAATTAACCGACACTTGGCGTATCCAGTGTTGCAGAACGGGCCAGAACCAAGCACAAAGCAGAATTTGATATGCATCGCTCGTATTTACACAAAATCTGATCGGAATTTTAAATTTAGTTGTGATATTTGACACGGTCTTGTGCTTGCAGCTAGAATGGGTGGCTTGAAGTGATTCTTTTAAAAGTAACTGGTACGTTTTAACTTTTGATTGTCTTTTTTATATCATAATATTCTCATATTTAGATTGGCAAGGTATTGTATGTAGTATTACTTCATTCATCCAAGATCTATTCCAGTTTAAATATTCAACACCATAAACTCGTTCTGAGATTATTGTTCTTAGAACAGTTACTAAAACAGTATTATTTGTAAAACGTGTCACATGCATTGGCCATAGGAAATGATCTTCAATTAGCTTTCAAAATCTAGCTCTTGCCTCTTTGTTCAAAATAGTACTCTGTGATCATGTGACCTACCAGTGGTCTGCACTGAATATATAGAGTTTTAGAAAAACAGATTGAGATAAGCCTATCTGTACACTAGGTAGATTATGGGCTGTTATAGCATGAATTATTGTATGTGGGTCTTTATGACCAGGTTCGACTTTTTAAATACTCTAATTAATTATATAGCCATAGATCTTGAGTAACATGTCTTCAGAATTTGGTGGATATGGGAGCATCAAAGGTCAATCTGGAGGTAATCAGGATGATACAGGGGCCTTTGGAGGATATCAGTCTGAAGGTAACCACCTTGGGAACTTTATGAGCAAACTTTAAGGGTACACCTTATAACCATTTACAGTATGTAGGGTAGAGTTAGGCTTATCACCTCTGTCTTAGCCTCATATAACTCAAATTTTAAATGGTTTAGATTATGTGATATTCCAATCCTTGAGTGACACTATCAGTAGCAACATCTTTCAAATAAATAGCAATGGTGAGTGAAATGTTGCAACAAAATATGCGAAATGCAGAGGTTAATTATATTTTCCAATATCAATCTTGTAGTACAAGCACTGGAGAGAATCTGTAAACAGCTTGGAAATCAGCTCAAAGAAGTACCTTATGATAAATTGTAAATACAACATTTTTTATATTCTTTTCAATATGAACATGAAGATGAAATGCATTCCAATACAACCAGGGAGCAGTGAGGCAGTGTCTTTAAATTTTGCCTGAAATGCAGTATAACAACTGCCTAAAACACTTTCTGATGTTTTGACCTTTCAGGAGAATTAATTAGTGTGAAAGGCTGTTGTTATATCACATTTAATACCAAGTTGTTGAGGTGAAAAGCTTATATTTTCTTCACATTTACAGACATCGTATTCAACAAGGGACAAACAAGTTGGTCTCTGAAACAACTCTATCTCTCAAACGAATGATAAATCTTCAGGGTGGCACTATTTCAGAGAAAGTAAGTTACTGAATTCATGGAGTTTTGAGTTTGATTATCAAGTTGATAAATGTTTAAAGACTGAACAAATTAAACAAATATTTCAGAGGAAACAAAGACTTCAACAAGAGAGATTAAAAGATGAATTTGAGAGTTCTATTACAAAATACAGAAATATTCAAAAGGTAATTACATAGTTTATGTGCTGACAATTTAATTTTATATTGCTATACCAGAATGAAAATAAGAGTTTATTTTAGAAACTGGCAGAGAAAAGTAAACAAGTTATGAATTCAAATGCTGCAGTGAGTAAAATTTCATCAAATGCTTTGAAAAACACGGTTTGCAATCAATGTTTCTGCTCCTAAAATGACTGTCAGGCAAGATCTAAAAATTCCCTTATTTTCAGCTTTATGATGGAACAAGACAAACAACTCTTTGCTACAATTCTTTTTCACACTAATTTCACGTTAGGTATCCTTCAGATCCCACAAAAATGATCAATCTCAAGAATCTCATGATGATGATAAAACCAGACTCTTGTCTGATGAACAGCAAAGGTGATTGTTGCATATCACATCATAGTGATGAGTTGTATCTGAACAAATAAACACTAACATAATTATGATAATCACCAGAATTAAACCTATATCTTGACTTGGCTGAAAGCAAGCAAGTGAAGCAACTAGTATTTTGTGCCACAATTTTTCAGACAATTTTATTTTTCATTTCTTTCCATTCTCACACCCCAGTCAACAGCAACAACAATTAGAAGATTCAGTTTCACTGGATCAAAGTTTGTTGGAAGAACGAGAAAGAATGATAAGACAACTGGAGGTAACAAATCTTCCATTTTCTGTCTAAATCATCTTCAAATTTTATCGTTTATATTCGTAACTTCTCCTGCATTGTAAGGAAAAATTAAACAGACATTCTTCACAAATAAATGATTGTTATTAGAGAGATGGACGGACCTATAGAACCACACCTTAAGTCATAACCAGAAATAAAAGGTCCCAAGGAAAATTCATTTTTTCTCTTTCTATATAGTCTGATATTCTGGACGTTAATGAAATATTTCGAGATCTGGCTTCGATCGTCTATGACCAGGGAGAAGTCGTTGGTGAGCGATGATACTTTTGTTTCTTTCCTGTTTCCTGATCTGCTAAACTCACAAATGCCATCTTTCTATGTTTCCTGCTTCCTAATCTGCTAGACTTACAAATGCAACACAAATGCCATTTTTCTAGACTCAATTGAAGGTCATGTGATCAGAGCACACGATGACGTCGAAAATGCAAACGAACAGTTGCAAAAAGCCAGTATTTATAGGGTAAGACAATGAATATTGGTTGAGTTTGAAAAAACAACACAATTATGATCTATGTGAAGAACAGTTTTTGTGCAACTGTATGGGACTGTCCTTTGCAAGTAAATATGATCTTTACTCGAGATCAAGAGAGGCTAGTTTACAGTAGAACTGATTTAACTATTTCATTTCTATATTTTAGAGAAAAGCACGGAAGAAAAAGTGCTGTTTGCTTATAATATTACTCATCGTACTGGCAATTATTGCAGTAGTCATTTATGTTGAGACAAAATAATAGGAATTCTAGTTTCATTACAGTAATTATTCCGAACTGAATATATGTAGTATCGTAGTTTACACAACCTCAACCTAATGGTCACTCCATTGAAAAAAAAAATAATGGTCCATGTACTGTATCTTGTTTCGTTACCCTTGAGGAAATGAGCGTTCATAGTTCACGTATGTCAAATGGAATTAGCAATCCAGTGATTTTACGTGTATAAAAGGTGTAGTCTGGAGGATTGCATTAAACAATAGCATTAAATTTCGTATTGTGAATGGCTTTCAGAAGATTTTAGGAATATGGATAGATCATAGATCGCAAATTTATTGCTCTATACTGATAATAATATAAAACTTTGGATGATCTGTAAATCTGTCATCATTTCATTTTACTGAAGAAATGAATGAAAAACCATTGTGTCACGTTTCTTTAAAATAGACCACCTTGAACGTATCAAGGTAAAAGGAAATTAAGGCATTTAAAATAATTTTATATCATCTACCACTCTACGTTTTAACAAGGTCAAATGAATGCTTTATCGCCGAAAATCGTTGTTTAACAATAGGACTAACGCAATTTGCATTCATTTCACCTGGTTTTATATAAAGCCTGATTCTATCTCGCCGTGAACAACTGAACAAGTCATTTTAACATCCTCCATCTTGACATGTTCACGACTAAAGAGAAACCATGCTTTAAGGCGGATTTCCACTTACAGCGAAATCTTTCGCTAGCGAAATATTTGCATATTTTCTTTTGAATTGAGAACAGTCAAGTCGCCCTAATTTATTTATGCTGTTAAAATTCAAAAGAAAATATGTAAATATTTCGCTAGCGAACGATTTCGCTGTAAGTGGAAATCCGCCTTTAGTTTCGTTGTTTATCATGAGTTAACATAACGTTTTAATCTGCAGCATCCTTTAACACACGATGGAGCACAAACTGCTGGGCAATCACCCGGACATGATGTCCTTTTTAAATGAAGTCGAATGTTTTTATATTTCTCACGTTTGAAAAGTTGCTTTCCATTTTTTGATGAATGGTTAATGTTTGCGAGTATTTGCTTCAAATATGGTTGTGACAAGAGAGAGAATGTCGGTAAGTAATAATTAAAAGTAGCACGTTGTTGTTGTCTTATTCCCCTCGATTGTTGTCGATATTGTTGTGGTTGGTTGTCGCGTTCTGGCTGTTGGTAGAGTTCTTGTTGTTGGTAGCGTTCTGGCTGTTGGTAGCGTTCTGGCTGCTGGTAAAGTTGTAGCTGTTGGTAGAGTTGTCGCTGTTGTGTTTGCTGTTGCATAGCTTGCAATTGCTGTTGCTTTAGTCGTCGCATTTTAGTCTGTTGTTGTATTCCCTGTTGTTTTAAAGGTTGTTGATGCGCTGGTTGCATATTTTGAAGCTGCATTTGGCGTAGTTGTTGTTGTTGTTGGATGCTGGGCTGTTGTTGTGGTTGGATGGTATATAGTTGTTGTTGTTGTCTTTGCATGCTGGGCTGTTGTTGTTGTTGTTGAAATCTTGCCATCTCATCCTGTAATTCTTCATAAACTGGTAAATGCCTCTGTAAAGAATTTTCAGTGGGAAGAAAAGTTATTCTTCCATTCAAAGCTTTTCCAGAATTTATGAAACTATTTGATGTTGTAAAGCTGTAATCCTGCGCTGTAAAGTCATTCGGTTTACGAAATAAGTTAGGTTGACTTTGATGTGAATTTACGTTTCTTAAAATATCATTTTGTGGTGTGACTTCATGGTTTTTTGTCAAAAAAGGATGATTCCGTAACTGAGGAGCAGTTTGACCTTGTTGAGGTGGTTTAGCGTTTTTTTGTTTTGTTGGAAAAGTTCTACAGCAATAAACAGCACAATCAGGAGATGAACAGGAGCTTCTTGTATTCAAACAACTTGAAGGACATGAATCCGGATCATCTAAGATAAGAATTGTTGCAGAGAATGGAGCATGATGACTCTGGTATATTGGGGGGGAGCACCCTCGTAACATGGGGGAGAGGGGAAGTGGATCAAGAGGAGTAAGAGAGGAAAAGGTGGGATGAAGAGAAGTAAGAGAGGAAAAGGTGGGATGAAGAGGTATAAGAGAGGAAAAGGTGGGATGAAGAAGAGTAAGAGAGGAAAGTTTTGAACAATTATTCTTTCATGCTGTTCTGTAAACCTTTGTTCACAGCCCTAGTCTGCAATGAAGCCTTTGATAAATTTAAAAATATAAAAGAAATAACGTTTACTTACTTTCACTCACCATTTTGCAGTGAGACATGTTCTAGGAAGATTTTCTCTCCTTGGACGAGACCGTCTGACTCGAGTTTTGTCCGTAATTTATCGAGAGGGTCCGAGGGAGCATCTCCATCTGGTGAAAATCTTAACTTAAACTCTGCTGTCACTTTATCTTCCGCCGTTTGACTGAAATGTAATGTTGTGTAGGAATAATTAGCGGATATCATTCATATAATGATTGATTGATTAATTGATTGATTAATTGATTGATTGATTGGTTGATTGATCGATTGATTGATTGATTGATTGATTGATTGATTGATTGATTGATTGATTGATTGATTGATTGATTGATTGATTGATTGATTGCAATACAGACATACGCGGTTAATAATGACATTACCTGAAACCCTCAAATAACATGTCTACAAACCAATCATCGTCATCATAGAGATTCATTATCTACAAGGAAAATATCATCCTGGTCATCCAGGCTCGTTTGGGGGGCTCTGAAATCAGCGAAATGTCATTGGTAACTAAGTCTTACTGCATGGTCCAGGTGTTTTTTCATGGCGTTGTACCGCGGACTCGTCTCCTGTCTCAAGTTATCCGACCAAAGTTTCTCAGGAAAACTTAAGACGACCAAATATGTCATGATATCTACGAAGATGTATCTACGATGAGCTTTGCGTAACAAAATATCTCTTATCTATCATGGCACATGAACTAGGAATTCAACGCGATGTTCACCTTTTAATCTTTTCTTACAAATAAATCCAAATTTCTCTTGACAAGCTTTATACATCCATCCCTCTGTTGCTATTGACAACGCTCCACATTTCCGCCCTTCGCTGACGTCATCCTGGTAGGAATTCCAGTTGGAATATGGCATTGAATTACCATCGACCCAGATCAGGTCTTTGGTATCAGGATGTACGCGATCACTAAGCCCGATCCAGGCTTCTGTTCCCTCATCCTTGGCGAGCATACTTCGTACTGAGATCTCTTCTTCAACACTCTCAAGTGACGTCAGTGAACTGTGTTCATCGTCGCATAAATTTGCTGCCTCTGTCCATTTCACATTGTTGTTAAAATATCTGAAATACATTGCATTCTGATCAAGGGTTTTGTACGTCTCTTTGTAGATTGGTAGGTCTGTTAATTCGTATAATTTAATGGTCATTATATTGGCTAATAAGTCAGTATTCTTTGGCAACCAGGCTATTGTTATTGTACAGCTGTTCTCGATTACTCTGGCCTGAGTTGTTGCTCTCAACCTTCAAAAGCATTCTTTCATTAATCTTACCTGTAACAACTCTTTTTAAACCTATGCCAGCCTTTAGGGCAGGAATCTGAAATGTATTTTGAGAATCATTCAAGTCACAATTTTCTTGAGTTTTGTATGTGTCTGGGCCAGGTTTATATATAAGCGTCCTGGCATGTGTTTGGGCCAGGTTTATATATAAGTTTCCTGGCATGTGTATTACAAAATGAAGATCATTTAGGTGACAAGAATATTGGGTGAAGGATTTAACGTTTATACACTTCAGTCAGCAAATCAGAATCTACATTGCCGGCTGTGTTCCTCATCTGTTTCTAGTGTAAAATGTTTTCAAATTTACCTGCGCCTCGTTTTCCAGCCCCAGTTCCTGAAAGAGAAGAATATTTTGTTATAGAATGATAGCCACGCCAATCATAGGATATTTCACTCAGGAATGTAACAATTTAACTATAACTGTCTAGATTCTTACCCGTGACTGGCAAAACATTTTCAACAATTTCTTTCTTGTTATTTCCTCTAGGACTGAAGAGAGCCGCCACGTAAGTTCTCAAACCAGATCTATCCTGAGCAATACCAACACCAATCTACAAAACGGAAGGTAAGAAATATCAGTCTCGATTTTATTTCAGTTTTTGTAAACGAAAACACTTCTCATTAACCTGTTGCGAGGCTCCCCACACAAGTTGTGTGAACTGCGTTGATTTCGTAGAAACAGCTGGTTTATCCCAGGCATAATTCTTGATTCTGTTGTACCAATGTCTTGCAGCCGCAACTGGCACATTTGGCGCCAAGTCACTTGTTCCTGGGGAAATAAAACGCATCGGTTAAATAACCTATTGATCCGGCAATAATTCAAGTAGATAAGTCAAACGATGAAGAGACGTTTCTAAGAGTTTTATCAGAATTCATCTCTCATTCATCATCTCCAGTCCATGCAACTGGTTTATTTTATACCTGAGAATGTCAGTTGACCATACTGAGAGTTTACATCCACTGATTCATGATCTTCTTCTGCCATTTTCTGCGCCCACAACTTCGCTTTCTTATCGAGGTCAGCGTTGATTCTCAGCTGAGCAGCTCCGTGCATCAACCGATATTTATTTATCTCATTAACCAATATCTTTTCATATTTATTGCCTTTGAACAGAAGTGTAAGTTATTAAATCATGATAACCTGTAGACACTCGATAAATATTGTCTCAGAGATCAGTATATGTCGTACCCTATTGACAAACCACCTTTGCAGCTAAAAGCTGAATTACCTGGTAACGCGACTTTTATTTCGCTTCCTGGAACGTCATTTGGTTTTGTGACTTGATTGGTCTCAACTGTTGGTTTTTCATTTTGACTGCCATCGTCAGGTAGTCCCTCTGTCGTCCATTCAGTTGTTGTGCCCTCTGTGGTGTATGGGACGTCTGTTGTGTCACTGTATATGTTAGAATCTGTTGTGGTCGTTGGATAAGACTCTGTTGTCGTTGGATAAGAAGCTTCGTTGGTACTGGCCTGGTATACCTGAGGTGATACTGACCATGTTTGTTGACTGGGTTGTACAGGAACTGGCGGACCTTCGAATAGTTGCTAAGCATAAGTCTAGTTTCTACAATAGTGACCTCTAGATTGACAATTTAAGAAACAATCTACTTGTATATTACCATTGTTGACTGGATTCATAGTCCATGATGATGGCAATCCTGCCAGTTGTTGAGGATTAAAATTGTTTGATTGAGCGACGACAGAACCAAGGCACAATAGAAATACAACAGGTTTACACATCGCGAGATCTAAAATTCAAATTCACGAAATCTTCACAGATTGCTTCGAGACTTTGATCGATGCTATCTCATTTGATTTCCGTTCATGACGGGTGCATTCACGTATGGAAAAAGATGAATCTTTTAGATCAAGAGATTTCAAAATCATTACGCTCAATCCAGGCAAAAGATAATTTATATTGCTCTCGTAATCTTCATGATTAAAAAAAAAATTATATTTTCATTAATCAAACGTTTGTACGACATATACTAACCGCTAAATAAACAGGTTGTTTTTGAATGGAGCTTTTGTTGACTACATAACGTCTTTTACGACTGTTTTGAAGCCAAGGATTTCGCAGCCTATTTCCACGAAAATTATCCTAGTTCTTCTGTCTTTCCAACAATTTTATTTAAAACAATAGTTTAACGTTAAAATTTGCTTCTCAATTTTCTTCACAAACACAACAGAATGAAGTAAAATGAACTTGTGAACTGAGACGTAACAAAGCACCAAAAATGTTTTTGTCTAAGAAGATTTTGCAGGTTTTATTATTGTTTAGATTTTGACAACCAGCTGTCTGTTTTCAAGGCTTTAAGATCGATGATATTGCAAGAAATAAGTCGGCCAAGACGTGTTCCCTTAATGAAAATTTATTCTTTGTCTTGCCTTGGTTTATACACCTTTTTTTTGCATTTCATATCTTTCACTGCCTGGTGATCGTCGCCTTAAAACAAAGCTCAATTGTTAGATAAAACATGAATGTACTATGAATTTTTTTATGCTTATCAAATTCTTATCAAATTGATTCGCATTTCGTATGCCATGCATGCAGCGCCTAGAGTTTCCGCTTTTTGCGTCCGGCTTACGATGAGACACAAATCGAGAAAAATAATTGTCGATAGCAATAATGCAATATGAAAGAAACTTGTGGTGTTCTCAGACAATTATTCAATATAAAGCTTGGATATTGTGGACCAGCAAGCTCGTCATAAATGTACGCCTTATAGGTGTTGTTTCAACCGCCAGCATATAATTTGGATAAATTTTCACTCAAACCAGCTTATTTTAATCGATTTATTAAACGTCGAACACTTAATCCAATTTAGATTTGTTAGGATTCCGTAGTTGAGCTCAGAGATATCTCGTCATGGCAGTTTGTATGTATTAGTTGCGTGTTTTTTAAACATCTCGTAGCAGTTATATTCAAAATATATTTTAAACACAAGACTCATGCTATATTTTTGGCAAGGTCTAGTGGACCTCGTCGTGACATTGTCATTTCCAAACAATCTTCACACAGCAGGAATCCCTCGTTACGTACATCCATAACATATTTGGTAATACGATCTCAGTGTCTTTGTTCTACATTTCGGTTTGATCTGCTTTGATCGTCTGTGTCAAATGCGCACTATGGCAGAGTGTCTAAACACTCTTTGTTTTATTCTGATATTATTTGTATGTAGTTCCACGAGTACTTGTCCAAGACGCTGCTTGTGCTATAGTGCAAGTGAAGGACCCAGTGTTCGTTGTCTCACCAAAGGTTTCAAGACTATTCCATCAGTACCCTCGTCTACCGTCGTCTTGTGAGTATTAAAACAATTATACATAAATAGCGCACCAGATTCAGTTCTCTTTTGCATATTTTGCGCGCTTTAAAGAAACCCAGTTAGAACTGTGGTTAGTGTGACGCAAATTCTGCGCGGTTCGCTAGAACAAATATGATTTGGCGCAGCTGTGGGTTGACAAAAAAAATTCGATTAAATCGTATTTACTATATTTTGACAGAAACATATGATGGTGAAGTGTTTGTTATAATAAATTTCATAGTGAAATTCTTTGTAAATCAAAGAACGGACGCTCAAACGTATGAAACGAATATGGCTTGTTACATATTTCTTCTCGTGAAAGGCTATTTTAATCGTTGAACCGGTGTTTTTAAACCAAAGAGGTCAGATGTGTTCTTCAGTTAACGCTCTCTCTAATTTGATCTGAGACAAATATGGGAGTATTCTTATACATAAAACAATTGAAAAGTTATCAGGTTTTCCATTTGGGGTTATGTTTTCTTCATGTCTGTTTGTAAATAGGCCAAAATCTTTCATCAGTTTTGAGTGGCTCTTGTGAACATACGATGGTTCATGCCGTGCTGATAGTTTGCTGCCATGTTCTCGTTCAAGTGTCTCATATTTTACTGTAAATTTTTTATTTTTTCAAAACCTGAGCCGACGCATTTTGACGTTCCTAATTCCTTTCTAACTATATTTCCTAAAACCTAAAATCGAATTATTTTTTACACCCAATCCCTGCAATTGTTGCAAACCTGTCTCGACCTGACAATATTAATCCAGCCTCAATAAGGATATCATCTACTTCACTGTCATTGAACTATTTTGCTTTAGGTTAACCGACAAATTATTTATTTACCATTTACGAAAGGTCAAATAGTTTTCATTTTACACATAAATAAAACACTACAGTGAAACTATATCTCAGAAGAAAAAATGAATTATCTTTTAATTAATCTAAATATATGCATCATTTAACCTTTTTTTGTTGTTTATATAAAAAGAATTGCCAACGGTAATTTAAATATTTTTTGAGAAAAGTTAGTGATATAGTGAGATTGTCAACATAGATTTAACGCGAACCAGACATTCATATTTGCATAATTAGCGCGCATGGTTACTGATGATCGGCGCACCATATTTAGGCGTTCAACAGGAAGCATAAATGATATAGTCTATACCTAATAACGTGTGCGAGTTAAAATGATTTATCCATAAAACAAACTTAATTCTTATACTTGTTTACTTGTCATAATTATGATGTATATTATAAATGGAATTTAGAAATATATGCGAACCATTTTGAGATACTCAAAATACTAGACATATTTATACGTCAAAGAAAAGTCCCGATGCAAAATCCACTTATTTTTGAGAAGTTTTAAATACACGCCCAGGTTTTTTAAACTCCCTAATTTTATTATTCAAGCGTTCAGTTAATTTCTACGACTTTTAACTTAAATTCTGTTTTGATTTATCTGATATTGTTCCAAAGATAGCCCTGATTTCTTCAGGAAAAGACAACTAAATCCTCTCTTCCGGAAAAGGAATATCACAACACATTGGAAGAGGTTTCCACCAGATTTGTCATGAGATATACATCATCTTCTCTTTTTAAACATTTTTTTCATAATTAGCGATGAAATATGTAACGGATAGTGATGGTCACTTAGGGATCAAAAGAGCTGCTGGGATTTGAGTTATTAAAAAAAAACTGGAGTATGGTGACAAGCTGTAATCATGCTGGGCTTTGATTGAAATATTTACTTGAGATGAGCGAAATGTCTAAATTCGAGGTCTTAAACAGAACAATGCCCTTGGCCTTGGGCCTTGTTGACCGCACAGATTGTGTTAAAATGAGGCGAGGTTGAGTGCTGACGCTATGACACATGGCTTTCATTCCTCGAGAGGAAGCTAGGTCTTCAAGTTTCCTGTTTAAGACGAGACCTGCTGAGTGACATTCTGGGGAATGACCTCCGGATCACAGATTAGTCCTCTTAGAGCAGGACAATAGTATTATATCGTTTGCGGTTAATTGCCCTCTGCCCTTGTCTTTCGAAAGAGAATACAAGGCTTATTCAAGACTATTTTTTGCGCGTCAAATCTAAATTGATCAGTGAACACGAGAGTTCAATATTATCTCGTGTTGATCTTAAAAACGCTCTAACGCGTTGTTCAAAGATAAAATGCCATTGGTATTTCATATTTGATATAAATTTAGGGTATATGACTTGTTCATCGAATGGCTCTCTGTAGACCAACATCAAAGGATTTAAGGCTTGAGGGTGGATGACCTTCAACATATTTTAAAGATTACTTTGTACTTATTTTTTTTATTCGTACAATTTGATGAAAACATCTTCCTGCTGTAACTCACTTTTATAAAAAAAGATATCTGGACAACCCGGTTTCTTTATCTGCTAGAAAAACATCCTTCGTAGACACAATTGGCGATAAGAAAACAACCACGCGCGTGTATAGTGTATTTACTCTGTCGACATGAGTTTAATCGTTTTCTATTCAGAAAATCTCACCATAACAAAAAAGAGAGAGATAGTTCATTGATATGTGAGGTGTCACATACTTGTTGTTTTGAGTTCCTGGGAAGAAACCTTCATTCAAGAGCTTTGTAAAAACCAACAACAATTTCAAACGTTGGTAATAGAAAACAAATCGTTACATTTTCAAAATAGCCTACATGATTCAAGTCGTGAGGAATAATTAGTGATTTAGGTTTCCTCCTGAAGTATTCGTTGATTGTAAACAACACGAATTGCATCTGAGAAACAGTTTAGAGCAAATAAAACTATTCAGCTGGCGTAAAATAAAATAAAATGTGTATTCGTTTCGTTACAGAGATCTGAGATTCAATTTCATTCAACGCATTGGTAGAGATGATCTCCAAGGCTTGGCTAACTTGAAAACTTTGTAAGTAGTCACGTTGAGTCACCCTTAATCTCCCCCCAGGCTATCCTGACGACAAAGGAATAATGATTCCAAAACGTCTTTCATGGAAATTTGAAGAGGAGGGCTCTGTTGACGACGGATTTACTACGATAGTTTGAATGAAATATTTTCGTGTATTTCAGGCTGTTAGATGGAAACAATATTAGTCGTATTGAGCCTGGAGCCTTCAGTGGACTTACGAGGTTGAAATATCTGTAAGTACCCAATAAAGTAATCACCATTTGATCTGAGATGTGCTTCCAGTGTCTCTCTTAGCCTATATATTGTCCTTGTTTTAAACTCTTAAAGTTAGCATTAAGTTTTTGTGAGGAAGTGACGAGACCTTGGTAAACGTTTGAAATGTTCGTTTCAGATATTTGAAGCATAATAATCTGAAGTCGCTCAATTCAGAAACCTTCTTCGGTTTGACCAACTTAAATCAACTGTAAGTTTATTTATGTCCGTGGATTCTTTTGACCAATTTCTGATAGTGAAAATATGTTTTAGATATCTTCACAATAATAAAATAGAATATATTGGCTCGAGGACATTCCAAGATCTAAATTCTTTAGAAAGCTTGTAAGTCTAGTTTTAACATACATAAACAATGTGCTTACTAGTATTTGTAGAATAACGTTTAATCCTGGTTCTCTAACGTTTAATCTCTTTCTAATGTAGGTTTTTATCTAATAACAAGATTCGAACTTTACAAAAAGGAACGTTTTCTAGTTTATCTTCCAAACTGAAAAGATTGTGAGTAAGATATTTTGATCGATAAATTGGCCAGTGTATCTACACGTGTTCTTCTTTACCATGAAGCAACCTGTTCTATCAATCTTTCAGACATTTAGAACGAAATCCATTAGAATGTAGCTGTGATTTACTTTGGTTAACCCGGTTTCTTAAAAAACTCAAGCCAAACAGCAGGAAAGCAACATGCTTCATTTCTCCCGATCCTGAACGTCACAAGATCATCCTACTTACACTTGAAGATCTTAACTGCAGCGAACCAGAGTTCGTTAAAATTCCACTTGATGTCGTCATTAGTTCCAGACCTCCTAGTCGCGCGTACTTCTATTGTCAAGCAACTGGTCATCCAACACCAACAATCACGTGGTTGAAGAATCGTGTGCAGTTGGACACAAATGAACATTATGTTGTCCTCAGTGATGGAACTTTGGAGATCCACCGGCCGGGCAAGGAGGACGAAGCTACCTATCATTGTCTCGCCCGGAACTCCGCTGGACAGAAGGTTTCAGGCGCTCGTTTGATGTATTATGAAGAGGAAGGTAGGTTTCAGTCCTAACTTGCGTTACAAGCTCTCTGGCGATAATCTTTGGGCGATTTCCTTTATTCCCAGGCTATTTCACTGGTATTTTAGAGTGTTTCAAGAAGTCTGCATTCAAGCTCAAACCACGACTGCTAATTGCAGAATACTTCTTATAAGAGGCTACATATAACTATATGTATCAATATTTATCAACAGTTGCTCCCAAGTTCATCGATATCCCGGAAGACACCCAGGTGGTGGAGGGTAATGCACTGATATTAAAGTGTTCCTCCGAGGGTATCCCCAACCCCAAGATTACCTGGAGTAGAAATGCTCATCCTATAACTCCGTCCCGTCGCGTGAGAATATTAAAATCTGGTAACCTGCAAATATCTGAGGCGAGAAGACATGACCACGGAGAATATACATGCCGAGCTCAGAATAAAGTCGGTTACATTACCAGATCTGCTACGCTTGTCGTTAAAAGTAAGTTTAGAAGAATGGTTCACCTGTCTATCACTGAAAGTTATCTTTTTGAAATATGCACTTGTTAAACAAAATATCTAAATGACGTTATTTTTTTTCTGTCCAGCGACTCCAGTTTTCAGTCTCAAACCTGCTTCAGAAACTGAGGTTGTTGAAGGAACATCAGCGTCACTCCCATGTCGTGCTGATGGCTACCCAACACCTGCTATGACCTGGTTCAAAGATGGGACTAGATTACCCTCTGAGGAACGTCATGTGATTTTGACGACTGGAAGTTTGAGGATATTACAAGTTCAAGCACGTGATGAAGGCGTGTACACATGTCAAGCTATTAATGTGATTGGTGTTAGAACTGCCCGATCGAGACTTGTCGTGAAGCCTGAAGGTTAATACCATTTTGTTATTTATATCGAAAACGGTATACTCGACCATGGTCGAATGTGCCAAAAAACGGTATACTCGACCATGGTCGAATGTGCCGAAAAATGGCAGCTGTTATACCACATTTGATGCTAAGTTATTTACATGATTGCTAATAATTCTTCTAGCGAAGCCTGAGATAATGTCAATCTCTGAACATGTGTTTGTCAATGTTGGTGACTCCGCCACCTTAACTTGCGTTGCACAAGGCGATCCTATTCCTCAGATCACGTGGATCAAAGATGGTATTCGCGTGACGAATGGGAACAGGTTCGTGCTCCAATCACAAGGTGTACTGAGAATCAGAGAGATTGGTAAAAATGACGAAGGAACCTATGAATGTGTCGCAAGAAATGACGCTGGTTCTGACATCGACACCGTCAGACTGACAGTTCGAGGTAAGACAACAGCTTAAGATGAAGGGAAAAAACTAAAGAATAGATAATTTTATCACCTCTTTAACTTTCAGCTGCGGCGACAGGACCTGGAGACAGATTCGTCAACTCTTCCATCTTGCAAGCGAAAGAAAATATCGACCGAGCTATCCAGAAAACGATACAACGTATGTTTGCAAAAGCCAGACCCAGTTCCCCTGGTGATCTACTCGCCTTGTTTCGCTTTCCAAGTAAGCAAGCAATTGAGATCGCCCGCGCTGCTGAGGTATTTACCGTCAATGTATTAAAATAGATGTGAAAGAATTGTATACGAGAAGAAGATGCCTCTCTAATACACCCCCTCGCTAACACCTCTCTAATACACCCCTCGCTAACACCTCTCTAATATACCCCCTGGGTAACACCTCTCTAATACACCCCCTCACTAACACCTCTCTAATACTCCCCCTCGCTAACACCTCTCTAATAGACACACCCTTCTCATCAGCACAGTCTGCTCCCAGATGGACATATCTAATCCAGATATTTCGGTGACTATGTGAGAGAGATATCTGCATTAGAGCATTATGCGAGTTTTAACGAAGATCATCTGTTTAGGTATTCGAGAGAACGATCCAACTGATCCACGATAATGTTGAGAGGCACAAAATGTTAAACATTAGTGAAATATCTTACAATTACTATGATCTGGTATCACCTTCCTACCTGGAGATGATCGCTAACCTATCTGGATGTACCCAACACAGACGAATGGTAAACTGCACCCAGAACCTGTGCTACCATAAGAAATACCGAACCATTGATGGTACCTGCAATAACCTGGACAATCCAATGTGGGGATCTTCACTGACCGCATTTAGGAGACTTCTTAGACCAGTGTATGAGAATGGATTCAACACACCAATGGGCTGGCGTAACAAAGATGTTCTACCCAGCGCTCGTTTGATATCAACCCAGGTTATTTCAGCTGCTAAAAACGCACCAGATGAAGCATTCACTCACATGCTGATGCAATGGGGACAGTTTTTAGATCATGATTTAGACTTTACTGTCACAAGTCCGAGCAGCCAGAGTTTCACAGACGGCGAAAACTGTACAAGCACTTGTGAAAACCAGTCTCCTTGTTTTCCAATCTCGATCCCAGCCAACGACACGCGTATTAAACGACACAAGTGTATGACGTTCACTCGTTCTAGCTCGGCCTGTGGTACTGGTGCGACCTCGGTGTTTTTCAGCGTTGTATCAACACGTGAACAAATGAATCAAATCACGTCCTACCTGGATGCCTCGAACGTGTACGGTTCGTCACGTGATGAAGTAGAACATCTGCGAGATCTTTCAAACGATAATGGCTTACTGAAAACTGGAATGGATAAAAATGGCAAACCTTTGCTACCGTTTAACGATGGTTCGCCGATCGAGTGTTTGAAATCTGAGAAAGAGAGCCCAATCCCATGCTTCCTTGCGGGTGATCACCGCGCCAACGAGCAACTTGGTCTGCTGTCTATGCACACCATATGGATGCGCGAACACAACAGGATTGCGAAACAACTGCGCGTCTTGAATCCAAATTGGAACGGCGAGAAAATTTTTCAGGAAACTCGAAAAATTGTGGGCGCCGAGATGCAGCACATAACATACGCACATTACTTACCCAAGATTCTAGGAAAATACGGCATGGATATTCTAGGAAAATACGAAGGATATAAACCAGATACAGATGCAAGTATATTTAATGCGTTTGCAACGGCTGCGTTTAGGGTTGGACATTCTATGATAAGACCGGTACTGGATCGTGTGAATTCATCGTTTCAAATGATAGAAGAAGGGCATATTCCATTACACAAAGCATTTTTTGCCCCGTACAGAATTGTGGAGGAAGGAGGCATTGATCCACTTATACGTGGCTTGTTCTTCAGCCCGGCAAGGGACAGACGAGATCAAGATGGCGTACTAAATATGGAACTTACAGAAAAATTGTTTGAAATGGCGCATACGGTTGCCCTTGACCTTGGTGCGATAAATATCCAGAGATCACGTGACCATGGCTTGCCCAGTTATAACGAATGGCGCGTATTGTGTGATCTTGAACCTTTGAAAACATTTGAAGACCTAAAGAGCGTGATATCAAATAACGATATTATTAAAAAGTTAAAAGATCTTTATCTTGACGTGAATAAGATTGAACTTTGGGTCGCTGGGATATTGGAGGATATCATTCCCGGCAGTCTATTGGGTCCTACGCTCCAGTGTCTCATTGCAACACAATTCAAAAATCTCAGAGATGGGGACAGGTAAATTCTTTTAAGTTTGCAATCTTTTTTTGCGCACTTAAGAATACCGGAAACAGCAAATCTGTAACATGAAAAATCGAAAAAAAGTATTTGGGAAAGGAAGTGCATGTCACATAATACTTTGAAGAGGGTATTAAACTGAAAGAAATAGCTGAAAGATTATCCCATAGTTTGTGAACGTCCTCACAGAGGTTTTAATGCTTGTCAACTATCTTCATTTCAACCAGGTTTTGGTATGAATATGATGGTGTGTTTGAGCCAGCGCAATTAACACAGATCAAGCGGGTAACATTGGCTCGGGTACTTTGTGATAATGGTGATAATATAACCCAGGCTCAGCCTGATGTGTTTTTACGAGTGAATCATATCTCTGGTTATACGTCTTGTTCATCTAAACCAAGTATTGATCTGCGGTTATGGAAGGAATGTTGTTCAGGTATCACTTTTTCTTAACGAGGAAAAAAATCATAGTTGATCCAATCAATAAAAGTGTATTCGTTATATTCAGTTAAACCGTCTTCTCTCTACATAGAAAACTGCTACAGTACTGATCAGAGCTTCACGTTGTCACGCAGTATAAGCGATGCTAAAAGACGAAAAAGATCGTCAGATTTTGACGTGGAAGTATTTAAGGATGAAATAGATCGTTTTTCTGCCACGGTTGACGAACTTCAGACCCAGGTTTTCTCGCAACAAAAAACGCTTCGAGATATCATGGACAAGGTACCGAATTTTAAACAATAAAATTGACTTCCTGGGCCTTAAAAAACAGCGAGTTTAGAAACACCTGTTGAAGCGAAATGCAAAAAAATTCAACGTTTCCATCCAAAGGCTTTTCTTCATTGAGAGAGCTGTGAATGATTTTATATTTGTGTTTTCTTCAGGTGCAAAACTTAGAGAAAAAACATGAACCAACAGTTTGTGTAGATGACTTGGGAAAAGAACGTAAACTTCATGAATCATGGCAGGTTTCCGCATGTAAGACTTGTGTCTGCAAGGTACATTTTGCAAATTATTTCTTTCCACCAAGTACTGCGTATACTAGAAACATTGAACGACTGTGAGTGATATTCCAAACTCTTTATTTCAGGAATTAACAACCGAATGTGAAACTAAAATTTGCCCCGAGAACAAGTGTGACAATCCACAAATATCAGAAGACCAATGCTGCCCCGTCTGTTAGTTATGTTTCTTAGAAATCTCTGACAATATCCTGGAAATTTTCGGGAGAATTTTATGTATTTAATACGTTCTCAATGTTGGTATTTCGTAAGAGATCTGGATGACACGGCCACATAGATGGAAGATAGATGTAAATTGCTTTGGAATTTGTTTCTATAGATTTTAAAACACATGTATTTGAAAAACTTATGAAAACTTTTCTATTTAGTGTCCAGATTTGTTTTTTTTTCGCTTCTTGCCTGCCATTTTCTTTCACGATTCTTTTGCCGCGACTCCCCGGCATAGGACGATAAATAACCGGAATTATGGTATATTCAACCTTGGTAAGGTATGGTATAATCGATTTTGGATTTGGCTTTCTAACCATTTGCCGAAAACCCTGGAAAAAGTTGGCACTAAATACGCGTGCCTTACAATCTATGCCTTGTAATTGCCAAGGCGTAAGGTTTAAAGATACTAATAGCGGTACTATGGCAGGGACCGCGGAGGGGGGGGGGGCTGGGGGGCTTTAGCCCCCCCAATAATTTTCTAAATACATTTGATTCCTTTATAGCGATTTTTATATGGCCGTAATAATACGAATAAAAACTCCTCATAGTAAGTTGTGTAATCATAATTATGTGTTCATTTTCATTGAAGTGTTTACAAGAAAAATCTAAATAGATAAGTATGGACCCGCCCCCGAGGGTTCACTCTTTCGGCTTCGCTAGCCCCCCCAATCCAAAAACTGCTCCGCGGTCCCTGTATGGTATAAAGGTACTGACGAAGGCCCTCAGGTCGAAACGTCGAGAAGTGTTCTGTCTATTATGGCAGTTGTTATACCACATTTGATGCTAACTGCTAAGTTGTTTGAAGACGCTGCCACTCTGCTCCTTGGTTATAATAGAAAACATAGGGTATTGGTGAGTTGCAAGTAAGGGTGCTGAAATGTATGGTTCAGAGGCTGTCTTCAGCTGCGCAATGAATGACAACCACAAGCCAACCTATTACGTTTATTACGTGCCCCTTTGACGTCAAAGGATACGAATATCTTTGATGCATATCGAGATGTTTCTATAAAGATTAGCATTGCGTCCGTCTCAGACAAAAATAATGACAAAACATGAAGTATGTTTGTTAGAGCAGCAATATAATTTCCTGTATAATAAGGATTATATCTTTAAGAAATTTTACTTGAAAATATCTTTATTTTCTTCGTTTCGTTTGGCATCGTCAGGTCTTTCAAGTCAGTATTCAAATTTCTTTCAAGAGATTGTGTCATGATCTCGTGTCAGAGATGTGCTTTCTAGAGTTTGTATTTGTTTGTATTGTACTGACTCACGTGGTTTTCGCCGGAACTGGTAGGATTTCGTTATTTAATACTCAATTCTTGTTAAGATAGAGAAGAATTGTTTAGATATTTCTATTTTATTCACTATTTTATGATGTATAGAATAATGCCCAATATGTAATTAGATAATCACTTATTAATTGATACCCCATATCAATTATCCCAATTTTAAAAGAGTGCCATATAGGCTAGGAACAATTTGAAGCGTTGACAAACTGACAGCTAAACACTGTTATTTGCAATGTTCAAAAGTATATGTTAATAAAATACATACATCTTGCATATGACTATACTTTGCCATATGGCACCTTACTTTTCCAGCATGCTAATGTTAGCCGAAAGGGTAAGTTTTTAATACTAAATTCTATATTTTATATAGGCCCAGAGGTTGCTATTTCTAATGATGGGGAGATATTAAATGATTCTATATTTCGACTCAACTGTCACGTGAGGTCAAACTCGACACCAACTATTAAATGGTATAAAAACAGTAAGTTGATCAAATGCAAGCCTAACGACTGCAAAGTGAGCACTAGTCAGAACGAACAATATTACTGGAGCAATATAACAAGCGGTTATCCAAAAGTAAATGACACCTATACATGTGTTGCCAATAGTACAGATGGGATATCAAGTGATTCGTATGTCATCCCTTGTTTTGAAGGTAATTTATATCTGCTGACATTTCAAGTGACACATTAGGTGACATTTGAATTTAAGAATTTTGCTTTTTTTCACCACTGAAGGAACCTGTCTTGAATGGGAAGATAGTTTACAAGGAAGAAATGTTAACATAAATGTTGGTGAATCATTCTCAATAAATTGTGAACTGATGACAATGGATAAATATGCAAGTCAATGCTACAAGTTTGGTATTTTGCACTTCAATCACAGCTACAGTGTTAAACCTGTAGTAACACACAAAGGATATAAACACTTTATTAGTTATGCGCACAATATTACTGGTGCAAGCAAGAATAATAGTGGATCGTACTTGTGTTTCTACGAGTATGATTTCACAGTGACAAAACCTAAGCACTGTCCAGGACCTTGGGTTAAAAGCTTCAACATTCATGTTACAGGTACAGTATGTGTAAACTATAAAATTTAAAGATAATTATTGCTTGCAGTATTAAATATCATGTTACATTTATTTAATCTAGAACCAAATGCAAGAGATCATGATGACAAAGGGCACATTGTGATGGTTTTGAGTGTGGTATCATTTATCAGCATTGTTGGAGGTTTAATCCTTCTGGTCTCCATAATTTATTTACGCAAGCACAAATTGAAATCCAAGCGCCTTTATGGTATGTACATCTCAAAGGATTTGTATAGCTCTATGAAACTAGTTTGATAATGACACATGTTGATTATACTTTCAGAGAGTGAACCAGAGCTTCGATGGGATGTTTTTGTGTCATATAGCAGTAAAGATTTTGATTGGGTTAAGGAACTTTGTAAAACTTTGGAAGAAGCTCCATTCAACCTGATTGTGTGCTTGCATCAACGAGATTGGGAAGTTGGCAGAACAATCCTGGACAATATGGCTGAGTCAATATACTGTAGTCAAAAAACTTTACTTATTGTCTCAAAGAGTTACTTGGAGAGTTCATTTTGTATGCAAGAACTCAACATTGCGATGGACCGTCAAAGTCAGAAAGCCCTTAAGGACCGAGTTATTGTCATAAAACTGGATGATGTTTCCTTGAAGAGCCTTCCAAAAATTTTGAGACATAAATCTTTTCTTGATTTCTCAAATGATGAACAAAGAAAACATTACAAGACTAAGTTGCTCAAAGCATTACCAAGGCGTGAATTGGAGGTGGAATGTGATGGATCAGATGGTGATCATGATGGTGGTGACCCTGAATGTTTTGGGGATAAGGAGGTCTTGGAAGGGCATTGGGATGAGACCATTGATACTTTATCATTGCATGGTGGTATTCCAGTGAATCATAGTGGACCATTGTCAGTTTAAACCTTTGCGGTTTCTGTCCAGGCTTCTTAGCTCAGTGGGAACAAATTAGGCAGAATTACAACTTTATATAAAGAAGATATAAATTACTAAAAAATGTCACCTAAGATCTCGAAGATTTTATGTTTAAAATAGCGAAGGAAAAGTGATATTGTAATGTGATACTTCTAGTCGGTTTTCTGGAAACATAGACCGGATTTTTGCGGTAAGTGTGATTACGTAATTACAGCAGAATGACAATAAATACGAATTGATCGGAAGTTCAACATCAAAATAGTGTTTATTTAAAATATTCAGCATCATTGATGGAGGGAGTATTTTAAATTATGTTATGTATCGTTGCGGTGGTTTTTCTAGTTTTAAATCTTGCCATTAGTTATAGCGTTCCAGGTATGTGTCAGTTAATTCATTTCAATATTTATGTACATCCAAAAATAAGCATTGCTCAGCAGGATTAATAGCTTTCTTATTGTTTCCTAAGTCACGAACAAGCATATTTACTGTTAGGAAGTATTTCAGACGTGTGTTGATATAAAATCACTGTCAAGACGAAGAATAATTTGAACTGTTTAGAGTACATTTCACATTTCCCCCTTATTTTATTACCATCAAAAATTAAATGCCAAAATGTCTTTATTGCATGATCATGAAATCATGAAATGATTTTATACACCAGGGTTCATTAGTTTGATGTCTTACGAATATTTTCAACGCTATAAAATGGCAATGGTGAATGTACAATTTATCTTTTGAATATCGCTTAAGGAAGTTCATGTCATTGTTTTGTTAAGACAGGTTCATACTTGTCAAAAAGAAAGAGATACCACATGTTTAAATTAACCAATGAAGTCCAATATAGGGCCAAACCAGAAGCTTAGGTTGGGGTTTATATATATAATTGTTGTACACTGGATTGATTTCTTTGAAAGCGATTGTTCCGATATGGTATCTGAGCAAAAATATATGAATTAATATAAATATATATATACCCCTGAATTAAGTGGTCTAGCTTGGCCCAGCCCTTGGTCGAAGACATTATTTTTATCATGTATCGATTCTGACCCAATGTGAATAATTTTCAATGCCATTCATTGCTAAATGACCATATTATTGGCCAGTGCTGTGTTGGTCCACACTTACCTGAGCTAAGCAGGGTACCAGTAACAAAAATTATCAGTCAAGACACATTAATAACACTAAATGAATTACTTAGTAGCAAACATTAGTAGATTTTTAAAATTTCTTTGAAATCATTAGGAGGTCATCTTCATTGTCAATTGACCAGTAACTATGGAAATGGATCAAATGTGACCGAAGTTGACGTTCACAAATCACTCTTTTTAACTTGCTCTTCATCTCAAACGAACAGAAGTAATCTTACCTTTGAGTGGTTCAAGAATGATAACAACAAAGTCCTCCACAGAGGATCTATTTTAAATATATCCAATGTTTCATCGAGTCATGCTGGAAAATGGAAATGTGTCATTACACAAGATGAAATCAGAGGAGTCGTGTTACATCATTGTTGCAGTGAAAAGTTAGTATGTCATTGTTAATTATTTAAATATGATCATATTATGTCTAGTCCAACTCACATCTTCTGATCTCTTCAGAACATAATATCTCTGACCAGCTCTCCTTCATCTCTTAATCTTATCACATGTCCATATCATCCCAACCTTGCTTCTCTCATCTTCTCTGCAATGTCTACCACCTCACATCTTCTGATCTCTTCATTTCATAATATCTCTGACCAACTCTCCTTCATCTCTTCTTATTACGTGTCCATATCATCTCAACCTTGCTTCCCTCATCTTCTCTGCAATGTCTACCACCTCACATCTTCTTCTGATCTCTTCATTTCATAACATCTCTGACCAGCTCTCCTTCATCTCTTCAGGTACCTCCGTTTTCCTACGATTTGCTTATTTGCACGATCTGTATTTCTCAAGTATACGATTTTTATTCATCTTTTTGCATTACACTAAGCGTAACAAATCCAGATATTTGAACTATATAAGACGTATTTTCGGGCCTGCATTTCTGCAGTATCTTTTGACCTTTTTTTGCTGTAATGTTTTTGACCATTCTTTTTTGTATTTTTTATAGCATTACCAATTGTGTATTTAAGTCAATTTGACAATTTGAAAGGAATATTGAGTTTGCAGTGCTTCATAAAAGGTTATTTCAAACCAGACAAGGTCGTTTGGTACAAAGATGACGAACAGATCCTTCAAAATGACACTAGATACGTTGTTAGAACTGAACAAACGAATGATTTTATTATTACGTCTTCGTTGTCAAATGATCATCCAAGTCTTGATGACGCTGGGAATTATTCGTGTCAAGCAAGCAATAAATATGGAACTGGGAGAACATCCAGTTATTTATCAAAAGACCAACTAATTTATGGTAAATCTAATTAACTTTTCACTAAAATATAAATATGAAGGTATCAAGAATGAATTTGTTTTTTTCTTTTTTTTAAAAGGTCTTCTGCATCGTGATTGCCCAGAATTTACAAATAAAACGGAGGTATATTTGACAATATATGTTGGCTCTTCTGCGTCATTATTTTGTGAACTGAAGAATAACCCATATGCCTCACCTGACCAGCTGGTTCTGCTCAAAATGGTCATTCGAGGCAATAAGACGACGCTTTATGACATTGGCGGAGATGGCAAACACGTGTATAAAAAACAAGAACAACGACATGGCACAATGCTGATCAATTACACCATTGTAGATGCTGTCAGGAATGATAGTGGCCGATATGTTTGCAAATTCTTGCATATTTCAAGATATTATTGTCCCAATGATTTGGAAAGAAGGTATAATGTGAAAGGTATGGACATTTGTATATTACTTCCCCTATCAGACCACCGATATGATGTGTATTTCCTTCTGGACGTAAAATGAGTACATACAAATGTAAAATGCAGAGTTTTCTTCTCTGAGGTAGAACATTTTTTTCATTACAAAGATTCGACTGCTATTTTTATTTCCTTCTCAGTGGTTGCCTTTCCTGTGAAGAAAGGGACAAAAAAGGAGCTGAATTTACTCATGGTGATAGCAGTTAGTGTTTCAGGATCCCTCTGTGGTTTTGCATTAGTTCTTTACGTTTGTTATTTGCGAAGAAAAATGAAGGCTAAAATTTACGGTAAGACTTGATTTCGAGTAAATATTCGGGTCTGATCTCGAGAGTATTGCACCGAACTTCTCGTTAACTACTGTCAATTGTATCTTTTTGTCTCTTAATATAGAAAATTGTCCAGACTGTTTACCAGAGCTACGTTGGGACGTGTTTGTATCTTACAGCAGTCATGACTTTGGATGGGTCGATAATCTTTGTCAAATGTTGGAACAACCGCCTTTTAATCTAACTGTTTGTCTCCATCAGAGAGATTGGGAGCTAGGCCGTAGTCTGGTTGATAATATGATCGACTCAGTTTATTGTAGTCACAAAACTTTGATAATTGTATCTAAACACTACGTTCAAAGTGAATATTGTATGCAGGAACTACAGATAGCAATGCATAGCGAGATTGCCTCGGAACTTGTAAGAAGAGAGAGGATCGTTCTCATTAAGATCGATGATGTATCGATTCAACGCTTACCAAGGGCTTTAAGACAAAAATCATATCTTGATTGCTCAAATTCTGAACATGCGAGACATTTTAAGACCAATTTACTGCGAATCTTACCCAGACGGCAGGCCCTCGAGGATGAACCTGGACCATCAAGCGAACAACCACGTTCAGATGCCGGAAATACCAACGAAACCGGTGATGAAATAAGATTACAACAATTGGAGATTGGTTGAGAAAAAGGGAAAAAATCAACGGGGGAAAGGGGAAAAAACAGTTATAGTCCATCTCATTTGAATGCTGGCTGACGATATATATTTAAATTAATTTCAGAGGAATAAAATAATCCTAGGAACTATAGTATATGGACAAACCTTAGTGTCTGGTGAATTTTAAAATCCGAAGAATCTACTTAATGTACCATTAAAACCCGCGCAGTGACATTACACACTTGTGGTCACTTTCAACTGGTTTGCAAGGAGTGAAGGTTTTCTGTAAACTATCCACGTTTTAGACAAATCATGCACTTGTAATTAGAAATAATACACATTAAACTGTATTGGTATTTGGCCAAGGGCGAGTCCTAATAATACCGTCATTTGGGTGTGGTTAACCACTTGCAAACCAGGCCAGGGGGGGCGTTCAGGTGCCCTAATGGAGTGGAGGACTAGACTCCAGAGTCCAGTCACTGGTCAAATCCAATATGGCGGTTTTTGAAGTTACTTTTTGAGGGTAACATTATATAATAGCGTTCATAAACCTCGCTGGTTGCAAAACGTAGTTGTACAAAGTTGATTTGCTTGGAGACAGCGCTTTTTGTTCTGTGAATCTTCTTCTGTGAATCTTATTCTTCATCATGTCAACGCTTTGGATGGGTGACGTGAGTCTATAAAATGATGTACATTACTTTGAATTGAATCAAATCATTATAATTATGATTCAATCTTCCTGTTTTCAATCAATTTTAGCTTGATTCCTACATGGATGAACAGTTTGTAAAAGCTGCATTTGCATCTGCAGGTCACGCAGTTGTTAATGTTAAAATCATAATAAATAAAATTACTGGGTATGAATGACTTCTATATTGATTCTAGTAAGATCAGATTTAGTGCTGCTCTTTTGGAAACATGATTAAAATGTTGCTGCAACCTTGCTGCAATGAGGAACAAGTGAACAACTAGGGAGTCTTATTATCCATGTAGTGTCCAATGTTAACTTTTGGTTTACGTGACTTCTCTGAATTTCTTCCCTAATTGTGACTCTTTATTTTGTCAGTGGCCCAGCAGGTTATTGTTTTGTGGATTTTCAAAGCACAAAAAATGCTGAAAATGCTTTAAATACATTGAATGGAATACCAATACCTGGCACCAATCCAGTAAGTAAGATCTTTCAATTCCTAATGAAAGAAATACCAAATACCTTGATTTATTGCAATAATTTATATTGTAGGCTAAAAGATTTAAACTGAATTGGGCATCGTACGGCAAAGAGACCCAACCACAGTAAGTTCTTATTTCTTGCTTTCTTCAAACTTATTTGGCTACAAATCGTTCAAAGTTGCTTTTCATTTTAGGGGGCCAGAATTTTCTATTTTTGTTGGTGATCTGACACCTGATGTTGACGACACAATGCTATTGGTAAGAGTGATAATTGCTACATTTACTATGCGTTACGTAGCATTTCTTGTTTGACAAAAAAGTTGTAAGCAACCTTCACATCACAGACCTTTCAAAATTATGTTTTTAATGTTTTTAGACCTTCTTTCGTGATAGATACCCTTCATGCAAAGCTGCTAAAGGTAACTTCATTTGTTTATTTTGCTTCCATTTCATGTACTGTCAGTGACTCAATAATATATTGTTGCATTTCTAGTTGTGATTGACTCATCTGGCATGTCAAGGTAATTTATCAGCAGTAATTCAATGCAATATTTCTGATCAAATATAATAGCAATAGTTGATCAAGCAGTACTCATGTAACCAATAACTTAGTTATTAACAAGTACTTTCGGTTGTCAGAATGTATTGTAAATGTGTCAATGTTTGAATGTTTTTCAGAGGTTATGGTTTTGTTCGTTTTACATCGGAAAATGAGCAGAAACGTGCAATGATTGAGATGCAGGGAGTGAGAGGCTGTGGTGGGAAAGCAATACGAGTCAGTGTGGCCACGCCGAAAAAGTAAGAAAATATTCCTGTAGTTATTAAAATATTTAACGCCACGCAAAATAATTCGTACGCGACAGAGCGAGAAACTATCCTAACGCAATGTATTTGAACTTGACGCAAACTATATGAAGACAACGGCAACGCAATGTATTTGAACACAACGCAATGTATTTGAACTCAACGCAATGTATTTGAACTCAACGCAATGTATTTGAATACAACGCAATGTATTTGAACTCAACGTAATGTATTTGAATACAACGCAATGTATTTGAACGCGACGCAATGTATTTGAACTCAACGCAATGTATTTGAACTCAACGCAATGTATTTGAACTCAACGCAATGTATTTGAATACAACGCAATGTATTTGAATACAACGCAATGTATTTGAACGCGACGCAATGTATTTGAACTCAACGCAATGTATTTGAACTCAACGCAATGTATTTGAATACAACGCAATGTATTTGAACTCAACGTAATGTATTTGAACACAACGCAATGTATTTGAACTCAACGCAATGTATTTGAACACAACGCAATGTATTTGAACAGAACGCAATGTATTTGAACTCAACGCAATGTATTTGAACACAACGCAATGTATTTGAACTCAACGCAATGTATTTGAACACAACGCAATGTATTTGAACTCAACGCAATGTATTTGAACACAACGCAATGTATTTGAACACAACGCAATGTATTTGAACACAACGCAATGTATTTGAACACAACGCAATGTATTTGAACACAACGCAAAGTATTTGAACACAACGCAAAGTATTTGAACACAACGCAAAGTATTTGAACACAACGCATTGTATTTGAACACAACGCAATGTATTTGAACACAACGCAATGTATTTAAAAACACAGCAAAGTATTTGAACACAACGCAATGTAGAACACAACGCAAAGTATTTGAACACAACGCATTGTATTTGAACACAACGCAATGTATTTGAACACAACGCAATGTATTTAAACACAACGCAAAGTATTTGAACACAACGCAATGTATTTGAACACAACGCATTGTATTTGAACACAACGCAATGTATTTAAACACAACGCAAAGTATTTGAACACAACGCACAATGTATTTGAACTCACAATGTATTAACACAACGCAATGTATTGAACACAACGCAATGTATTTGAACACAACGCAATGTATTTGAACACAACGCAATGTATTGAACACAACGCAATGTATTTAAACACAACGCAAGTATTTGAACACAACGCAATGTATTGAACACAACGCAAAGTATTTGAACACAACGCATTGTATTTGAACACAACGCAATGTATTTAAACACAACGCAAAGTATTGAACACAACGCAATGTATTTAAACACAACGCAATGTATTTGAACTCAACGCAATGCATTTGAACACAACGCAATGTATTTGAACACAACGCAATGTATTTGAACACAACGCAATGTATTTAAACACAACGCAATGTATTTGAACACAACGCATTGTATTTGAACACAACGCAATGTATTTAAACACAACGCAAAGTATTTGAACACAACGCAATGTATTTAAACACAACGCAATGTATTTGAACTCAACGCAATGTATTTGAACACAACGCAATGTATTTGAACACAACGCAATGTATTTGAACACAACGCAAAGTATTTGAACACAACGCATTGTATTTGAACACAACGCAATGTATTTGAACACAACGCAATGTATTTAAACACAACGCAAAGTATGAACACAAACGCAATGTATTTGAACACAACGCATTGTATTTGAACACAACGCAATGTATTTAAACACAACGCAAAGTATTTGAACACAACGCAATGTATTTGAACTCAACGCAATGTATTTGAACACAACGCAATGTATTTGAACACAACGCAATGTATTTGAACACAACGCAATGTATTTGAACACAACGCAATGTATTTAAACACAACGCAAAGTATTTGAACACAACGCAATGTATTTGAACACAACGCAAAGTATTTGAACACAACGCATTGTATTTGAACACAACGCAATGTATTTAAACACAACGCAAAGTATTTGAACACAACGCAATGTATTTAAACACAACGCAATGTATTTGAACTCAACGCAATGCATTTGAACACAACGCAATGTATTTGAACACAACGCAATGTATTTGAACACAACGCAATGTATTTAAACACAACGCAATGTATTTGAACACAACGCATTGTATTTGAACACAACGCAATGTATTTAAACACAACGCAAAGTATTTGAACACAACGCAATGTATTTAACACAACGCAATGTATTTGAACTCAACGCAATGTATTTGAACACAACGCAATGTATTTGAACACAACGCAATGTATTTGAACACAACGCAATGTATTTGAACTCAACGCAATGCATTTGAACACAACGCAATGTATTTGAACACAACGCAAAGTATTTGAACACAACGCAAAGTATTTGAACACAACGCAATGTATTTGAACACAACGCAAAGTTTTTGAATACAGCGCAAAGTATAAACGCAACGTAAAACAATATAAAAGCGAGTGAAGTAAGATCATGCTGATCTTATAATATCATTATTTCTAGGGTTACCAGCAGCACATCAAGCAGCAGTAATAACACATCATATTCAACACCAGGTCAACAATATCTTCAACAGTACCAACAATATCAACAATATTATGCAGCGTGGCAAGCATCCTATCAACAACAAGCTCAGGCTGCCGTTGCGGCTCAATATTATCCAAATTACAGCCAGTATACTCAACAATATGACCAATATCAACAATACGAACAACCAACACAGGTAGAGTGATTCTTGCCACTTTGTTGCGGCTTAGAATCTGCTTGGATACAATCTAGATTAGGCGAGATCTTCCCTGTATTTTGAGTACGGATTACGGAGTACGGATTTTGTTGTTTTTTTTCTATGAATCAAAAGAATCCTGATGTGGAAAGTATCGCAAACGAGGTTTGTCTCAGCATTCAAACACTCACAACTTTGTCGTTAAAGTGATATTTCATCTTTATCTACATTCAATGGTATTTAAAATCTAAATAAATTCTTAAATAAATTCGTAGATAAATTCTTTTACCCATGTTTTTTCCATAGAATCAGAATTATGAAGAAGAAAGTGCAGAGAACATATTGGAAGGTAGTGAACATAGATAAATTAAATGCCTTGTTTTGATGAATGGAAATGTGTTTTTGGTTAGTTATAAAACATTTTCGAGTGAGTATTCAAATTCAAAAAATACTTGATATAATGGAAGAAGTTCGATAACTCTAAAATTGAACAGTTTCATGCGATTGATTTAGATCCAGATGAAAAACTTGATATTGCTGCGGAAAACAAAGGCTTGATAAATCGTGAAGAGGTATGTCTTCGTATATCCTGCCACAATTTCTGTGACCATCAACAATTTCGATATCTGAATTGCTTAAAGTCGAGGTTTTCCTCGAGTGATCGCCATTTCTAGTTACCTAGAGAGAAGAGCTTGTTATTTTTTTCAAGCTATTCTGTGGTAACACTAGAAGAATAGAATATGATTTTTATGATGGGCCTCAACGAACACTGCACAACTGACTTTTTTCTTTGTCTCAATTTTTAGTCTCTTTTCTTGGAACTGGAAGAGTCAAGATGGCAGCCGCTGGATTCTGTTACCGCCGGCCCCAGTACACTAGTGGCATGAGGGAAGTCTGGTGATCAATGGAGATAAGTGAACTTATCAATAGCATTACTGTTATCCCAGACTCTGATGACTTTCAACATCCGGCTCGAGCTGCAATTATTAGGTTCATCCAAGCCTGGCAGAGAATGGCAATGTTTCTCAAACATTAACGTTTTTCCATTCGTTTTTCGCCTGGTATTATATTACTGTTATTATTTTCCCTTGTGAGTTACAAACGCCATTATTCACCGTTTATTTAACTGTCAAAGTTGAAAAATTTAATTAAAGTATGTCTATAAATTTCTAGACAATAAAATGCGCGTTTCTTTTCCCTCAAGCGTCGGATGTCACAATAGACTTGTTTTGACTTGCAAAACTACAGAAGCCACGTGAAATATACGTGTATTCCGATGCAGAAAAGCTTTCAGATTTTAATTTATGATATTGAGGCTTCTCGTGTTTGTTATTGAGCAAATATTGGCAGACTCATTAACATTTCCATAAGGCGCGAGGATTAACACGTTTTCTTCAACTCTCTTTGTTGAGAAAATGAAAGTGTTTTGAACGAGCTTGTTAAATATGTTTGATTTTAAACACAACTTGTGAAGAGAATGATGGCAGAGATTGAAAAGCAAAGAGATGAACCATTTACCAAGGTATGGCTAGATGCATGTTTTCAAGACGAAAGACAATTTTCATTGTAGTAAATTTGTTTCGTTCAACCAGAATTCATCTTTCCTCATGCAGGCAAATTCGTGCAAATTTAATAACATTTTCGAAGTATCTTTGACCCAATGTCATTGAGAATTTGTTAAACTATCATAATAGTGCTCGTATCTGCATGCATATATCGACTATATGTTTGAAATATCCCGTTTACGGATCAGACAAGGATAACAACAATATTCAGTGTTTTTTTATTATGTGTGAGATCGTTGCTGTGTATCAGTATATTGCTCTATTAACTGAAGGGTTGAACGTATAGTTCTATCAACTGAAGTTCTCAAATTACAAATTTTAAAAAGTATTAACTCTCTAGTCGTTACAGTCCACGTTTCTTTGATAAAAATCTATTTATTCTCCAACTTTTAATAACAAACCTTTAATAATTCTACTTATATTATACATATATTACAGACAGAACTGAGATCAGTGGAAGACGAGCTCGCTTCAACCCAGGTAAACAGAACTTTTCTGTTAATAAACGTCTCTCACATTGTTTTTTTTTCTGTCAGAATTGTGAACAACTGAGCAATGATCATAGATCTCAAACTCGGAAAGGATCGGTAGTTAGCACAAAACTATATTACTAAAGCGAAAGAAACCCGATACGCGTCAGCATTTGTTACCTTAGCAACTGTTACATATTGTATTAGTCACGAAGTCATTTCACTTAAACTAATCCTTCTTTAATCTACTCATGATCCCCCTCAAAAACGTTTCAATACTTCGAAACGAAACTAGCTTTTTTGATCAAATTATACTGACCTAGATAATGTTTTATTATTTTCTCCTTGACGTGTCTTTATACACCACATTTTGATATGAATATTTTCATTAAAAAACGTACAATGAAATGAGAAATAGTTTGTTGACATACTTCCGTTGCTACGATCAAACAAATCTTTATTTCCTGTGTATTATTCATGCAGGAATATCTAATTACTGTCAAAATTGTTCGCGCTTTATTCACGCGGGGTCCTGGGTTCCACCCATCGCGGGAAGCATGAGAACGAGTAATATACATTACAGATGAGACATTGTGTGTTTCTTTTGATATTAGTCTTTTTACATTTGATATTTATTTATTTACAGAGCAAAGATGTTTTATTACAACAAAATGTGATTGTTGATGAAGATGTAAATTTAAATACACGAAACAACGAAATGGAACAAATTCCTGGAACGGTGTCGGAGAATCATGTCAATGATTCTGGTTTCTTGGAAAATGCTGTAAAGCCAAAAGAAACTGAATCCAATGTTCACCACTCGAATGATATTGCTGAGAAAATGAGGAATGATTCTATGGTCATTCAGGCTAAATATGACAGCGAACCAAATCCAGTTGAAAATCACGTGAATGATAGCAACGGAATGATTGAAAATGATTTGAGTCCACAAGAACAGGTCGAAAACAACTCAGAAGACATGGGAGAAGGTCTGAAGTGTAATGGCGTGAATTCAGGAGAATTTCTTGAAAATGTTAGCACAAATGGAGATGTTGATATCAACTTGGAAAATACTCTGAGAGAAAGTGAGACGATTGAAGCCCAGGGTGACGTTGGTGGCAATGAAAACAAGGATTTCGAGAGAATGCAAGACGATGGAAAAATGTCGTTTGAAGAAATTCTTGTTCTAGATGCGAGTGCTTTGACCTCACAGAAAATTATTGAAGACGCTTTGAAAAAATGTGCAGAGGTTCAAAGCAACGGTGATATTGCCAGAGAGGATGAAAACTATGACGGAACTCCTTCTGACGGAACTCCTTCTGACTTGCAGAAGATTGAACTTGCAGGATGTGAACGTCCTTTGAGTAGAAAAGAGAATGAAGACATCGAAATAGCGAATGTTATTGTTGAAGATTTGAAGAATGGTAGCTCGATGTTAACTGAAGAACGTGATTACAAGAAACTGTTTGAAAGTGGAGAGCATCTGAATAATGACTTTGTTGAAATACAGCAACAACATGAAGTGGAAATGCAAGAGCTTCGAATGACGTTACAAGATGAATATCAAAAGCAGGTAAATATATAAAAAACATTGTCTTTAGTCATGCACTATGCTGGGTAAGCTGGAAGATGTTGGATGATTGAGGATAATGTTGGATGATGTTGGACCTTAACAAGGCCCAATATACCATATTCCGGTATATTCGACCTTACCAAGGTTTAATAATTTCTCATCATAGTTTTATGTTTATTGAAGGTGTTAAAAATTTCTGACGAACTTCGAGATCATTACCAGAACGACATGGACGAGAAGATTGCAAAATTGGAAGAAGATTGGGAGCTAGAATTTGCAAATCAGAAGCGTGAATTTGACGAGCAGGTATCCGCTGTGCAACGGGAACAGTCAGCGCAGTGTCAAGAAGCCATTGAAAGAGTGACGCTGGACGCTGAGGATCAGTTGAAGAACATGAAGTATGCTTATGAGCGTGAGACTGCTGAACACAAGCAACGCATTAAGGAGCTACTTGAGCGCGAGGCGTTGTGGGAAATGAAAGAAAATGAGCTGGCGAATGAGAAATCCGAGAAAGAGAATGAAAGTTTGAGTAAAATAAAAAAATTAGAAAGTCAATTATCCTCTGAGCGAGAGGAAGTAGAGTCGCAGTTGAATGGAGTCCAGGATGAAATAAAAACATTGAAGAAAGATCATGAAAATGAAATGGCAAATTTAACAAATGAACTGGAGAGGAAATACAGTGGCGTTGTTGATGAGATGAGAAAAGAACTGAAATCAAAATATCAGGTAAATTTTATATCATTTTGCCAGCTGTATTTGAACTGAGATTACATCGATTTTCATAAAAAAAATAGTGACCTGTTTTTAACGTATTTTACTTTTCAGGATGAGATGGATCGGAAAGTGAATCAAGTCGAGTGTCATCTTCGTGAGCAATACGAACAAGATTTAGAGAAGACCAAGGAAGAGGTGTTGGAGAGTACTTCAACTTTGAAAATGAAATACGAGAAACAAGTCTCGGAAATTCAAGTTCAACTGGAAGAATTGCATGAGCGTAATCAACAACATGAACTGAGAGAAGCGAGGTTGAAGGAAAACTTTGAATCTGAGAGAAAGAAAGTCGCAGTTCATTTGAAGGAAATTGACAGAAAAACTCAAACGATTCGAGCCTTGGAACAAAATAAGAAAGATCTGAGCGAATTGGAGGAGAAGTTTAATCAGTGTTTAAACGAGAAGGATATCTTAGAGAAAAAGATGGAAAAAATATCAGAATCTGAAAGTAAAGAATCCATAGAACTGACGCAAGATCTGGCAAGAAAGAATGAGATTATTGACGAGATGCAACGACGAATAGATGACCTTCATAAGATTGTTGAAGAATTACAGGACGTGAGGAATAGCAAAGAATACAAAGGCTTGGAAGAAACGATAAAAACAATCCTGCAAGAAAAAATAACGTTGGAACAGGCTTTAGAAAAAGAATTGCAAAAGAACGAGTTACTCACGGAAGAGAAGAGATTGGATGAAGTGGACAGAATTAACGATGATGGAGGGAATTATGACAACAATGAATTAGAAATCAAAGTTAGCCAACTGGAAATTGAGAAACAGTCCTTAACACAACAACTCGAAATCTCTGTGTCTGAAATCACTTCACTGCAAGAAAAGATGAAGGAGAACGAAATTATTGTTAACGATTTGAAGTCCAACTGCGATGCAAAGATCTTGCAAATTACTCGCAGCTTTGAAGAGGAAGTTAACGTGCTGGAAAACGAGCTAAAAATGAAGAAAAGTTGCGAAGAAGAGGCTGCGGAACTCAAGAAAGATGTTTCTAACCTCAACCATGAAATTGCTAAGCTTCATTCAGAAATAAAACAGCACAAGGTGACTATTTCAGAGCTAGAAGAAACATCACAAAGCCGTGAACTAGAAATCGCAAATTTGATAATGAATTCCCCATCTCCCAACAATTTAAACGACCAGGAATTTGATTTTAGTCAAAGCTCAGGTGATAAAACGCAACAACTCGAAATCGAATTGTCGAAATATAAAAAGAAAGTTGAAGAGTTGGAGGAAGAAGCGGAAGATAAGTTTGAAACAACATTGTGTTTAAACTGTCAAGATCGCGAGAAAAATGAAGATATTTTAATCCAAACAAAGGCCTTAATAGAGAAGATCAAGTCTGATTCTCAAAGGAAAGTTCAAAGTTTAATGAAAGATCTCGGCAATATGGAAAAAGCCTTTCAGGAACAGAGCCGGGAGAGTGAACATTTGAAGGAAAAATTGGGAAAGACCGAGGAAGATCTTCGGATGGAAAGAGAGAGGATTCTAGAAATTTCTAAATTAGGAAAGAACTTGGATGTTAATGAAAACCTGTTGGGATCTGATGGGATTACACAGGATGCAACAGACACAAAAGGTAATGTATGACCGTTGACGAAACTCATAATTGTCTCAACCACTTTAGTCTTAGGCTTAGTTAACTTCCATCGCTATTATCGCCACTCCTGTTTAAATAATGAAAGTAACCACAACAGAAAGATAACATTCATTAAAATCTTGATCGTGAAATGTTATCTTTGTCGTGATTACTTTCAATATTGAAACCAGAGTTGCGATAATTGCGATGGATTATATATTACCTGGTTGCCGTGAACTTATTAACTCTAACTTAATTAACTTGTTGGGCATCAAAGATATCTGGTTAAACGACGTTTATCTCGTGGTAATAATTACGATGAATATTATTTAGGAAAGTTAAGAGAAAATGACGAGGGCGAAGAAGTAACCTTACTCTCCTTACAATCTCAACCAAAGTTAGAAGATGATCCTTCCCAATTACCAAGTGGCAAAGATTTTGGAATTCTATTTGACGAACAAGAAACGTTTTATAAAACCGAGATTGCAAGGAAGGACGATGAAATATCCAAGTTGATTGCAGAAAATAAGAAAATATTGCATCAAGTCCAAAACCTGAAAGAAAAACTTAATGAAGGTAGGTCTTGATGCGAAGTTAGTTGAGGTTAGTGGATGTATTTTAGCTAGAGACAGATGAAAAATAATGAAGTGTCTGTCATTTTCATTTAAGGTGAAGCGCAATACGAACAAATACGGGAGCGAACTTTAGAACAGAAAACAAAATACGAGAACGAAATCAACTTGATGCAAAATGAAATAAAGATGCTGATTGAAGAAAACAACCGCCTCAAAAATATTCAGGAGACCGAAGATATCCAGGTTAAGTTAGAAGAAAGCGAGGATGCTTTGCAGATGAAACTCTCCGAAATTCAAAATCTTCAGGCAAAATTACTGGAAACTGATAATATTTTAACGGAGAAATCAAGTAAATTTGAGCAAGATATGAAAACCTTGAACGAAATTTTACAGGATAAAGAAAACAGCATTTCTGATTATCGAACTGCTGTTGATTTGCTGCAAAACTCGAGGAAACAATTGGAGTTAGATGTATCAAATCAAAAACAAGATTTCTCCGAGAAAGAGACGAAGCTTCTCCATGAAATTCGGGAAATAAAAGTTGGATTTGAGAGCGAGAAGACAAAAATCTTGGAGGACAATTTTCAGGAGAAAGAAGAAATGAGATTAAGGATTGAAAAACTTGAGGTGTTGCTTGATCAGCGTAACGTGGATGTATCTGAGGGTGACATGGACGAGTTTGAGGGGTATGAAGGAGTTGAGCAGGATAATTCACTTGAAGAGCCTATGGTTACCAGAGAGTATGAAGGGATAGGCAGGAACTATTTCCTTGAAGAGCATAAAATTGAGGATGATGTCTATGCATATCATGATGATGTGCCCAAGATGATGACGAGAAATGCTGTTGAAAACCTGGGAGACCCTAAAGGATATGAAGGAGTAAATGCGGATAGAAGCTCCGTTCAAAGTACCAGAAATAAAGTAGGACAATACGAGGAGATCCATTACTATCCATCAGATCATCTTGGACATCTAGAAGAAGAACAGTCCAAACAACCATATGATAAGGACTTGGAATACGAACAAGGATTGAAGACACTCTGGGAATTGAAACATGAAGTATTGAAGGAAGAATACGGAGGGATTGACGACAAGAGTGCGTCGCATGAGAGTTTGTTCTCAGACGACAAATATAAGGAGATTGGTAGCGAGGAAAGTCTGGAATTATTGAAATACGAACATGAAATAGATCTACTTCTTGAAAGGAAAGAAAATGAACGTTTACGAGATGAGATAAAAACTTTGACGAACTGCGTTGATATGTTTCATGATGAATGTGAATGTCTAAAAAGAAGTTTGGATAAAACTCTGCATATTGTGGAAATATTACGAGAAGAACGCGATGAATTGATGAAAGAGAGTGACTTGAATATGATCGAACATTCAGAACTTGTATTGGATCTTATTAAATACGAAGAAACCATCAGTAGACTGGAAAAAGGAAATGAAAAGCTGGAAGATGATAAAAAATTACTTGCAGAATGTTTGAAGCAAAAAGAAAGGATTGTGTCTCGAGGCGAGCTCCTGGAAAACGAAACTGGAATATCAAACAGCGCGAAAACTAAGCATTCAGTGAACGGAGACAAGAGTTTGGAAAGACACACTTTGTTTTCAGATAATCCTGAAGTGTTCCTCTCGGAGAAACGGGGCTCAGAAGTTGGTGATTTCCAGAGAAAGGATGCAAGGTTTCTAAGAGCGAGTGCTGGATATCAAAGAAATGATAACGAAGCTCCGAGAAGAGGAGATCATCGCTGGAAAAGAACCAACAAGTTGCTGGAAGATTCGGTGGAAAACGTTGAGTTGAAGAGTAGAAGACTTGTTGATTTGGAATTGGGAAATGAAGATTTGAGAAAATTATCATGGCCTCAGACTCTTGAGGAAGTACATTATACACAGCGACACGCCGAAGATGACTTCAATACGGAGTGGAAAGGCCAAATAAATGATGGACACAAAATTGGATTTGCTGGAGAACAGAAGATGCTTCATGCAGAACAAACAATGTCAAACTATGAAAGTCAAAATGAGTTTGGCCACAGAAAGCAACTCCACAAAGAATATTACACTGCATCACACCAACCAAAGAGCAAAGAGAATCGTGGCGTGTTAGGGTCCTCTGTATCTCACAGAAAGATGACACCGCTAGACACTAGCGCAAAACAGCTCTGCCTAAAAACTGCTAAGAACACAGGACGATCTTCCAAGACCAAGAATGTTTCAATTATGGTTCCAAGACGCGACGAATCTTCGTATGATTATCCTAAGCATTCTAGAAGTATCAAATTTGCGAAAACGTCAATCAGATCACCAAAACGGACAAAGAAACGCTACGAATATGGGACTACAGATCGTGAAAAATCTATAAAATCAAACTCCAGAATTTTCTCACCAAAAGTTGAAAACATTTCCAGAACTCCCGTATTGAATACTTCCACTTTCAATTCTTCAAAGTTTCTAAACAGCAGCATCCTGACAAGCACCAGAGAAAACCCAGCGACTCCCAGGCGGCTTGTTCCGAATCTTGCCGGACTTTCACCGATCGTATCCCCGCTAGACCGTCACCATCAGAGTGAGAAACTAAGATGGCAAATATCTGAAGAGACACAAAGAACGAGAGACGACAGAACGACGTTCTTACTCAATGAAGATCCAAGTGGTTTAATAACCAGGACACCAAAGAGAGAGGGTACCAAGAGTTCTAAAGCACACATCAGATCCTACTCGGCAGATGACCGTTTGTTGACGTCATCAAGGGAAATGACACGTGACCTGAATCTGGAGAAACCGCTGGTTGTAAATTTTGAAGATTTTGTGTTCCGTCATAGAGTTAAGTCCTCGGAAGATGTGGCTAGTATTCGTGATCCGTCACCTGCAGAACTGTGGTTTTCATAAATACTTTCAACCAACCATCATAGAAATGGAACAGTTTTAGAAGCGCAACTAAAGCCAAAACTTCGTAAAGTTTTCCTTTTTGCATAGATCGAGTATTTACATATATTTTTAACTTGTAATATGTTAGTCTGTTGTATTAAATCATTTCACTTTCTGATTTGTTTACGAAGAAATTTCTCTAATGTCTCAAGAGGTCTTTTGCCTCCAAACGAGGTGTTCACGTCTCAGAATTTGTAACTTTGGTTAGAATCACCAGTTACTGTAATGACTTGCAAGAGATTTCCGGGCACTCCGGGCCCCAATGTATTTTACTCCACCCTCTCATCGACCATGAATCAATTGATCCGTGCAATATATGCTAATGCATCGTCCCGTATTCAAACGGAGCTGGAGACTCCCCCCCTGCTGTCTCCATGGTGTTTTGCAAAGCAGCGTGGGACGAAGGTTTAGGCGTCGTGAAATGAACAACAAACAGAAAGTCAATTACTGATGTGTACGAAAATTAATCATCTTAACTGCTTTTATTTTACAACAGAAATAACGTCTGAAATTCACAGCTTTTTACGCGGATTGTTTGGATAATTATCAACCATTATCGACAGGCCAGCTTGCGAACGCCTTTTTTACGTGCAGAGAACCACGAATCATATCAAAATATTTTGAAATTTGAAGAGTTGACTTTAGCAAGTCGTTAATATTCGAGGCCAGATTTACTTTGTATCAAGGATAGTTCTGTCATCGAGAATTTGGATAAAGTACTTCAGGAATTAAAATATCAAGTGATATTCTCAAAGAATGGATGTTTAATGTTTATGAAAATCAAACTCTTCACATCCGGCCGCTTATCGCTTTAATAATTTCGGGATATTTTGAGTGTCTGAAATATTTGATCTTGTTCGCTGCCAAGGAAAGATATAATTTCGTGTAGCGATTATTAAATTCTATATCGAACTAGATAGAAATTGTATTAAAATGCGAGAAGAAGACGTAGAGACCGCAATTAAAGTTGTAGTTGTTGGCAATGGGGCCGTCGGCAAAAGCAGTATGATCCAGAGGTTCTGTAAAGGAATTTTCACAAAGGACTACAAAAAGACAATTGGAGTGGACTTTTTGGAAAGACAAGTAAGGTAATTGCATTCAATTTAATATTCTCCATATCCTTTGTCCAATCAGCTAGGTACTTAAATAAAACCACTTCACCTTCACAGTGTTTTATTAAATTGTAGCGATTTCCTGCGAAAAATGTTAATTAAATTTCCAATATTGAATCGTTTAGAATATTCTATCATGTTCTAAACGTTTTTAGAATTGAAAAAATCTTGCAATTTTGTAAAAATTACTCCCTTTATGAAGCACATGAGCTGCAAAAAAGCAGTGTGTAAAGAAACTATTAAATTCCGCATGAATGCCTTAACTAAACCTTTGTTGACTATTTCATAAAGTTCATGTACTATGTGTTTAAACGTTGAAAATACCAAGCTTAGCGAATGATTTATAGTTTAGCCAACTAAACGTAAATTCAGTTGGAAATTTGGACCACAGTATTCAGTATTTTCGTACACAAAATTCATGCAGTAAATTGTGAGTTTGAATGTTGCTTAAATTACCCCATGCGATGAACAAACAAAGATCACATATTTTAAGTGCTCTTCTTTTCATTCAGTTTTGTTATCATAAAAAATATGTAATTACCCTATTGCAATATGACATTCTTTGTAATGCACAGTTGCCAAATTAGGGGTACAATCAAGTTAGCCATTTCTGTTTACTTAATTGATCATTCTCATTGCCAAAGAATTCCTTTTGTGTAATGGTAAAAATTATGGACATAGTGGTTGAGAGGGGACATGGTTGTGCAGTATTAATCATAATAGGTGGGTTAATATCTGTTCTATTTTTAGTATTGATTCAGAGGATGTTAGGTTGATGTTGTGGGATACAGCTGGACAAGAAGAGTTTGATGCTATAACTAAAGCTTATTATAGAGGTTTGTTTTTTATTTTACTTCAATAATTGATTCCAATTACCTACAACTAGGTTATTTAAAGCTGAGTGTTGCTATTTAAAAGCTTGTTTGGAAGTCTAAGTTAACCCTGTTAACCAAATTTTCCAGGTGCCCAGGCCTGCGTGATGTGTTTCTCCACCATTGACAGGGACTCGTATGAGGCAATAGAACAATGGATGGCTAAGGTCTGTGCAAATTCCTAATTATCACTAGCTACCCGTAAACTGGCTGTAAACTGCTAAGCTAGGGAAACCGTCTACGCTCTATGATGTAGTTTTGCATGAAATAAGACTGCTTCTTATTGAAGTTGATAATTATTTCTCATATTAATATTGTAGGTATCTGAGGAATGTGGCTCAATACCATGTGTTCTTGTACAAAATAAGATTGATCTCATTGATGAAGCTGTGATTCGACCGTAAGTCTGATGTCTAATCATGAAATGACAACATCTATTTGGGATAACTCATCATTATGACCTTTCTTATTCTGCAGAGATGAGGCAGAAACATTAGCTAAGAAACTAAAAGTAAAGTTTTACAGGACATCTGTGAAAGAAGATTTAAATGTCACTGAAGGTAGGCAGCGTAACCAGGAATCTTTGATGGCTTTTATCTGTTGTGATGAAAAAATATTTTGCAAAAATATATACCGTCAAGCTTCAAATGATTTATTCTGGTTTGTTTTATTCAGTTTTCCAGTATCTTGCACGGAGATATTTGGAGAATTTACAAAATGCTAATGTCAATGATGAACAGAATACAAAGAAAAATCTAGGTTGGAATAATTTGTTATTCTTTGTGCATCTTGCAGTACTTTCTTAGATAGAGATAATCAAATGTAATTTTATAATTGAGGACAATTAATTGCCTTTAGATATGTTTCAAGGCCAATCTGCCCAAAGCAAATCAAGCAATGGCAAAAGTAAAAAAGATCAACAAGACACAAGTGCCATCATAACTTTACGACCAAACAAACAGCGAACACAAGGAAAGAAAAATAAATTTTGTCTTCTGGTGTGAAGAATATTCATAATTGGGAAGAATAACTAAATTCTGGAACAGGTATAATTTAAATAATTTAGTAATATATATATAGATATATAGTGATTAAGTTAGAATCTGTGGCAAATACTTCATGTTGTCACATGTCTTTGCCATTTAGTTATTTCACATGGAAAAATACAAGTCAATGACTTTTGTTTGAGAGATTGTTTGAGAGATCAAGTAAATTAAATTGTAGCAAAATGATAACCACCAATATTGACCACCATTTCATTAAGGTAAAAATCCCGCAACCATTGTACATTTGTGATCAATTCAAAATGCAGATATTGTCTTCCTGGTCAAAGTCTCTTAATATATTTAAGATAAATAGTTAAGATAAATATACTGCTTAAATTACATAAGAAGATGATTTATAATTAGTTCACATGACTGCATGTAGTGCATGGTGATTTTAGAGTTCTGTCTCAAAATGACTGCACTGTTGCTTCACATTGACCAGATTTGTGAACTTTTTGGATAGATGAGATTTTCACATTTTTGTGTTCAAACCATTTGTCTTTCAAACCATTCACGGTCCCACTTTTCCTTCCTTTCAACTTTCGTATTAAATTATTCCGCTAAATCACTTATGCTGAATACTGATTACGTTAGTAGCTCAACCATGACATGATACGAATCTGAAACAGAGTTTTTCATAGATTTAACTTTCCTTTTGAAATGTTGCGGTGAATATTTGATGTTCGTTTTCATTCTTTGCCAGAAGGTTCGTGATGGAACGTAATGCACCTCAATATCATCACAAAATCTCACCTAAAATTAGATTGAAAATAATTTCCGTATTATATCAGTTAGAAATGCAAGTTTCATTTACGGGGACTAATGGCAGATGTTGAATCGTTACAATGAACGCTTTCGTACTAGTTTTGGCAGAAAAGTCTTTTGTTTTTGTCAAGGGCAGTGGTCGGAGGTGGGTGTAGGGATGTTGGGCAATATCGTCTTGTCTGTATTGTGGCATTGTCTGCTTTCAAAAGTTATACTAAAAGTCAGTTCACGTGATCGGGTCGTGAAATGTTTTGTCAACTAAATTCTTGGCATCCAACATTGAAAGCGATAATCTCGCGGGGCAAAATGGTGTGAAAATATCTTAGCGACACCCTGTTTTGTCGTTTTCTTAATCCCCCTGTTGGCAGACGAGGCATGATGCGGTGGGGACCAGGGACGGGGTAAAAAGTGTCTTGCAACTTGCAATTGTGGCCAAGGTGAGCTTGTGACCAACATGACGACATAAACCACATTCATGCATTAAGAAAATATAGATGTTTTTGTTCAAGGAGTGATGTATAAACGAAAATAGATCTTTGTAAATTGTAGTGAATATGACAAAGTGACTTGACGTTGTAAAAAGCACACCATGCAGATGGCTTGTTGAAGACTGGAGTGAATAAATTTGCATTTATATGTCACGAGAAAGTTATTACGAGATAGATGAAAGTGCAGGTGTTTATTTCCTGCTTTTTTTCATCGGCAACGAAGTGACACTGAGTATAATAAACTTTACTTTTTATCATCAAGGCCTGAATGGCCTTCGTATGGTCTTCATATTATTTACCTTAGAAAGTGCTGTGGGGATTTTATCGTCTAAGACTAAGTCTAGGTGATCCTTTAGTTTAAATCCCGGTCTCATGTTTTTCTCTTCGCCGAATTAATATCATAATTATACTGAGTTTGTCTTAAACTGGAATAAATGGCTCATAAAATTTATTTTTTCTTTTGATCTTGACCTCGTTCAATATCGTGTTTGACGTGACCGAAGAAAAATATTTGTCAGGATGCCGCCGTGTCTTTCCCTCAGGTCATGATCTTAATAACGAGGTTGCGAAACAAGGGATGAATTACGTTTGTGTTACTTGTCTCGAACAGGGTATAAAATATCGGGGATTTTTATTTCAGTATTGCCATTTATACGAGAGTGTTCATAGCGCATATCTTGTTTCTCATAGTACATACACAAGTCATCACTTGCGCCAAGGTTGCGCCTGGATAATTCAATGTGAAATGGTGAAATATTGTTATGTAGCTTGTGTTTGGTATATATCATACAAATTATTGACTATTTATTATAACATTGCAAGCACAAAATAGGTAATAGCGAGTAGTAATACACACGATATGAATCTTACCTCTTTCAAATGTGTGTCGTTGCAAATTTTGCTTGTGTTTGGTTCCTCGTTCTGTGACTGCCCCGCCATACTGCACATTCAGCCGAAAATTGTCGTGCACAATTTATTGTCTAATGTGATCTCCAGATAGCCAAGAATGTTTCCAAAGAGTCTCCTCTCTTTAAAACATCAAATGATGTATTTTATTTAACATTTGGCAATCGCGTTGAAGGTAATATTGACAGTGTATATATATAATACCTCTGGTTGTGCTCAGCTCTTTCATGTACGCCTAATCTCTCGTATCGTATTTCGTCTGACAAGACAGGTTCTTAAAAATAAAAGTTAAAAATAGTCGAATCGAAAATTCAAGTAAAATGAAAATTTATGACTCACATTTCCTGATGAGCTTATTTCACCACAAACGCTATATCAAAATGATAAAATACCTTGCAATATTCCCTTTGATATATATTTGTATCTTTGAATATTATTTCCTTATTCAGACTGTGACATATTTCTGATTTGCATAATATTCGAAACTTTAAGTAGGATCTCTCTTAATCCATCCGCTATCGTGGGTAACTAGCACTCACATCTTCTGAGACGTAATATTACCATTAAACCATTCCCATATTTTTCAGCAATGCATTTGGAGTAACGAAAACATTTCCTATTTAGCATTCCTTTTGAACCTTTGAATGCTGTTTTTCATGTAACATAGCTCAGTAAAACCATGAATGGAAGTTTTATATTACTGCTCGTATGTGTAAATAGGCTGTTTGTTCTACCATTTTTTAAATTTTGTTATTACGTCCTCTTCTAAATTTTGAAAGAAAAACTCACACTTTCTCACACTGAAAAAGAGATTTTCAAGGCGAAAAGTCGAATATTTTCTTGAAAGAATTTTGACCAGAAAGCCCAGAACTACCAAAGCTTGTCCGTGCATGTTTAAGTTAATTATGATATCTGATAGCATGAAATATCAACTAAATTACTGCGGATTTATGTTAAAATATTACCCTGTTTCTTAGTAATAAACCAGTATTGTGTCGTTTGACAGAGTAAGCAAGTATCTATAGACTATATATATACCATGTCAAACATGACCCTTTCAGCGATAACTATCTAACAAGGTTTATTTGGTAAAAAATATTTTTATTTCATCTCCTAGCGCAAAAAATCCAACTTTTTACACCAACCTCCTTAGGATGTACCCTTGTGGTAATGACTGATCTTCTTAATTCTTCTGTAGTTAAGTAATCACGGTTGGTAATATCTGTTGTTGTAACAAATCAAGCAGTTATTGATGTATATGTTGTTATAGTATAAGATGACCCCGTCATGCTATAAATTGACAAGCCGGAACTTACGATATGTTTAGGTGACATATTTCCGTGTTATCATCGGAAACAATACGTCACAAGCAACATTTTTCGCAGCAATTACCTCTGGGTGAATCCATCCCTGAACAAACGCTGGGGTTGGTATATTAATTAATGGAATAAGACCTTTCTATAGTCATCTAAATCGCCCGATCACCTCTGTCGAAATATAAGATGGGTCCAAATGTTCATCATGTGAACGACAGACCTGTGACCAGACGAATTCAAGCACGTCTCTTCAATCCGTCTGGTTCCGTGTGAACATAACCTTAGTTGCTTTTAAAAATACAGACTTTGCAATGAGTTGTACCTGATTAGAGGACTGTACCTGATTGACAGGTGACAGGTGCGTTCCAGGTAGGTTCCATGTATGAACTGGTTCACCGAGCAAGGCTTCTCGTCTTCTCCTTCAAAAAAGAAAAGAAAAGTATACTTATGCTTATCCTAGTTAAAATCGATGGTTAAAAACATTGGTATAAATGTGTAATGCGTGACAGAGCCTTGTAACTTCAAAGTCTTTGATGTCAGGCTCACAAGCTCAGGCATAACACGCAATTATCGTTACAAGCTGGCTGTGGTTCTTGTTCTGAGCCAATTTCTATTGAAATTCGCTGTAAATTCAGTATCTTTCTCAGGAAAGATTACTTCAATGAAACTAATGGTAATTGTTACCATTCATTGACGTGATTGTTACATTTTGAAACAGCGATGTAAATTTGCGGTCCAGTGGTTGTCCGCCAAAATGATGCGTCAAAGGCTCTGTGCGCATATGTTCGTTCTCTTTAGGTTGTTTTGGAGACTTGGATAAGTAAGAATAAAAATTGCTTCTTTAAAACTCTCTTTTTTGAGCTATGAATCGAATAAATAGCCCTTAATTGTGTCTAAGATGATAAATTATAGTCTAAAATTTATGATTACTTAGAGATTGCAGCCTGATGTATTTTTTATGAAGTATTTTTGCGACGTAAATGTTTACTATATTTGAAGGTCAGCAACCAACATGGCTACATCGAAAATCATAAAGCCAAATAATGGAGCCCCTGATGAACTTGAAAAAGAAATGGCTGGGGTGAGACACGATAATAGTTCAATTACGATGTTATTTGAGCAGTGTTAACTAACAAAATTCGTGAAAAGGAACAAAACTTTCAGTTATTGTTGAGAAAATAATTCAAAATATAAACATTAAATAGGAATGAATATGGCTTTTTATTTCATATAATATTTTCAATTTTTGGCAATTTTATATTCGTCTTGACGTAAAATCCAGTATAGTCTTTCATACTCAGAACTGACTTGAAAAAGTCAGAGTGCACATGATAATGATAGGAAAAATATAGTCGAACTGGATGTTAATCTTTTTATTGGCAATTGTGAATTGATATTTCTCAACTTAGAGAGTCCGAATTCACAGAGAGTATTGTAATATTGCATGAGGATAACCAGTTTGATTATTTTAGTAACTGGTAAGAAAGCACACCTTCAGGCATACAAGATTTGTAGGGTTGTTATAGATACACATGTTGGCTGACTTGGCTCAATTTATCCTAGATATGCCAAATGTCCATACCTTTCTTATAATTGATTGTTTCTTGCAGGCTATTGCAGAATTGGAGGCAGGCAGCGATCTGAAACAACAGCTCAGAGAATTGTATATCTGTGGTGCTAAGGTTTGTGTGTGTTTGTGAATTATGAGCAATATACACTTAATATCTCATCTTCTACTGAAATTTATATTCCTAGGAAATAGACGTTGCTGGAAAGAAAGTTGTCATCATCTTTATTCCTGTTCCACAACTTAAATCCTTTCAGAAGATCCAGGTATATAAATCTTATTGTATCTTAACCAAGACAATGGTTTATGATGAAAATGTTGTCGCCCCAGTCTGAAAAAATGTGACTGATCGACAGACTTCTGATGCTACTTAATGTTGTTCTTAACATTCCCAAGTGTGTAGAAAGTATTGAAACTTTCATTCCTTCATAGGCACGGCTTGTACGAGAGATGGAAAAGAAATTCAGTGGGAAGCATATTGTGGCTGTTGCACAGGTATTCTTGAGTTACTTCAGATGTTGTTCTTAATTCAGAAATGAGTCAATGTGCCATTAAAGTTTTATTTCATTTAATGTTATGGTGTTACCTTTCAGAGGAGAATTCTTCCTAAGCCCACAAGAAAAACTAGAAATCAAAAACAGATGAGACCTCGAAGGTACGCTTCATTTAAACTCTCTTGTTCTATAACGATTCTGTATAATGAATTTCATGATTTTTATGTTTCAGCCGGACATTGACGTCAGTTCATGATGCAATTTTGGAAGACTTGTGTTTTCCAAGTGAGATTGTAGGCAAGAGAATTCATGTTAAACTGGATGGATCTAGAACTATCAAAGCGTAAGAAAGTTAATTTATTTTGAAAGTGTTTGTAAAGTATTTTAATGTTTGGGTCTAAGATTGTTCTATGATGATAGTATTGTCGCCCCAGTCTGATATTTCATGACTGATTGACATCAATTTCTGAGAAAAATTGTTGTTTTTGACTTTTCTTTATATAAGATGAGTGAAATGCAGTTGATATTCATTTTGTTAATTTTCCAGTTTCTTAGATAAAAGCCAACAGACAAATGTTGAGCACAAGGTATGAGAATTTCTTTTTAATTTTCTTTTCACAATTGATTAGGATAGAAATCTTGAATATGTCAGCCTAGGATTATTGTCTGTATATTGACAATGATAGCAATGCTTAAAAAAGTTTGGTCATACAATAGTCCTAAGTTTGGCTGGTTTGTTATGTTATTCCCTCGCCAACAAAACATTTTGTACAAAGTGATATCAGACAATGAGGTTGTGAACTAAAGAAATGCTCTGACAGATATTGTTCATGAATTATTGTGTTCTAAAAAGCTACAAATGACAACACAACCTTCTATTATTTCCTTTCACCCCATTTCAATAATGAATTATGTAAGTAAGAATCTTCTGCATATTAATGTCATCCTTATCTTTCCTTCAGCTTGAAACATTTACTGGTGTTTACAAAAAACTAACTGGAAAGGATGTTGTTTTTGAGTTTCCTGCTTATGACTGAATATGAATAAATACGAGAAAATTTAACTGTTGTTTTGTGTTGTTATTTGCCAAGCTTTCTTCAGTTTATCAGGCTCTGTCAATATCTAGTCTTGACTAGTTGTGTTCTTTATTATAACTGACTCCTTTTTTGCCATTGAAGCCTGATTTTAATCATTGCTCCTATGAAAGCTCAGGTGAAATTTACATACATTACTTACATGCATTTCTATAGCACAATTAAGTCTTTTTGTCAATGTTGAATATTCCTACTTAAGTTTTTTTTTGCAAACTGCTCAGGGGAGATTTTTGCATTTACTAATCATTGTGATAAATATTCTCTGGCTGACCTGGAGATTATTCACATTCATTAAACATTGTTCGTTCCAGTTAAATATGTTCTATATGGTTATTGTAAACTGACATAATTTGTTTTTTGCGAATATTAGCTCTTGTTTTCATTAATTATTATCATTGTCAGACAGAGTCTTTCCAGACAGAAAAATGTTTCTTGAGTATTAAACAATGGAGCATCATACGATAAGTTACGAATTGAAAACTAGGACTGGACATTTTCTTTATATTCGCCAGCAAAATATTGAGTCCATCGTAATCACGAAACTTTTTATTTTCCGGTCATTTACCTAAACGTGCTCTATGTCGTATATCAATTTAATTATTCATCATACACATGTCTAAAAATTCTTCAAATGATAAAAACTGTTTTCCGCTGGAAGTGGTTCATTAGGAAACATCATAGGCGTACGGGCATATTTTTTTTAGGGGGGCTGCGCTCAATTTGCCCGAATGACATGACGTCATAGATTTTGTGACGTCATCATAAAATTATATAATCTGAGAAGACTACAAATGAAAGGATTTCCTTTGAAGATTGACAGACGTAATATAAAAAGAAATATCATCCCTAGCCATTTAAATTCTAAACTAAATATATTCATTACGATTTACAACGAAAGAAAAAGTGACTAACATAATAACATTTTATTTGATATATGAAATTCCGTCATGTTTTGCACTAGACATGCAAGGAATTTAGTTTTGTAAAACTATAATCTAGACTAGAAGAAATATGATTTACGATTACGTCGCTGTCCAAAAATGTCAATTATCTTTTCCATATCGTTCTTTAAAGTACTATTTGCATAAGCTCTCTCAATATTGATAAGGGCAATGCTGTTTTTTTTTGCCCCATTGTACTTCGAAGATAGGTTTTCAAGCGGCGAAGAGCGCTAAAAGATCTCTCAGCAGAGCAGGATGTTGCAGGGATCGTGGCCAGAATCGAAAATACTTTGTAAGCAACAGGAAGAACTTCATGAACACCATTTTCAAACATTTTCCTCACAATTTCAGCGGCGTTTTTTCTTTCAGGATCAGGGTTATCAGCATCAATATTCTCATAGACGTTTTTCTCACTGCCAAGAAGCTCACTGTCGATACTATAGAAGTCTGATACCAACTCAATATTCTTCATGGTCGGAGAGCTGCTGAAGACTATGTCTGCAAGTGCCAATAGCACCTCTTGATCATTACCTTCAAATCTATATTTCATCTCCGCGACAATCCTGTCAATGCTTAGGTAGTAACATGTGATACGATAGTGGTCTTCCACTGTTCGGTACTCCACTTCTGCATTCACTTCAGGCATTTCGCCGACAAGTGTCTGCAGCCGGCGTGATGGCTGTTTGAGTCTTGGTACCTTTGCATCTTTGAAATTGAAATCAGTACCCTCAATTTGTTCCTTGATTTTGTCTGCCATGATTTCAGCGCGCGACCACAAGAGATCAAAATTTTCCTGGGTACGACATTCACTTAGTGTTTTGATCACGCCATCAACACTCTTCTTTGCCGTTACGACATCCATCTGCTTTCCTTGTAGGTATCTGCTCAAACCATCGGTGTTGGACAAAACAACCTTTAATACCATCAAACCAAAAACGAATCGAAAGTCACAAATCGAGTTAAGTAGGGAATTGCTGTCATTGTACGTCTTCGGATCACGATCTTTTGAGAGTGAGAGAAGAGCCTCGATGATCTTAGGCATTTGGTTTACCACTGCCTTTACAGCTGCCCAGCGACAAGACCATCTAGTAGCGCTCTGCGATTTAATTGTCAGTTTAAAATCTTCGCCCTCATCTTCGACTTCGATATCCTTGAAGATAGCGTGGCGTTTGGGACTTCCTTCCAAAAAATTATGGAGACTCTGGATCACGCCTAAAGCTTTCTGAAGTGGCTCAATTGTGGTCATAGTATCTTGTAGCGCCAAGTTAAGCCGATGTCCATGGCAATGAACGTAGATACTAAGAGGTGAACACTCCTTCATACGTGCGGCAAGCCCTTTACGAGCGCCACTCATATTTGCAGCGCCATCAAAGCATTCTGCAACTATGTCTTCTAACTTCAACTCCAGCTTGCTAATGGCTGTCTTCACTAGCTCATATAATACTTCCCCTTCCGTGGATTTAGTTGAATAGAAACCAATAAATGTCTCTTTAGTTTCGCCATTGAAAACATATCTAAGGAAAATGGATACTTGCTCTGTTCGACTGATATCTGCTGTTTCGTCTACAACTATTCCGTAATAGTCGCTACTTCTCGCTTCAGCTGCTATCCTCTCAAGCATGACGTTTGCTACTATTTCTAGTAGTTCATTTTGAACAACAGGCGATGTCCACTGAGCATGTAACTGGAGCTGGCTTTGCAGTTTAGACCTCAGCCAAGGCAAATCGTTGCATCTTATGCAAAGTAACTCGAGAAAGTTCCCTCGATTTATGTCAGATACCTCCCATATATCATTCCGGGTCTCTTCATGACCTCTAATCGCAACATTCTGTTGCGCAGTATACATCAAGGATTGTATGATTACTTTTAAGTATTGTCTGTTACTGGCAACCTGGTCCTTGTGTGCAGTACTCAGCTGCTGTAGGACGGAAGTTTTGTTTCTCTGCATTGCTTTGAACTGAAGCCATCTTGCCATGGACCTGACATGGTTCTCGCTCTTGCCGTGTTTTGCTAGCTTTGCTGACTTCTTCCAATTCTTAAACACAAATGAAGTATCTTTCCCAAATTCCACGCAGGCAAAACACACGCATGCATCCTTATCCACTTCATAACTTATCCACGGATACTTCTTGTACCATTCAGATTGAAATCTTCGCACAAATGTTTTCATTGCCGAATTTTCTTGCAGGATACTCCGCTAATATAGGCTGTTTTGGGGCGTGAAGGGACGAAATCTGTTCTGTATTTTCACTGGGAATGGAAACCTTTTCAGGCTGTTCGTCTAGAATATGTGCTGGTGAACTAAGATCATCCATTGGTGTAGCTGCTAGAATACTAGACATCGTCATTGATTCTGGTGTAACATTTTCGTTATCTGTCACTGTATTCTGTTCACTATTTTCTCTGAGCTGTGACAATGCATTTAATTCAACATCATCAATGAACGCCGTTATTGGTTCTTTGCTCACGAGTTCCTTCACATTTTTGTCCGGCAGATCTTCATCAAAAGACACTGTGGCTGCAAAGTCTTTACTACCACTCGATTCAGTTCCAGGTTGGGTTATGTCATACTGCAGGTCATCGTCCTTGGTTGTCATGTTACTTTTTAAAGAAAATTACTGATTTTCGACTGGGATGAGTCTGATGATTCCATTACTGGATGGCATTTTACTTTTTTACCATTATGAACCAATCGAGAATGCACCTCTTGATAATCACTATCGATTTCCTTATTGCATTCCTCGCACCGAACACGGTGTCGGTACGCCTTTTACGAGATGCCATACGCTTTATTGAGCTTGGTTATTGAGTTTTGTAATATTCCAGGCGATTATTTATATAGCGACGAAGCGGTCAAAAAAGATAAAGGCCTGAGGAAAGACTAGTGTAAGTTTACTTCACATGCACACACATGTGGTTTAGATCCAACTCTATTATTCAATATTTCGCATTTGGTATTTATGCTCTCGTTCCATAGGGCGTGTACGCTTCCTTTATTATCTAGAATGCTATATTTATTATCAACTGCTATATTTATATATTAATCTCGGACGCACTTGCAATGGTGCATCCGCGGCAGCTTACTTTTCCTTATTCTATTAGTATTAGCCTATATTTACATTTAATCCATTATCCGATATCCGTTACACTAGTCTAAACCGTGTGGTATAAAATTACTTATCCGATTGTGATCAAAACCAAATCCGGTTAATTTATAGCACTTAACCTTTAATAAAGGTTAATTTGACGCACATGCTTGAACCAGTTATGCGATCTATGCTAATATACACAACAGTTTCAGTTTAGCGTTATTGGGTGAATAGATTCCCCGTGTAATCACCAGACCGTCGTAACGTCTTTGCCCGAATGACAAGACTCTTTTTGCCCGAATAGATTAATTCCCCAAAAATTGGGGGGCTGCAGCCCCCCAGCCCCACCCCCCCGTACGCCTATGGGAAACATAGATTAGAGTAATTGTCAATAATTATCAAACTCGTCCCCATTAATATACCAGATGAAATATAATTAGATATCAATTACTAAGTATTGAGTAATAAGAAATGAATTTTAAATAATAAAATACGATGAAGATGAACAAAGAATATACGTTTATTGTTCAGAACTAATTTATTTTTATCACACATTTTCCATAATCTTCGTAACAGCGTGGCTTCGGTGTTACCCGTTGCTAAGACTGTTGTTATCCTGGTAACCAGAAATAATCTTTAATAATTGAAAACTTTATAATTAAGGAAAGGAAAACTAAGTTTAAATGCCATCTTCAATTTAAATAATTAATATAAATGTCTTGTATGACTATTTTAAAAAACAATTTCCAAATTTCAGTTCGAAGAAACTGTACTTTATAGCCAGTACATATAACGTGATATCTTCTTGCTAAATTATGTAATAATTCGTGTCTGCACCTAAGTTCTTGGTACCTGCTAGTCATTGAGTGTAGATCATTTAAATATTAATATGTGGGTAATGACAAGTCAAGCTGTGGCAATAAACATTTGATGAGTATATATATCCGAGCAATATATTTTAATTGTTATTCATCACTGGATTATTCTTGCTCACGTATTCTTTAAATGCAGTTTACTTTGAGTTAGGTTTCATAATTTTGTTGGAATTGACAGAGCTTTATTTAGGTAAGTTTCATATTTCTTATATTTAGTATTTTTAAATGCTGTTTGTAATATTTCATGCAAAGTTTATTATGTAAGGAAGACAATAATTACACATTGTATATATACACAATTCTGAAATTATATTTCATTTAAAATTTCACAAAGTCCTTTACCAAAGGTGAATAGAATATCTTTATTTGTAATTAGAAGTTTGACTGTCTAACAATGAGCATATTTTAAATTAGATTCTTTCTATAGCATATATACCGGCGTTGTGTTTTCCAACTGTAAAGAAGATGGAATTTGTGTGAGTTTCATTTTAAATTTATTGTTAGTAGAATTTTAGTCTTTTACATCGTCAGTGCCTGACAAATATACGGAATTTTCTCTCTGATCCGCCACTCCTGCACATGACAATAAGTTACAGTGTGTTGTTTGTGTTGAGAGTCTTTTGAACCAATCATTTCTCTTTCAACCTCTTTTCAAACGTATGCCGCGTTAGTCAAATAATGTTTAAAATCATCTAAACATCAAATATTATATACACAATGCTTACTGGCGTCTGTAGTTGTATATATATTTATTACCTAAATGGGTTAGAAAAATTCCACTAACGGTTGATTCTGCTGTTATCATTTTCAGTTGAACGGAATCTATGGATAAGGTAAGACGTGTTTTACCGTAAATAAGTAAAAAAGGTTACTTCAATTTATCTGTGTTTTGTGTTGAATGATAAGTGTATATAGTGGTCTTCATTCAAAATTGAATAGGGCGTTAAAAATTGTATTAAAAAATAACTGCGATGAGCAAGGTTTCGTCTTCATGCAAGGCTGCGCCCCACTGGAAGAGATCTGCTTCTTTAATGATCTTCGGTCAAATTACAATACAAAAATGTTGTCTGGTATCTCTCTAAAGACCGGCACTACCGTAGAATATCATTGCTCAAACACTAAGAACTCAGATTTCAAAGTTTCTTCAATGTAGCTGTAGATATGTATAGCAAAAAGCTTATTTTTATAAAGTTCCTTTGGTCGAAACGTCGAGAAGTGTGTTTTCTATTTTAGGCAGTTATTTTACCGCATTTGATGTGAAGTTGTACGATGTTATAATGTTTTGCGGTTAAAAAACCCGATAAACTGCAAAAATATTTTACTAAACGATTTTATGTTTTGAAAAATAACCATAGAGCAACGAGGCTTCTTCTCACTTCAAATGCGGTTTCGAAACTGCTTAAAAAATACTGAAATGTTTTCCGTCGAGCAAAGACCGTCTACATCATGCATATCAACACTCCAGACAAAGGCACTTAGGTCAAAGTGTGGCAGAGTATTTTTTGTCTATTTTAGGCAGTTTTAAAACACGTTCAATAAGTAGTTAAGTGAGTGTAGGAGTGAATTTTTGAAGTATAATCTTTGACTCTAACCGAGCTCTACGGAGTTTGCTTGTATTAATTGTTAGAAGGACGTCTTAGTGGTATTGATATTTTTTGTTTTTCGAAATATTGGAAGATTCGCTGTTTTCCACCCAATGTTTTATGTTTGGGAATGATTTCTTCCCTACAATTTCTAAGAAAATTTTATATCGACAATTATTTTGGGTTTTATCATCGCAGGAAGCAGTCTAGCATGTTTATTGTCCGTCGCTTCTGACAACTGATCATAATCATGAAGCAGCTGATTTAACTTCATTTGTTGTCATTTATTGGTTTTGTCGATGGTCTAGGCAAATGAGCAGACACCATGGCGTGACATGCTTAGTGGGACTTTGTACATAGTTCGTAAAGGAGGGCGTGGGTTATGCGGGGATGACAGATGATAACAGAGAATGACAGTTGTTAGAATGAGTTTTGTCAACCCGTTATCAATCTTGCTTCGTTGCTTTTTTAGGCTTGAAAATGTTCAAACGCAGCTTTTCTTTGGATAAAAAGTTGCTCGAGAAAAAATCTCACCCAGATCCAGGCAAACCGTCCACAAATGCAAGCAAATCTCATCCAGATCCAGGCAAAACTCCCACAAATGCAGGCAAAACAAACTCAGATCCAGGCAATCCACCCACAAATGCAGGCAAAACAAACTCAGATCCAAGCAAACCTGCAAGTACTGGCCGGCGCCACCCGGATGCAGGCGAAACTACTATGGATCCATTTCAACGATCCCAAACTGCAGGGAAAATTTCCCGGGAAGGTGGTAAACCTCCTGTAGACGCAGCTCACGAGGACGTGGAGGAAATTCATCTTGAAAATGAGATACGAGATGAAAAACCAAAGATGGGGAAATCTTTGTCAATGTCGACAACATCCAGTGAGAAGGAACTTGACGATGATGCGGCGAACTCTTCCGAATTAGAACGAAGTGGACGACGGAAGGTAAGCGTGGGGATATTCAGGGGTACCAAAAGGTCATTGTAGGATATTATGTCGGGCCATGATCCTAAATATTTAGAATACATTTTCAAAAGCAGACCTGAAGTGAAACGTTTGAAATGAGAGTTATAACGAGTCATCATGAAATATATTAGTTTAGGTTTTAAATGAGAGAAATGAATTTAATCAGGTTTTGTGAACACACGTGATCAAGTTAATTTTGATGATTAATTAAACATCATGAACCTTAACGAACTAAGATTACAAATTAATTTATGTCATTATCATCGAGTTTTCATGCTGGGCTAATGTTGTCGTAGCAGAAATTATTCATTCACATTTTCGGAAACCTCCTAATTGAGGAAAGTAGTTGAAATTTATATCATGTATGGAATGTAGCAACGAACCACAGGCATTATTGATGTTACCACATGATCCTATATCAGCTGAATTTCGTGACATTATTGCTCCAGAGAGTCTGTTTTGACCATCTTTAGAATATCTGCAACCATTTTTTCACCGTTCCTTATGATAGAAAGATTTTATTTGCTAAGATTTCTGATGATTCGCGATTTTTATTCTTATCATTTCGCACAAGTATTTTTGACTGACGATTTTCTTGAATGTTATAAAAGTATTATATTTTTCCAAAATTACGCAAGAATATAGCAAAACAAACAACAAAATGTAATTAAACAGCTTTCATTTTTTGTTTTTTCAAATAAACTTTTTATTGACTCAGGAAGGGACTGTGTCCACATGTAACGCATTTGATGACATTACGAGAAAATATATTTGAAATATGAAGAACGTAGGCCTACGACCTTCGCAATATGTCCCCTGTAACAGTTATGGCATGAGGGGTTTTAGTTATTGACCAGTTGGACACCGATTCATGATATCATGTGGGGTATAACCTGATATGACACCTCATTAAGTATTTCACCACGGTAGCTACATGATGAACTCACGTCAAATTGATTACGAATACAACTGTTCATTTTAATAAAATGTCAAACAATAAAATGAGACGAACGGCGGCTGCAGAACGAAAGGGCAAATCAAATAATCATGCTCAGAGCGAAAAGAAATACTTAAAATTGTTAGAAGCAAGACGCGAGCAACTTCGTTCATCCTCAATGCCTTCAGTTGATTCGTCGCCTCAAGTGAAGGAGGCAGAGACATCTCGACCTCGCAGCGCTGAAAATAACACTAATACTGAGAAAGTTAAATTCAAAACATTGTTACATTGCATGCTGGCTGGGGAATGGATGACTGCTCTCGGAAGAATGTCTAATCTACAAGAAAACTCCTCTGAGCTGAGCCAGGCTAATGTAAATATTTCATTGCTTCAGCTCTTCTTAAACAAAATTGGATTGGGTTTCAAGTGAAGCGGGTTGGCGTAGAGCTATACTGTAACTTCAACGATTTCATTACAGTAATTTCTTCCTTAAGTGTGAGGAACAGTTCTGTCAGTTCTTAGCGGTCCAGCAAGGATTCTTATTACTACAGAAGGAACCCCAAACTAAGCTAACTACGTTCCTTGAGGAATCATCATTCCATTTTCTATCGTGCCATTGCAGGTTTTGGAAATATAGAGAATGCAGTATATATAATAATTCTTCTTTCTATAAGCGATAAACATTTTTTCTTTAGGCAAATGGTTCAACTCCAATCATGGTGGCCTGTAAAGAGGGGAAGAATGCTCTGGTTGAGAAATTGTTAGAGCGAGGAGCTTCTCTATCAGATATTGACATGGTAAATATTCCAGCGAGATCATTTGAATGATCAATGATTTCGGTTTATTGTCGTCATTTTAAGACGCGATTACTTTGCTAACTTTGTGTATCTGCATGGACTATCAAGAAAAACGAGCTTGAAAGTTGTACATACTTTTCATCGAAGAATGGTTGTGCGAAACCTGAATGTTTTTTTTATTTGCGCAGGACGGCATGACTGCCCTTCACTACGCCGCTGTCTCAGGATCTGAATCGACAGTTAAAGTTTTAGTGAAACAAAAGAGTGAATTAACGTTGGCAACAAATGTAAGATTGAACTTTCTGTGCAAACCCTCATTCTCCAGTAACACTGTTCTTCACAACGTTATTATTTATCTTTGTAGAACCAAGGGCGAACAGCTCTTCATTTGGCGTGCACACGTATTGCAGGTGCAGTTCCTGTTGTTAAGTTTTTAGTGAAGTCGATGGGTGAAGAAGCAAAAACAACGAGAGATAAAGTACGTGTTTCGTTTGCGCTATTTATTTATGTGATATAACTAGCACATTCAAGTCAACTCATTTCATCTTTAGGATGGTAACACACCATTACTGCTGGCAGTGGAGACTGGAAACCAGCTTGTTGTGAGAGAGTTGTTGGCGAATAAATCCAAAGAACAACTTCGGGTTGTTAAAGCAGTAAGTAATATGATCATTTCTTCTTCTCTTAGTTCGTCAGGGTTTACTATGCTGGTGGGTTTGAGCGAGAGAATGGTGCTTCAACTGATCTTTCGTTGACACTTCAGTTGACCTTTTCTTTATGTTTCAGGATTCTGGTGACTCGGCATTTCATTATTGCGCTCGTAAAAAAGATGTGGAAATGGCACGGATATTGATTGATGCTGGCTCCGCGATCAACCTGAAGAATGTAAGAATGTTCAGATATTTCTAACTCGTGACTCGTTTATGATAATTCCACTCTGTGGTTTTGTTTTATGCCTGAGAATGACGACGAGACACTAATCTATGAGTGGTTATTGGGCCGTAACGCTTATTTATTTCACTACCAGAATGATGGTCAAACAGCATTTCACATCGCAGCGTATGAAGGGGACGAGGGTATGATCAAGCTCTTGAGCACGTCGAACAAGCTGTCTGCAGATATACAGGATAATGTAATTATATTTCTGTTCACGTGAGCTGCGGGCCAGCCACTTACGTCATAGATTTATCTCCCCACCCCTCCCCCGAACACCAGTGTTTAATCTCATCATTATATTCCAGTATGATCGCACCGCTGTCCACATTGCGGCTGAAAGAGGATTTTCAGATATCGTCGAATATCTTGTTGATAAAGTTAAGGTCGATGTAAATTTCAGAGCGAAGGTCAGTGAAAATAAACTTTACTCGTTAAAAACTGTATTTCACATTTTATACAAGTTATTATAATGATGAGTGGAAAATAATAGTGTTTCTGATCATTGAATAGACTGGTGACACCTTGGTTCATATTGCTGCACAAAATGGACATTCTGATACAGTTCTAACGTTATTAAAGAAAGGAGTTCCTCTTCATATGCCAAACAAAGTAAGTCGTTGGAACCTGGTAGTGATTCAGGCTTTTGAATGTTAGATCACAGCACGATTTTCCGTCATAACATTTATTCCTCAACCTGTCTCTTAGTGTCAATAATTTCTCATTATTACTCCTAGTCAGGCGAGGTTTCTCTCCACGCTGCAGTTCACTGTGGTCACGTGGGGGTGGTGAAAGCATTGTTAAACAAGGGAGCTTCTGTAGACACAAAGACCAAGGTAATAACCGCTGGTTAAAATGTTTCAATGATATTAGCAATGTTCTTACGTGACCTTAAGTCAATGAAGAGAGTTCGTGATTTGTGGATACTAACATTAATATTTTATAATCAAGGATATGTATACACCTCTGCATATTGCTGTGCAACACCGCCAACCAAGAGTAGTGCAGGCTTTGTTAGGATACGGAGCAAATGTTCACCTCAAGGGAGGGAGGGTAAGTACCTCTTGGGGAACTGACTCAAGTCATCTTAAACAAGTCATAGTTATTTTTTTTCTTCTTTGGAAGCTTGAGGAAACTCCACTTCATATTGCTGCTCGTATCAAAGGTGGGACAGAGGTTGCAGATATGTTGTTGAAAAGCGGAGCTAACGTTGACGTTCCACAAGAGGTCAGAATGAATTATTATAAGCCTGCACCCGAATACCACATTCATTCAGTGCTTCTTCGTCTAATTTTTATGTTAGAATGGAGAAACGTCGCTTCATATTGCAACAAGAAACAACAACCTTGCTATGGTGAAACTGCTCTTGACCGAAGGAGCGAATGCCGCGAGGAAATCTAGGGTTAGAAAACGTTTGAATTTCTGAATGGTTGAAAAAAATCCAAAATGTTGGAGCAATATTCAGTGAAAATGTTCAATTACTTTCGTAGACTGGTGAAATACCTCTTCATATTGCTATTGAAAAATCTTTGGAAGAAATTGTTCTTGTCCTGGTCGACCATACCTTGACGTCATGCCTTAACACAACTCACGGGGTTAAAATGATTGTTAACTTGCCTAATAAAGTAAGTCTCATGCAAGATATTGTTCTGATATGGATTGAATATATATTTTTACTTCATTATGTGTCATTTTAGAAAGGGGAAACACCATTGCACTATGTTTGCAAATTGAAGAATGACAACGAGATTGGGGAACGTGATTTAAGAACAGCAAAACTTCTCTTGAAATATGGCGCTAATCCGAACTTAGAAACTGTTGAGGTACGACTTTTGCAATGTACCTTTCACTAACTTTTGGCAACTAAACACGAAATGTCAGCCAAAATATCAAGTCAAGTAAACTCCCATGCATGCAACAACTTTAATCAACTCATGCACAAGGGTTTTACATTCGTGTAAGAGTCACAAAACTTGAATTAAAGATCGTTTTGGAGTAAAATTTCTATTTTTTGCAAGGGAAAAGAAACGCCGGTCCATTACTGTGCAAGACATGGTAAAAATGACGTTCTTCTGGCAATGTTTAATGCATTATCTGTTGAAGATGTGCAGAGATTGGTGAATCAAAAAACAAATGTAAGTTTGTCAAAATTATAGCATAGTTTAAATGTCGTTGTGGATTTCAAATTATTTTTCCTCCTTCTTGATAGGATTCCTTGACACCGTTGCTTATTTCGTCGAAAGAAGGAAACTTAGACGTGAATAAATCATTGATGAGTCGTCATGCGAGACTCGATGCATTCGATCAAGTATGTGAACCTATACCTTGTTGCTCGAAATCTTTTTTCTTCAAACTCAGTAATAAAAAGTCATGAAATCTTTATCGTTAAAAGTCATGAAATCTTTATCGTTAAAAGTCATGAAATCTTTATCGTTAAAAGTCATGAAATCTTTATCGTTAAAAGTCATGAAATCTTTATCGTTAAAAGTCATGAAATCTTTATCGTTAAAAGTCATGAAATCTTCATCGTTGCTTGATAAGAACCAATCTCTTGTTAATGCTTATCAATTTTCAGGTCTGACGGAGTAATGCTGTCTTATTATTTCTATAGAAAGGCAAAACGTCGTTGCATTTATCTTGTGAACATGGTCATAAAGATGTCGTTCACTTTCTTCTCAACTCTAAAGCCTACATTAACGCGAAGACAAAACTTGGTCTCACTGCTTTGCATCTCGCAGCCCAGAAAGGTTATAAAGATATTGTTGATATGTTGGTCACTTCATTTGGAGCAAGCATTGACGCTTTATCGTTGGTAAGTTCTGTATAATCTCTGCTGTATTTAAAATAGAATTGTATTGAATACTCTGCCACAAAATAAGAAGGTGCCTGGACGACACTTTTCATCCATTTTCAATATACTCTTTTAGGAAGGTAAAACTCCGTTACACTTGGCTGCCGAAGGTGGAAGATTGGAAGTGTGTAAAATATTACTTCATCTGAAGGCGGACACCTCAGCTACTGACAGTGTATGTTTATTTTCATTGGCGAGTACACGTTTAGCTGACGCGAATTCTTAGCATTTTGTTTTCTTGAATGACAGAAAGGAAGAACACCTCTTCATTATGCCGCACAGAAAGATCATTCTGAGGTCATCGAGTTCTTCCTGGAAAACCGACCTCAGTTGGTGAATCAAGCTAATGCTGTAAGCAAAATAATCATCATGGAATTGAATGTTTAAAGTTTGCAGATCACGACTTCAAACGAAAGATTCATCAGACTGGTATAAACAGTAGCTAACGATCTTTGTGTTTCAGGAGGGTGAGACATGCGCTCATATTGCTGCCGCCAAAGGAAGCGTTGCTGTTATTAAAGAACTTTTGAAATTAAAAAACATTCATATGACCGAGAAATTTACTCTGGTATGTTGCCTTTTATCATTACTCTCTGTTAATTTAATTCATAAGAAGCTTTTTATGATCTTTGATCATAATTCTTCTTAAAACTCTTCTTGATCTTAGGGCAGCAATTCCACGCCGTTGCACCTGGCGGCCAGCGGAGGCCATGCCGATGTGGTACAAGTGCTGTTAGACAATGGTGCTGATGTGACACAGATGGATAAGGTTAGTTAGTACTCAAAGCATGATATGTCCAGTTATAAGATAGACTACGCTCCAATATAACCAGGGAGCAGCGTGGCAGTGTCTTCAAACAACTTAGCATCAAATGTGGTATAACAACTGCAGTTATAAGATAGAGTATATAGACTATGTTGTTATAGTTATTGACCAACTTGTTGTACCTCTTCATATACCATTGTTCTCTCCTAATTACAGATAACTTTGTGTTTGATATTTAGCATGGTTTGACAGCAATACACCTAGCGGCTAAAAATGGTCATATCAGAGTCATTGAAATACTGAGAGGGAAGATTCCGTTGGATTATGCCAGCCCTAAAGTGAGTGATCTTCCTGTTTGAATGTGTAGAAATGCCTTCACTATTAGTATCGATGTCTCCTTGCAGTAGTTGGATAGTAATTCTGCATATTTCTAACGTTCATTACAGACTGGTTTATCAGCGATACATGTTGCAGCCCAATATGGTCGTACTGAAGTTGTACGAGAAATTTTACGACAAGCTGATGTTGGTGACATCAGAAGCGAGGTTTGTCTATTCTTTAAATGCTTTCATCTCAAAGAAACAGTAGAAAGTAGTTAAAAGGTTTAACAGTGGTTTATTTATTGCAATGTTCAACCCATTTCTGAACGAGGAAACTGAACTTCAAATCTTACGCTCATGTATGGCCACGATGTTTGAAAATTGTTATTCACTGAAAAGTTTTGATGTTTAGGCAATAAAGACGAAGAAAGACGATGAAGTAAGCAAGTACTGCATGTTTATTTTAGTACGTTTGCCTGGGTCATCAGACATTTGATTGTCTATTTGCAATTTTTAGTATGGTTACACTCCACTTCATCTTGCTGCGAGGTCTGGTAATGATCAAGTTGTGCGTCTTCTTCTCAACTCTCCTGGCGTTAGGGTTGATTCATCAACGTCAAGAAATGTAAGTTTCAGAGAATCTGTATTCCTCGACACTCGCGATTGTCGCGATTGTACTAAAAACATAGCATTTATTTAGTTCTGACAAATCGCTGCATGACTTTGCTTTTCAGAGATCACTTCCTCTTCATCTGGCATCAAGCAATGGTCATGTGAATGTAGTTGGTTTACTCCTCAGTAAAATTTCTCATCAACTCGACACAAAAGATGCAAAAGGACGAACATCATTTCACCTCGCGGCCGCTAATGGTCATCATAATGTACTTACTTTGTTACTTGCGCAAGGAGCCCAAATTGACGCGGAAGATGAGGTAATGGAAATCTATGTTTGACAGCGCAGGATGCACAATAAAATCGCCGGTGATTCACTCCATTTTCTCATTTCTTCTCCAGGATGGTTGGACAGCGCTTCATTTCTCTGCTCATTCAGGTCATTTACCTGTTGTTAAACAACTAATTGAGTCTGGTACTAATTTGACGAAGGAAACTAACGTAAGTAAACAGCTGACTTTTTAAACCTGTCAATAATTGCCATATTTATGCTAGATCACTACACACCATAACTAACGCTATTTCATTGATTTTTCCTGCTTTATCAGGATGGTAAAGTTGCACTGTGCTACGCTGCACATGCTGGCCACGTGATAGTGGTACGATACCTTCTCAATCTGAAATTTGATGCCTCGCACTTACTAAAGGATAAAACGGTAAGACATATTGTGATATTTTTTAAACCAATCATGGGTAATTTTTCCAAATCCATATTGAACTTATCAGAATTTTCCCAAAGTACCCTTTTCACTTTTCACCATAAAATTTTAATGAGAGAATGGTTACAATAGATAACCAAAAAAAAAACTTTGAGGTAGTCAAAGCTGAACTGATTATGATGTACAGCACCAACAGCTTAATATGATTGTTGCATGTATGCCATATTCATGCTGAGAGCAGTTTTGTACAATTTGTGGAAATGAAAATCGATGGTCTAATCGATAATTTATTTTAGTTTCTTTTCGACTTGATGGTGTGTGGTAAAGGGAATGGTAACGACTCAATCGTATCGTTCATTCTTCACTCGCCCGCCCCTCTCTATGCTGCAGTCAAACTATCACATCATTACAGAACTGAGTCAAGTAAATTCAAAGAACGTAGCAAAGATTTAATAGCAGCCGGAGATGCTTGCGAGGAGTTGGCTTTAGATATCTTAACATTAGCTTGTACCAATGATGCGAGCCAGCTGTTGAATGCTACAGATGACAGCGGTAAACCGTTTCTCGACGTGCTCGTAGAATGTGAGCAGAAGCATTGTGTGGCGCACACCGCTGTGCAATCGTACTTGGGTAGCAAGTGGCGTGCTGGTCGAAACTGGAGTATGTCGAAAGTACTAGCAATATTTTTCGGCGCTTTTATAGCGCCTCCTGTCTGGGTTGCTTTATCTCTTCCCTGGAACAATAATTACAGCAGAGTACCGCTGGTCAAATTTATTTGTCAACTTATATCTCATCTCTACTTCATGTTGCTCTTTGTCTTCACGGTCGTGATACCTTGGGATAAACGTAGTGATGACGTCACACCAGCATGGTATGAAGTGTTGTTGTTATTCTGGCTGTGTGGCCTGGTATTGACGCAACTCACAGATCCAAAGAACTCGAGAGGACTTGGCCGAGTGCCATTGTTTGTCATATTTCTTTCAGCAATTGCCATTCTAATTCATTTTTCAGCAATTCCTTTCGACGGCATCACTCGTGTTCATCTTCTTTACGCCCGAAATCAACTGTTTGCCGTCGCTATGTTTTTGACTTTTGTACAATTGCTGGATTTCTTAACATTTCATCATTTGTTTGGCCCATGGGGAGTCATTATTGGCAACTTGATGCAGGATTTAGCTCGATTTATTGTCATATTACTCATATTTATGCTTGGCTTTACAGTACATATTGCTGCAGTCACTAATCCTGGATTTTCTCTATCTCATAACCACACCTCTGTTATGGACAATCTACGCGAAGCTCGAAAAGATTTAGTAAAAATATTTAAACTGTTGTTCTTTTCGCTGTTTGGTTCAGCCGACACCGCAGTATTGGATGAACTTACAGGAAATGATATGCCATCATTCGCTAGGGTATTGGTCAATATTGTGTTTGGTCTATATTCACTAATTACTATTGTTGTTCTAATTAATCTTCTAATTGCTATGATGAGCGATACTTACCAAAGAATTCAGGCTCAGTCAGATTTGGAATGGAAGTTTGGTCGCGCGAAGTTAATAAGGAAACTAGAACGATCAACACGGACACCAGCTCCGTTGAACCTTCTGACAACGACAGTGACGTACCTAAAGCTAGCCCGCAAGGTGAAATGCAGGTGCTGTAGGCCTGATATCATGGAAATTCTACATGAAGAGACAAGTGACGAATTTGTCATGACGAAGTTCCCTAGTACGAATAGCGTAGGTCCTGGACTTGCTAGTGGCGTCATCACCTCACAAAACCATAGCAACAAGAGGATCGAACACGTAGTTGATTGGGGACGAATAGTACGCAAGTTTAAAGCTCTACGGGGTATGGATGGTAAGGAAGAAGTCCAGATGCAAGAAGTTATTCATATGGATAACGAAAAACTTACTGCAAAAAGCGTTCATGATATTAAAAACTTAGTTGAAGGGTTGTTAAAGAAGATAAACACTGCCCCGTGAACATGAATCAACAAAAGTGTACGACAAGATAATGAAGATATTTAACAAGTATTTTACGTGAAAACTACACTTCATTTAAAACGCCATTACGTCAGTAGAGAGCCGTTATAATGCCGTAATAAATGCTTGAAATATCTGTCTGTAATAAATGGTTATTGAGCTAACATTAAGGACAGCTAAAGCGATCTATTAGTAAAAGCTGCCCTTTTAGTTCGGTCCTTTTAGTTGTCTTTTAGTTCTCCTTTTACTTGTACTTTAGTTGTCCTTTAGTTGTCCTTTTCGCTGCCCTTTTAGTTGTCATTTTAGTTGTCATTTTAGTTGTCATTTTAGTTGTCATTTTAGTTGTCATTTTAGTTGTCATTTTAGTTGTCGTTTTAGTTGTTTTTTTAGTTGTCTTGTCTTTTGGAAAACGATAACTCGACACGTCGACCATGTCGATTCGCCGAAAACGACTAATTCGACCATGGTCGAGTTCGCCGGAAAACGACTAATTCGACCATGGTCGAGTTCGCCGGAAAACGACTAATTCGACCATGGTCGAGTTCGCCGGAAAACGACTAACTCGAGCATGGTCGAGTTCGCCGGAAAACGATTAATTCGACCATGGTCGAGTTCGCCTTAAAACGAGCTACCGTGTCGACCCACGACGCGGTCGCCGGGGCGACTAGTGCCTGAAAACGACTAATTCGACGATGGTCAAGTTCGCCGGAAAACGACTAATTCGACCATGGTCGAGTTCGCCGGAAAACGACTAATTCGAATGGTCGAGTTCGCCGGAAACGACTAATTCGACCATGGTCGAGTTCGCCGGAAAACGACTAATTCGACCATGGTCGAGTTCGCCGGAAAACGACTAATTCGACAATGGTCGAGTTCGCCGGAAAACGACTAAATTCGACCATGGTCGAGTTTGCCGGAAAACGACTAATTGACCATGGTCGAGTTCGCCGGAAATAAGACTTTTTAGTTGTCCTTTTCGCGGTCTTTTTAGTTGCCCTTTTGGTTGTCCTTTTAGTAGTTTAGCTGTGCTTTTCGCTGTTTTTTTCGCTGTCCTTTTTCTTTATCCTTGTCGCTGTCCTTTGTTAACTATACGTCACAGAGGCTATGTATAGTAATCTATTTCATAACACGCATCACTCAAGCTCAGTTAAATTTAAGATTGGGAATAATTTTCGATAGGTGCGGCACTAGCCAAGCCGATGGAGCTTGGCTAGTGTGTGCTAGGCGGGTATGACCCACGCAAATTTTGGGGTGGGTGGGTGGGTCGTTTCTCCGTCAAGCACTCCGCGTATAAACTGAGCATGAATGGCGTAATCTGTGTTACACGCCCTTCTTTTATGTTCCGCATGTCTAACACACGTGGCTATTTCCTTCCAATCACAAGCAGGGCATTGTTATGGTAAATTTTAACTTTGCATATCATTATACGTGTTGTGAATAGTAATCTATTTCATAACACGCATCACTCAAGCTCAGTTAAATTTAAGATTGGGAATAATTTTCGATAGGTACCTGCCTATCATTCGCTCTCTTCCACATTCTTTCCTGTGATATACATACTCTCCCCTACACTCCCCCTCTTCTACACTCATTTCCCATCTCTTATCCCCACATCTTACAACCTCGTTTACCTCCAGTATAACCCCAATTCTTACTAATCCCTGCAGTTATGAATACCCCAAATGGTTACAAATTGTTTGAACTACGGACCCAGTGTGTATAATATTCTTTAATAAATAGGTAATATATTCGCTGAAGGTGAATCCCTAGCCCTTATACATGTATTCCCACATTCCCACACTCCCTGCCCCTGTCTCCGGAATAAGTACACTTCGTTTGGACGTCAATAATACGCCACCAATATGTGCGATACAGTTCGCTCCATGTTTATTGTTCCATGTTTATTGCTCTATTGCTTCCATGTTTAGTTCGCTCCTTTACACTTGACAATACGACAAATGCAACTTACGTCGGACGTTGTCGCTTTTGGTTAGGCAGAGGTGGTGGGAAGGCACACACAAAGCGTTTTAACTGGTTAATATCTTGCCAGGGTTGGTCGACCGTGCTAGCAGTCGGTGATGACAGCTTTGCGGAAGCTCCGTCGGGATTGAGAACCTTGGCGAGTTGTAGATAATAAATAGCAGTATGACGACGTGTCCACCCTACATGATCCATAATCTCTGAAAGGGTGGCTCCGGTTAGAGCCAACGTGATCGCACAACCCGATCGGAAACCGTGTAAAGTTTCCCCATCATCGGCATTCATCTGTTGTAGGTAAACTTTCAAACGGGCTTCAGCCGCAGACGAGGTGAAGGGTGAATCCTGGATGCCCTTTTTAGAAGTTGTCGGTCGAAACAGGTAACCTTGAGTGAGATCAACGCCGATTTGTCTAGCAATTTCGATGTATTTCTCGATAGCGCGGACCGGACAAATGACTGTGTGGGGGTTACGGCGAATACCAAAGACATTTTGGTCACCATCTCTCAGGGTTTTTCCCCAGACATGATTCAGTAGCAGTCCATCGTCATTTGGAAAACGCAGGATACCGGCAACTTTAATCTGACCCAGGTCCGCTGGGCGATCGCCACTAAAGAAGGTGGTCATAAAATAAGCGTGATCTCGTGCCAGGATAAAACGTTCAAGATTGGAAGTCGCTGCCGCCAGTGATGTTTGTAAATGGTCTGCCAGTTGTGTAAGTTTGGTGACAAAAAACGGTGTGGCTTGTTTAGGTGTGACGCGAGCCTGTAACTGTTCTGCAGTAACCAACTTAAGATAATGCTTGACTAACTGCGCAGCAGCGGGATTGCCAAGTCCCAGGCGCTTGTCCCATTCTCCGTCCCGTCCAATAGATTGAAAGATAGCGCGCATTTTTCCTATATAAGAATCCACTGTATTATACGCTAGGCGTACAGGACAACCACACGGATGCGTTCCTCGTTGCCCAAGGAAATTACAACTATGAAGGTGTATTTGCGTTTTACCAAAGCGATCCTTGTATGCTAGAAAGCGGCAGAGATCGCGAGGTGTGGCAGAGATTAAGGAAACATGTCCTGGCAAGGAGTTGAAAAAGCTTTCTAGTTCTTTTTTGAGAGCATCCTTCTGCTTAGAGTAACTTGTCATTTTGCCGTAGTCAAATAACTGGGTAAGGCGAGCGTCGATAGCATGTAAATCGAAAACACGATTAGAATTAGAGACGGGTGTTAATGACTTGCGAGAATATCCGCATTTCTGGCAAAAACGAAAGTCCCAGTCGTTAGCGTGAGCACACACAGGACATTGGACTGACTGGATGAACAGTTTAGCAACAATTGGCAGTTCCTGTAGGACAAAAACAACAACGTCGTAAAATAAATAAATAAATAATCGAGTAACTAAAGACTAGAAGGTAATGGCCAATGCCCAAAGGTCGCCGGGGAGGCCTGGATGCGGGCTCCAACCTCTTGTTGTAGGTACACGAAGGGCAGTGGTATCCCCGCGCGCTGCCAGCTTCAACACTTTGCCAGATGACGCCTGTAAGAGTGGCCACCAATATTTGCGGGGAAAAACATCAAGCACGAGGAACGTACAGTTCTGTTGGTACGAACGAAGGAAACTAAAGACTGGCCCAACTAGAACGGATGGGGGAAAGACATAAGGTCGACGCATTAGGCTCTGATGTTGTAGTAGATCTTGCGCAAATAAGTTTATCCCTGCCGACGCTGGAGATGGCGCAGGTGTAAAATGGGGTAATGCGTTCCCGAATATGTCCGGCTGTGCATTAGAATCTAGTGCCATGAGGTCCACTGAATGTCCATGGGTACCTCCAAACTCGGTTTGCACGAGATGCCAGAGCTTAGCAGTTAAAGAACTATCCATCAATGACGTTCTCCGGGAAGGTCTATCTGCCGGGTTGGAATGGGTCGGGATATACATAAGGTGGAGTGATAGATTAAATTGGACAGTGGTATGGAACAAGGTTTTGAGAGCATCATTAAGTGATGGGCTTCGAGAGCCTTGATTATTCCAGGCATGAATGACTGCTTGATTGTCGACAAGCAGATCAACATGTGCATTTTCAATGGATCGGCGAAAGGAAGTCAAGACCTTAACAATTGCAACTGCTTCCTTTGTTGCGATGTCCCAGTTGTTTTCGTCGGCAGTCCAGTAATCAGAAGCTTCCTGCGGGGTCGCGGAAAGAAGCTTTCCTCCCCAACCAGAATTAGATGCATCCGTGGCAATAGAGATGCGCACATGGCGTTCATCACGCCAAGGTAGGGGGTTATCGAAGTTTTCCAGAAATAACCAATGGCTGATCTCTTGTTTTAGCCGCTCAGAAAGAAAAATAGGCTTGTTGTTATGTAAGATGGAAGAGGAGATAGCTAGATTCATTTCACGTGTGTACAACCGAGCTGCTGGAACAGCCAGGGAAAAGGCGACACACTTTCCAGCAAGGCGTTGCAAAACCTTAAGTGGTATATGGGACATGCCAAGAATCTCATGGAGTAACGTAAGGAATTTGTCCTTTTTTTCTGGCATTAAATGAAAGACCTGCCTCTCCGAATCAGCAAGAAAGCCCAAATAGGGCACAACTTTGCGGGGTTGAAGAATAGACTTTTTCAGACCCAAGAAATATCCAAGGAGCACCAGATAATATGTGGCAAGGAAGATCGCTGAGTTCGCGGCCGCGAGGTATTTATCATCCTTTGTAGCCAGGGTAGCATACTGTCCCTTTTGTAAAGACACTTGCAACTGGCCATTATGCCTGTCGTCGATGTAAAGCAGACATGGTATCCCAATCGAACGAAAGAATGTTGTTGGTAAAAGGCCAGTTGTGTGGTAGATATAGGGGGATATTTTCCAACCAAATGGTAATGTATTGTAAACGAAATACCAACCGCCAAACTGGATGCCAAAATACGTACGACTTTCTTCAGTTAGGAGAATGTGGTCGTAACCTGACTTATCGTCTAACACTGTTTGGTAGTGGCCGGCGTCGACGTAACGGGGCAAATCGGTAAGCCGATCTAGAGAGAACGGCATATCTCGCATCCATAGATTAAGGTATCTTGCATCGTGGCATAAACGGGGTTTTGTCGGCTCTACCGTAAGTGGTAACACGAGATGTGGTGGTTGTACAGTACCGACTTTGCCAAGCATTAAAATAGCTCCCGTTTGTAAACGCTCCAGAAGGGTTTTACGCACAAATGATGCGAAAGGACGACAAGATTGATTATTCGGAAAAATCCGGTGGGGTGGTCGATCGGAATTGTACTCCTCTGCTTTGAACCTTCCTTGGTATGGTTGAAAATATGCAACCGAAACCTTATTTTTTACCCAACCCAATATTTCAGATTGTTTATCAGGAGGGAGGACATGGGAAATGTCCTGCCAAGCGGAGTAATGGTTATGGAGTTCGCCTGCTTTAAAATGATTTGGATCACGGAAATATACTTCCTCAACATGACCAATGATATCGCCCGCCTGGACTTGATGAACACGATTGAAAAGTTGCTGATTTGCCGCTGTCTCCCCACTGACCTTGACGGGGCGTCCCCGAAAGTTTACCCATTGTTGGTCCGTAAAAGGTGTATCGATTTGTTGTAGATGAAAATCAAAGTCAGAATCCTTTTCCCAGTGCCAATTAGCCTAAAAGGGGAACAAGGAAAACCATAGGAGACCCCGCCAAGTCAACAGGAAGACAACAGCTTTGACCCGAAAATCGGGGGGTTGATTTAGGTACCCTTTTTCGAAACTGCTATATTCCCAATGACTCAGATATAGACATACAAACCACGGACGTGCTTGTTTGTTATTTTCATTCATTCATTTATTGTTTCATTTTTTTTTTTTTTTTTTTTTTTTTTAACTGCTTATTTTATTGCGGTTTATAACCAAAACATGTTCACAATTCTTTACACTGAAGTCCACATATAAAGGAGAGTTATTAGACAGACTATAAGTTATTGAGCCTTTCGCGTTTCACCAGAAGGGTTCTTGGCTTGGCGAGCCTGGGTCGACCGACGGAACTCATTACAGTCAGCCTTGAAATGCCCCGGTTTATGGCAAAAATAACAGCGCGGAGCTGGTGATGCTCGTGTCGACCGACCGCGTTCGCGATAAGAGAACCATGTTGGCGTTGGACGACGTGACTGTTCTTTACGGAGAGTCTTTTCCACTTTTGCAACAATGTCGAGTACTTTGTCATGGTCTTTGTCACCCAATAATCGACGGATTAGCATTTGAAATTGAGGTGCTGGCAGGTTAACCTTCTCTCTAGCTGTCTGGTATGCCACTCTATAATAATCTCTTTTCTCGTGTGCTTTATCCTTGGCCGTGCTTTGAAGAGAATCCAACATCTCCAAAGCTTCATAGTTATTGAAATCTGTGAGTGGACGAGCTGTATACAGCAACATTCGTCTCCTTAAACTCTCCACAGAAGCCTGGGATACCTCATCTACTGACTGGCGTAATTGACGTAATTCTTCGCGTAGTTGCTAAAGGAAAGAGGGAACACTGTCACTAAGATTATAACCATTAACACGTGCGCCGTGATGATAGGCATATGTTCAGCCACTGGTGCTCTATGAGAATAATTCCATGCTAAGTATCTGTCGTATAATCACTAACTTACACCCAGAAGATTAGAGCATGAAAATCAATCTCGTACAATTTCAGCATAACCATTATATTCAGAGCTCATTTCTGCGATACATTATCAACTGAAACGATAGTTGATTACAACATACTTTACTACAGCGTAACTTCCTTGTACAACAACTACACCAAGAGTTTGTTTGATTGTTGATGTATTTGTATGAACTGCATCACGTAAACAGTGACAATATCTATTATAATATGTATCTGCTTATATCCAAATTTAAGCTTGTTCATTTACAGTCTAACTTCAGCCACCACGGCACAGTGGAGGAAATTTATACAAAGCAAACGAATCGATACCCCGCGAAATTGATCGTGTAAATGCTCTTTAGTGGACTGACAATCTACGCTGAGCCCCGACTATTGCAGTCAAGAAACTACAACCAAACAAATCCCGCGAGACCCATCGCGTAAAGAGCTATAACAATAGCTTATATTTTATTGTCGTTTATTCATTTGCAATTCACCCTTGACCATACAGTCAAGAAATTACAAACCCAAGCAAATCCCGTGAAATCCATCACGTAAACAGCTAAAACAATAGCTTGTATTTTATTCCTGCTTGTTCCATTTGCAACCACCCTTGACCTTCACCGTCAAGAAATTACAAACCAAGCAAATCACGCGAAATCCATCGCGTAAACAGCTAAAACAATAGCTTGTGTTTTTATTGTCGTTTATTCATTTGCAACCACCCTTGACCATCAAAGTCAAGAAATTACAAAAAGCAAATCCCACGAGATCCATCGCGTAAACAACTATAACAATAGCTTGTATTTTATTCCTGCTTGTTCCATTTGCAACCACCCTTGACCATCACAGTCAAGAAATTACAAACCAAGCAAATCCCGCGAAATCCATCGCGTAAACAACTATAACAATAGCTTGTGTTTTATTCCCGCTTGAAGCTAATGAAAAAACTCTATTTGATATGTAAATTTCAAGACAGTAGCTCAAAGGGTCACAGATACTAGTGTAATTTGTATTACAATTACACACACATAAGTAGGTCGCTCAAACATCTCAAGTGACAAATAACAATATAAAAGAGTCGCGCGAAATCGATTATCGCAATGCCTAAGGACCCAACAAGGACTATGATCGGTCATATCTAGATATGTATATCACAGACAGTACGTTGATAGAACGGACGACAAAATAATATGTCGACAAGCATCACACTGGTACCGTAAATTATAGAACTAATAAAATTACGATAAATACGGAATTTTGACGAGACAAGATTTAATACCAACCTCAAGGTCTGGTCCATTAGGATCGCCTTGTGCGGCGCCAGCTTCAACAGCGGCCGGTGGCTGTACAGGTTCATTAATTGGAGGCTGTGGGGCTGCTTGTTGATCATCAGCAATAGGGTATTGAACTTCTGGTTCATCGGCCATAGTGCTATCCTGTTAGAGCTTGGTAACAAAATTTTCGTGGGTCATACACTCGTCTCGTTTCTCCGTCAAGCACTCCGCGTATAAACTGAGCATGAATGGCGTAATCTGTGTTACACGCCCTTCTTTTATGTTCCGCATGTCTAACACACGTGGCTATTTCCTTCCAATCACAAGCAGGGCATTGTTATGGTAAATTTTAACTTTGCATATCATTATACGTGTTGTGAATAGTAAAGTATAGTATAGAACCCCGTTTTCGGGCATAACATGAAGTATGATGAAAAGAAACAAGATGGCGGCAAAAGCAATTGATATTCAGACAAAAAAAAGAAAATCAAAACGTATTCGAGCTGCAAACAAATTCTTAGCAAATATTTCTCTTGATGGGAAACTACCCTCGCAAAAAAGTCGAAGAGAATTTGAGAAAATCAGGGACAATCAACCGTTGCGATTAGACAAAGAAGAAATTCAATTAATTTCAAATCAAAGTTTTGTACAGAACCCATCTTTGCAAGCAAGACCAAAACTTTTGGGTTCATTTTCAACAGTAGACGCAACTGAAGAAAATAAGAGAGTAGATACTGTTGCTTCTGTGGCTTCTACTTCCACATTTCAGACGAATATTGTACTGGAAAATGCATGTCTGTATAACAGGGCTATTTCTTTAAGAGAACCTAAACAGACTCACAGTGACATCGTTTGTGAAAGAAATCTAACAAGATGTCATGGGCAGTTGTGTGGGAAAAGGTGTCTTAAGAATTGTAGCACTATAATATATTGTTGGCAAATGGTAGTTTGCATGGGAGTGATATAAACTAATGAAGTAATATGATGAATCAGAATGCATACACTCTTGATCCATGATAGATTTTAAAGTGGGTTACAATGATATCAGCCAAAACAAATGTCTATGATCTAAACCCCTAATTAGCTGTCAAATATGAAATTGCCTGACATGAATTATTTATATATTTTCAGAGTTATTCTGTGTTCAGGTCATCATGTTCCATTCGCTGTTTTCTCCACTTTGAAATACACGCAACAAGACAAGTTTTCAGACTCGCTTGATAAAACAACGTATAAGTAAGTCCACATTGTTTCCACATGTCACCTATGAACAGGTTATGGATCAGCAAAGGATTTTTTATCTTAGATTACAAAGACTTTCTGATGAACTTGAAAATTGTTCTTATGGAATTAAAGGAATTGATATTGGTTCAAAGGACAGGGTAGGTTTATGAATTCATGATCAGTGAGCATTCCTTTAACATCATGACAAGTTATCCAATTTGTTCTATTGTAGCCTGTATCATATGGATATTTATTGGTGCGTAGTGCACCTGATTCTCAGTATTCAAGAAGCATCCTTTCCCCTCGGAGAAATTTAGGGACAACATCTTACCACACCCTTGATGAAAGCAGAGTGTTCACTTCTAGTACACCTGGTTCAAGTACACCTGGTTCAAAGATGTTTTCTCCAAGAGGTATTCAAGCTTGATCTTTGATATATGCATATAAATCTACACACTCACTCACCATTTTAATCTTACTTTGATTCTTAGTATTTCTTACATTTGCGAAAACATCAGGCATGTTTACAGGTAAAAATTTCATTTGGGTTTTTAGAATATTATCACACATCAAGCAACTATAGTGAGTATAAGGAATATGATCCATTTTTACTTGATGACCCAGAGTTGAGATCAGGAAGACATCGAAAAGTCTTGAAACTGAGTTCATTTATGGTAAGCATTAATACTTTTCCTAGAAACTTCAATAATTAATATGTTTATATGTATTTAGACATTTAATCCCTATATCTAGGTGTCCATCATTGAATATGTGAAACCTTCTCAATTGAAGAAAGATTTAAATGAACAGTTTAAGGAGAAATTTCCAAACCTTGAAATCACATTATCAAAATTGAGAAGGTAATGCATACAACAGAAAGTGCTATAAGACTTGCTGAAACTTCTAACTGGTATTCACCTTTATGAAATATCTTAATTTCCTGTTTAGTTTAAAACAAGACCTTGTAACAATATCCCAAGAGGTAAAATATATGGCATTTGTTGAAAATCACATAAATGAATATTGGACTAAAAGATATACAATGTTGTAAAACTTGACTTGTGTGTGATAGTGTTCTTTAGATAACGCAACAGTGGCATATTCAACTGTTTATTTTGAAAAGCTTGTATTGTGGGTAGGTTGTCAAAGAATTGCTTGCAGTTACAGATTGGAAATTCATTTTTCTGAATTTTTAATAGCTTCTCTCTTATTACTAGGGCAAAATAAGTAAAAATAATCGGAAATTAGTCATTGGTATGTATTATTGGAAGTTATCATACATTAGTGGTTTGAAGAAAAAGAATATAAAATAATTGAACAAAATATATGTGCTGTGATTACTCTCTAGGTTCCTGTTTATTATTGGCAGCAAAATTCAGTAGTGATTTGAAAAAAGAAGCTGTAAAACAGCTGATCAATGTAAGACCTTGTATAATATATTTTAGTTGGTTGTCCACATACATCTAAAAGCAAATATACTCATGTTTATAAACATCTTATTTTTAGCATATTTCTGACAGTTTTCGAGTCAGCACAAAAGACCTTCTCTTGTTTGAGATCCAAGCTCTTATAGCGATGGAATTTAACCTACATCTTCCCACCCATAATGTTCTGCCCCATTTGAAAAGATTGGAATTTGAAAAATATAATTAGATATAATTAGTAAAACAAATATGAGACACTGTAATAAACGAGTCCAATATAATTTATTTTGTAAATATTAAAGTACTGCTTGTTACACTAAAAAGTAAAACATGAAATCAACGTTCTTTTAATTATCGCAAGATATGCTAATTACGTCTATTCAGATCATTTAGCAGTCAGTTGTCCATAATTTCCTATCATCCACACTGACAGAGCACGTTGTTCCACGACACGAGTTCTGTCCTCCATTTTGTTTTCAACGAGTTTTAAGTTAGAATTATAGACTTTGAAAGCTCATAATGGGCGTGGAAAAAGAAATAATTTCAGCTGGAGATGGTAAATATTCTAACCAATCTCATAGTTTTTTTGCTATCTCATTTAAACATCTAATTTTGGCAATATCTATTTTTCTATCAGTTCTGAATATTATATTCATCTGTCGTTGTAGGAAAGACGTATCCTAAAAATGGGCAAACAGTTGTTGTGCATTATACAGGTGAATAGAAACCCTTCGATAATAGTCGAATTCATATTAGAGATGGGAAACTCAGACTCAGATAGGGATGGTAAATTTATACCTTTGATGGGTCGTAATGCGAAAATACGACAATCATTTTGTTGATATTTCATATGAGTTTCCCTTCTAAGATGAGTTTTCTGTTTAAGGGGCTGTTAATTACATGAGCCCAGTGACCCGAGATTCAGCAAAACATAAGAGGATTTTGGGGTATTGAAAAAAGTCCTTATGAAACCAAACCAGCGCATGCTATTGTGGGAATGATTATATAACTGACAGGATCATATAATATACTTATTTCAACACCTCAAAATCATCTATGGTTCACTGAATCTCTGGTAACCGGACTCATTTAAACAGTCTTTAATATTCCGCTAATAAACAAATAGTCGTTAAAATGTAGCAATTTAGTAAATGCAAACTTGACTACAGTCAGAACCATGTTGAGAAATATCAAATCTGAAATATCAAATTCATAACCTCATTCTATTTACCATGAATTTTGTTTTTCACAACTTGGAGTAAGACTGCTAGGGTGCAAAACATTTTTCTGATTCCTATTTAGGTGCTGGAATTTTGATTTTCTTTGTGTTGGTTGAAATTTCCCCAAGTAATACCCAAAGCCATTCTTGCTAAAACATTTTACAAATCTTGTAGGAACATTAACAAATGGTAAAAAATTTGATTCCTCTCGAGATCGGGGAAAACCATTCAAATTTATAATTGGAAAGGGTCAAGTTATCAGAGGTACACTGTTTTAATTACTTTCTTCTCAATTCCTAAATTTAGTCTGAATAAATGTGTGAAAATATTTGTATGTTGCTTTAGGTTGGGACGAAGGAGTGGCAATGGTAAAAGAAAAGAGCATAATATTTGATATATGGTATGTTTTCATTGGGGTAAAATGTATATGATGTTTTTTAGATGACTGTTGGTGAAAAGGCAAAACTGACTTGTTCCTCAGATTTTGCATATGGTCCAAAAGGTCATCCTGGTGTATATCCTTTTAATTCAAATAATTAAACCTCTCCATATCTTTGCCTTTTAAACTAGTTTTGTTTTTAAAATGGTTGCATTAATTCTAGCTGCAAATATCATAAGAATATCATAAGAAAAAATACCCACAGTCTTTGGGTTTTCCCTAGAGAATGCTGACAGGATGCATATTAGAAATGCTAGTTTAATTACCACCAAACACAGACTCATTTGGATACCATACTTCCATAATACATGCACATGGCATATTCTAATGATTTATTATAAAATTAAATGCTATTCATGAGATTGTTTTTCCATAACCATCCTCACTATCCCTCCTAATGCTACTTTACTGTTTGATGTGGAATTGCTGGGACTTGAGTAGTTTCCAAACAAGACATTTCAAAATTCCTGCTATTGATAAAAGTGAGATCATACCACACAACTATGTAAGAGATGTGTGTATCCACTATCACTGATTGCAATTCATTTAACTTTGGTTTTGTTTATTTTATTATCAACATCAGATATGAATGCTACTTTAACTATCGCTATCTGTTCTTGTATTTAGTTCAAAAGCCTGATCTAGTTTCTCTATTAAATTTAATGTAATAAAATTTTGTATTGTTCATATCTATTATTTTGAGCAATGGTTTAGATAATGGCAAATTCAGCATATTTTGTTGACTGCATGCTTCATGGTATACCAGTCCTTTATTGGCATTAAATGATGAAAAAAAGTAGTTCCAGTTGAGAACAAACTGGCGAACTTTATTTTGATACAAGATAAATTGCATAATCCCAAACAATGGTTTGCATATAGTTTCCTGCAATGCTTGGATTTTTATTTTTGTGTGCTAAATGAATCTTTTGAATGGTAAATTGACTGAGACAGCTGTGGTAGAGTGCTACACAAAGTGCTGAAAGGATTAATTGGAGTGGAGATAAAATTTCTAAAAAGGTGAACAAAGATGGAACATACTTGATTTTCATGTTGAATTTTTTGAAATCATTGATCATTTCAAAACCATCAAAGAGGACCATGCAGGTTTATTCACCCTTGCATATTGCTGGGCACTCTTAGTGTCTTATAGGCTGACTTAGACAGTATTAGAATCATGGTGACAGTTGTTACCAGGAAGTGAATCCCCAAATTAACTTGCTATAACCATGCTAAGATGGTCGTTGTATAAAGTACATGAACAACAGAGGCACTATAAACTTTTATATTTTCTTTCCATTATTTTTAACATTGACACTTCCCGAATTTGTTCTCTGGCAATAAAAACCATCCCACAAACAATAGATTTCATTGCCAGCCTTGTTTCCAAGCTATTGTTCTATGTGCACTCAAGCAAATTCAGGAAGTGGCTATTGTCAGACATTTACAAATTTATTTGTATAGGAGATATTCCAGAATTGGTTTAGGCAATGGTAATTCCAGATTCAGCACATTTTGAAGACAATTTACTCCAAGAAGACATCTTATAACAGTCCTACACTGGCTTTGAAGGGTTCTTGGATTAGATGCTGAAAGAAATTAGTTTCAGTTGAGACAACTACCTCATAGTTATGTAAGTTTTTGAGTTAAGTTGATAGAAAAACATATGCTTCATTATTTGTTAAATGATTCACTTTACCTATGTCAATTGATTTCATTTTTTCTTTCTTTCCTGGCAGAATTAAAGGTGCAAATGAAACTGGCAGCAGTGTTGTTCCTTCATAATCCATTTCAGAAATTTTTAAAACCTTTAGCAGCTATACATATGAAAGGTATGTGGTTTCATAATTATCATATTTAACCCAGTCATTTTGTAAAAATAAAACTGCATGCACAGCATCTTAAGCCTGGTTCACACTTGTCGTATATGAATCTGGGATTCCCTTTGTCTGAGATCACTAAAGCACTAAATGCTTTGTCTGTTGGAAAATAATACAATGGATCCCTGATTCTTAGGAGAAGTGTGAACCTGGCCTTAGAAGGATATATATGCATAGTATAATTTTGGGGTATTTACCTTATCATCAAAAGGCATAATTAATATTCCACCAACTTTAACTAACGATTTCATATAATCTTCATATTGTGAGCTGACTGCAGCCCCGCAATAGACTCTGTCATACTGGCGATAGCATGGATTCAAACATAACCCATTACCAGTGACAAACACTGGTTCGCAAAACTCAACACCAAAAATGTTTGGCATTGCATTTTCAAGGAATGTCTTTATTTTATTCTCTGCAAACTCAACAAGATTGCTTGAAATTTCAATGCCATGATTTGTGCCATCAGAACTGAGCAGTAGGCCAGCAACAGTTGACAAATAGCCAGTTCCACTACCAATATTTAGAAAAGACAAACCTTTTTTCAGCTCCAAGCCCTCTAGGACTTCACAATATATGCATGGTGCGGAGAGATGAATTTCCCCATTCTTGTAAGCTAAGTCTCTATATGCAAGATTCTCGCGGCCTTCTGGGAAATATAATGCTCTGTCCACAGCACGCAAAGCAAACATGACATCAGGTGACCTTATGTAGCCAGCATCACCCAGTTTATCAATAAGATCATTGTTGTCAACACCATGACTAACAGCTCCCCCCATCAAAATTCAATAATTTTCATACTTTCAATGTCTTGTAACTTGTCTAGGTTTAAAGCAAAATTGAGTCATTGCAATGCAGATTTGATAAATTTAGAGATGATGAATTTATAAATTTGGTCAATTTGCTAAAACCCCCCAAGTTTACATCTCAGACAAGCTTTGTGGCTTGATCTGCAAACCAACCAGGGCACATTAGATAACTTATTAGGTCTGGTTTCTTCTTGTCATTAGGGCTCTTTATAGCTTTTTTACATGAATTAAAGCTCCTCAATATTAAAATTTCGATGACTTGCAGTGTAAAGCTAAAGTTGAACTATTATCTCAGGGATTTACTGCATGAACATACTACTTCCAGTCCTGGCATTACATGCAAAACTAGTTCAGGCAACCACTGGTTCAAAAATCCCTAAAATAGAAACTTAACTTGTATCACTATTCCCAGCAAATATGTAAAATATGGCTTACCAACAACACATTTCTTATGTTGCTACTTTGTCATATAAATTTTAATATAGTTGAATGTTTTGATGCGAAGTACTCAGGCGACTGGTAACGAGTTGCATAATCATGAATCATCTCGCATAAACTCAAGCACAATCAATCATTTCACAGAGATCATATTTAAAAATAAAAATCATAAAAAATTTATGATTTGCATATGGTATGATTTGCAATTTATGATATGCAAGTTAAGCCATCTTTTGTATAAATAATAAATCTACGGAGACAGCTGTGCGATGTGTTCAAACACATTTCTAGATGCTATTATAAATTCGTAGTGTAACTATTTTTTATTTGTGGCTTTTCATATCACATTGCATGTGTTGTTTATCACAAAATACACAAAGATTGCATTCCCGTGGAGTGTAGCAAAAGTCTCATCAACAAAATCGTGGCTCGTATTACAAATTGTCTTTAGTTGAGTGATCAAACTATGTTCAATATATTCCTCTAAATTTTCCTTTTTCAGTATTAAGTGCTTCTAATTTGTACCAAGCACTGTCCACCGGATATTGATTTTTTCAACCATTCTGAAAATGCTCGAAAAGCGTTAAAATTTCATCTTTTGGACCAACATTTATTAAAGAGGTCCTCGACTTAGGAATACTAAGATTTTATCAAAGTTATACCAAACAACAGGCGATTTTTAATAAAGCGATTGAAAAGTCGCTATCCGGGGCCGGTTGTTCGAAACGAGCGGTTCGAAAGGCGTTTAGCTTTGACGTTGGATAAGCCAAAGTTTAAAAATACTCTCATAGATCTTGTGAATGGTTGAACCTGCATCAAATGCATATTAAACATGTTCTTCCATTTAAAAATTAAACTATTTACATCTCGATTTACATCGAAATATTTCAGCTCAGTTGTTCAATAAATGTATAACTTTCAGTGGCGTAGCTAGCCCGAGAATTTAGTCATGCTACGCTAAATTTTGATATTCTGAAAACGATGAATTTCTAACGAAATGAATAATGATAATGCATAAAATTTGCATAGCATGACTAAATCGTCAGGCTGGCTACGCCACTGATAATTTGTTTCCCCATTTTGAGAACTTATCCACCGTTTTCACCGTTTAAGCTAAACGGCTTTCGAACAACCGGTGAAAAGCGCTATCCCGGTTTCCATACAACCGGTCCCAAGACCTACTTTGGGCATCGTATAACCATCAGCATCAGTAACTAAGTAAACGATGACGATGTCTGCTTCGGCGTGAAAGAAGCCATGCAGGAATGTCAAAACAAAAATCGCTTCATGCCGACTTTCAAATTTTGTGCACACGTAGGAACTATGACCCAACATTTAAATTAAAGACAAGAAACATGTTACTATTTCATAAATATTAGGATACCACCAAAAGGTTCTCATATATGGTTTTAATTCTGAAATACGACGAACTTTTTTTAAGGAGGGGCAAGTGGTTCAATGAAGCATATTATCTAGCCGTCGTTTATAATTCATAAAGAACTATTTTGAGTCAAAAAGAAGCGAGAATAAATAACTACTTTAGCGAATACGAATACAATTTATATTTCAGTAACATAACAATACATACAAAGTACACCACATGCAATGTCGTAATAAATGCTTTGATCAGAAACGTTCCTCTCGTTGAATCGCGTGCAATATTTACTGCAAGCTTTCTATATGCTGACATATCAAATACACCTCTAATAACTTCGTAGTTAAGTACAAATTTTTCTCCCAGTGTGCAAAATAAGTTTTTAAAAGCATGTTGATGTTCGCACAATTTTTGAGTGTTCTTTTATTCGCGACTCATCGATTGACCAAATGGTGCCTTTACTCCCATTTCTTGTGCTTGTTGAACTAAGGCACAGAGTGGACAGCAACATACAGTAAGAACATCCGAGATAGCACTGCCTGGAATACCTTTCTGCTCACGAATCTTTGCACGGTTTGAACACAGAGCGTAGATATCTAAGATAGGACACATGAGCGCCAAACCACATAACAAGCAATCGTCGCCAACGGCTTCCGCTGACTTGCCCATAGTATAACATGGAACAAAATAGGTTGTTAAACATAGCATACAGTCGTCAAAGCAGCTAAACAAACCATGGCTAAATTCTCCAGACATTTTTTAAGAAGATCTCAAACCAATTTGTTATCAGAAATTCTCTCGACTTGCACACCAAGGCTCCTCTGTGACCAAGGGGAGGGTGGTATTTAACATCCTCATTTGAAATACACGTGATAATCAGCAGCTTCTGATTGGTTAATGCTAAAAATTTCGGGTGTTGTTGAAATCTCCTAATATGGATACATCTTCTCTTCCAGTTTTCAACTAATCACACGGTTGGAATAATTACTAGTCCAGTAAACTTATGAGTTCAGTCCTCATTAAATGGCGGCAAAAAACTTCAAATAATTCTAGATTTCTAGAATTTCTAGAACTTGAAATAATTCACTTGAAAACCACAAGCAGAGTAAAGAACAATGCAAATATTTTTTTAAATATTTTTCGTTCATATTTCGTTCAAAGGGTCTATCTGTAATCTAGTATCTTGAGCAAAACAAAAAAAAACATGTGAATGAAGCAAGCGACAGTTAATTTGGTTAGAAGAAATCAGATTCAGAATTTAAAAGATTCTCATACTTGCAGTATCAAATTAATTTCAAAACCTCGATCAAAAAATATATATTATGAGTAATTATGCGCTGGGGAATAATTATCGGATAACGAATGTTTGAGATCGCCAAGAATATTCTGCTTGATGTCTTCGCAGACGTCGTACTGCTCTGAACTGGCCAATCAAATCTCAACAATTTTTATCCTACTTGATTTAGTTGATTATGAGCCTTTTGGTTTTGCTATAAAAAGGTTTCAAATCGAAAGCGGTAATCCACATTTATAGTGAATACACTGTTTTCAGCGCTTGGAATTTTTCTACAAACTTGTCAAAGAAATAGAATATGCCTCCCAAACCAGGTGTAGCCTCAAAAGGTGGAAAGAAAGCTGGCAAGAAAGCCGGAGTTGGTGGTGACAAGAAAAGACGATCAAAACGTAAAGAAAGTTATGCCATTTACATCTACAAAGTTCTGAAGCAAGTTCACCCCGACACTGGTATCTCAAGCAAAGCCATGGGTATCATGAATTCATTTGTGAACGATATTTTTGAGCGAATTGCTGGTGAAGCTTCTCGGTTAGCTCACTACAACAAGAAATCGACAATCTCGTCTCGGGAGATTCAGACTGCTGTGCGTCTGCTCTTACCTGGAGAGTTGGCCAAACATGCTGTTAGTGAGGGAACTAAAGCTGTCACTAAATACACAAGCAGCAAGTAAAGAGGGGTTTACCTTATCTTCATAAAACACCGGTTCTTTTAAGAACCATCAAATCTCAAAAAGAATGAACTGAATACTCGACGAAGTCATTGTAATTGTACTTAATAAACCCAAAATGTTTATATTATATGCGATGTTTCTCACAAATATATAAATAACCTAATATTTAGTCACCTAATATTTAAGTTGTAAAATAAAACTTTTATCCAAGGAGATGTTGTCTGCTCATCGTTTTCAAATTATACTCTCGGGGCAATGTGCGTTTTCAAATTATACTCTCGGGGCAATAGTTATTACAGCAACATACATAGCGGCAAATCTTCGGTTCGCGGGCTTGCAGTCCTGAGTATCACAAAGTGGTACATGGATAAATTACCGTGTCCAACGATGCTTTTGAGAAAAAATCGAAATATTGCAACTTCACTTTTGGCGTATTGACTTAGTCTTTTGTTTTTATTACTCTCTTACTAATATACCCCTATTTATACACACATATCCACTATAGATGGTGTGATCCTTACTAGTCATTCCTTTATATTTTACCAAATGTTCTAGGAGCCTTTCTGAAGCAAAATGGTTGAAAACAAACCGGTTTTTAGTGGCATAGATGTGACAGAAAGTCAAGATGGTGGTGTAATAAAAGTTTTAAAAAAACAAGGGATTGGAGATGAAACTCCCAACGAAGGAGCGACAGTACATGTTCATTACGTTGGTACACTTGAAGATGGAACACAATTCGATTCTAGTCGTGATCGAAGAAAGTCTTTTGAGTTCCCTTTGGGAAGAGGTAAACCTTAATATTACACCAACAATTACAATGTTCAGTCTCGTGACAGTATTGCTAGGTAGTGAATGCTCAAAGTAACTTGATAATGATGCCAATGTGGTCATTGTATAAGAGTATGCACAGACTGCAGTGTTGAGCTGGCTTCAAGTCTTGAGTAGGCAGAAGTTATGAAATGTAGGTGTGATGGTGCCCTAGTGCTAAAGAAAACAATGAAGTGAGAAATAGCTTTTACAGACCTAGGTTCATTAAATTTTCTTTCCTATTAAAAGTCTAGTGCAGGGTTGTACAATCTCATTTTATCTCCTTTAGGGCATGTGATATCTGGTTGGGAGCTTGGTGTAGAGACAATGAAAAAGGGTGAGATATGTACACTAACCTGCAAGCCTGAATATGCCTATGGTAAACCCGGCAAACCCCCAACAATACCACAGAACTCAACCCTTGTATTCGAAATTGAACTGTTACGTTGGGAGGATGAGAAAGTTACACTAGATTCATTGGTTTCCAAAAAGATTGTGAAGAGAGGCAAAGGAACTGATCGTGTTTGTGATGGTGGGACTGTGGAAGGTTTGGAATTATATATTAAAATATTTCCAATGTTTCTGATCAATGATCATTGCATGGAAATACTCAGGTCTTTTAAAATTTTAGTTCATCTGGTTGGTAAAATTGACAAGAGAATCTTTGATGAACGCGACGTGCAGTTCATTGTTGGTGAAGGTAAAAATTGTTCACACTATTTGATATTGCAATGTACACATGAAATGGGGATGGTTCTAACATTAAAATACCCAACCTTATAGTACATTTGATTTCTCAAACTATTAATATACATATACCAGGTGGTGAGTCTGATGTTATACCAGGGGTGGATGCCGCTGTTAAAACTATGAAGAAAGATGAAATCTCATTGGTTAATTGTGACAGTTCGTATGCTTTTGGGGAAAAGGGAAAAAAAGAATGGGGGATAGACCCTGGCATGTCAGTTGAATATGAAATACATCTCAAGTCCTTTGAACAGGTGAATTAAATGCTTTATACGTTTAAGAATTTGAATACTGTATGTGAATATTAGCTACGTACTTATCAGGAGAGTAAAGAAATCTAAACATCTTCTTAGTCGTGGCATTTTTACTAATAATAGTACATTTGTTGTAAAATCTAGCTGAAGGAATTCTGGGAATTAAGTTCTGAGGAAAGAATTGATGGAGCTAAGTTGGTGAGAGAGAAAGGGACTATATATTTTAAGGTAAAAATAATTAAGCTATAAAGCGGTTTTTAATTAGTATGTATCTGCTCTTGACATATAAGTATATATATATATTTACAATGTGATTGTGTCTGGCAATGCATGGTTTTAAAGTTTTAAGCTAAATTTAAGTGATTTGGTGCTGATTTCCTCTGCTATTTTAGGAAGAGAAGTTTTCATTAGCATTGGGCAAGTTCACACGGATGGTTTCATTGGTGGAAAGCTTGGTTGAGGAAAAAGATTTGAAGCAAGCATCATCTTTGATTTTAGCTGGACATCTAAATGTTGCTTTATGTTACCTCAAGTTAGCAAAATATATGGAGTGCATTGAATCTTGTGATAAGGTGCCAAAACTAAATTTTGAAATTATGCATAGTTCTAATTAAAAACAATATCAGCATAGTTCCAATTCAAAACTATATTGGCATATCACAATCCCATATGAAATTAAATTAAACATATATTTCATTCTTCTTGATTAGGCTTTATATAGAGACAAAAATAATGTGAAAGCAATATATCGAAAAGGAAGAGTAAGTTATTTTCTATAACATAATAGCTTTGGCACTTCTTCCTAATGTCATGTCTTTGCATGTAGTTTAATTTATTGACATAATTCTCTGTTTTATAAGGCAAAACTAGCAATGCATTATCCAGATGAAGCACTTGAACAGTTCCAAAAAGTTATTAAACTGGACCCAAAAAATAAGGATGCTAGAACTTATTATGCTATCGCAAAAAAACAAATCGTGGAGTATAGGGCAAAGGAGAAGAAAATTTTTGGTAAATATGAAATTGTTTTGTGCATATGTAGTTTTGAGTGAGGAGGAAGTTGACTTCATGGATGAAAAATTAAGGGTGATTCTTTTGTTTTTAGCAAATATGTTTGACAAGTTTGCTAAGCAAGATGCAATGATTGCAGCCAGAGCTGAAAGTTTACATGACCACAACAGCAAGGATGTATTTACAAGGGCTGAAGAGGATGCAAAAATGACATTCAAAGGTGAACATAAAGAAAATGGAGAGCATGGCAATCCTGATGAGAGGAAAGATGAAAGTTCTCATTAAGGTACTTGTATACGACCTAATAAATTCTATGGATTAAATTTATCCCCAAATATAACAGCATGATGGAATAAGCAGGTCATTTGAGACATATTTTTCCACCGGTAGATCAAGCTAAACTGGTAGACAATGTCAATGATGAAGTTTGAATGCACACCTTCGACTAAATATTTTACACTCTACTTGTTCATTATTCAGCAGGTTTTGTAGATTAACCCTAAAAATTTTCCTACATGTTATTTCACATTGACGCTCTCTAATAAGATACACTGAAATCCAAATATTTATTGTACTATTCCTAGAATAGCAGTGTATGATGTATATATTGTAGTAGTTTATTATAGACTGTAGGCTATAGTGAATTGTTACTCTTCTATAATTACTATATACTTGCAGTTTTCTTCCAAATAAAGATGTTTCTAGATGCAAAAAGCAATGCATGTGCACACTGTAACGTTTTCTTAAACATGGTCAATTTACAAATATCTGTGGTGCATTATGTTGGTGGTTGTCCTTGAGTGGATTATGTTGGTGGTTGTCCTTCAGTGGATTATGTTGATGGTTGTCCTTGAGTGGATTATGTTGGTGGTTGTCCTTGAGTGGATTATGTTGGTGGTTGTCCTTGAGTGGATTATGTTGATGGTTGTCCTTGAGTGGATTATGTTGGTGGTTGTCCTTGAGTGGATTATGTTGATGGTTGTCCTTGAGTGGATTATGTTGATGGTTGTCCTTGAGTGGATTATGTTGGTGGTTGTCCTTGAGTGGATTATGTTGATGGTTGTTCTTGAGTGGAATTATGTTGATGGTTGCAAACACTGCCAAACAGTGAAATAAAGATAATATGAAACATTATCCCACTCAAAAATAGGTTATAGTCCAGATGAAGAATCAAATTCACTGGTCCATAATAAATACAGGTCAGTGGTCTATTGCATTGAGGGCAATGTGGTGTGACCAAATTAGCCAATCACAAGCTGCAGTTTCGGTCATGTGACAGTTTTTGACAGATTGAGTGATTGACAGTCAGTTTTCAAGACCATGTGGACGATACGGTGGCAAGGAAATTCGCTCTTCGTTGCAAAAAAAGAAAACCAGGTGTGTATATCTCTGAATACTCTGCATAAAAAGGAAGATATTATTCAAACAATGTTTCAAATATTTAAATAGTTATTAAACACTTTTTTGTCTTTTACTGTTTCATTTTAGGCCGAAATCCGTCGACGAAAGCTGGATTCAATGGTCGTGAATTGAACAGTATGTGTTAAATAGTCTGTTATCTGTTAGTTATTGAACTAAAACGTTTATCAGCTAAGCTAGAATTGTTCTGCCTTCAGTATTCGTACCAATAAGTGTCAATTATTAAGGCAATAAGTGTCAATTATTAAGTGCAGAAAAGTAAGTCCAATTTTTCAGCGTATTTAAGCCGCTGCTAGGCGCTGCCGTTTAGACCATATATCTTTGATTTTTTAAGTTTCCTTTGTTGTAAGCAAAGCTAGAATAGCTTCAGCATAGTTTTCGTAACGATTTCTACTAATTTGCAGAAGAATTAGGTCCACATTCTCAGTTTTTCTATCGAGTTTCCATGTTGCGACGCCGTTGTTTTTTTCAACTGTTGTAGTCGCCGCCGTTTAACTTTTAGAGCATATTGTTTAGTTTTTCAAGCTTTCTTATAGTGTAAGCAAAGATAAAGTAGTTCTGCCTTAGTATTTGTACCAATTTGCAGAAGAATTAGGTCCACATTTTCAGCGTTTTAGCGAGTTTCCATGCGTGTTTGCAACGCCGATGTTTTTCAACTTTGTGGTCGCCGCCGTTCAACTTTTAGGACATTTTGTTTAGTTTTTAAAGCTTTCATATATTGTAAGGAAAGATGAAGTAGTTCTGTTTGAGAATTCGTATAAATTTGCAGAAGAATTAGGTCCAAATTTTCAGCGTTTCTAGCGAGTTTCCATGCATGTGCGTGTTTGCAACGCCGGTGTCTTTTTTAACTTTGTAGTCGCCGCCGCCGTTCAACTTTTAGATCATATTGTTTAGTTTTTAAAGCTTTCATATATTGTAAGCAAAGATAAAGTAGTTCTGTCTGAGAATTCGTATAAATTTGCAGAAAAATTACGTCCAAATTTTCAGCGTTTCTAGTGAGTTTCCATGCATGTGCTTGCAACGCCGGTGTCTTTTTTAACTGTTGTAGTCGCCGCCGTTTAACTTTTAGTTTTAGAGCATATTGTTTAGTTTTTGAAGCTTTCTTATATTGTAAGCAAACATATAGTAGTTCTCCCTGAGTATTCGTATCAATTTGCAGAAGTATTAGGTATTTTTTGGTGTATTGGGGCCGCCGTGCGGGGCTTCAATCTCGCGGCTCGCCGTCTTCTTTTTTTAAATGAAGGTCTTGAAGCACGCTGCAGCGGCATTTATATTTATACGACAGATAATGGACGTTTGTGATATCACTGCAGCAAGGAATTGATATATTATGTTTATTCATTTAAATGCGTTTGATTTAAATCACGCCTTCTGCTATTTGATCCCGTAAAAATGTGAATTCGCATGTGCTTGGTTCCATTTGCCGGTGTTCATTCAGGCAAATTAGATTAAGAATATTTAACTAAAATTTACTTGGTGTGTTAAAAAGATGAAAAAGGGGCGTTTAAAAACCCCAAATGACATTATATAAACCAGGCCAAATGACAGCACCCTATAAATCGTTTTTTACCCACACAAAGCCGGTTAATAATCAGCAAGTGTGTAATAGACCTTTTCGGTAAAAACGTCACAACATTATCGTTTTAACTTTTAAATTTAAACTGATTTGTATTTTACAAAACTTACATTTTCTCTACCTTGTCTTTTTACTGAGTGTTTTTTTATTTGAAATGAATACAATAAAGCAACATGAGAGACACCTATTGTTGGTTACTTATTAGAACACCCTGAATAATTCTGTATATTCCTATTTCCTATGGTATATTAACATATACTACCATCAGAAGTATGGATTGATAAGCATGTGGATATTGTGCTTATACTGTACTTATTATCACTCTTTCATTTATTCATTTTAGTTGTGATGATGGAGAAATGCTACCATTTTGCATGCAAATACAAAATCTAAAATAAAATTCAAACCAGACATTTTATGCAATAAAAATCAAACCAAACATTTTATGATATTACCAGACATTTTGAGGCTCCTCTGTTTTTAATTTTCAATTTTTGGATTGCATGCAGCTCAGATCCCAACCCTTGGTTACATCTTGCATGTTTTGTCAGGAGTAATGAGTAAGTATAAGTGATCAGGGGCCCGGGTCATTTATACTTTCTGTATGCTCGACTGACCTAGTCCGGCATAGGCAAAATATTGCTCTTGGAGCACACAAAAAAAGAGATGCATGTTGAGATTAAAAAGGGGGTATAATGGTCGAGTGTTAAATGTCTGTCCCATTTTTGAATGAATGCATGTGTTAAATCTTGCTAAATTTGCATGTAATTTCGAAAATGCATGAAAATTTTGTATTCGCATGTACAATGAGCATCGTGGTGAAGATGATGTTGGTGGAGCTCATGCAGGTAACATACCATAGGTGAGCTTGTTTCATATCATTTCAGATGTTAAGAAATGAATCATTTCAGATGATGATGGACCAGCCGACGATGACTGATGATGATGGACTACCCGATGACGATGACCAGCAGACGATGACAGAAGATGATGGACTGAAGACAAGTTTGATGGGTGGTATTATTCAGTTTTCTTGCATTCTATCCTGTGCATGCTTGTTTTCCTGGTGGTCTGCACTGAATGTGTAATACATTAAGTGAAATTCTTATTTCCCATTTTGACATTGATGATAAATAAAAATTCCAGATTGCATGCAGAGCAATTAAATTAATGTATACAGCATGTTTGATTCTTTGAAAATGCATGTTCCTGTTTTATCACTTAATGTGTAATGCAATTGGTGAAATTAATGCATGATATTACTGAAGTATCCAATGGTGCGGCTAAAAATGATGAAGCATGAACTCAACTTGAAGAATGGAATTCGTACACAGGTAACTGTGAACAAGAACCAGGTACGCATATGATTGTATTTGTTTGTTGGCACATAAGGCATTAGCATAAAAAATTTGCAACAAAATATTACAGTAATGCGCCACAAGATTGATTTCTGTAAGTGCATGTGCGAATGAAAATAGCGAAAATAATAGCATGAATTATAGGTGGTTGATGTATTTTAACAGGTATGAGATCCAAAATTAGCTGTGAAATATTCCAGTTATGCATGCCACAATTTAACATAAAGTACATTGTTCTAATTAGAGTAATTGACTTTCTAAGTGCATGTGACAGCAAGATAATAGCATGATTATAGATGACCGTAATATAACTTATCTGAAATTTTCAAATATCCAATCTCATTTGTTACCTGAAGTTAACATAATACACCAAAGTGTTTAAAAAGCGAGTGTCCAGAATGATCTTTGCCAGTGCTTTATGGGCAGAAGACTCTTTCTTAAGCCATGGCTTCTTTCTCTCACTTTCATTAAGAGGATCATGTTCACATTTTCCACCATTTACACCTTCCTCCAACACCCACTCATGCTCATCAACAACATGGTGAAAATCCAAATACAACATAAGGTGACTACATATTAACACATGTATGTACAGTTTGTACGAACTAGATAAGTATTGCTGCAAAAACCAGTAGTACTTCAATGTGAATCTTACTTTGAGATTTTTTGAGTCATTAGCACATGTTTTTGAACAATACCAAAAATGGTTCCTTATTGATGGTGCCCACAAGGTCAAATCTGCATTGTCTTTAGATTTAGCAGCCTAAAGAATAAAATCAATTCTAAATAAAGAAAGTTTTTTAACTAATTGCTGGTTGATATCTTCAACACTTACAGTAGTGATTTTCTTTGCAATGTTCTTTGCTCCATGCCACACATCATTCTGATGTGTGACCTCCTTATATTTCTCTTCCCTTTCTAAAAAATGCAATAATGCTTAATTAATAAACAAATGCATGTTGTAAATATTCCCTCACTGTCTTTTAAAGGGTAAACACAATTAATTATATAACATTGTAATCAATCTGCAAATGAAGTTGTTAATATATTGAAAGTCTGACAATATTGATTATAACAGGTTGAACTATTAGAGTTTAGGAATTGCCATATTGTTATAATGTAGATACTTACTCATCAATGCAGCAATTTCAATATGACCATCAGTTACCACCTCCTTCATAACTATTGGTGGTGCAAGCAGTGTGTCCATCTTTTTTTCAAACCCAATCCTCTCCATATTATTGCTCTTACCAGCAGCTTCTCTCACATCAACCACATTCATTTGCAGTATGGCACGATCATTGGTATCAGCCAAGCTGTAAGTACAATATTGTGCACTATGGCCAGGCGAGTCATTCCTTCCATCACCACTCAATATAACCTCTTTGTTCTCTCTTTCTTTCCAACATTTCTGTTTGTGTTCTTTCCAGTAGTCATTAATGGCAGGGATGATGTACAACTTCTGATACTGATTGAATAATATTGATGAGAAATACTGCAGATTACAGAAGTTGAACATCAACCCCACCTTGGCGTAGGAATTGCCAGAAAACAACAAAGCAGAAGCAAGCACAAGGTTGCCTGCTCTAATCTTGTTGCAAGAGGGTTGAGCTGCCCATCTGCCTCCAACATGACCAGACCTACACCCCCAAGATACGACCAGGCATGTTCCAACATATGTTTTCTTATAGCTCAACACACGGCCACATCCTTGTCGTTTACAAACACTCCCATGTAATGATGTTATCAAAGCTATAAGAGTGTCTGTAAACACAATACACTTTTCCTTCTTGATTGCATCTTCAGGACTGACTTCTTCCACAGTAGAGATGTATTCTGGTTGAGTCCTCTTATGTTGCTGCTGTTGTTGTTGTTGGGTTCCAACATCTTCTGTGGGCTTATCTCCATCATGTCCACAGATTGTCACATTGAGCAAGTCATCCAGTAATGGCACGTCAAAACCCGGGGGACATACACTACAGTAAAATGGCAGTAAGAGATATTATTGAACGAAATATTTTATGCCATATTCAGTGATATATAATGTGTATATTTATGTTTTAAATCAATAAGCATTACAGTAGGAATGTCAGAAAGATTATTATTGAGGTTTTGCATCATCACTTACTCAAGAGAATAGTCCGACAAAACCTGGTCTGCCTGGATAGTGTGTTCACCAAAATTGTCATTATCATATCACTTTCATCATCAGAACTATCATCTTTGGCTGTCAATGTTCGACTGTCAGAAATCAAACTCTGACCCGACCTGAGATATAAACACATATTGCGTATTTAAAAAGTAATACTCTCTGCGCAAAACTTTGCATGTATGGGTTTCAAATTATAAACTCAGTAATCACAATAAGTTTCAAATTACCTGATAGAATATGATGTTCTAACATCCGACAAAGCAGACAATGGACGCAGTTTTAACTATAAAATATTTCATACGAATGTTTTATGCGAATATTTTAAAAAATAATAAATGTTTACGTTTTTGGAGCAGCACTTTAAAACATATGTTCTTACTGGGAGAAGAAAAATATTTGGAAGGTGTACTTGGCGGCATATCCGTTGATTCCATTACCGTTTCGGTTTGCGTCTCTGCATTGCTAAAGTGAGTTCAACACATACATAAAAAGCATTATCAAGTAAACAAATAACACACAAAAAAGGTCAGAGGTTTTATCATTTTATACTTACCAAACTATACGATTCATCGCAAGATAGCTGTCAAGAAGCATATCCGCCACATCCTTGTCTGTTCTCAATTTATGCTGCTCCTTAAACGCTCTCCATCGAGGGAAAGAACCCAACAAATACACTTTAGAGGCATCTCTACTAGCATAATATTCTTTTCTACTCGACGACATGACTCAGTGCTCTTGAAAGATTGAGAATTTCTTTCTTAAATTGTCGGCTGGTCATGGTTTTTAGACTGAACAATCCGGGGGATTATCAACTTCGGGTGGAGTCCCCAGGCTGGCGCACGCGCAGAAGCCGTGTCTTTAAAACAGGCAAAAAAATAAGAAATTTCAACCGCTCTTCACCGCAATTTCGGCTCTCTTCACCGCAATTTCCACGGCTCTTCACCGCAATTTCCACCTCTCTTCACCGCAATTTCCACCGCTCTTCACCGCAATTTCCACGGCTCTTCACCGCAATTTCCACCGCTCTTCACCGCAATTTCCTTTCGCTTCTACGCATGTGCGAGCTTTGTTTATATTTTTCGTTTTGGTGTGAATCCATTTCATTTGCACAACATGAAGTATCCAGAAACTAAATTAAAATGGCAGACATCAAGAGTGAAGAGTGGAGCTTTATAAAACCATTCAACAATTGTCTTTTAAAAGACAACCAAATAAATATTTTGAAAAACAACTACTGGGAGATATCTCCTGTAAGTTTGTCGATTTTATCTAAGTTTGAGATACTGTGTATAATTATTTTTACAGTGATTGTTGGATGATTATTGAATTTGGATAAAAGATTATACTCAGATAATGATTTTGTTTATAAAATACCTTCGTACTCTGTTCTAATATTGCAGGATTCAGATTTATGAGCAAGATAATCATGCTTCAATGGTCAAAGTAGCTCTTCTGAGTGTGTTTCATAGACATCAATGCCATGTGGGTCAACATCACTGAATGAAACTGCTTCAATACGAAAGCTTACAAGTGAAGATATAGATAGGAGAGGATTTTGATGGCGAGTATGGTTATCGAATGATTGAACTTTCAAACCTAGCAAGTGCATTTCAGTCCTTGCATAATTGGGAATTAGGCGGAGAGTTGAAAGTTACCGATGATGAGTCTCGTAGATATGGAAATAGCACAGTCATTGTCGAGTCAGATATTGCAGAGATTGCTGTGAGTTATGATAGCACATGGTCTAAGCGTGAGGGTTCACTGCAAACTTTGGAATTGATTTTGTTATTTCGGTTGACACAGTTGAGGTTCTTGACTATAGTTTTGAATCCAAATTATCGAAGTTTGACATGTATGCATTATTGATAATTGGTGATAAAGTTGCCAACCTTAGTATAAATTAATATATGCTAATCACTGAGTAGCATGTACGCGCACAGAACACAAATGTTGGGCTACCTATCGTATTACATGATGTTTCACCATTCGTTCTCTCACTTCTCTGAGCAGAAAAAAAAAATCCTGAAAATTCAACCAAATTCACCACAAAGAAAAACCACGCCTCGTGTTTTAATAAGTCACTGTTGGTATCTTTTTCTTGATTTACTCAACTATATGGATCGCTTCTGACACTTCACCCTCGCAAAATTTCGTAGATGCTTTAATATTTGTGCATGGTGAGACTGAAGTGAAGACTTCTAAAAATCGGACAATTCATTGATAATTGTCATGTAATTTCCTGGTATAACATCCCAACCTATACATTGTAGTTAAAATATGATAACAATATCAACCTCAAATTCAACTAATATTTTGTATGCAATCAAGAAAAATTTGGAAATGCTGGTTGTTAATTTTACTGCAATTATTACACAAGATATGATTACACTCCTTTATAATTACCCAATCCTGTCAGAATTGCTATCACATGTGAATGCAATATAATTTTTGTACACAATATAATTTAATTATTGTTTTCAGCATAAATTATGCCTTAAGAGGCCTTCTCCAGACAACATTTATTGCAAGCTATATGATATTTGCTCCAATATTTGGCTATATTTGTGAAAGATACAGTTGCAAGCTCATTATGATCTATTGCCTCGTTATCTGGTCCTTAACAACATTTCTTAGCACACTACTTAATAAACACCTATGTAAGCTTTTACTGATTTCATACAGTGAGTTAGAAGTCAGATATGTTAAAAAAAGAAGGAAAATGGTAGGTTAATGAATAGTTTGGTATGTTCTTGGTTCAAAAGTATCTTCCGCTTTAGTGGTGGCAATAATTTTATAATAGAGAAAACACAGGGTATGTAAACATGTGAAATAAACATGTTATTACTTGATGTGTTTCAGGTAACTCCAATCTTGGGTGTGCTTCTTATCATCTTGGGCTTTATATCTGTTGTTTGAACCTGTCTAGGGGCAAATTGAAAAGAGTCAGGGTGATATTGTTGCAGACAAGGATGTTATCATTCGTCGTTCATTGTTGAATGATGCGAAACATATGTTACGCTGGTAGGTGATTTTTAACAACAGATGTTGCTTACTGCAGGATGAACTGTTTAGAACTGACAGAATTATCCAATGTAAATATAGTTAGTTTGTGTAGGTTTCCTGCTGTAGTAATGCTGAATCAATAAGAGATGATCCAGTATGCCATTCCTTGTTATGCCCTTGATCCTAACTTTAAAATATATTGTTCTTTCTTATGTAAGTTAAACATGTATATCTGAAATTAAACATATAATTATTATTTCCGTAAAGACATTTCTATCATATAAGTGTTAGCAATTGTCTTGTTTCTTTGTAGATACAGACAGAGCCACAGCATCGGCAGTCCTTATATTGTGGGTTTGGTATGTAATATACAATTTCTTTTACCTAAAGCTGTGAATCACCGACACGCCCACTTAATCTAATTATGACGTCACTTCCGGTCAGCGGGGCTTATTTCGCTCCTTCCTTACGCTTTGACTTTGACTTCCGCTTTTTCGATAAGCGTGGTAAGACACGCCCACTTAATCTAATTATGATGTCACTTCCGGTATGCGGGGCTTATTTCGCTACTTCCTTACGCTTTGACTTTCAACTTCCGATTTTTTGTGGGCGTGATCAGACACGCCCACTTAATCTAATTATGACGTCACTTCCGCTTGGCAGGGCTTTTTTCCCAACTTCGTTACGCTTTGACTTTCGAATTCCGATTTTTTGTGGGCGCGATCAGACACGCCCACTTAATCTAATTATGACGTCACTTCCGATATGCGGGGCTTATTTCGCTACTTCCTTACGCTTTTACTTTCAACTTCCGATTTTTTGTGTGCGCGATCAGACACGCTAACTTAATCTAATTATGACGTCACTTTCTGTGGGCGGGGCTTATTTCGCTACTTCCTTACGCTTTGACTTTCAAATTCCAATTTTTTGTGGGCGTGGTCAGACACTTTCAACTTCCGATTTTTTGTAGGCGTGGTGAGACACTCCGACTTAATCTAATTATGACGTCACTTCCGGTGGGCGGGTCTTATTTCCCTACTTCCTTACGCTTTGACTTTCAACTTCCGATTTTTTGTGGGCGCGATCAGACATGCCGACTTAATCTAATTATGATGCAACTTCCGGTATGCGGGGCTTATTTCGCTACTTCCTTACGCTTTATCCTTCAACTTCCGATTTTTTGTGGGCGTGATCAGACACGTCCACTTAATCTTATTATGACGTCACTTCTGGTGGGCGGGGCTTTTTTTGCTACTTCCTTACGCTTTGACTTTTAACTTCCGATTTTTTTGGGCGCGATCAGACACGCCCACTTAATCTAATTATGATGTCACTTCCTGTGGGCTGGGCTGATTTCGCTACTTCCTTACGCATTGACTTTCAACTTCCGATTTTTTGTGTGCGCGATCACACTCTTAATCTAATTATGACATCACGGGGCTTATTTCGTTACTTCCTTACGCTTTGACTTTTAACTTTCAATTTTTTGTGGGCGTGGTCAGACACGACTATTTAATCTAATTATGATGTCACTTCCAGTGGGCGGTGCTTATTTCGCCACTTCCTTACGCTTTAACTTTCAACTTCCGATTTTTTGTAGGCGTAGTCAGACACACCCACTTAATCTAATTATGACGTCACTTCCGGTGTGCGGGGCTTATTTTGCTACTTCCTTACGCTTTGACTTTCTCCTTGTGGGCGTGGTGGAAAATGCCCACTTAATCTAATTATTACGTCACTTCCGGTGGACGGGGCTTATTTTGCTACTTCCTTACGCTTTGACTTTCAACTTCCAATTTTTTGTGGGTGCGATCAGACACGCCCACTTAATCTAATTATGACGTCATTTCCTGTGGGCCGGGCTTATTTTGCTACTTCCTTACGCTTTGACTTTCAACTTCCGATTTTTTGTGGGCGTGATCAGACACGCCCACTTAATATAAATATGTCATTTTTGGTATGCGGGGCTTATTTCGCTACTTCTTTACGCTTTGACTTATGACTTCCGATTTTTTGTGGGCGTGATCAGACACGCCCACTTAATCTAATTTGACGTCAATTCCGGTGGGCGGGGCTGATTTCGCTACTTCCTTACGCTTTGACTTTCAACTTTTGATTTTTTGTGGGCGTGGTCAGACACGCCTATTTAATCTAATTATGACGTCATTTCCGGTGGGCGGGGCTTATTTCGCTAGTTCCTTACGCTTTAACTTTCAACTTCCGATTTTTTGTGGGCATGATGAGACACGCCCACTTATTCTAATTATGATGTCACTTCCGGTTGGCAGGTTACTTGTTAATCAAAATTTCTTTTACTTACTCCGAGGAAGAACGCCAATAGCACCTTCTGCAAATAATCGCTTTCTGGTGTGCGATTCACCTGTAATTAGTTAAAAGGCATAGACATATTTATGTTATATATATATATATATATTATATATATACAGTAATTTATATAATCGTACCTGCAAACCACACATGACACATTGTATATCGTTTACCTCTTGCAGGCATTTCATTTGCTTGCTCGCACACGTTTTGATCGCCAGTTGCTATTGGGGTTGAATCGGGAATTTTGTCTTGGGAAGTTCTCACGTCTGTTGTATTGTGATCTAATATAATTGGAAAGAGCAAAATAATGTAAATGAATTGTATGCCGGGCAGAAACAGGTATTGCATTGAGTCAGGTGCACGCAACTGTTGTAACGAGCATAAATATTCGCATGCAAGCTGAATAAGTCAAATAAAACGAACCTATTTTGGGTCTCTTTATTATTTTTTGAGCGACTTCAATGGCCTGTAAATTAGTCACAGAAAAATTTGTAACGCTTAAAACTTTATAACATTGTTAAAACATTAAAAAAACTACAAAAGCATCAAACTCGTTAGTAATTCGTTTTGATAATTTAATATGACATACCCAAGCAAATGTTTCCTTTTCTTGGAGTCAGGTTGTTATATCTAGCCTTTGTGTTCGGTGTAAGTTTCTATTTGAATAGTCAAGGATACACCGTGAAACACAGATTAGACAAGTCGTTAAACTGCTCATACAATCTCCTAACTGAGTAAGCCAGCATACCTCTGTAAAACTGAAGTCAAGCTCCTCTTCACTTTCGGTAGGTGCAGTTGTATTTTCGCGATATTGCATGACTTGACTATTTTTAAATGCTATACAAATGTGTTATCAAAGGTTTCAAAACATTTAATATGCTGATGAAATACTCAATAGTAATCCTCATTGATTCTGTTATTTCTGTATACCTTCTAACTTTATCCTCAACTCGTTTTTCGAGAGTGTCCAAGCTTTTGCAAACTTCGTCCGATATTGTTGTTGCTAGATTGTTGATTTATTCCAGATCACTCTCATTGGGGGCATCATCCCGAATTCCACTGGCTAATGAGTAATATTGTTAGAACAACAATTACATTCAAGATACAAAACACGCCTAAATTTCGAACCAGAAAGAATTGCATAGAAATTTATTTAAAGCTTTCTTACCATACGCTATCATATGTTGCGTGAATGGCATCAGTTTCCCCAGAGGAATTCGGTACGCTCTTTTCTGGCAAACGTGTTTCCTTTTAATCATTTGCTACAAGGTGCATTCCCTGTTTTTGCCGAAGTATATCCCTATTGTCCCCGGCTCCAGTACAAGCGTACTTTGCAATTCTTTGAATTCCTATTAAAACAACAAACATTTTGTGAAATGCAGTCAAAAGACCGTGTTAGACTCCAACACTGTACGTGTTACTCACTGTATGTGAAATATGGACAAAACTGTAGAAAGCAGTTGACAGTAGCTCAATGCCTGGAACCTTCATCCCTTCGATATTCTTGACAGTAACTTTAGGGTGCAGCCATGAAAGAATCTTAAAAGAGATCAGCAAAATCTGTGAATGTTATATCCAAGGAAATCGAACACTGTGTATATGGCGCCATTTAATACTTTATTTTGTCCGGAATTTTTTTTATGTAAATAGAAAAATGAAAGAAAACAAACCGGGTCTTTTTCCTTGGCTATCTTTTCAATGATGTTAGCTTCTAGCCTTTGCATTGTTGAACGTATACTGACTGTCTGCACCTTTAATAACTCGCCGCATGCAAACAATACATAATCTTTGGTGTTCGCTTGGTTACCACACGAGAAACGTAACTAAAATGAGAAACATAAGTCATGTAAAAATGAGCTCTATTATTGAAAACTAGTCCGATCTATTTTTTGCGAGTTATTTGAGTTTCACATACCAGAGCATTTGCGACAAGTACCGCGGCAATACCAGACAACCACCTTGCCTGCACCTTCAGGTCGTTTTCATCGAAGATCGCTTGGACGACCTCTTCGACAATTTCACGCGCATGTTCAAAAACCTCAGCTTATAACTCCAGGTATTTAATTGCCCAGACAAGCAAAATACCCTATATAACAATGACATATATTGGTCATGGATTTTGAAGGTATAGTAGCCTAAAATAATTTATGGTTAAGTTGAAGTACACAACGTTTACATTTCCATATAGACTAAAATATACCTTGTTTTCTTGCATGAACTCTTGCATAACCTTCAGTTGCTTGTCGTCAAACTTGGCTTGTTCATTCCGTTCCTCGTTCCAGCTCACGTAATTAAACCTAATAACTCTCCCTACTAATCTACAATGAAACAGATTTCGAAGGCTAAATGTTAATAACGTAATTTCAGTTTAAGAATTAAAAGACAATTCATTTAATTGCATAAGTGTACTACCGGAAAACTTCGGGAGAATTCGTCGATATTAACGTGGCGGCCTTGATGGATGTCATCCCCACCTTATTTAATCCAGACATCAGTCGCCCTTGTGCTTGCAGCAGAAACTCGCTGAAGTTAACATTGGTTTAGGGTTCATCATTTAACCCCAGTCGTTCTCGATGCTATCTCTTGCATTTTCTTTCTATTAAAAATAATTGAAGTCTGCTTTTCAAACATTTGCGAAAAAATTTTTTTATACACCAACGTATAATTTTAACGTGAAACTCACGTAGATGTCCCACATGTCTGGGAGTCTCCACCACTTAGTAACATTACGTGCGATCCATTGGGAATTCCAACACCCCGAGCAAGGAGATTTAGACTCTCCGATTTCCCTATGCTCCTTTCTTCGGAGAATATCATGCCAATAGAACTCTCTTCTAAATGACGAAGACGTTAAAACAAGGTAACTATGAGAAAGAATTGCAAAATGTTAATACTGTCTATGGTAGTACTGTACAGTGAAGTTATTTACGTCTTTCACTTTCCGCGATTGAGCTACCTGTTCATTCAAACAGTAACTTACTCCAAACATCTTCAGGATTGAGAGCATTCCTCAGCAACCGAGCCACAGTGAATGCTGTTGCCAGCAAAAATGAGTCCATATTAGGGCCCAAGCATTGCAAAAGTAGTATGAACCTTAGAAAAAAATGAATATATAATTAAAAATTATTTGGTATAATCGTTTATGTAGTCCAAGTGATACTTGAAAATAGTTGGCCAAAAAAGTCTAGTAGTGCGCTGTAGATGTTTCGTAGCCCAAAACACCGCATTTTACCTTGCAACAGAACGATTCAACTTTGCGTAATCGTTCAGTAAGCTTTCGTTAATTTGCAATTGGTGGTTTTTTAAAGACTTGTCCAATATTAGATACTTATGATCAATTGGATCTAACACTTTACCATTCTCAATATGCACCTGTAATAATTGAAATTGAATAATTAAATAAACTAATAAGAGAACGTTCCCAGGGGCTAAACAAAATGCTTTCAGTTGGAGAAGGATATAAACTAAACGCGAACTTTAGAAATCAACAGATCTCAATATTCTAGTTTTGGTTGTTTCGTTTTAGAATAGTTATGTTTTTCTTTCAAATGCACAACTAGGTAATTTTTATACAAGCGTAATACAACATACATCATTGGAAATAATCCAGTATTTATTCCCTTGGTATCCCATGAAACGCATTTCATGGAAAACCCTTTTGTTCTCTTGTTGGAGAAGTCTTCTTTCAGGTAGCAGGCGTACGAATGAACGACAGCTGACGTCATGTGCGGCCCCAATAAGAACGTTCCTTCTCCATAAGCAGCTCTTAATGAGTCAATGAAACGTTGCTTCGAGTCGAAACAATTGACGTTCAATACGATAAGTCTGAAAAAATCACCAGATGGCACATGCAATTGTATCGTTCGCGTAGTCTTTGAAAGCTATCTACTTCTGAACTATTTATAAGAACATGTTTGTACTTAAAATCAGGCACATTATAATTAATCATCGGAAATAAGAAGAAATTGGCAGAAATTGGTCAAAACGTGAGCACTGGAAAACTAATTTTTATAGAGAACTGAGCGAAATTTTCTTTCGAGAAAAAGGCGATCAAAACTTTCGCGGGCATTTTAGCGATGCCAGATTTTTCCACCTCCTACTTCTGTAAGCCTGTTCCTTACGCCTTTGCTAATCGCTGTTTGTGTTTTTTATTAATCTTAAGGTGTGAAAATAATTTCATTTAATATCAAAGCAAAAAAGTATATTATCAAATATTACTTTTGTATCCCGATACATATTTTATGTGTATCTATATAGGCCATGATAATGTGCCCTAATTATCACACATGCCGCTGCATCGGAAACGCATTGTGAAATTAGTATGGACAATGACGCGGTTGTTTAGAGCCTATATTCATTGTGTAAACTGGCTATATACGATGATGTGCATATTTTAAAATACATTTCGTTAGGTCTAGTTTATTCAATTGAGTAACTGTTAATCGTATACATCTAATATCGTATGTATGGAAATGCACAAGTCTGCGCAAGGACACAACAGGACCATTTTCATACTAAAACAAGAAACCACCCGGTACTTTAATGAGTGCGAAGAACTCGTATAAAAATCCCATTTACAATAAGCTTATGTTGGCCTAGGTTTACACTTTTGCCTTATTGTAGCGGCAGTTTGCGAACAAATTTCCTATTCATTCGAATCGTTTGTGACGTTTAAACAACGCGTCATTTCAGCTGACTTTTTTCGCTCGTATATATTGCCCTAATGTGTATATACAACTTCAGTAGTTCCATTTGTTTTTATACACGAAAAACTATATTGTGCACGCGAGCGTATTTACCATGCATAAAAAACTCCAGTGTGCGGAGAAATGTATATCGTTTAACACTACACAAACCTGATTGTAGTTTCCTCATCTTCGGAGGCTGAACCACAACAGCAAACCCAATGCCCAGCAGAATTTTCTTCTTCTTTCAGCTTTAGCTTCCCAAATATTTTGAGCGAGAAATCCCCAAACATGGAAAATTTTTTCCCATAGTAATTTTGTTGCCAGCCACACAAAACATTGTTAAAACACTTTCAATCTACATACAAACGAAGATCATTTAATATAGGGATACCAATTACCATATTCTCAATGTTATTGAAAAATAAAAATCTCGTTGCTCGCTTTACTAACCTCAGTGTCAGACATATTTATATACGTGCCGAAAGGTCTACAAACTTTCCCACTTGCCAAATAGTGAACTTGCTAAGAGTTGAAGGAGAAAGGGAACGCAAGCATATGATAACTGCTATATATACCATACGAAGATCACATGACGGCATAAGGTTAATCACACTTAATTAATGACACTTAATTAATGACAAACCATCTATATGGAGTGTAATATGAGACGGAAGGTGCATGGTAGCATATGATGGCAGGAAGTGCAGAAGTATATAATGAGGATATTACTGTGAAACCTTGTAATGTGTGTAAGTAAAACTTGTGAAACGTGCAAACTTCATGATTGCTTTCAAAGCAAAACTGTTGGTTTTTTTATGTTACATACATATACACACATCAATCGTTTTATTTCGTTTCATTGTTTTGAGTACGTTTTGTATTTCAAAGCAATGTTTGTGAATTGTGACATCCTCTAATAATGTTACTAGGTGATGCTGTCCAAGTTGTCAGGGAAAAAATGTCAAGCTTTTCAACGGCTATAAATAGACCACTTCAAAAATAGCGGCTATTAATCGCTACATAGATGTGTTACTATTATTAAAAGTATTAATAGTCACAAAAATGACAGTTGCCCTTGACAACTTGGTCAGCGTTCCCTGGCAACATTTCAGATGACGTCACAAACATAAATCTCACTGCTGCAAAACTTAAGGGCCTAATTCCACGGGCGCTTTTTCTCCGCGAAATATTTCGCCTGTTTCTTGTATGTTCACGAGGTTTACAGAGTGCGATTTAACGTTAACAGTTTTGTTTTCACTGAATAATCACATACACAACATGTTTTTCAGGATATTGTCTTGTATATTTAAGTTTCTGCCAGTTCCTTGTGATCAAATCAATAAAGATATCAGATATCACGATGGGCGAATCACTAAAAAAAAGTGTGCGAGATTTGCGGATTTCGAAAATCGATAGGGATTTTTACAAATTTTTGTGATAATTTTTTTTAAAGTATTCTTGTGACTTTATATGGATTTTAAGATCTTTTTACGGATTTTTAGGAATTTGTAGTGATTTTTAATGGAATTCTAAGGGACTTTTTAGCCTTTAGCTTAGGGAATTTTTTTATCTACAGGGCGTACGAGATTTTTAAGCGATACACCCCTCGATAAATCTCAATATCATCTGCATAGCCCAGCAACTCACTTTTCCTGATCGCATAAGCTAAATCGTTCATAAAAACAGTAAACAGCATAGGCCCCAAAATACTGCATTGTAGTACCCCAGCTGTCACACCCATCTAATTTGAGTATGCCTCCCCTAACTTCACCCGTTGACTACGACTTGACAGATAACTTTGCAAAAGGTTTACTGCTTTATCGCCCAAGCCATAGAATTTCAGTTTTTCCAAAATAAGTTCGTGTCGAAGACAATTGAATGCTTTACTCAGATCCAGAGCAACAGCCTCAATCTTATTATAACTGTGATAACATAGATAACATCGTCTAGTTGACGAAAACCGACCAAAATCCTGAATCAAGCACATGCTGCAGCCATCTTGCTTTTGGAGGTAAGGGGCCACGCTGCTCTTGTTCAATTCTGACATTGAAAAATAAAACTAAAGCAACGAAAGTGTACTACGACTGCTACGCTTGCTACGCTTGCTACGCTTGCTACGCTTGCTACGCTTGCTACGCTTGCTACGCTTGCTACGCTTGCTACGCTTGCTACGCTTGCTACGCTTGCTACGCTTGCTACGCTTGCTACGCTTGCTACGCTTGCTACGCTTGCTACGCTTGCTACGCTTGCTACGCTTGCTACGCTTGCTACGCTTGCTACGCTTGCTACGCTTGCTACGCTTGCTACGCTTGCTACGCTTGCTACGCTTGCTACGCTTGCTACGCTTGCTACGCTTGCTACGCTTGCTACGCTTGCTACGCTTGCTACGCTTGCTACGCTTGCTACGCTTGCTACGCTTGCTACGCTTGCTACGCTTGCTACGCTTGCTACGCCTGCTACGCTTGCTACGCTTGCTACGCTTGCTACGCTTGCTACGCTTGCTACGCTTGCTACGCTTGCTACGCTTGCTACGCTTGCTACGCTTGCTACGCTTGCTACGCTTGCTACGCTTGCTACGCTTGCTACGCTTGCTACGCTTGCTACGCTTGCTACGCTTGCTACGCTTGCTACGCTTGCTACGCTTTGCTACGCTGTACTCTTTACGCTTGCTACGCTTGCTACGCTTGCACGCTTGCTACGCTTGCTACGCTTGCTACGCTTGCTACGCTTGCTACGCTTGCTACGCTTGCTACGCTTGCTACGCTTGCTACGCTTGCTACGCTTGCTACGCTTGCTACGCTTGCTACGCTTGCTACGCTTGCTACGCTTGCTACGCTTGCTACGCTTGCTACGCTTGCTACGCTTGCTACGCTTGCTACGCTTGCTACGCTTGCTACGCTGGCTACGCTTGCTACGCTTGCTACGCTTGCTACGCTGCTACGTGCTACGCTTGCTACGCTTGCTACGCTTGCTACGCTTGCTACGCTTGCTACGCTTGCTACGCTTGCTACGCTTGCTACGCTTGCTACGCTTGCTACGCGCTACGCTTGCTACGCTTGCTACGCTTGCTACGCTTGCTACGCTTGCTACGCTTGCTACGCTGCTACGCTTGCTACGCTGCTACGCTTGCTACGCTTGCTACGCTTGCTACGCTTGCTACGCTTGCTACGCTTGCTACGCTTGCTACGCTTGCTACGCTTGCTACGCTTGCTACGCTTGCTACGCTTGCTACGCTTGCTACGCTTGCTACGCTTGCTACGCTTGCTACGCTTGCTACGCTTGCTACGCTTGCTACGCTTGCTACGCTTGCTACGACTGCTACGCTTGCTACGCTTGCTACGACTGCTACCCTTGCTACGCTTGCTACGACTGCTACGCTTGCTACGCTTGCTACGACTGCTACGCTTGCTACGCTTGCTACGCCTGCTACGCTTGCTACGACTGCTACTCTTGCTACGACTGCTACTCTTGCTACGACAGCTACTCTTGCTACCACTGCTACGCTTGCTACGACTGCTACGCTTGCTACGCTTGCTACGCTTGCTACGCTTGCTACGCTTGCTACGCTTGCTACGCTTGCTACGCTTGCTACGCTTGCTACGCTTGCTACGCTTGCTACGCTTGCTACGCTTGCTACGCTTGCTACGCTTGCTACGCTTGCTACGCTTGCTACGCTTGCTACGCTTGCTACGCTTGCTACGCTTGCTACGCTTGCTACGCTTGCTACGCTTGCTACGCTTGCTACGCTGCTACGCTTGCTACGCTTGCTACGCTTGCTACGCTTGCTACGCTTGCTACGCTTGCTACGCTTGCTACGCTTGCTACGCTTGCTACGCTTGCTACGCTTGCTACGCTTGCTACGCTACGCTTGCTACGCTTGCTACGCTTGCTACGCTTGCTACGCTTGCTACGCTTGCTACGCTGCTTGCTACGCTTGCTACGCTTGCTACGCTTGCTACGCTTGCTACGCTTGCTACGC